ACAATACTCTAACTCGCACAGTATAAGAGATTTGGGCAAAAATCATCCTTTTTTGGAGAAAAAGAAGTTCATTTTTTGAGCGATTTTACCTTAAATTTTCGACGGAATTTCCCCTTTAATAGCACATCTGTCCAGAAATCGATTCGGAATGCGTTCTAGGGCCCTTAAGACATCTTTCTAGCAACTTTCAAGCAATTTCATTTTTTGGCCAAAATTGAAAAAAAACAAGGGGTTAGCCTTACATTTTTAGTCAAAATTGGCCAAAAATTGACTTTTCTCAAAACAAGGCAGAAATTCATCTGGATGCAAGAGGAACGTCAAACAATACTCTAACTCGCACAGTATAAGAGATTTGGGCAAAAATCATCCTTTTTTGGAGAAAAAGAAGTTCATTTTTTGAGCGATTTTACCTTAAATTTTCGACGGAATTTCCCCTTTAATAGCACATCTGTCCAGAAATCGATTCGGAATGCGTTCTAGGGCCCTTAAGACATCTTTCTAGCAACTTTCAAGCAATTTCATTTTTTGGCCAAAATTGAAAAAAAAACAAGGGGTTAGCCTTACATTTTTAGTCAAAATTGGCCAAAAATTGACTTTTCTGAAAACAAGGCAGAAATTCATCTGGATGCAAGAGGAACGTCAAACAATACTCTTACTCGCACAGTATAAGAGATTTGGGCAAAAATCATCCTTTTTTGGAGGAAAAGAAGTTCATTTTTTGAGCGATTTTACCTTAAATTTTCGACGGAAGTTCCCCTTTAATAGCACATCTGTCCAGAAATCGATTTAGAATGCGTTCTAGGGCCCTTAAGACATCTTTCTAGCAACTTTCAAGCAATTTCATTTTTTGGCCAAAATTGAAAAAAAAACAAGGGGTTAGCCTTACATTTTTAGTCAAAATTGGCCAAAAATTGACTTTTCTCAAAACAAGGCAGAAATTCATCTGGATGCAAGCGGAACGTCAAACAATACTCTTACTCGCACAGTATAAGAGATTTGGGCAAAAGTCATCCTTTTTTGGAGAAAAAGAAGTTCATTTTTTGAGCGATTTTACCTTAAATTTTCGACGGAATTTCCCCTTTAATAGCACATCTGTCCAGAAATCGATTCGGAATGCGTTCTAGGGCCCTTAAGACATCTTTCTAGCAACTTTCAAGCAATTTCATTTTTTGGCCAAAATTGAAAAAAAACCAAGGGGTTAGCCTTACATTTTTAGTCAAAATTGGCCAAAAATTGACTTTTCTCAAAACAAGGCAGAAATTCATCTGGATGCAAGAGGAACGTCAAACAATACTCTAACTCGCACAGTATAAGAGATTTGGGCAAAAATCATCCTTTTTTGGAGAAAAAGAAGTTCATTTTTTGAGCGATTTTACCTTAAATTTTCGACGGAATTTCCCCTTTAATAGCACATCTGTCCAGAAATCGATTCGGAATGCGTTCTAGGGCCCTTAAGACATCTTTCTAGCAACTTTCAAGCAATTTCATTTTTTGGCCAAAATTGAAAAAAAAACAAGGGGTTAGCCTTACATTTTTAGTCAAAATTGGCCAAAAATTGACTTTTCTCAAAACAAGGCAGAAATTCATCTGGATGCAAGCGGAACGTCAAACAATACTCTAACTCGCACAGTATAAGAGATTTGGGCAAAAATCATCCTTTTTTTGGAGAAAAAGAAGTTCATTTTTTGAGCGATATTCCCTTAAATATTCGACGGAATTTCCCCTTCAATAGCACATCTGTCCAGAAATCGATTTGGAATGCGTTCTAGGGCCCTTAAGACATCTTTCTAGCAACTTTCAAGCAATTTCATTTTTTGGCCAAAATTGAAAAAAAAACAAGGGGTTAGCCTTACATTTTTAGTCAAAATTGGCCAAAAATTGACTTTTCTCAAAACAAGGCAGAAATTCATCTGGATGCAAGAGGAACGTCAAACAATACTCTAACTCGCACAGTATAAGAGATTTGGGCAAAAATCATCCTTTTTTGGAGAAAAAGAAGTTCATTTTTTGAGCGATTTTACCTTAAATTTTCGACGGAATTTCCCCTTCAATAGCACATCTGCCCAGAAATCGATTTGGAATGCGTTCTAGGGCCCTTAAGACATCTTTCTAGCAACTTTCAAGCAATTTCATTTTTTGGCCAAAATTGAAAAAAAAACAAGGGGTTAGCCTTACATTTTTAGTCAAAATTGGCCAAAAATTGACTTTTCTCAAAACAAGGCAGAAATTCATCTGGATGCAAGAGGAACGTCAAACAATACTCTTACTCGCACAGTATAAGAGATTTGGGCAAAAATCATCCTTTTTTGGAGAAAAAGAAGTTCATTTTTTGAGCGATTTTACCTTAAATTTTCGACGGAATTTCCCCTTTAATAGCACATCTGTCCAGAAAACGATTCGGAATGCGTTCTATGGCCCTTAAGACATCTTTCTAGCAACTTTCAAGCAATTTCATTTTTTGGCCAAAATTTGAAAAAAAACAAGGGGTTAGCCTTACATTTTTAGTCAAAATTGGCCAAAAATTGACTTTTCTCAAAACAAGGCAGAAATTCATCTGGATGCAAGAGGAACGTCAAACAATACTCTAACTCGCACAGTATAAGAGATTTGGGCAAAAATCATCCTTTTTTGGAGAAAAAGAAGTTCATTTTTTGAGCGATTTTACCTTAAATTTTCGACGGAAGTTCCCCTTTAATAGCACATCTGTCCAGAAATCGATTCGGAATGCATTCTAGGGCCCTAAAGACATCTTTCTAGCAACTTTCAAGCAATTTCATTTTTTGGCCAAAATTGGAAAAAAACTAAGGGGTTAGCCTTACATTTTTAGTCAAAATTGGCCAAAAATTGACTTTTCTCAAAACAAGGCAGAAATTCATCTGGATGCAAGAGGAACATCAAACAATACTCTAACTTGCACAGTATAAGAGATTTGGGCAAAAATCATCCTTTTTTGGAGCAAAAGAAGTTTATTTTTTTGAGCGATTTTACCTTAAATTTTCGACGGAATTTCCCCTTTAATAGCTCATCTGTCCAGAAATCGATTTGGAATGCGTTCTAGGGCCCTTAAGACATCTTTCTAGCAACTAGTGGTAAGACATCTGAACTTCTAATAGAAAGCAGGAGGTCGTGGGTTCGTACAAGGTTTTATCATAATCCAGTAATTCGTATGGAAATAACCGGTATAAGAATTTTTCATGATCTCGGTGGACGGATTTTGGCCCATTTACATGGTTGCATCCTTTAATTCTCGCGAGGGGGCCTTGGCCAACATCATCTAAATGCACGTAATTTACTTAATTTTATGTTCTGCTATCATAATATTGTGTGATATTGATTGAATATTGAAAAAAATTCACAGCTGTTATGATCACGCGAAATTATTTTCACTGTGGTGTTACCTCAGTGCAACGAATTTGCAGCGAGTCACGCGTGCTGTGGGTGGCTATAATATAGGATTATTATGGGATCTGGTGCCCTTGACCTTGTATGGATTCTCCCTCACACGTGACTTGCCATTGTTTCAATTCTGTGCACGCATGCGCAGTACAACAAATGAGTCCACATTTCACCGAATCCACAATTCACATCAGAGACACCTTGTTTCATCAGCATAATACGTTCATGTTCAGTTTCAAAGTTAATGGCAGCTGATATAAAATACAACCTAAAAATACGCAATTCAAAAATAGTCTCGATCACCGGATGTGTAGTAATTAATAGGCTTTATGGGTTTAGCACACACGGAGGATTGCCTTTGAGAACTTTCAACCAGGTGAGATCACGTTCGTTGTATAGCTCAAGAGTTCGTATTCCTGTAACGTTGCAAATTAAGATGCATTTTGCAAAAGAGGATTGTCTTTGAGAACTTTCAATCAGGTGCGTTCGTTGTATAGCTCAATATTTCGTCGTCATGTAACGTTGCAAAGACATGTTGCAAAAGAGGAGGATTGCCTTTGAGAACTTTCAACCAGGTGAGGTGCACGTTCGTTGTATAGCTTAAGAGTTCGTATTCCTGTAACGTTCCAAATTAAGATGCATTTTGCAAAAGAGGAGGATTGTCTTAGAGAACTTTCAATCAGGTACGTTCGTTGTATAGCTCAAGATTTCGTAGTCCTGTAACGTTGCAAAGATTCATGATGCAACAGAGCCAATATCGCGGGCCGGCGTTGTTTCCAGATTCCATGGCATGAAATGGCTAAAAATACGCGTATATCGCGTCAATCGCAATACCAACATAGCTCGCATTTTCGCAAGTTACAAATGCGTTGACTACAAGGACAACTCCAGAAGACAAGTTGCAGATTTTGTGGAGAGAACAGATCAGTTTTCAATCTACCCTTTAATAAAGTTGTCAAGAGAACTGATGTTGCGGATGTTATGTGACACCGTGAATTCCAGCATTCAAGGACCAGACACCGAAAAGGCCTTGTCCCCTGCCTTTTTTGATGTGCATGGAACTCTTATGGTGAGTAAAAAAACACAAGTACAAGAATCATTCAAATCACTAATGTACTTTTCAATTAACGTAATTTTAAACATAACCACCGTTTAAAGTTCTGTCAACGGATCACAAAAAAGGTGTGCGTTCTATCAGCAAAACGAAAACGATTCACACACATCCCTATGTGATCTGTTTTGGTTTTGCTGAAAGAACACTTACCTTCTTATGATCCGTGAACAGAACTTTCAAACGGTGGTTGTGTTTAAACTTCCGTAATTTAAAAAGTACATGAGTGATTTGAATGATTCTTGTACTAAAAAAAAAGCCTATGAATTGGGCTTTGGTATCTTAGATTTTGAAAGGGCTACATGCCGAACTTCACTAAAACAATGGTCCCGACATTTGGGTTTCGCTTTTATTGACTCACCCTATACACCCTGTAGATCCAGACAAAAATATTCGTTTAGATGATTACTTATTGTTCTCAACTCCTCCATTTTCTTTGTTTTTCTCTTCCCATCTAAAGGCTTCTTCGATTCGGCTGTAATTTGTCCTCAAGATGATCCCAAGGGCCCAACTGGTCCTGTTCCTCTTTGCGACACTGAGTCTGCTGCTGTTTGTACCACTGCTGTACTGGACGGGAAAGCCCAACATGTCATATCAACGGAAAATAAAGATGAAAGAAATTAAAGGGTACGAAAATGAAACATTAGGAAAAACTAGAAACTGTGCAACAAAACCAAGCAAAAGTCAAAAGGTAAAGGGGACGAGCCTGCGTTCACAGAGGAACGGAGTGCTCATCTCTTTTTCGAAGCGATTAGGCCAGACTCGGGTCCATTAAATTAAATGCTGCTGTGGGGGGATCGCCACACCTCCTCCACAGCGAGTCTGTTACCTTCCCAGCATTGAATAATGCCGGTACCCATTTGGTGCCCCCTATTTTTTAAAAACTTTCTGCATGCAGCGTTTTCCAAATCTAGGATATTAAAGCCCAATTAAAAAGCTTTCTTTTAGTGATAGAATCATTCTAATCGCTCATGCACTTTTCCAGTTATGGAATTTTGAACACAAACACAGTTTTTAAACCATGTCCACGGATCACATATAAGGTACGTTATATTTTCAGTAAAAACGTATCTCCGGGGTAGCTCAGCCAAGTAGAAGGCTGGGCAAGACTAGGCCTGTAAACTCTTGACATTATTGTAAACCATGTTATTTTAACATTGGAAGCAGCAGTTTTTAAATAAATGTTGTGAAAAGTGCCATTTATCACGGTTATGAGAGTGCTCTGATGTGTTTTTTGATGTGTGAATAATTTTCGTTTTGCTGAAAGGTCACTTACCTTTATTGTGATTCGTGGACAAGGTTAAACACGATGCTTGTGTTCAAAATTCAACTAGAAAAATACATGAGCGATTTGAATGATTCTTTCACTAAAAGAAAGCTTATTATTTGGGCTTTCATATCCTAGATCTGGAAAGTGCTATGCAGAACCTTTGAACAAATTTGGGTTTACTTTTACTCACCCTGTACATGTAGTTTAAAATTAAAAACCTACACGACACAATGTTGGAACGAGAGCCACCAATTTTTTACAGGAAAGCAAACATGTAAACAAAGCGTGACATCGTTATCTCTCAGGTTTGTTTTAGGCGCTGAGCTATTTTTTTTTCAATCCTTTTTTTTTTCAGGACTCACCCTGGTAACTCAAACGGCGCCGTCACTCGGTTCGAGTTGGTTAATGTTTCTCACGTACGTATTCTCCCCTTACCTTGCAACATTATTTTTAAATGAAGAAAAATCCATTTTTGGAGGGTTACAATTGTGACCCCCGAAATTCGTTTTTCGCAAGAATAACACAAAACGCCCGGTTTTTAATGGATGGTTGTGTGGACGTTTATATCCTACATTTAAGTGCTCTTTCCAATAAACATTATTTCGTTTAAATAAACAACCCGCGTTTTGTAGCCCAATTGGGCGCATTGCATGACGTAACCGTAAGGTAGCAGACCAGTAAATCGGTCCAAAATTGCCTACGCCGGCCAAATCACGATTTGCATGCCCTCAAAATCTTCAGTATTTGAGCATGCTGTGGGCCATGAACTTGAGGGTTTGTAAAAAAATATGGGTGGAAGCCGTGCACAGGACTGTGAGCTTGTAGTTCCGTTCAATTTGGATGAAATTGGGGCCCTTAAAGCGCTCTATTTTGCAATGGACGGTAAGCATCGTTTTTGAACATGGCGATGGGCTTCAGGACTATTTTCAGGGGTGATCATCTTCGGATGGAAATTTCTCCTAAAAGTCATCAGTTGACCCCACAAAAATTGAAAAGAAAATGAAAGATGATGAAATAAGCTTTAATTTGATGTGTGTCTCAAACACCTTGGAGAGTTGTGAGTATTTTCCCCTAATTTCTGAAGTGGGAGCATTTACCATTGGGGTCTATGGAAGCTTATTTACTGGTCTGTAACCGTAATATCCAATAACAAGACAATTCATGCCATATTCAAGTTGCGTGTTTTGCCCCTTCTGCCGATAAACTGTCTACCTAACCAAGCGACGGACACACATTATGGAAAGTCAGCCCGACTAATCATCAATAATCTTTTATTCCGACAGCACGAGTCTCCACGGTCGTCCAAGCGTATCATTCCCAGCCCTAGTTCCAATAAGGAATCCAATTCATCTCACTGTTCACCGAAGACGAACATCGTCTTCCTCAAGACGCACAAGTGTGGCAGCAGCACACTGCAGAACGTTCTCCTTCGATACGGCGAGAGGAGAAACTTAGACTTTGTTCTCCCGGAGAAAGCTAACTACTTGGGACTCTCCGTGTTCCACAGAGGCAATATGATGTACTATCCGGTGAAGAAGTATAATATTTTGTGCCACCACACGCGATTCAGTTACAAAGGCAAGATAAAACTTTCATGCTCTATTTTTACCTCTTTTTTAGGGGAGCTGAAGCTTAAATAATATGAACACAATGAATTAAATTTTGAACAGAAATGTCGACAAAAGAACTTCATTTTGCGGCGATCACTTTTAAGGTAAAAAAGTGCGAGTGCACAATAAGCTCTGGTGAAAATTGCGACGCCGGTGGCACATATGGAACACCATACATTTGGTCAACTTTCATTTCCTCCATCTGGATACCGTCCAACCACTACACAAAATACCACGTGACTATAACATTACTGCACATATTTTACCTGCATTGATTGCATTTTGGCGCTCTCATATATATTAAATTAGGCGCTCATTATATTAAAATAGCGAAAATAGCAGAAACCAGAGATGAGACGATTTTCCACTGAGTTGAGACTTTGCCAAATATTTCGGTTTAAAAATTAAAGTGATGTTTCCCTCTAAATCGTCCAGTTGCACTCTTTGGACATAACAGAGTATTTTTTTTTACATTTCCTCCTTTTTGTTTTTAATTCTTTTTTCAGAGATATCTGCTGTGATGTTCAAAGATTCTCTCTACATCACGATCCTACGGGATCCAGTTACCCAATTTTCGTCCTTCTTCAACTACTTCCAACGGGGGAAACTATACCGACTGCCCGGCGACAAAGCCCTGAAGATTTTCCTGGGAAAACCCAACTATTACTACGGAATCCATTCGGGCAAAAGATTCCAGACCAAGAATCCCATGCTGTATGATCTCGGCCTGCGAGAGAAACATCTTGGAGACAGCGCGAGGATTGAGGAAAAGATCCAACAGTTGGAGACAGAGTTTGATCTTATCTTGATCCTGGAGCATTTTGACGAGTCGCTGGTACTCCTTCGACACTTAATGTGCTGGGATGTGGATGACGTCGTGTACTTCGTTCTGAACTCGCGCAAATCGTCGGTGAAAACGGTGGCGCGGGAACCCGCCGAGAAGATCAGACGATGGAACGCCGGGGATCTGAGACTCTACCAGACTTTCAACCGAACTCTCTGGCGGAGGGTCGAGGCGTTCGGACGGCGGAGAATGCGGCACGAGGTCGGGGAACTGCGGGCCAGGATTCGGCACTTCGTGGATCGTTGTGCGGGGAACCGAACGGAGGCTCGGAGCAAAACCAAACTTGGCGCGAGCGATTCTCGGCTGGGATTCAGCGAAGGAGAGATGTGTGATCGAATGACAAGGCGCGGAATACCTTACACTAATTACATACGAACATATCAGGATTCCAGATACGGAATGGGGAAACCCCCAAATAAGCCATAAGAAGGGGTAGGCCTAATATTTAAAAAAAATTGAACAAAGAAATTCTGTCATCTTGCCAAAAGATGTACATTCTGATTAGGATTTCGTTACTCGTAGGAATCGGTTTAAGCTTGAGACTTAACTATACATTCCATCACAAACACGTAACGTGAACTGTTTTCGTCCTGTACATATTTGTTTTAATAAATGAACATGGATTTTTTTTAAATTCTCTATTCTAAGGAATACAAATGTAACATAATATACTGAAATTTTCTCTGGTACGATAGGTATACACCAGTCAGAACGCGGCAATAATGCTGTTGGGAAATTTTTCTGTGTAAATATATAATAAAACTCGAGAATGATGTTTAAAAAAAAACTCTTATGTACACTTAAAAACACATAGAAAATGGCCAGTTGTAATATTGAATTGATTATGAAAAGCGCTGGTCATTTGTCGTTTCTACAGGGTGAGTAAAAACAAAACGAAACCCAAATGTCGGGACCATTGTTTTAGTGAAGTTTTGCATGTAGCACTTTCAAAATCTAGGATACAAAAGCCCAATTCATACGCTTTCTTTTAGTACAAACATCATTCAAATCACTCATGTACTTTTTAAGTTACGGAAGTTTAAACACAACCACCGTTTTAAAGTTCTGTTCACGGATCATAAGAAGGTAAGTGTTCTTTCAGCAAAACCAAAACAGATCACACAGTGATGTGTGTGAATCGTTTTCGTTTTGCTGATAGAACGCACACCTTTTTTGTGATCCGTTGACAGAACTGTAAAACGGTGGTTTTGTTTTAAAATTCCGTGACTTGAAAAGTACATAAGTGATTTGAATGATTCTTGTACTAAATGGAAGCTTATGAATATGACTTTCATATCCTAGATTTTGAAAGTGCTACCAGCAGAACTTCAATAAAACAATAGTCCCGACATTTGGGTTTCGCGTTTTTGACTCACCCTGTATAAACACCAGTACACCACGTAAAAAGTTGTAGTATAGTGGAGTTCCCTAACGTGGCGCACTTCGACGTTTCCATCGACTTTCCTCATGCGTTGTTGCAAAACCTCGTTGTTGAAAGACCTCTAATTCGTTCAGTTAAATACTGATATTATATAACCTTAATAATGCTTGCTGTTGAACCATTGTGAACAATTTCAGTGTCATGTAATTTAGCCTGAAATTCAAAAACGGTGGCGTCCGGAAATTGGGCACAAATTCGGCCAAGTGTTCTTAACGTGGCGCACTTGAAAAAAATCTCGAAAAAAACCTCAAGTTTACATTTAAGAATTTATTTAAAGTTGACAAATTCTGATAAATCGTTATTATCTCCGATCATTTATCCAAGTACAAGTTTGTCAGAAATTTGTTTTCTTATTTTTGAGCGCATTTTAAAAAGGTTGATTGTGCACTTCAAAATAAACTCGGAAAATCACGCCAAAATGGAATTTCTCTGGAACTTTGTAGCGGGTAAGTAAACTCCAAATTTATGAACGGGAATGTTTAGAGCGTCATGAAATTTCACTTGCTGTGAAATATGAGGTAAAACTTTTGCTCTATCAAGACCCTATATAAGCGAAAATTCAAAGTGCGCCACGTTAGGGCTGCGCCACATTAGGGTACATCAACAATACGGTTTTTACTTTTCCCGACTATTTTATCGAAAATAATGAAGTGTCTTTCAAACACCTGTCAATATACATATTATTTATACATAAAGAACTAAAATGCCTTTTGGAATATATTGACGAAAATGCCACACCGAAGGGGCAAAAATGACATACATTGTTATGTACTAAAGAGAATTTGAGTGTCAAACACGTTTTAGACACCAAAAGCCATTGTACCAATAAAAATATCAGTTCAAGAGTAACATTAAAAAACAGTGATCTTCGAAATGACGGTACCTCAGCACGGCTAAGTTGGCATAACATTCTTAATTAGTCATCAATGATTCGAAAAAAGAGGGTCCCAAGAGTCACCGGTCCTATCCCTTTTAGCCCCCTCCCTCCCTCGTCCCTCCTTTTCCCCTCCTCCAAGCCCCGCCCCCTCCACTCACAAAAGCCACGAAAAAATTCTGACCATCACCATTTCCAAATACTTCGCTTGCCCATCAAATCCATTCATAGCCCCTTAAACGTGGCCAATTTACCGGACTACCTCCGTAAGGGCCACACTTGGAACATGTACCCGAAAAAAAGTAGAACTTTCTCAAATTTTGATTTTCACATTTAGACTATATTTGCAATCTGTTTACGATTTAGAAGCATACTAACCCTCTTTGTAGCGACAGAAAAGAAGTCCCGCATTTTTCAGACGTCTATTTTTTGGTGTTATTTCGAGTTGGAATTTAGATACGTAAACGTGTGCAAACGAACCTGTGAATAACACACAAAAAAGAGACGTCTGAGAAAGGAGAGACTTCTTTTCTATCGTTTTAAAGAGGGTGAGTGTGCTTCTAACGCGTTACTAAACTACAGACAAAGTCGAAATATGAAAATCAAAACTTGATCAAGTTCTACATTTTTGGGTACATATTGCAAGTGTGGCCTTTATTTACGGAGGGAGTCCAGTAAATTGGCCACGTGTATGGGGCTAATCCGTTCACTATTATTGTTCCTATAAGGCTAGTTCTGCGAGATGTTCTTCCAAGCGTTTTCCCCTCGTAATTCGTTTCTGTGGAACTAACTGAATCCTGTTTCCTTTCTACAGCGTGTGTCAACAAAAAATGCAGCAGTCAATCCGTAAATATAGAAAATATTACCACTCTCTTTCTGCAAAACTTATGTGAAAGAATCGGAATATATCGGCCTAGTAAATACTCTACACAGTCGTCTTTATTCCATCTCATTTGGACATCCCAGTCCAGAGATATAGCTAATTAAATGAAAAGGACTTGAATTCCAAGTTGGGCCACTTTTCAGATTATCTGGTATCTAATGAAAGGCATTCACATACCAAGAAGGTGTGTGAATGCCTTTCATTAGATACCAGAAAATCTGGTAAGTGGCCCAAAGAAACTTTGACAGTCTATACAAGCTTTGCCGTAACTTTCAAACAAAAGGTCCAAATCACACAGAACAAAAATCCTATCAAGGGTAAAGAAACACTCTATCATCTCATGGTAATCCCCCCCCCCCTCCACCCAAAAAATGGTTTCCTCACAAAAAAATTGACTGCTACATTTTTTCGGGGGAGACACGTTGTACCTTTCAAACTTCAATGAACAGAGACATTCTGTCACAAGAACTTCTTCTCTCTGATCTTTCAAGTTTGTGGCTCACACCTTTGAGCGGCCTCGACCGTGTGTTTGGAGGGAACCTCAAGAATATACGTCTTTAATCTGTACACATAGGTGATAATAATCATCTCCCAACCCAAACCCTTGTACCTCCATGTCCTAATCACAGCCAGTCATCTTCGTCCTGCAGGGCAACATTCAAGATCCCGTTGTTAGAAGGCTCCGATGCCCGGCCTCGGCTTCCCCCGGACCGGCTGACCGGCGCGGTCCGGCCCAACATCTCCGCTTCCTTCATTGTCTCCGGGAGCGGCTTGTTGCGGGTTTCGGGCAAGAGGAGCACCAGCCCCGCGGCGAGGAGGCTCAGGCCGCCGAAGATGTTAAGCGGGATGAAGTTCGACACTTTGTCCTGAATGTCGGTGTCGGAGAGAGAAAAGAGATCGTCAGGGAGTCGGGTTGGTGCAGTGGCTACTTTCCTCGCCTTCCACCGCTGTGGCCGGCCCGGGTTCGATTCCTGCCCCGGACCACATGTGGATTGGGGTTTCAGTCCCTACCCGATTCCGTGGGTTTTCCCCAGAATATTCTTCTGGAGTTCTCCTCCCACCTCGAAAACTGTCATTTCATCTTCATTGTCTTTTCCTTAGTCTTACAGGTTTCTTCTGGCTTTCGAGCTACGGTGCCTAGGGCACTTTTTTTAGGAATATTTGATTTCATTATATGGGCTTATAAAATGGACGGATCATAAGGTGTTACCGGAGTCCAGGTCTACGTCTAGCCGTGACTAAACCAATATTCCCGCCTATTACCAGATGGGATTTGTGAGATAAATTGAACATTTTGAGCAAGTGGGGGCGCTGTAAAGACGACATTTTGGAGGTATAAAGAGGTATGCGCTTCCCGCCCGGTATGGACCAGTCAGTGTAGTAGAGAACAGTGGTATGGACCTTATTCAGGAGGAAGCCATTTTGGTCGTGTTCCCTGATATGTTTCATAAATTGTGAACTGTTGAATGGGATGGTGCCAGACTCATTCTAGCCTCAATTTCATTTTTTTTTTTAAATGTGGCTTAAAACACTAGGGTATGTTTAACCACATATTCTAAATTATTCATCAGAGCAGACTGGTATTAAATTGTAACGTCACTGCTTTCATTTCTCCAAACAAGTTCCAAAAATTATGATATTCTCTCAATTTAATATGGCCGACTCGTGAATAAGGCCCATACTAGATGAAGTGAGAAACCCTACACAATTTCTGAATCGTATATAACGATAGGTACTACCGCGGCAAAGTCCGAGCACACCGCAAGACAATTCCAGGAAAAAGTGGGATACAATTTACTTACAAGATACACCACGAAGGGCGCAAGAATGCTGCCAACGCGTCCAAAGAATGACGAGATACCAAAACCAATGTTCCTAAAACAATGACAAAAGAACAAAGGTATCGTGATTAATAATCGTTCCTTTTGTTTTAAACTGTGCTCAGCTGCCACTTTTGTGAATCGAAAACTGAAAGGAAATTTACAAGCGTTTGTTTTACTGTGGTTTGAATCGGGCAGTTAGAATAAGCACGAGTTTTAGCATCTGTGTGTGTAACTTTGGACCATGGCGTCGACGGGATTTTTTGTCCAGAAGGAGGCAAAGCACATTCTTCCTCCCAAATCCCTATATTTTCCAGCATTTTCCAGATTGATCATTTTCTCGAAGGTAGGCAGGGACATTTGCCCCCCCCCCAACCCATGATATGACTTCGCGCCTCTTTTTACTTGTCCTGAGGGGGGAGGGGGGGCAAGCCCTTGCCCCCCCCCCCCCGACGCCCATGCTTTGGGCATTTTTCATACGGGCATTGTATCAAAATCACGTTCGAACAAATATGACAAAATGTAAGTAAGAACATTATAGTTTGCAAGGATTCATGTCAAAAACTAATATTATAGCACGATACATTACATTCTAATGGACCGATCCAGTAAGCACCGCCCCATGGTATTCTGACCAATCACAGCCGTGATTTATGTCCGACATGCGTGCACAAACGTCCGACATGCGCGTGCACGCGCGTATGATGCGCGCGGCAGGAAAATGCAGTGTGGCATTGGAGAGGAGCACGTGTTAATTTGCCCACGTGCGAAATGGGAGGGGCTTACTGGATCGGTCCATTCTCGTGCAAACAAAGACGACAAAATGTCATTTAAAACCAAAACCAAAAATAAGGTTGTTGATTGATTGGAGCAACGTTTCACCTGACCGGCGTGGGGAATATTTCGGTGCCGTACAGGAAGGCTGCCCCGAAGCTGCAGGTGATGCAGAATTTGCCGACCACCGCTGAGACTATTCTGGGAATCTCGTATTCAGCCGCTCGTTCTGACAAAATCCGAAATCAAGAGAACACCAAAATAAATCAGAAGAAAAAAAATACTCGGAAGAACATCAACTCCAAGTTGAACGCCTCCTATTCTAATCACCGGGATTTCAGAGCTACTTTAATAGCAAAGTTTTCTTTCTGGATTCAATGACTTTCCTACCCATTTATCAGGGTAATCATTGCCAATTTGAACATTTGAGGGCGCTCTCACACCACCATTCCAGCAAAGGCAGTAGAAATTGTAGTTTTCAGAGTTAAATGACTTTCTTTCAAGTTTAAATGTGAAGTTAGTGTAAAATTGTACTTGTTGGTGATGTAAGGCAACATAATACGTCAATAACTTCGGATTTACGTCCGTTTTTACCCACAAAATGGCGTCCTCGTAAAATATGGCCTATTATTGCATGGAATATATTTAGACTATTGCCTTTTGTGGGTGAATATAGACCTTATTTACCCGGGTCTCTGGGCAGGCACGCGGTCACCACGCAGGCGACCCCGGCAAGGAGGTGGAACAGAAACAAAGTTGGACGGCGCCCCCACCTGACGAGAAAAATAAATTACAATAAAATTCAAGTTCAACTGGAAATTGGTGACTGATTTGAACTGGTTGTAAACTGGTTGAACTGGTCTAAAGTCACTTTTACCAGTTCAAACCATTTCAAGCCAGTCAAAAACCAGTCAAAACCAGTCAAAGCCCGTTACCAATTCCCAGTTGAACCGTGCTACCAGTTGAAACAGGTTGAAAGTTTGAAACCAGTAAAACCGTTCAACTGGTTTCAACTGGGATTTTCACCTGGAAATTGTTATTAAAATAATGATTCATTCGCGATTGAATATAATCGTTCTATTTCATTCCAATGTATTACTTTAATTGGCAAAAATAACTGCGTATTCACACTAATGGGAGTAATTCCGTTAGCATATGAAACTGGCTTCGAAATAGCGCCCTCAGTCTGTCGCAAATGGCCAAATAGCTGTATGCTTGAACAGTGAGGGCGCTACAGACAACAGTACTTCTGTTGAGTTTAAGGGGCACATGGATTTTTTTGTTGGCGTTCGTTATCTTGATGTTGCCATTTCCAACGGTGTTTTGGTGCGAATTTCCATATTCATGAGCGAAACTTTGACGTCATACAAAGCAAAAACTTTTGCTTCCGCAGAAAAAGGTTGCTAGAATTTTCTTAGCTGTTAAATTTTTTTTAGGGGATTCATTGTTGCGTCAGTACATGACAGTAAGTCAATGAGGAGATGTTTTCAAAGAACACACTTTGGGGTTAACAATTTGAACAGAAATACCCTGCTCTTTAGAAATGACATCACAGCAACAGCGCCCTCAGTAATTGTCAAGGAAAGATGTGAACATTTCCAATTTTAGCCCAAAATGCACTTCTCAAAAAAAATTCAGCAAAAAGAGAGGTATGGCAGTTTTTGTACACTAATGAGGAATGAAACTTTGCATGTACAGATTTAATTGATTTGATTGATTTTACATGATTACCAGATTAAGGTGAAGGTGACGACGATGTAAGCTGGTATCTCCACCATGGCAATTAAGAAGAAATTGAAGTATTTATCGCCGGCTAAGTTGGAGCTGTACAATGAGACACCGTAGTACACCATGCTGTTGACAAACCTGAAAGATTTGGGTCGAATGTGAGCATGAAAAAAAAAACACGTGGGGACAAACCTTGAGGGCGCTCTGTTCATCGTTAAGGTTGCAGACCAGTAAATGAACTGCCATAGACCTCAATGATAATTACGCCCATACAAAATACTCACACTCCCCAAGGTGTTTGAGACACACATCAAATTAAAGCTTATTTCATCATCATTTTCTGTTACATTCTTGGGGGTTGACCAATGACATGCGGCAGAAAACTTCATCCAAAGATGATCACTCCTAAAGTATTCGCTCGTACCCCCCGCCCTGCAAACAGGGCGCTGGTAAGGGCTGATGAGCTTCACAGAATCTTGTGAAAGAAGTACAGATTGACCTTCGCATGCAGCTAGCGCGCGCTACGCATGATAGGCACCGGCAGCTAGTTTGTGTGACGCGTTCTACGTCACAGGTCACGCAAAATCTATCCAATGAGAGCTGTTTGCAGGGCGGGGGTACGAGCGAATCCTTAAGTAATCCTGAAGCCCATCGCCATTTTGAAAAAGGATGCCTACGCTCCATTGCAAAATAGAGCAGTGTGGGCCAAATTCCATACGGATTTCACAGAAATACGAGCCTGCAGTCCTGTTCACGGCTTCCTCATTTCTTTTTTACAAACCCTCAAGTTCATGGCCCACCAAATGATCTAATAGCAGATTGAGGGCATGCAAATCGTGATTTACTGGCCTGCACCCTTTACAAAGTTCCAACAATCGACCTTACGCGTGATGCTTGCATATAGACCGGACGCAATTTTTTTTTCTGCAGCCAATTACAGTGCATAGTCAATGACCTTCATGTGCTTGTCGCAATGTTCTCGGGCTTAACTTCCTCCTTAAACAAAAACATATCAAGAGCCAAGAATCAGGAATTAAAAGGTGAATGTTATATCATCGATATTCGGTCCGTATATAGGACTTGATTAAACACAACTTAAGGAAGAACAGTCTTTCATATACAGGGTGCCTGAAAATAATGGTGCATGTAAACCCCGCCATTTTCGCCAATTTACAACCGGAATTTACTGCGAATGTTTACATGATCTTCCAGGATACAGATTTAACATCGCCTAATTCTCTCAACAATAATGGCCTATGCGACCGTAACGAACAAGGAAGAACTTTTTTTATGACCTATACATAAAGTGCATTGTTTGATATGTGTCGGTGATTTATTTCACAATTTTAAATACGTACATCTTCTCCCCCCCCCCCAAAAAAAAGCACCCCTGCCACGGACCATTAGTTTGTCTTCATTGGTTGTCGTCTGTAGAGCGTGCGACATGATGGATTTTCCTCCGATATGATCTAGTTCTAATTCAGCAAAATTGTTTGGGAAGTATTTGAAAACCAATTTTGCCAAGGTAAGGCATCGAATCAATTGAATTCCACAAGAATGCCATAAGCTGGCCGAGCGCCAGTCAGTCGGTTTCATATTCATCGAAATAGTCCATGAAAGCCTTTTTCAAGCCAATGCAGGAGGTATCAATTTTGAATTCGTTGCTCAAACGAGACGAAACCAAAGCCCGGCCTGAACGTCAACAAAGGACTTTTTGTCAAGTTTGCACGGAACTAGTAAAAAGGTCGTCGCATCAGCAGTCATGCGTTGACTACCCTGGCCCGGCAGAGGCTGCATTATAGTACGCGTGAACTCGGCAGTCGTAAAAAAAAAAGTGCGATTGGTGTATACAGAGTTCAATTTGAGCCAGGTGGACGACAATGATTTGTGTTGCTCCCAGAGGACTAGATATCCTCTTTGTATAGTACCTATCTCACTGACTGACTGACTGACTGTCACGTGAGAGCCGGGCAGTGCTATTGTACAGGATCCCCGTATGACGTCAATGAATGGGCTAAATGTGTAGACCAGAGGTACAGAAAGACTCCCACTTAACACCCATCTGAATTAATCCAACAGAATTTTGTGCAATCCGGTACCAGTTTTACCATATAATAGGCTTTAGTGTTGCTGTCGATTCGATCACAAGTGCTTTCATTTCACATGTTAAGTCATGTCACAAGAAACACGATGAACAATGACAAAGGAATGCTTTTTGTAACAGTTAATTTGGAAAGCTAGTGACTTTATTGATGCTTGTATGAGGACTTGTGATGGACTTGTGGGGACTTGTGAGGGACTTGTGATGGACTTGTGATGGACTTGCAGGGACTTGCTGGAACTTGTGTGGACTTGTGGGGACTTGCAGGGACTTGTGGGGACTTATAGGGACTTGTGGAAACTTGCAGGGACTTGTGGGGACTCGCAGGGACTTGTGGAGATTGCAGGGACTTGCAGTGACTTGCAGAGACTTGCGGAGACTTGCAGGGACGTGTGGAGACTTGCAAGGACTTGCGGGGACTTGCAAGGACTTGTGGGGATTGCAGGGACTTGCGGTGACTTGCAGGGACTTGCGGAGACTTGCGGGGACTTGCAAGGATTTGCGGGGACTTATGGGGACTTGCAGGGACTTGTGGGGACTTGCAAGGACTTGTGGGGACTTGCAGTGATTTGTGGAGATTGTAGTTACTTGTGATGTCTTGCAGGGACTTGTAGGGACTTGTGGTGACTTGCAGGGACTTGCAGGGACTTGTGGGGACTTGCAAGGACTTGTGGGGTCTTGCAATGATTGTGGGGATTGCAGTTATTTGTGGTGACTTGCAGGGACTTGCAGAGACTTGTGGGGACTTGCAAGGATTTGTGGGGACTTTCATTGACTTGTGGGAACTTGCATGGACTTGTGGTGACTTGCAGGGACTTAATTGCGGGGACTTGCATGAACTGGTGGGGACTTGCAGGGACTTGTAGGAAATTGCAGGGACTTTTTGGGACTTGTATAGACTTGTTGGGTCTTGCAGGGACGTGTGGGGACATATCATTGACTCGACTATTAACACTGGTAGACTTGCGTTGTCTTGTTTTTTTTCCAAGGCCCGCGAAATATCACATTTTTTTGAAAACACCCTCATATCTTTTCTTTTCAGAGAATTCCTGAACACAACCGAAGAGTCAAGGATCGAGTATAAGTATAGGAAGTAAATGAAGCGATTTTAATCGGGCCGATAAGTTAATCCCGTGTTTTCTGCTGATGGACAGACACAAAAGGACAGAAGTTATCCAAACAGCACGAAGTTGGCATTTGAGAGGGTTGTTTTTGTCTGGCCTACATCTGCTCCGAAAGCCTTGCTTAGAATTTCTCGGTGCATCTGGTATGGGTAAATGACGATTTTCAAGTTCCCCGACCCAATCTCTACCTCAGTAAGATTTGAAGCTTTGCATGGGGATATTATTGAGTGAAAAGTTTGCGGAAACACCATGTGGGAAAAATTTCTCAAACTAAGAGAATGGCTCTGAAAAGAACCAGAGGTATAAACTCGACGTTCCGGTCAGTATATGCTCTGACCGTCTTCAATCTCTACCTATTATGGGAAAAAACTTGTAGACGTGAAACGTTTTCTGTTGATGCTTTTGGTGGGATAAAGTGACAAAGGTTGTTTTTCTAAAAGAATTTGAGTTGAGCACGAGGAAGTTTCAAGCTAAAATGTTCACATGTTCACATTATAATTAAAACAATATTAATGATGTTGTGCTTATAGCGCTTTTTGTATATATAACCATTACTGAAAAATCTTCAAAATTATTAAGCCTGTTCATCAGGCCATGAAGCCAGTTTTTGCATCAACTCGAGATCAGCGCATTCTGGTATCTACCTTCACATGTACCCATTTATACTCCTGGGTGGAGAGAGGCAATTGAAGTAAAGTTTCTTGCCCAAGAACACAAGCACCATGTTCCCGGTCAGGGTTCGAACTCACTTACCAGGGAACGTGAGTCAAACACGTACCGTAACCATTGGACCACAGCACTACACCATACAATGTACATTAAGAATTGCACTTAACAACAAATACGGGGTGAGTAAAAAAAACACGAAACCCAAATGTCGGGACTATTGTTTTCGTGAAGCTCTACATGTAGCACTTTCAAAATCTAGGATATGAAAGCCCAATTCATAAGGTTTTTTTTAGTACAAGAATCATTCAAATCACTTATGTACTTTTCAAGTTACGGAATTTTTAACACAACCACCGTTTTAAAGTTCTGCCTACGGAATACAATTCACACACATCCCTATGTGATTTGTTTTCGTTTTGCTGATAGAACACTTACCTTTTTGTGATCCGTGGACAGAACTCTAAAGCGGTGGTTGCGTTTAAAAGTCCGTAACTTAAAAAGTACCCGAGTGATTTGAATGATTCTTATACTAAAAGAAGCTTATGAATTGAGCTTTTGTATCCTTGATTTTGAAAGTGCTACATTTAGAACTTCACTAAAACAATGGTCTTGACATTTAGGTTTCGTTGTTTTTTTTACTCACCCTGTATGAAGGCCTAATAAAGATGGTCCAGGACATTGGTTTAGGTGGTCATCTGAGTCAAGTGTTTGGGTCAAGGTGGGATATAAGCGAGTCAAATTAACAACTGGCAGTCAGTCACCGGAGGGTCGTTGAGATAGGTACAAAAAGGAATATCGGCTAGCCTTTGGGTCCTGCTAAGATTTGTCGTGAAACTTTTGAATTCCTTGCTGTATGGTTAAACTTACCACGAGTAACACATGATCAGGAGATTTCTAAAAACCCTCCAGCTTCTCAAGATGTCGATGAAGGTGTGCGTCTTGGCCTTCTTTCCGTCTTCCTTACTCGGCGCTCCTTCCGGATCCTGGCCATGATCCGGTATCTTGCTCCCGGAAACCGTTGCCAGGTTACCGTTGCTGTGAGCGAGGTCGTTGTTGGCGCCATCCGGCTCCGCCGATTCGCGAATGTTCCGGCCCTCGTGGGTGATGACGAAGCCGTCGGGAGGCGGGCTGATTCCGTTGAACCGGGCGATGCGGCGTAGGATTTTGAATGCTTGGGTGTGGCGCCCTCTAGAGAGCAGCCACCTGACGGACTCGTACAATACACTGAAAGGTCAGGACAACATGGCGGCTCAAAAAGTGTAAACTCATTCAACCTCGATCTTATATTACCTGCTATAAAGCAGTCGCTCCAGCAGCCGTTACATCTTAATATGAACTTAGGTTATGTATTTTTTTGAATTTCGTTCCTTATTAAATGCACGTAACAACATTGGCAATAATTAACCAAGAACGGACCTTATTATGATGAACGATGACATAGACCTAGTGCGTAGCAGCCATTTTAGATGGCATCTTTTGTTATTTTAATTCAGTTACAATACACTTAAGGTTCACTCGTCTCATGTACATCCCAACCAAATCTAGTCTGAGTATCATCCGTTATCCACGGAGCCCAGTCTCCGTATAACGTCTGATATATCTAAGCATGCAGATTTATGCGATCCCGGGCCTCAGCCAATCGAAATCGACTTTACTAAATCGTGACGTCATTTCATTCCCAAATCAGGACTAAATGTTTGATTGGTCAATTCGAATGCAGTGTTTTGAACTACAACAACGGCCAGGCGTGTATCGCGTAACATGATACACAGCGCGTGACCACAGCCTCTGTTGCTGTGTCTAGGTGTTTTTTTTATCTCTGTCTGGTGAATGACTGAAGACCCGACATAGAAGGCGCCCACTGATTGGTCAAAATCCGAGGTCAAGAGGCGGTTGTTTTGCATAAAGATTCATCGAATCTGCTCAAATATCTTCGCCATCAACCTCGTCCCCAGGGTGTCGAGCAGTACGCGCCCACCACTACCTGCTCTCTCACCCTGGTATTGGATCATTTGCATGTGCAAGATTTTTGAACACGTATGCAAATGAGGAATAGTCTGGTGCCTGCCTGTGCGTTACATTTGCGTTTGTTTTTGTATGCGGTGTCTGGGGTAAAAAAATCGTCGAAGCGCGAGCATGGCATGAGTAACGATGACACGATTTTGTTTTAATTAAACTGTAACGATCTTAACGAGACAACATGCAGTATCACATGTCATATTAATATTAACAAATTGGAAAGGAAATGAATATTTTCAAGAATGCGTGGACGAATGATCGCGAAAACACGTACTGCAGGTTGTGAATAACAACACCAAGTGCACGATATAAATCCATTTCTAGCAAATTGCGGTATCGAATCAGGATACAGGAAGAAAGTTTCCTATCCAGGGCTTACTATTGGAAACGTGGTTGGAAATGAAGTAAGCACTGGGGACGAGGTTGCTTCGCCATGGTCTATTACACAGACTGAACAAAACCGTGCATTGCCCTATAAGATGGCTGCTACGTATAAGGTCTATACCCTTTGATAAACAACACTTGAAAAGGTACAGTTCAAATGAAATAAAACTAATTGAAGATGGTTTTAACACAAATTGAAGATGGTTACGTGCATTTGCAACGGAATCCAGTTACGAGACCTCAACAGTTTTGCATATGTTTTCTCTTTTTTTCCCTCGAAATGTGTAGAACCCACTAGTAAGCTGAAACTTCCACAGGCAAGTTGCATAATTATTTGTACCCTACTTAAGATTTTGAGCAATTCTGTTGCTTCGAAAGAAACAAACGCACGAAATTGTCCTTCGTAACTTCAATACAACACCAGAAAAAGCTTTATTCTTTACATTTTAACAATTACAAACCAATTACTTGATAGTATTACAAAGCTTTTTACACTGGTCCCTGTCAGTTTAATAAGTTGTTTTCCATGGGCTCAAAAGAATCAGCCGACAGTACCAATGTTATCAACCATCGGCCGAGTAACGAAAACAGTTTTCTCGACAAAACAGGAAACCAGCGGCAGAAAAGACAACACCAGGATGCAGTTTGTAGGGCCTACGGTGTGTTTTTGGCTACCTTTGTAATGAATTGATTTGGCTTTGAACTCTTAAATAAATTGTTGGTTTGGCGCGGTACAGACATGGGAACCCGAGGATACAGACATGTACCTTAGGGCTGAAGTTGGTCTTAAACGCCCCACAAAGAAACTGGACCCGCGAGGGGAAGAAACACTGAACACAAAGGCAAAGCTTCCGCGCTCGACAAACCATGATTGAGCAAGCTTGCGTCACGAGGCGACGGCGGTGGCATTGTGCAAAGTTCGCACAGGAGTCCAAGTTTTGTAACAACGGCAAGTTTTCCGTGTTGGTTGCCTTGGGCACTGACGTGGGTTTACGTACAGTGAACGACCGGGGGAATAAAATACGCTAAGCCTGGTATTTGCAGTAGTATAGTTAAAACATGGTTCGTTAAATCCCCAACTTAGGGGACCATAATCCCTTCATTCTGCAAGGTCGAAACTAATTCTTTCGTGCTTGAACCTTAGCAACGTTTTGGGGTTTTTTTTTTTATTAACGAAACAGGTGATGTGTGCGTCAGCTTATGAAAAAGGTACGTTATTATACCTGGTGAAATTCACGGTGCGTGTGGCGGCGGTTGAATTGGGGATTTGGGGAACACGATTTTGGGGATAAATAAACTTCGGGTACTGAAGAGCTGTTTTCAGGGGGGAAAACTCAGGTTTTATTTGGGGCGAATTCAGCGAACTTTGCCATTTAAATACTTTCGAGAGAAAGCCCCTGTTTGGGTACGAAAATGCGTTTACCACAAACTTAAAAGAGTCAAAGTAGAATATGCACGTTCACAAACCTTACTTTAACAATTTGCTGTTCAAAAAGTTTGGTCCTCGAAAATCGAGCCGTTGGAAGCGCTGGTCGGCATTCCAATCGCAGATGTTCATTTTTTTTCAAAACGCTCTTCAAAGGCGTAAGCGTTTGGGTTGCTTTGGAAAGTTGCATGAGACATGCCATATTATCACAGTGAGTCTCACTGCGAAATGAATACATTTTCACGCGGCGCCTGTTTTGTTGACATTTGGCTCAAAATTTGACGCTTGAAATATACGTGTATAAACCAAGGCCAAAAAACTGCCAACGCGGCAGGAGTAAAAACCCAAGGCATTATATGTCTATGTGGATTTCGGGGAACCTGACCTTTCAAATAAGATAAGTAGAAAACCATGATATATAGCTGCGACATCCGATCGCATGTACATCTTTAAAAGCATGTTCATGCATTTTGTTCGTGTCCAATATAAATAACACCACTCAAAATCCAAAGAAGAACGTTCAACACCTAAGCTGTTGAAGTTTAGCTCAGCAGATATTACACTAGTTTCGAGAAACCAGTGAAAAAAACATGCACAACCTAATTTGATCACGAAACACGATTTCGTCAATATTGCACGCTTTATCTCCAACAATCAGTCAACAATCAGTCTACATTGACTGATGGTTGGAAATCACCTACATTTCTTGATTTCTTCTCAATGACAGCAAGACAGACGGAATCATTTAAAGGGGTGTTTAGTACCAGTACGATCTTCAATCCAAGTTGGTTGTTTTGATAAGGCCAAAAACAATAATTCTACTTCCGGTTACCCTACCTACCCTATTTTGACTGCCCCTATCCTAATTATTTTTTTTTGGGGGGGGGGGAATGAGCAAAAAAGAACGAAAACCATCAATTACTACCTCCTACCCTTGACTACACGCAGACACCTCCATATGATCGTATACCCAAAAAAGTTGCCAAAAAGAAAAGAAAACAATTTCCCTACCTACCTACCCTATTTTCAAATGTCATGTAATCGGAAGCAACTATTATTTTTTGCCTCATACATTGCAACTCGGTAGGTTACTTTTGGAACAAATGCAAACATGCCTTTATGAAGAATTAAAAAAGAAAAATGCAGATTTGGGAGAGAATAAGGTCGACTTCAAGACCGGTATACTTACAACCAGAGAGGGATGGCCACGAGGCAGGGTATGGAGATGGCCAGCTGCATCTTCCTCCAATCTCGGAGAAAGTAGGCGATGGGCGCCAGGAGGGTCACGCCCACCCCCCAGGAAATGTTGTTGATGCAGCCGGCAATGGACCGCATCTTGGGAGAGAACATCTCCATGACGAGCACGTACTCCGTCAGATTCATGCCCTTTGGGATGGAATAAAGGGGGGCAAAGTTGGTTGGTTGGTTTAGCACAGGTCTTGCAAATTGGGAGGTTCTTAGTTCGAATCCCGACTGCTACTTCAACTATGGAAAATGTGACAAGTTATGTCAACACCAGACGCTTGGCAGACTTGAGATTGCGATATTACGGTATGTCTCCAAAACGGTCCGTTGGACTATTTTTGAAATTACTACAAAACTGTAAAGTCGATTTTGAAATGTTTGATTGTGCAGATACTCCTTATCCTTGGCCTCAACCCCTATGAGGTTCATTTAATTTTAGTCACGTATCACTGCACAATGGTCAATTGCTCACCACTACATTTTTGGACACTGTGACCAATAAATTTAAGTTTTTGGCAAATTCACGGCTAAAAATTAAACATGATGCCCCTGTCTCAAACCTCGGTTTTGTTTCAGGTTTGGATTTATCGTTAAAAGCCTTTAATGTTCCGAACTTCCGATCAAATAAAAAAATTAATATTACTTGCTTCATATATCATACTGTTTGATATTTGTGTGAGAAAACAATGACTAATGTTGAGCTGGAATCTTTAAAGTTAGGGACCTAAATAGCAGGCGACGCCGAAATGGAGACGACGGCGAGTTTTGGAATACCGTCAGATTTAAAATAGTACATGGCACAGCAAAACTCGCCTCTCGTACGATCCGAGTGCATACTTGATGCACAAAGTCGTCATTGAATTTCACTTGTTTGAATGAGAGCAATGAACATTAATAATAAACTCATTTAAAAAAAAAATGTTTTGGTAAACAAAAACAAAACTACTATACCCGAAAATACCCGGGCGTTATCCGAGAGTGTCGACGAAATGCATTCGGCAAACTTCGGAAATGTCGGAAACGGGAGGCATTCCTCCCGTTTTAGTCATGTGACACTGACGGCTACTGGCCCTAAGATTCAGCAGAAATATAGTCAGAACCTTTCGGTCTGGGAGCCAGACTAAGTATAACCCAGGACCAAAACTTACCTGCTCAAACATTCCGATGAAGAACCACAGCATGACGAACCAATGGTATTCGTAGACGAAGGCGATGGAGATGCCGGCCGCGGCCTGCAGCAGGACGCTCACGAGCAGCACGGTCTTACGGCCGATCAGATCCGAGAGTTGACCGAAGATGAACGCACCGGCCAGCACGCCGCAGAACAGGATCGACTGGGCGGTGCTGGCCAGGATCTCCTGGTCGCAGACCAAGTCGAGCTGAGCACGCACCGGGGAGTGAAAATACAGAGAAACATTTTTGAGATAGCAATGAAATTAGCTAAGACCTATACCCCGAACAGTTTGGCGATCGTGTAGTGTAGGGCCCGGTTCCTATAAGGGAATAAAATCCACTTTAAAATTTTTAGACCGACCAAACTAGTTGGTGACATTCTCAATAAACAGGCATGTCATAAATATAGGGCAGGGTTTTGATTTTTTTTAAGGGAAATTTGGGGGTAAAATGACGATGACAGCGCGGCGACAACACGCAACCCGAAAATAAAAATGGACGCACGGCGCGCTGAATCGCAAGGCACAAACCACGCAGGAAAATCGTGATTTCTACCCCAAGAATCTGTTCAAAATTGCAAAACGGGTGTCATAAGAATTGAGAAAAGTCTGCTTTTGATTGTAAAGGTGATTTTTGAGCAATAAAAAAAAAAACATTTTTGACTCTAATTTGATCAAAACAAAATAGGGGCCCTACACTACATGATCGCCAACATTTTGGGACTCTCAAGTTCAAGACTATGTAGGAGTCTCACAACTAAAGATAGTAAAAACATGCAATACAAGAAAATAGACTGGCACATGAAACGACTAGTCCAACACCCCGTTATAGTACTGAATCAGTCAACTATGTGTCAAAAGAGACTCATCTTGTACCTTGTCTCTATTTCTACACATTCTCTCCACAGTCGTGCCACCAGACTACTGACGGATCAATCTTTTCAAAAGGTTGGACCAGCACCAGTCTAGTCTTAGGCTTCAAATTCAAATCACTTGGCTTCACTCTCAGGTGCAAAATGTTGAAGAAAAGTCTCCTTTAAAATTGAATTGAGACCTTCAAATTGGCTGGTGAAATACCGAGGACCTTGTCTTTGCCTCATGAAGAGTTTGGCGAATTTTGTCGGATAAAGAGTGAGTAAAGTTGGCCTGATTTAGTTTTGCATGTTTTCTGCACTCATGGTCCCAGTCTGGTTAGGACCTACACAAGCTGCACGGCCGAAAATGTATGGCATACCTCCCCCCCCCAGGTCCCCACAAAAAAAAAAAACATTATGGTACGTGTTTTCCCCCCAAAAAATTGTCATGCCCGAATGGCGGTCATCGAGCACATCTCTACTTAGTCCGAAAATTTGGGACTCTCAATACTGTGTATGAGAGTCCCAAAACTTAAGGTATTGAAAACATGCAAAACAAGAAAATAGACTGGCACCTAAAACAACCAGTCCAACACAGCTTCAGTACTGCATCAATCAGCCATGCCAAAAGAATTTAAGAAACATGTGGCATGAACCGGGAACTAGTCTCAATTTACTACACATTTCTCCATAGTCAAGCAACCAGACTATTGACAGTGAATGAAGAGGTCAGTCTTTTCAAATGCTTGGACCATGGTTGGACTTGGACATGTACCAGTCTAGTCTTAAGCCCCATTTTGAAATCACTTGACGTCCCTCTCATGTGCAAAATATGGAAGAAAAGTCTCCTTTAAAAATTGAATTGAGTCTTCAAACTTGGTTGGTGAAATACTGAGGACCTTTTCTTTTGCCCAGTGGAATTTTTGGAGAAATTTGCTGGCCAAACTGTGAGTAAAGTGGGCCTGATTTAGTTTTGCAAGTTTCAGAGCACTCCAGAGTCCTGTCTGATCTATACTTGTCTTGTTGATACAATATTTTCCTATTGAATGACTTGTATAACTCTAATCAGATTTTATCTATCTGACAATAACGTGAAAGACATGCAGGAAACAGTCTCTTTGGGTAAACCCTGAACAAACCCTTGTTATGTCTCCAAAAATATAGAATACGAACACTTCTCTATTATAACACAATTTATTTTAAGGGCGGAGCCATCGTTTGAAGGGGAGGATGGTATGAACGTATTCAACTTGTTTTTAAAACTAAATGCGTTTTCCCCCAGTATCTGGAACATAAAAGTCTGCCTGATGGCTATATTCATTTAGAATTTGTTTAGATTTATTCAAATAGAATTTGTTTCAAACTTGAACATTTGTTCAGAGTTGAAGAAGTCCATGGGTAATTTGAATATCAGAAATAATTATGTATGTCTTTACACTTTTAAACAATGTCATGATCATAATTTATATAGTGGACGACTTAAAGGCATATATAGGATCATTTGCTTTTCATGCATTTTGTTCGTTTCCAATAATAACACCACTCAAAATCCAGAGAAGAAGGTTCAAAACATAACCTGTTGACGTTTCATCTCAGTGGATATTACACTTTTCGAAAAAACTGTAAAAAAAAAAAAACCAAAAAAAAAAACCCCGCACAACTTGTTGATCACATAACACTATTTCGTCATTTTTTATTTCCAAAAATCACTTTAATATTGACTGATCGTTGGAAATCAACTACATTTTTTTATTTCTTCAACGACAGCAAGCCAGATGGAATAATTTCATGAAATGTTTAGTACCAGTATACGATCTTTAATCCAAGTAAGCTCTTTTAATTCGGTAGGTTTACTTTTGGGATAAATTATCCTATACATGCCTTAAGAACATCTTACCTCCATGACGATGGTGTTTTCGCCATAAATAGGTTGATGGTCGTATCCGTTTGTACAAGCCACTACTCGACTCATGTTGACTATGGCGGTTCCGTTCCCATCTTCCGACACGGCGTACATTTCGCACTGCGAGAAGGTTCCGTTGTCGTCGGGGCTCAACGGCACGCTGTCCTCCACCGAGAACCCCTCGCTGGCCCGGCAGTGGAACGGCGGCCGGTCCGCCGTGAAAATAATCCCGAAAATCTGCCATGCCGGCAACCACGTCCCGATTAGCGTGATCAGGATGTACGCTAAGGTCTGGTAGCGACCGAAGTCCCCTAAAAACACCCAAATGTCGTCCAGATCCATCCTTCCCTTTTCTTTTGAAGGTTATTTCTGGTTGGTGCGGGAAGCTGTTTCGGAATGCTCACCACCTGGCCATGGACTGAGTTCCTTTCACAGCGCATCTAGTCACCGAAAGTTTACCTCCGGCCGAGTGAATGGAGCTATTTACGGCTAAGCGTGCGGTTTGTGACGTCGGCTTCGCTGTAACCAAACAAAAGACGACGTGTGCCCATGAATTTTCAGCCTCACAAAATGTTCTGCCTATAGAGGAACTTAGCTATATGTAATAAATTACTGTTCAACTTGAACTAGGGCCCGGGCAGAAAATTAATGGGGCAAGTGACAGATATCGATTTGAATGTTTTATCTCCCGACAAACAAAGAAATGCTAATTATCACAGTTATCGATCAGACGGGGTACCTTATGTGTCATCAATCGATCGTTTTTTACGGTTTTAAAGTCACTGCCCTTTTAAGTCAGACTACGTGGAAAGATTTCAAAGTTCCCCCCCTTAAAAAACATGAATACATTTATTTATTAAAACGAATTCTTACGAGCCGTGCCCTCTGGAGACATGCACACAATAGGGAACAAAAGATTGGATACGTCTCCACAGGGCAATTCCTATAGATGAATACGTCCCCACAAGGTTTTCACGAAATAGATATATGGATTTTACTCAAAAAGTAGGAATTTCCAAGGTGGGTTGATCCGTTGCAAATGGAAGAGTTTTAGAACAGGGACATTAAGCCCGAATTTCAGCCAAGGAAATTAATTCTGATAAAATAAGAGCATTTTGAAACTACACTTTCAAAGTCGAAAACTTTACTACACGAGAACAAAGAAATGTCTCCACAAGGCTACAAATTTCAGTATGGGTAAGTAAACGACCGGGAACACGTATGCGTACTCTGTCGGGTCCGATGTAAACAACCAGGTTTTTTCATCTTTTCCCGGAACGGTAAGACATTAGGTTAGTTTTCTTTCAACTAGACCTTTAAAATAGTATAAGTAAACAATCCAAAACATGACATTTTCGGGGACTTCAGGCCGTCATGCCCCTTTAAAATATGACCTTGCTGGAAATTGTTGATTTTATGGATGGCAAGAATGTCGTATCGTGACGCAACCATCTTTTAGAATTTTCTTTCGCACGTCTGGTTTTGTTATTTTTGTTTTGGCAAAAAACCCGTTCGGAATCTTTTCAAATCGCGAATTCTTTTCTTTGCAAAACCGTTTGCCACACTTCTTTTGGAGCGCAAAGTGTCAATATAATGATTGATGCTGTTTGTTGTCAGAGACGACCTTCAACCGGTGTGGAATTAACTCGTTTTTATTTTATTTTCAGGTGTTTTTTTGTATAGGTTTTTTTTTATCACGCTGGTTCTCTCACGCGGAGCCCTAAGTTGTACTTTTTCATAACCATTTATCTCAATTCGGAATCTGACCGATTTGCTAATTCGTGTTTGTGTATGAAATACAAAGCATCGCAGCAGGAAACGCCGCCGCATCACCAAAGATTTTGAGATTCCTTAGGGCATATAGAATTTTTATTTTATTTTCGATGCTAAAAAAAGAAAAAGATTTTCATTATTTTATTTTAACCTTGCCATGCATTCTGTCTAGCGAAAGGAGGTCAAATTCCACATTTTTTTTCTATCGTGTGGAAAAAAAATTTCTTCAAAAAAAATAATAATAAAATTAATTAATAACGCAGGACTAAATCAGTAAACGCTTAAAGTACGATGACAGCTTTTTGATTCATCATCCAGATTAAATCGAAGTTTATGAGATAAAAATATCCCAATTAAAATGTGCACTACTATACCATGGAACAGCGACATGGAACAGCCGTTGCATTTTTAAGTGGACGATGTGTTTAAGCGCGGAGCAACCGTTTACATTTTCTCCTAATTCCAACTCGGGTTGCCACGGGGATATGGATTCCGGTTGGATTTCTTATTAAAATGTGAGCCCTTCTGCAAACTTCTTCAAAGTTTGTATAGCGAGGGCAATATCGACAGCCATTATAGATCCAGACACTACGAATCATTTTGACGATTTAAGAACCGTTTCTTAATAATTTGCAGAATACATTAGTCCCATATTTTCATAATTCCAGTGTTGTAGTACTCGTACTTGGTACTCGTGTACTACTCGAGTACTTTGTTAGTAGTACTCGAACTCGTACTCTACTCGAATGTCAAAGTACTCGTACTCGAAATGACGGTACTCGTACTTATTCGGCAGCAAAGTACTCGTACTCGACATTTCGAAATTGTACTCGACCATCAAAGTACTCATACTCGAATAGCAGTACTCGGGGGAAAATGGTATAGCTTGACTTACCACAGCCTTATTTATCAGTTTGAAATGGTTGATTGGCTTGTGGAGAAATCGAAGTTTCATGATTTTTCTCTGTGCATGTCCAGACAAACATATTTACCAGCTAGCCGTGAGTGAGTCTTTTTATCGGTCTGACTGGGCCTGCGGGGCCAATTATGCTCAGTGGACCATGCCGTATGGCCGTATTCGGAAATACTTGTACTTGTATCGTACACGGAAGTACAAGTACTCGTACTCGGAGACCTAGCCTGTTCATGTACTCGGAGGTACAAGTAGGCCTACTCGTACTCGTACTTGGCAACCTCAGTACTCGGCAGTACTCGGTACTCGGAAAAAAGTACTCGACTACAACACTGCATAATTCAATACAGGCCTTTACAACATTGCATGTTTTAAAGACATTGCGCCAAAAGTTTGGTTTGATTTATAATCAAATTATATACACTGTCTCCAGTTTGTAAATCAGTTACAATTAGGTTTGCAAACACTGCATTTTTTTTACCAGACGATTTAATTCATTACAACTTTGGTGGCGACCAAATTGCCAACGTAAATTTACTTTTATGCCTACCATATTAAATTAAGAAAAAATAACTGCTTTAATAAACACGCTGGCACCATCTGTAGTAAATAGGGGTGCTGCAAATTGTCTACAATTTCAAGAAAGTAGATCCATACTACACGCGAGTCCCTTAAACGCATTTGCCGGGAAAACCTGGTAAACTTGGTAACGCGTACTCTTAATTATGCATACAATTAAGTGACGTAGCAAATCTTCAAAATAAGAAAAGGGCCAAAATATAAATGCAGAACATAAGGGTCCAACTAATGCTCCCAAGTGGTAACTTTTTAAAAATGTCTGAAAACAAGATTATCTTTAGATTTTGACAGTAAGGCCTACCGTACCTCTATTCTTTTCAGATCCTTTGTGAATATGAGGCTTGATTCGCGCTGAAGTTCCCTTGTCAATACTTGATGTCGTAACAATTAACAGAAAAGCCCGCCGTCATTTCGGTGAAATCATTGCAAAATAGCTGGCTGTAAACTGCTCGTGTTTTTACCTACTTCAGTGTTCGGTCGGTTAGTTTTGTTTGCTTAAAAACAGGTCAATCATCTAGATACTATTAAGCAAACGATCACAATATTTTGGGCAGCTGACAAGTGTTAAAAGTCCAAAGAACCTGTGTTTCCAACGCGCCAAAATAAACAAGTTTATCATGATTTTGTGCCCGCTATCTGCCCCAACACGCTGAATTGACATCATTACAACAGTACAAAATATGCCCTTACGACTCGCAATTCAAACAGTATTACTGCATATTAAACGCTTTTGTGTTTCGCAACTCATGTGTATACTTTCCATTTTTGTGTATAATTTCCACGATTTGTAATAATTGTGAACTAGTTCGCCAGGCCTCGTGAACTAGTTCACGCTATACAAGAAAACCAGTCACTTGTTTAAAAACATTCACACCGTTGACAATGGGGCTGACGGGAAGCAGTCAAAGTAAATATTGTCAGATCACGCGGAAGGAAAAATAAAATAAAATTTGGTTATCGATAGGCCTACCGAAACCTAGATGATAGTGAGTAAACCTTAGGCATGTTACTTCAGTTTTGTTAGCGGGTCTACACGGGAAATGCACGGCCTAGTTTACTGTAGCGACACGTTGAAAGCGACCTAGATAATTCGACTACAAACATCGACGATGAAAACTCGACCATTAAAATAACTGACATTGTGGCTACGAGTCAAAGATAGTTAAAAACTGAAATGTTAGTAAAATGCGAATTCACATGATAACTTACCTTCAATGGGTCACTGATGAAGACTGGAGTTCAGTCAACATAGTGCTCAGTAGTCTGGTATCGCTATGCATGCCGCGATGACAATATATGAACGTGACGACTGGGAGCCGCTCCAAGTATGCCAGTTATTTTCTGTATGCGATATATTTTTAATACAATCATTGTAAGCAAGCCCGTTATAATTATGTGCATTGAAAGCATAGCGTTGCGCGCATGAAGATCAAAATTAATGCAGTCTTATTTTTATTCTGGGCCCCAATATTTTGTGTAGGCCCCTGTTTTGTGAAAATGAAAAACAACTTAACAGACTGTGACGTGTAGACATTTATTTTTCAATTAGCTGAACAAAAATCTTAGAATTGAAAGAAAAGGGCAACATGTTACATTTGCCTGTAGCCTAGCCCAAGGCAATGTTACATGTATTTGGTGTCGTTCTAGGACTACATTACGAAACCCTAAACCACCAGGGGGCGTTTACAACATGGCACCCTAACCCGACCTAACCCGAAACGTGATGCATTAAAATGTAGCACGGTTTAAAAATAACCTTGGCAGGGATGATGAGGCCCTATATATATAGATGATTACGGTTTAAAGTCGCATTGCATTCTGAAATGTCACTAACGATTTGTGTGACTTTTTTTGACAAACATAACTAACTTTTTTTTCGGTAGACTGACGATTTGTAAAATAGGGAAAAGCGTATCTTATAGGTAATAGGTTTTTTTTTTCAAAGTCAAAGGGTTCATGATTTTGTTTAAGGTCAAAAAGTAAACCATTCATTTCTGTCGCTTCTCCAAAATTTTGATTATGTTTTGATTTATTTTGTTTGGTAATTTTGTTCTATTGTAAAGCGAGATGATCTGCTATTCGTTGAGTAAATGCGCGATTAATAAGGAATTTAAATTTGTCCTTTCACAGATTTTCATGCTTTGCAAATGCGAATGGAAAGTGAAAGTTAAAATATTTTAGGCCCCTTTTTACTTCGTAAATTGCAAGTTTCAGTTTCAAACATCACGTCTCATTTATAGAATATCCCCTTGCACAGCAAGGGGATATGATAATGCGAGCAGATCCGGCGATTAATTATGCAACACACGACTGCGTCTTGACCACGAGATTCTGACCATTCAGCGGGCGCCTTCTATACACCTTTAAAATGCTGCAGTGCCACCATTTCAGACAAGGTGTTTTGAGCAAAAAGGATTTTGATGATAATTTGTGAAAACGCAAGTCATCAAAATGAATATTCAACGAACTTGTAGCACAGTTTTGCGCTCACTTACAAAAATGACACAAGCAAATTCTTCGTGTGATTTCCTTTCTTTCACATTTTTTTTTCCATTTAAAAAGCTGTTTACATGATGCCGACATTACACCATTATTATGTTTCAATTAAAATTCGTTTTGACAATAATATAAGAATTTCAAATTCCACAATGTGTACACCTAATATTTAAGTAGAAGTGTCCATGGTTAACATTGCACAAATTAAATCGAAAAAAAAAAATATTAGTTTTATTACAACCAAGATGATTCAAAATAATAATAATTAACATGCAGGCACAAATGAAAATGGGCGGGGCATATCACTTAGGAGAAGGATTTCTAAATGAAGATTTTAATAAAATACCTAAAATATAGGTACAACTATCAAAACACCCTCTTTTGTAAATAAAATGACGAATCAGTTTTTTAAGAGAACATTAAGCCCATCGAGATTCTTTAACGAGCTGAACAGAATTTATGGGAAAAAATGTTGCAACCTGACGCCACTTCAGCGGTTGTGTACAAAGTCTATGGAGAGTCAAGACAATTTTCTAAGTATTTCCTAACAAAATTGGGAATGTTTCTCAGTCCCAGATTCAGGTCTTATCATTTTTGCAATGACTGACCTTCATTGAGAAGATATATGAAGAAAAAAATGGCGTCAGGTTGCAACTTTTTTTTCCGAATATTTTTTTGGGCTCTTGCTACAAAAACAAATTCGTTCCGGTGTCATAGGAAATTGGACTCCCATGAAATCCTATCTCTTTTACCATAAGGACTCAATCCCTTACACATGACCTGTTACTGTCCCAATGTCCACTGACGCATGCGCAACACAACCTATTAGTTCGTATTTCATCACAGTCCAAATTTTACACTACACCGGTACATCTTATTATAGAGGACTGACTTGGTTGACAATGACTTCGATTGATTTTGATTGAATTTAATTGAATTAAAAACTCCCACTGTGAAATCCCATCCGAGATCAAAGGGGCACGTACCCCTACAGCGAAAATGGTAAAAAAGAAGAAGTTTGTTTATGAAATGCAACTGTTTCATATTATCTACATTCTTCAAAGAAATACCATACCGAGGTTATGATTAATATGAAAGACCGCGTAGTGCGCAGGATTTGCCTCACGTCGAGAGTCAAAGCAGGAATTAATTTCTGAAAAACGAAACCAGTTGGGTTGAAATAGGATATACATGATGCCTATAAAGGGGATAATCTACTAGTTGGAAAACAAACGGGCTAGCGTTGCGTACAAATCTACAAAATCGTTTAATAAGTTAAGGGTTAACACAAGTTCAACTACAAAATCGTTTAATAAGTTAAGGGTTAACACAAGTTCAACTATACTCATCAAAATTACGCATGTGCACATTTCGAATCAAAATTTCACAGTTAAAAAATGGGTACACATTATGTAGAAATTGTTTTTCGAGCAGCAGGAGAAGTATACGCAAAAATGAAAATGATAGGATGGAGGGACCAGGTAAAGTACAAAAAGGCAAGGTTTTCAACATTTAATGTTAGTGCCTTAAAAAGAAAAAAACGGCCTTCGATTTCTTTCTCCTTTCGATCGACAATTTAAATTCATGGTAAAAACAAGAACACGATCTCTCACATGTGGAAATCTCAGTTAAGATGATTCGTTGTTATCTTGTACGCACTTTTTGGCTTATTTTCTAGTTATATACGGTCGTTGTACAAGTACGATCAACTGAAAAGGTTGAACAGGTTTTACGGTAAAATACAAAGATAAAAGCTTAGCGAATGGCATGCGGTTACACTACGTGTACAACTCACAGAGAAAAAAAATATGAATGGCCTCTTCTTTTTTTTGTAATGAAAAATGATACAGCTAAAAAAAATCACTTTAGAAATACCCTGTACCAACTACACTGCAATCTTATGCGTTCGCTTTATGTACACACATGTAAACATTGCACAACGCTTCAAAAATGCACAAGTCGTTTGTGGGTTTTGTTGCAAAATTTGTGACAGCGCACTGCATTGTGGGCCTGGGTCAAAAAGGGTCAAATATTATTGACGTGAATGTGTTTATGAATCTCGTATCCCCCTTAGGGGGTGGAGCTTCAGGGCCCGCCCCTTAAATATTTATTTCAATGATTCAGATGCGAATAGTTAATTTGACTTACATTAAACAATCTTGTTAATTTGATTTATATTTTAACTATGTACAAATATGTTATGGCAATTAGTTTTAGCATAATTTTATTCTTTACAAATTTAAAGTCAGTTTGGGCTGTTTTTCTAACCATTTATAAACTGGCGCATGTTACATGCTTGGCATGTCGCATATTCTTGGCACATTAAACAATTCTCCATAATCATCTTGCCATGCACAATCAATGCATCGGGCGCGCCCCTGAACAAGCATAAAACAAAGCACAGACACCACTCTGCCCCATGATGTTTTTGACCAATGACAGCAGAGATTTCGCAACCAAAATCACGCGGCGGTACAACCGCGTGATATTGCCCACGCGCGCGCAGTGGGCTTAACGGCCGGTAAGTAGGTGATCAAAAAGGGGCGTGGTATAGCCCTAATGGACCGATCCAGAACACCATGGGGCGGTGCTTACTGGATCGGTCCATTCCTCGACTGCCGTATTTTCATTGGTAGCGAGAAACGTTCCTTTTTAGATTGAAGGTTATCTGTTTCAATATTCAAATAAAAAAGGAACATGTACTTACTGTTAGTTTCAGGTAGTTTTCTTTAAAAGAATAAATCAAAATCTTCAAAGAAAAAGCTCCTTTTATCTTCAAATTGCAATGGAAGATACAAGTCAATATAAATATATATTTCCCATAATTGTATCTATATCATATACAACTGTGAACATAAAACACATAATTTATGCATAAATTAAGAATTCATGCACATATTTACCATTCATATATGCATGTTAATATATATTTAGATATTTACATACGAAACTCAATCTGTGAATTTATACATAATTACATTGAGATAAATGTAAATTCATATTTACAAACACAACAAAAATCGAAATGTGAATTTATTAAAACGTTTTGTCTTCCCATTCCAAAACGTTTCACCTTCGAACTAAAACCTCCAGTTGCCGAGCTCGTTACAGCTTTATTGGTAATGGAAAAAAAGATATAAAGACAGACTTTCGACCTACAGAATCTTACAGCCATCATTCTGTGCTTACAGCGCTAGCAGAACGAAATCTTTGCTAACTCTGTAAGCACAGAATTCTTAGTAACGGTATGTAGGTATGCGCATAAGCCAAAATTCCTTGCTAACAAGCGAAATACGCTTACCGCAAGCACGGAATTTTCTGTTACAGTAACCAGAGATGTTTGTAAATTGAAGTCATGTAGTTTAGGACGCCTCCATTTTTGTTTTACAAACTCCGTTCAAAAATGACTTTTGAAAGTGACAGTCAATTCCAACATGACTTTTACAGACTCAGCAGTTTTTTCTTCAAGAGCAACTCACTTTTTGTTGTTGAAATTTTATTAATAACTTTTGAATAAAATGTGACTTTCTTTAAAAAAAAAATTGGCACTCGGAGACGTGCGTGTTGAAGAAGTTCTCACCATTGTGTCTTTGTCACTGTTTTACCCAATAATTTCTCTCATAAATCAAAACCCTGCCCTCTTTCCACAAGATTAAGCTAGCCGATATTCAACATGGTATTTTAGTGTACTAGTCATAGATGATTCCCAACACATAAAGTGACTTTTCCTGCTTGTATCATCGCCAAATGTTCAGGTAAGTCTCAAAACATAAAAATGTCTTTTCCTTCTCTTACATGGAACGGGGTCCTAAACCACGCGAACACCAAAATTTTTCACTATTAAGCAGCGCCATAAAATTGGGCCAGGTTACGGGTTCAGTACCCTCCATGTACTTGCCCCCACATCTGACAAAATGAATGCTGATAGGTTACATCAAGCACATACACTCACAATGAGTGTTGGTTCCGATATGAATAACAGTTATTTAGTTCTTTTGTGGTTTTTGCCCCACCGTAAACAGGGATTATGATACAATGCCAAACACCTAGCTTGAGGAACTCCAGCGCCAATGCTGCAGGAATTTGACATAACAGAGCTGGAGCTGAGACTATGTTGTAGATACTAGATTCCAAGAGGCCCTAAAAAAACGGGACTCTCTGTATCTGTATCATTCCCTTCTATTAATTGCAACCCAGATTCCATTAAACATAATGAGGTATTTTTAATGGAATTAAATTGGGATACTAGAGGGAAAAAGGACCATTTTTGTGATACAGATACAGAGAGTCCTGTTCTTAGGGCCTCTAGGATCTAGTATCTACAACATAGTTTTAATTCCAGCTCTATATGTCGAAATTCCTGATGAGCAATGGAGCTTGATTCACTCATAGAGAAAGGACACTCTATTAAAGCTAGGCAACACCAAAGAGGACAAACTGAAGAAGGTGCATTTTTCCTCCTCAATCTTTTACTCAATCTCAAAAATGGGAAATGTATTCCTTATTTTCTTGGCCCGAATAAAAAAAATAAAAAGATTTCTGAAGACCAATTAAAAAAGATTTGAAATTTGAGGTTAAATGACCGACTGTCCCTGAAGATGTTCTTTGTGGGTCGTTTAACTGTCCGCAACAAAGGGTTGAATGACCGTGGAAAGCCTACAAAAAAACATATAAGGTCACCGCAAAAGCAGACTGAAATGTAGAGAATGTCTGCTTCTTTGTTGGTTGTATAATGGGCTTTCTGACAGAAGAAAGGCTTTTGTACCAGATGTCGATTTCAATTTTCGAATCGTCGATTTATGGAGGTCACCTACGGCCAGGAATTAGGAAGGTTTTATTTCTAGTTGCTGGCTTAGCCCAAGTGTTATTGTCAGCGGGCTGCCCCCCCCAAAAAAATCTTCTCTCGGTTGGAAAAATTCAGACACTAGGTAAATTTTTTTTAAATGCTCAAACATTTGTTCTGTAAAGGGAGGACCGGTACTAAATGAGTCACGTTTTATTTATTTATTTTTGGCCAGAAACATAATGGAGGAAAAACTTTGTCGGAGTCTTTGTCAGACATCTTGTTATCTTGCAATTGCTGATCTATATTCCTCAAGTTGATTGTATCCTTACTATATTTTATTTAGTCGATATATATAGCTTAGTGTACGCAAAGACTTTAGGTATTTTGACACTGAAAAAAATATGGGGGAAACGTGGGGTGGGGATGGGTAACCTGGGGGGGGGGGGAGCAAAAGGACTTTGACTTTCGTACATTTCTACCCTTAATATCGGTGTTGTTTGAATCTAGCCTAAATCTTTCATTATTCCATGACTGACTGATTCGATTTGGCTTGTACTTCCCCAACCCCGTCAATGACGACAGATGATGTTAACAGATCCGGGGTATCTGACAGAACATTGGCGTTAGTGTCCTCCTTCTCCATCTCCGTCTGTTGCTGGGTGTGCGTCTCCGGTTCTATCACTATCTCTATGACGCGGTCACCGTCCCCAGATGTCGTCAGAGTTGTAATCTCGAAGCCCGGCACCTCGGGCAGTTTGATTTCTGTCTCTCGGCGTGAATCGACGGGTCTTTCGTTGTTGCTAACTTGGATCACGGTCTCGGTGACGTAGCTGGACTCTTCTTCCATTGATTCGACCTGGTAGGTGAATTCGGCCGTTTGGGTTAGTAGGGGTTCTGTTGTGGCCTGAGGCTGCGACTGTGGCTCAGCGACTTGAGGATTTACTTTGGGCGATTGGGGCTGTGGCTCTGGCTTAGTCATGCCTGCATTTTCTATGGAAAAATGGTACTGCGGTTGTGACTTGGATGCAGGCCGGGCTTTGATGGAGAACTGCAGCCGTGGTTGGTTCTCGGAGAGAGACGGGGGCTTTGACTGTGGCTTGGTAGTGGGTTGAGCCTGCATCACAGACAGTGGCTGTGGCTCAAGTGTGGTCATGAGTAATTGATTCCCTTTCTTGGATTGCGGCTTTGACTGTGGCTTGGTTGTGGGTTGGGCTGCCATCAGAGACAGCGGCTGTGACTCTAGTGTGATCATGGCTTGGTTACCTTTCATGGATTGCGGCTTTGACTGTGGCTTGGTTGTGGCTTGGTTGCCTTTCATGGATTGCGGCTTTGACTGTGGCTTGGTTGTGGGTTGGGCTGCCATCAGAGACAGCGGCTGTGACTCTAGTGTGATCATGGCTTGGTTGCCTTTCTTGGATTGCGGCTTTGACTGTGGCTTGGTAGTGGGTCGGGCCTGAATCACAGACAGTGGCTGAGACCCCAGTGTGGTTGTGGGTTGGTTGCCTTTCATAGATTGCGGCATCGAATGTGGCTTGGTAGTGGGTTGGTTCCCTTTCATTGATTGCGGCTTTGACTGCAGCTGTGGCTGCAGTACTGGCTTGGTAGTGGGTTGGTCCTCTGTTATGTTATGTGGCTGTGGCTTAGATAGGGATTGGTTTTCCATCATGGATTTTGGCTTTGGCTCTGACTTGGTAGTGGGTTGGTCCTCCATTATGGCACGTGGCTTCGGCTGTGGCTTTGACATGGATTGATTTTTCATCGCGGATGGTGGCTTGGTAATGGGTTGGTTTGTCATTCTAGATTGTGACTGTACCTCTGGCTTGGTCATGGATTGTAGTTGTGGCTCTGGCTTAGTCATGGATTGTGGTTGTGGCTCTGGCTTGAATAAGGATTCGTTTTCCATCATGGATTGGGGCTTTGGCTCTGGCTTGGTCATGGATTGGTTTTCCATAATGGACTGTGACTGTAGCTCTGTCTTAGCCATGGACTGTGGTTGTGGCTCTGGCTTAGTCATGGATTGTGGTTGTGGCTCTGGCTTAGTCATGGATTGTGGTTGTGGCTCTGGCTTGGATAAGGATTGGTTTTCCATCATGGATTGTTGCTGTGGCTCTGGTTTGGTCATGGATTGGTTTTCCGTAATGGATTGTGGCTGTCGCTCTGGCTTAGTCATTGATTGGGGCTGTGGCTCAGTCTTGGTCATGGATTGGTTTTCCATCATGGATTGGGGCTTTGGCTCTGGTTTGGTCATGGATTGGTTTTCCGTAATGGATTGTGGCTGTCGCTCTGGCTTAGTCATTGATTGGGGCTGTGGCTCAGTCTTGGTCATGGATTGGTTTTCCATCATGGATTGGGGCTTTGGCTTGGTCATGGACTGGTTTTCCGTAATGGATTGTGGCTGCAGCTCTGGCTTAGTCATGGATTGTGGTTGTGGCTCTGGCTGGGATAAGGATTTGTTTTCTGTCATGCATTGGGCCTGTGGCTCAGTCTTGGTCATGGACTGGTTTTCCGTAATGGATTGTGGCTGTAGCTCTGGCTTAGTCATGGATTGTGGTTGTGGCTCTGGCTTGGTCATGGATTGGTTTTCCATCATTGATTGTGGCTGCGGCTTGGATAAGAATTGGTTTTCTATTATAACTTGTGGCTTCGACTCTGGCTTGGATAAGGATTGGTTTTCCATCATGGCTTGGGGCTGCGGCTCTGGCTTGGTAGTAGGTTGGTTTTCCATCGTCGCTTTTGAATGCGGCTCTGGCTTGGTAGAAGGTCGGTTCTCACTCGAGGATAGCAGCTGCGGCTGTGGCTTTGTCACGGCACGGTACTCCATTATGGCCTGTTGCAGTGGCTGTGACTTTGTCAGGGATTGGTTCTCCGACATGGATTGTGGCTGAGGCTCTGGCTTGGTCAGGGGTTGGTCTTCTTTTGTTGGCTGTGGCTGCGACTCTGGCTTATTGACCGACTGATTCTCCGTTGCGACCTGGGCCTGAGGTTCCTTTGAAGCAGAGCTCAATTTGTCAGAGGACTCCACCTGAAGATACGATCACAATTCAAAGCATTAAATGAAAGCTGAAAGCAAAACATCATGCTTGTTCATTAACCCATTATCACAGGGTGTCCCCCAAAAAAGTTGTGCAAGCACATATCCTTTAAGTTCTCAAAAACTAATAAACACGAGTATTTCATCTTGATAGAGCATATTAATTATACTCTTGTGTATATTCAGTAAAAATGTCATGGAAATCCGTTCATGCAAACTATAGATCTAACACATTATAAAAGGCTATGGGTTTTTCACCCATTCCAATGGGATGGGATTTCACAATTAACTTATTTTACATCAGAGTGAAATGGTTCATGACAATCTGATGCACTGATATCATTAACTGTGTAAATCCCATTGGAATGGTTGAAAAACCCATAGCCTTTTACAATCTTATATCTCTGGTTTGCATGAACAGATTTCCGTGGCATTTTCACTGATTATACACAAGAGTATAATTAATATGCTCCATCAAGATGAAATACTCATGTTAAGTACATTTTGAGAAATTAAAGGATATTTGCTTGCACAACTTTTTTTGGGGAACCTTGCACACTGTATAACACTGTGTTTATACATCCATAAAACCATTGAATGCTTGGGCAATTTCGTGTGCTGCAGGGAGCAATACATGTAGGCTAGGCAGGGTGGTTTGGGGCGGTGCTGGGACTTGTTCTTGATAAGGGGGGGATTTAAAATTCCTGCTGATGGAGCAAAGACAGATAAAAGCTCAAAATGGGGGTGCTATAAGAGAAAAATGTAAGACAGGGTTATGTAATGTAACTATTATGGGAGACAAGTTCAAATGTTAAGATGATAAATTGGAAAAGGTTGTTTCTAAAGTTAAGAACGGATTAATTTTAAGCTATCTGCAAGGCATCAAATGAGAGGCACATCAAAGCTGTATAATTCGTGATTGTTAAAATCTTGCCTAGAAGTACAAACTATGTTATTTGTTTGTAGAAAATTAGACATTAACAATTTAAGTTGCAAACAAGCATGATGGGGGGGGGGGGGGGGGGGGGGCAAAAAATGGATAAATCTGCAATGTGTTTAGTTTGGCAGGATTCTGAAGTAGGGTGGGTGTTTTTTTTTTCTTCATAGAATAGCAATGGGGCGGCTATACATATTTCTTTTTCTATTTCTATTTTCATATTCACTACAATAAATGAACACAAAATTGTAATCTTCCAATATCATTCTGTCGTCACATTTCTTAAAACACTTTCCAGAAATTTTATGCAATGCCTAAATAAATCCCCGTCATTTGATTGGTAGGTTTTGATCACATGTCATTGAATAGAAGTTCTATTCCACGGTACCTGACAAATCAGACACAAGGATTTATTCAGGTGTTGTATAAAGCAAGTAATGAATGTTTCAGATTAGTGCAATGGAAAGAATAATTTCATTCGGTGACAAATGGAATGTTCCATTCCACAAGGCGAAGCCAAGTGGAATGGAACATTCCATCAAATCAGGTGGCAATGGAATGTTCCATTCCACAAGGCGAAGCCAAGTGGAATGGAACATTCCATCAAATCAGGTGACAAATGGAATGTTCCATTCCACAAGGCGAAGCCAAGTGGAATGGAACATTCCATCAAATCAGGTGGCAATGGAATGTTCCATTCCACAAGGCGAAGCCAAGTGGAATGGAACATTCCATCAAATTAGATGACAAATGGAATGGTCCATTCCACAAAACGAAGCCAAGTGGAATGGAACATTCCAACATTCCATCAAATCAGGAGGCAATGGAATGTTCCATTCTACAAGGCGAAGCCAAGTGGAATGGAACATTCCATCAAATTAGATGACAAAAGAATGGTCCATTCCACAAGGCCAAGTCAAGCGGAATGGAACATTCCATCTGTCACCTCATGAAATTATTCTTACCATTGCACTCATGAACATTCATAATATTTGCATACTAGCACTTGCTGGACCAACTCATACTTTCCACGAGTTTCCACGATGTGTAAAAAAATTCCACGACATTCTGAGATTTCCGTGAACGAAATCTGATTGATTCAACTAAACCACAATTTGATCCATTGTCCCCTTAAGACAAAGTCATTATTTGAGCAGCCAAGGTACAGCTAGAAAAAAACAGCACAATTTTTACATCACAAAAATGGTCCACAAAATTAGGATGTTTTTTGACACAGTTGACAAAAATATTGGTACCCTAAGGATAAGTGACATTTCAATAATGGAACTGCAGTGAGCGGTGTTTAGCATGCAAACTACCAGACACTTAACATTTAACAAAAAGCAGAAACACGGCGAATGATGACTGCTTCGGAACGGGTAAAGAAAAGGCTACGACTTAAAACTGTAGACTGGGGAAAACATTGAAATAAGCTACAATTGCATGGACCATGAACCTAGTGACAATATCTTACCTCCAATAAAAATGGTTGTGGCCTAATATCAGGCTCAAACAAAGAAAAATCCTGCAAGGTTTGGTGGGAACGGGACGGGGGAGGGGGGAATGACGAGAAGAAGAAGGAACAAAATGAGGGTGAAAAAATGTGAGTGATAAACAACAACATGCAAGTGTCATACATGCAATCCTAGGAAGTTGTGAGTTACTTAACAGTTGATCGGACAGTTAAATCCATGTAGGTTTATCAGCTTAACTCTGGTTTGTTAAGTCGTACTAATTACTATGGGCTCCGTGCGCTAGTACCCCCTCAATGGTTAACAAAGGGAGAGTTTGGAGAGACCACTGGGACGGACGTGTTCAAATGCACTGCATGACAACGCCTGATGCCCACGCAAAGACGCCACAAGTTGCGCGCATTCAGAATAAACTTAGTACCGGTTTTGCGTACTTCACGCCATATGAGCGTGAACAATTTTGCACATGCCACAGTGCCATCTGCTATTCACGCACGGAATCCATATCTGCTCCGTTCACAAGTACCCCCTCACTGGCAAAGAAAGTACAGTTGGGGGTGACCGAACGACGCCATCTTGCCTGACTGCAATATTTTGCCACTGCGTGTACATAGTACAAATCCCCTGGTGAACTTGCGTCACACTCAAGGAATGGTGCGCGCGCGTCAACAAGCGAAATGTATGTGTCCCGCCCATGGGACGTCATTGCTAGGTAAAAGGGTGCCCTCTTTTGTTGGCGCGCGAAGCCCAAAAGGCTACAAACTGAACCTACTGGAATTCAACTGTTTCTAGTCTTAACTTATATTAGGTTTAACGGAACATTGACCGTGGCAGGATTTGAACCTGGGACCTCTGAATAAAAACACTTTCTTGGGTTGCCGTTTCCAGTCAATTTAAGTTTTTCAATCTTCATTTAATATAGGTTATCAAGGAATTCAGTCAAGTTCCCTTGCCAAGTTGTCTCACCAAGATTTTCATTCTGATTGGGGAGGAGGGAATTGAAAATGATGGCTGTAGACAATTAGTAAAGGAAAAATCTGTAGAGGTGAAGGAGGTTATATGTTTTTTTTTTTCCTTGTACCCCTTTTTTGTATTTTTAAAATTATTTTTAAGAGTAGTGTGACATTTTTTTGGGGGGGGGGGGGGCTGAGGGGGGCTGAAGGGGGGGGGGATCTTCAATTTCAATTTTTCTAGGCTGTGTGTGTGTGTGGGGGGGGGGGGAGCACATCCCTAAAGTTTTGCATTATGGAGTCGGGTTGGCGTAGCGGTTCTTTCCTCGCCTTCCACCACTGTGACCTGTGTTCGATTCCTGCCCAAGTCCACATGTGGATTGGGTTTTCAGTTCCTGCCTGATTCCGTGGGTTTTCCCCAGAATATTCCTCTGGATTTTCCCTCCCACCTCTAAAACTGTAATTTCTTCGCATTGTCTTTTCTTTGCTGGGCCCCACGGGACTACCCAGTTAAAATAAGAATTAAATTAAATACAACATTATATTTTGTCTTTATTGTTTGTCCCAGCAAAATTGTAGCTATGTGCACAAGTCCAAGACCTGGTAGAAAGGGTAATGGCCCCTTTGAACACAACAGTTTCGGCAAAAGAGTCAAGAAAATGTAATAGAAAATCCGCCATCTTGGGAGAAAAAGGGCCTCCTCCTCCTTAAAAAACCCCAAATAAACTGGACAAAAAAATTTTTTTTTTTACTTGGCGTAAGAAAAAATCTCGAACAACATTTCCCACTTTGAGTACCCAACCTATTTTATAGATGTGACCAAAAGACTTAAAATTCCAATTGTTCTCACTTCCAAGATTCAATTATCAAGACAACATGACAAGGGCATTGTGCAACCATGAATGCAACACTGATGAAGTAACATGCATCATGCAATGATAATATAATGCCTGAAGAAATCCCCGTCGTCTGATTGGTAGGTCATTGATCACATGTCATTGAATTATTCGTAACGAAGCACGGCGCGGCCGCACAGCAAAAATAGAAGTTCCATTCCACGGTAAATGGAAGTTCCATTGCACTGACCAATCAGATGACGAGGATTTATTCAGGTGTTGTCAAGGGCGATCCAGGGGGGGGGGGGGGCAACGGGGGCCATGGCCCCCAAAAAAACAAACCCAATTTTTTTTTTTAAAAGACGTCGCAATAAAGGCAGGCACTGTGTACACCACCATCTTTTCCTTAAATAAAATTGGTTAAAGTGGTCAGAAATTGCCTCAGATCGCACCACAGAGCATCTAGAATCCAGAATTTTTTAGGGCCCTTAAGTGGGCCCTGAACCCCGTGCCGTAATTTTTTTGACCCACTTTTTAGGGGACCAAATTTTTTTTGGCCACCCTCCCCCCAAAATTGTGTTTTGGATCTGCCCTTGGGTGTTATACAAAACAAATACTGAATGTTTCACATTCGTGATGCAATCGAAAGAATAATTTTATTCGGTGACAGCTGGAATGTTCCATTCTACTCAGCTTCGCCTTGTGGAATGGAACATTCCATATGTCACCTCGTGAAATTATTCTTACCATTGCACTCACAAACATTCACTATTTGTATGATGATATATGCCAAAAAGAAAGACAGAAAAAAGAAATATACAATCGTTTCCTTCAACATTTCAAACCAGTCACACATGCAGTTGCTTTGTTACCTTGCACAAAAACACATTAATGTTCATGGATGGCAAGCTAATAAAACACATCACTGATAAGGCCAAAAAAAAAATATTTCAAACCAAAGTTCTGGAATTGATGCGGCGATGCGTTTTTTTTTTTTTTCAAGCTTGGATTGTACAGACAAGGTGGGGTACTATTTTGCTTTTTGGTGTCCTCATATACATTGGTGTCTTCCATCATTTGCCTTGGTGTCCTCCATCACTTGCCTTTGTGCCCTTCCCCATTCCTTGGTGCTCCTTGGTAAGAAAATTTGAGGCGGCGCGGCAAAAAGAGGGCGCTGTTGTAGCTACCGCAGACAATTTGGAAAAAAAAAAAAATATTGACACGCACGCTGACAAGAGACCATTTTTTTTTTGGTTTTTTGACTAATAGGACAGAAATTTTATAACAGAAAAAAAATGAAGAAAAAGATAAAAAATAACATCACAATGCGACCACAAACCTTGACTGCTCAGACTAGGACTGCTTCGTGCAAGATGATTGGACAATGGCTCCAGGTAACCGCCCGGTACCCAGCCCTGTTGGCCGGTGTCCGAGCGGCTGACCAACCACCAGCCCTCTTTACCGACCTTCTGAACGTTGACGATGTCGTTCACTTTGACGGCCATTTCGCCTTCCTCGACGACGTTGTACTCCGCGAGAACTACGTACTGATTGACAGGCTAAGTAAACGGGACAGAATGAAAACAGGGTCATTAATGAGGTCAAATGCTACTTTCAAATGGTGACCAACAGAGGGCGCTGTTAATTGCTATCAGAATCAATAGAGGGAGCTATTAATATTGACAAGGAACAAATGTATAGCAATATCATTTAGCAAGTTTGGGCGAGGACCATTAGTCGACTAGTTGTTGATTTGTGACATAACTTACGCCTGTGCCCTAATAGCAACATGCAAACGCCTCTAGTCAAACGCTGGTCAAAACGTCATCACAAATCTTCTGGGTCCTGGCTCCCTGCTGTGTATGGTAACCAGCCATGCAATCGTGCCACGTGGTCCGGCTCCAAATAGTCGACTAGAGTAATAATAATAATAATAATAATAATGGCTTCTTGTAAAGCGCTCATGTCCGTCACGAAGTGACGCTCATGGCACTCTTATTATTACCCTGGCTTTAGCACGGCTGCCATTACGGGGCTCAAGCATTGAAGGAATTTCTTCCTACCAGGTACCCATTTACTACACCTGGGTGGAGAGAGGCAATCGTAGTAAAGTGCCTTGCCCAAGCGCACAAGCACCATGTTCCCCGTCAGGATGCGAACCCATGTACCACGGCACACGAGTCCAAAACCGTAACCATTGGACCAGCACAGCACCCCACGTAGTCCAACCATCAAGCAGTCCTCGCCCAAACTTGCGCTTACTTGCCCCACTCTGAACTCCCACTTTTCCGTCTTCCTCAATAGAGGGAACTATTTATCTAACCAAGGATCGACGTACACGTAGCAATCTTACCTGCGGTGAGGGTTATTTCTCTATCATCTAGCATGTATCGTCGTCAGTTTTCACCCAATTCTCTGCTAACCAACTTTCCTCAACAGAGGGCGCTATTTATCTAATCCAAGGATCAAGTGGACAATCTTACCTGTGGTGAGGGCAATTCTCTCCCCTCTTCGAGCGTTTTGTCGTCAGATTCGCTAAATTCCTCAATAGAGGGCGCTATTCATCTAATCCAAAGATTGACGCGACAAATCTTAGTGATGAGGGTGATCCTCTCCTCTCTTCGAGCCTTTTGTCGTCAGATTCGCTAAATTCCTGCAAACTCACCCTTCCTCAATAGAGGGCGCTATTCATCTAATCCAAAGATCGACGCGACAAATCTTACCTGCGGTGAGGGTGATCCTCTCCTCTCTTCGAGTGTTTCGTCGTCAGATTCGCTAAATTCCAGCAAACTCACCCTTCCCCAATAGAGGGCGCTAATTCATCTAATCCAAGGATCGACGCGACAAATCTTACCTGCGTAGAGGGCGATTCTCTCCTCTCTTCGAGCGTTTCATCGTCCGATTCGCTGAATTCCCCGCTAACTCACCCTTCCTCCATAGAGGGCGCTATTTATTTATCCAAGAATCGACGCGACAAATCTTACCTTCGGTGAGAGCGATTCTCTCTCCTCTCTTAAGAGCATTTTGTCAGATTCGCTGAATTCTGCGCTGACCCAGCCTTCCTCGATAGAGGGCGCTATTCAACTATCCAAGGATCGACGAGACAATCTTACCTGCGGCGAGGGGGACTCCCTCCTGTCTTCCAGCGTTTCGTCGTCAGATTCGCTGAATTCTGCGCTGACCCAGCCTTCCTCAATAGAGGGCGCTTTTCATCTAATCCAAGGATCGACGCGACAAATCTTACCTGCGGCGAGGGCGACTCCCTCCTGTCTTCCAGCGTTTCGTCGTCAGATTCGCTGAATTCTCCGCTGACCCAGCCCTCCTCGTTTTCATCTTCTTCGCACTCCAGCGACTGCTCGCTGGCCAGGGAGGGGTTGGCACTGCCGTAACCTGTCGAGGAGGTGTCGCTCGCTGTGGGCGAGGGCAGGGGGCCACCATTAGCGGGCGTGCTCTCATTGGTTGGGCTGGTGGGCGGAAAACGATTTCATAATTTCAGCAGGCAGCAAATACAGTGTACTCCAAAATGTAATAGTAACAAGTAACCACCGTCGATATCAGAATTTTCAATAATCGATATATCGTAAATCCAAAACAGAGAATATTTCATATATCGATTATCCCATGTAAAAGTAAATAGTACCATATAGATGGCACTTTGATTATTAAAGAAACAAAGAAGAAACAGGTCCCAATTTTCCACGGCTTTCTCTGGAGCATATTGCTCAAACTTTTTACAACAAATATCGGCACTGAGATTTTGTCCAGAACGGGCGGTTGCTTTTGAGGTTTTACATTGGGGAGACCGCAAATTCCAGCGAACGCAGAGCACAAAGTGACACCGCTTGGCATTTCGCGATATTTCTATTCTGAGTCACAAGCACAAGTTGCCGCCGAGTTTTATTTCATTATATAGCAAACCTTGAACATAAAGTAAAAGCAAAAACGGGAGATTTATTTTGACGATAATCTAGCGCATTTTCGATATCATTCCGATCCTCAATACTGAAAATTGAGATATGATTAAAGAATTGGAATCGGCGATATCGATATCATAATAATATGGATTAATCTAGTAATATTGATATATGCTTATGGTTTAAAGGTACTTGCCTGCTTTCTAAGGTGTGAGGCTTTTGCACTGGTCTACCTGCAGCTGATGAAACAAAAATGACAAAAACATCAAAATTGAAAACACGATAACGGATTGCTGAATTCAACCCAAGGAAACAGACAGCATAGTGCAAAACTCAGAAGCTACATATACCGTAAGTAAAGCCTGTCACGCGCCAATGTGGCCCATCAGGCCGGCGTTTATCTCCGGTTTCAGTAGCACGAAACGACTAAGAATATTTCTATTCCCCCTGGACGGGATGCCAGTCCATCGCAGGTTACTCCTCAGCTAATGCCGGTACCCATTTATACTCATTATACCCATTGTGTGGAGAGAGGCAAGTGGAGGTGAAGTGGCTTGCCCAAGGACACAGCATTTGTCCAGCGGCTGGATTCGAACCCCTGACCCTCTGATCATGAGTCATGAACCCTAACCACTGGGCCACACTCCCGACTACATTTACCGAAGTGCTTTGCTTTAATGGTTATGGTGAGGCTCAGAAAATGCTGCTTTTTTGCAGCTTTTTCGAGAACCGCTCGTCCAAACAACTTCCAACTTGGCACTGCACATTCTGTGGTCCCGAGCAATATACCCGCCAATTTTTAACTTCATACGGTGCCCGGTTCTAGAGATAATCGAAATACAGACAGACAGACAGAGATTCCTGGAATTATAGTAGAGATTATTTTCATTATTATTATTATTACCTGTAACCTCCAGTTGTTGGCTTTGTAATAACGCCTGCCTCGTTGCTTTGACCCAAGCCATCTTCTCAGACTCCGAGGGAGCCTAAAAATGACAACAAAAAACCCAGATTGATTATCATGGTCTATTTAGTGCTGATTGAGTTTCTCCAGAGGGATATAACATTGACTGACAGAGGCAAACACTTGTTCATTGAACTACCTGGAATGTGTAGACGTTCACCCTGCCGCCAGACCACATCTCAAACTTTCTCTTGTCCCCCTTTACATGTTCTGTCAGTCCGATGCCGGCGGTCTGTTACATGAGAAACAGAATGTGATGGGTTTACTATGGAAACAAGTGCAATAAGTTACACCCGTTTCAGATTAGCGTTCAAGGGTCGGGGTAGGTTTGGGGTAGGGTTTGAGTAGGGTTGGGTGGGAGTAGGGTTGGTTGGGGTGGGAGTAGGGTTGGATGGGGGTTGGGTTGGATGGGGGTTGGGTTGGGTGGAGGTTTGGTTGGGTGAGGGTAGGGTGGGGGTAGCGTTGGGTTGAGGTAGGGGTGGGGTAAGGTTTGTTGGAGTGGGGTTAGGTTGGGACGGGGGGAAAGTTTGGGTGGGGGTAGGGTGGAGTGGGGTGTGGGGTTGGGTGGGGTGGAGTGGGGTGTTAGGTAAGGTTTGGGGTAGGTTAGGGTGGAGGAAGGTCCGGTAGGTAGGGGTAGGGTTTGGGCAGCGTGTGTGTGGGGGTATTTTTGGATCGGGTTTGGTTGGGTAGGGGTAGGGTTGGGTGAAGGTAGGGGTGGGGTAGGGTAGGTAGGGTAGGGCTAAGTGGGGTTGGGCTGAGTGGGGTTAGGTTAAGGTGGGGTGGAGTGGGGGTGTGGAGTAGGGTGGGGTAATAGGTAGGTGGTTCGTGGGTGTAGGTAGGAGAGGGCTGTGGCAGGGTTGGGGCTAAGGTAGCGGGTGGTGGAAGGTAGGGATTTGGGTAGGGTCGGATGGGTGTGAGATAGGTTCGAGTAGAGTTGGGGATAGGGCCAGGTGGGGTGGGGTCAGGGGTAACAGTAGGTTAGGCTTGGACTTGGTTTGGAAAGAATGAGTGCATACCTTGAGGGAGCTCTTGTAACCGTAGCACGTCTTCTCCTTAATATCTCCCCGCTTCTTGCAGAACAGCACCATCTTTTCGTACAGGAAGACGTGCCGCTGCATCTTTTTCTGCCGGATGTCGTAGTTGCGCTTCTTGTGGTCCACCCACATGTAGAGGGCGCCCTGCATGAGGAGCTTGCCCAGATTGGATAGCTTGCCCTGTTGACGATGACGAAAACACCAAACAAATGTGTCAAATCAACAAGAGCTTGTATACCGGTAGTCATGACCCAAACGCAACTTCTGCTTATTTTTGCGTGCGATTCCTGCCTTTAATTAACTGTAAATAAAGTCTACTGGAGAGAGACGTCAAACGACATAAATAATTTTTTTTTTAACAACCTCTTCCGACAGGAGTTGCTCTTTAAGGGAATATACAACATTTGCAAACATCGAAAAATAAAACTACCAAGTTTTTACGAAATACCTTACTAGGATGTTGGTAAATGACAGTCTCAAGCATCTTGTAAAATTATGGCACCTGGTGTGAAGTCATTTTCAAGAAAATGGTATTTTTGTATACATTTCCAACGGTGGTCGGCCGACCAGCGTTGGAAAAACCTAACTATTTTTCAACTACTGCTCCAAATTTACCATTTGTTCAGTCCAAATTTTGTTTGCTATTGGTTACATGTTCATGAACGGGTGCAGGCCAGCTAGACTGGTTCCCTTGCCTTACAATTTTCCATCATCTATAAATTGATCCATTTTATCTTTTGTGGAGTCAGGGAACCAGACTACTTGAACATTTTTGTTTTTCTTGGTTTTTCCAACCTTTTCGAACACAAAACTTCAAAAATGTCAGTGTAACAATATTTGCTCTATTATACTAACCTCTCAAATAGTTCATTTCTGAAAATTATGGCAAAATCCAATGATGTACATTCCCTTTAACCAAAGAGTCCACCTACCTCAAATCCTGTAATTGCTACTTGATGCATGGTATCGTTGACGTACTTGATGACAGTCAGCATACAGTCCAGCGCTGTCTTCAGATCTTCAGCCCCCGGCTCTAAGGACGAATATTTCAACATCTCCTGGTAAAAGGGAAAAGACCAAGACATTTTTGATGGTTATTTGTGGTATTACAGTTCAATGTTTTGCATGGTACAATATGGTTTATCAAGCTGGCATGCAGTGTTACTGGCGATGGATCACAAGTCCGTCGCAGGTCCGTCGCAAGACCGTCGCAGGTCCGTCGCAGGTCCGTCGCAGGTCCGTCGCAGGTCCGTCGCAGGTCCAGTCACAAGTCCATCACAAGTCCATCACAAGTCCATCACAAGTCCATCACAAGTCCATCACAAGTCCATCACAAGTCCATCACAAGTCCATCACAAGTCCATCACAAGTCCATCACAAGTCCATCACAAGTCCATCACAAGTCCATCACAAGACCATCACAGGTCCATCACAGGTCCGTCACAGGTCCATCACAAGTCCATCACAGGTCCATCACAGGTCCATCAGAAGTCCATCACAAGTCCATCACAAGTCCGTCACAAGTCCGTCACAGGTCCGTCACAGGTCCGTCACAAGTCCGTCACAAGTCCATCACAAATCCATCACAAGTCCATTACAAGTCCATCACAGGTCCGTCATAAAGCCATCGTAAGTCATCACAAGTCCATCACAAGTTATCACAAGTCCATCACAAGACTGTCACAAGACCATCACAAATCCATCAGAAGTCCATCAACAGTCCATCACAAGTCCATCACAAGTACATCACAAGACCATCACAAGTCCATCACAAGACAATCACAGGTCCATCGTACAAGTCCATCACAAGTCCATCAAAGGTCCATTACAAGTACAAGAATCATTCAAATCAATCATGTCCTTTTCAAGTTACGGAATTTTAAGCACAAACATCGTTTGAAAGTTCTGTCCAAGAATGACCAAAACGGGTAGTGTTCTTTCGGCAAAACAAAAACAATTCACATACATCCCTATGTGAATTGTTTTTGTTTTGCTGAAAGAACACTTGCCTTTTTGTGATCCGTGGACAGATCCCCAAATTGGTGCTTGTGTTTAAAGTTCCTAAACTTGAAAAGTGCATGAGTGATTTGAATGATTCTTGAACTAAAAGAAAGCTTATCAATTGGAGTTTCATATCCTAGATTTTGATAGTGCTACATGCAGAACTTCATTACAAAATTGGTCATGCTATTTGGGTTTCCTTTTTTTTTTTAACTCGCCCTGTACTTATGACCGGACTTGTGATGTACTTGAAACCGGACTTGTGATGTACTTGTGATCCATCGCAAGTAACTCAACTACAACAACTGCTGGCATCGTTGGATTGACTCAACATTGTAATTTAAGTTTTCAATCAGCAAGTTTGTCTTCTTTTTAACTTACCCTGAGGAGTAGTTGATACTTAGTGATTCTCTGGACTGGCTTGAGTAAGTATGCACTCAGAGGGAGTTTGTGACCTAGCAATCTTTGGCATTCCTGTCAACAAAAACAACAACAATAACAACACCACATTATTTTCTAAACACTACATCAGTGTTGTAATAAAAATCCATTACAAGTCAATCACAAGTCAGTTTTCGCTCGTACCCCCCGCCCTGCAAACAGGACGCTGGGATACGCTGATGAGCTTCACAGAATCTTGTGAAGGAAGTGGCCTATGACCTATGTATAAAGCATCTGGCTGCAGCTGTTCAAGACCGCAGTTAGACAATGTCCGCAATGCTATCCGAAAACTTCCCACAGAAATGCGCACATTCCATACCGGATGTGATTTCTGTTTATTGCGGACCATGTGGACAAAATATTAAGTGTCGCATAATGCAATCCGACTATTCATGATTTAAAACGGAGTCTGAGCAAGTGACGGGAATTGTAAATTTACAACACAGATAAGTTTTACAGAATTTCCTACATTATTACGCTATTCAACGAAAAAAGGAAAAATCCAAACTGCAATAAAAGAGTAATGAATCAGTTTTAACGGCCGTTTCAAACCTTGCAGAGTCATGACCATGATGACGCGCAGGTCACTGGTCACGCAAAATCCAACCAATCAGAGCGTGAATTCATCAGAGTATCCCAGCGTCCTGTTTGCAGGGCGGGGGGTACGAGCGAAAAGTCAGTTGTGGTAAAAAAGGAGCAGCCGTTTGAAGGTATATTTCAAGGATGCTCACCTGAAAGAAGGGATTGTTGTTTCCACATTCCCGCCTCAGGATCTCGGACCGAGGTTTGTTCTGACAATACGTGCTGTACAAACTGTCTAATTCTTCTTTCTGTCAAATGAAAATGGAAATTCAAAGGCAAAACAAAGTGAAAGTGGAATCGGATAGCTCAGTGGTGTAAAAGTAAAAACGCTCTGAATTCAGGAAGTTATGATGTTTTGATTGTTTTCGTATCAGTCATCCTGAAAAAAACCACTTTAATTGGCATTTCACAAAAAAAAGACAAATAAAAGGGAAAAGAAAAGAGAATTTCTTTCGCACATGAAAATACAGATTAATAGCTTACCCTTTTTACAAAGCATTTGCCTATGAGGGTTGGAGTGTTGATGTAACTTTCGAGTTCGACTAGGAATGTGCTACGGAGAGAAAGAAAAGTAGGAATTTCATTTCGTTTCATTAAATGAAAAACAAAACTACACTAGAAAACTGCTCAGAACATATAACGCATAAACTATATGGCATCAAATATCATTAGAAAGCAATCATAAAAAAGATTGATGACTAAATGTGTGGGAATGACAGTTATGACATGACATTGATTCAATTTGATTTTCAACTTGAAACATAAATGTAACAACTAAGCATTACTTTTAGTTTAAAATTTTTACTTTTGAGGATGGCTGTGATACAGTAGAAATAAGAATCGTAATAATTTGGGAGGGGGTTGGAGAGGGAAGAGGGGTTGGGGGGGGGGGGTGATTTGCCATGTACATGTAACCTCAATCCTCCAAATTCCTCCACTTTGGCAAAGAGGATTTTGAAGGATTCAGGGCATTTAGCAGGGTTGATTAAAGGGAATATTCAACATTTGCAAACATTGAAAAATAAAACTACTAAGTTTTTACGAAATACCTTAATAGGATGTTGGTAAATGACAGTCTAAAGCATCCTGTAAAGTTATGGCACCTGGTGTGAAGTCATTTTCAAGAAAATGGTATTTTTTTAAAAAAATTTCCAGCGGTGGTCGGCTGACCACCGTTGGAAAAACCCAACTATTTTTCAACTACTGCTCCAAATTAACCATTAATTCAGTCCAAATTTTGTTTGCTATTGGTTAAATGTTCGTGAACGGGTGCAGGCCAGCTAGACTGGTACCCTTACCCTTACAATTTTCCGGCATCTGTAAGTTGATCCATTTATATTTAGTGGAGTCAGGGAACCAGACAACTTGAACAGTTTTGTTTTTCTTGGTTTTTCCAGCATTTTCGAACACAAAACTTCAAACATGTCTGTGTAACAATATTTGATCTATTATACTAACCCCTGAAATAGTTCATTTCTGAAAATTACAGCAAAAGCCAATGATGTACATTCCCTTTAACTCCCTAGGCCTTTTTGCTAGGATGTAGCCTCAATCCTGCAAGATCCTCCAATTGGCCTCATGGAAAAATAGCATATAAACCCCAACCCTGCAAATTCCTCCATTATTTCTTGAATATTGTCAGTGGAGGGGTGACCACTGCCTGAATCCTGCAAAATCCTGCGGCAGTGACTGTCAAGATGTTGAGGCTTGGCCAGTGACATCCTGGAGCAGTACGGAGGATTTCTAGCATAATCCAGGCCTATATTTATGCATGGCTGAGCAAAAACAACACAAGATCCGGCCCAAGACCTTGACAAAGTGCATCCTACAAAATCAGTAACACACTTTTGCCATGTAACCTCAATCCTGCAAATTCCTCCACTTTGGCAAAGAGGACTTTGAAAGATTCAAGGCAGCTGGGGTTAATTAAGGTTTTACATATTGCTATGAAAATTGACTTCCCATTAGGAGAGTCATTAAACAAAACCACTTAATGATATGAAACCAATCTTACCTGCTGTGAAATTTGTAGATTTCAGCCCAATTTGAGAAGAGGATGTCTCGATGTCCTTGCAACGCCTCAGGGATGAAAGGCATCAGGTCTGGGTTCTCCATTTCCTGGATGTAGCCTCTTAGGACGGCACATAGTTCATTGACGTACATCTTCTCCGTTTCAATCAGCTCCTTCATTACATGTCTGTAGATGAAATTTACCACAAAGGAAACAAATAAATAACTAAAAACTTCAACTTTTTAACCAGTTCGCGCCGGGATTATTTTGACATTGACCGGACCCAGGCGCGGGATTGTTTTTCATGAACCTCGATGCCAGACGGGTTCAGGCCGTCATCTGCGGGTAGCACACCCTGATATTTCTGGCCTCGCTCGCCGTGAGCGGGTCGCTGACAGATATTTCCAGCCTCGCTCGTTGCATGTTTATCCGTCATTTGTTCCGAATACCGCAAAACCTTTGGGTGTATACACATCATCCGACATGAACTGGTTAAGGCATAAGGGATCATTTGCATTTATCCCAAAAGTAACCTACTCAATTATTTTTTTTATCAAAAAGCTTACTTGGATTAAAGATTGTACTGATACTAAAACACCCTGTGAAATTATTCTGGCTGGCTTACTGTCATTTAATGTTGGTGATTTCCAATGATCAGTTAATTTGGGCGATTCACAATGCAGTGCGCCACCAAGAGTTTGACACGGAGAGTTAATTTTTTCCAGTGCATTGTGGGAGATTTCCAACGATCGGTTAATTCGGGTGATTCACAATGTAGTGCGCCACCAAAAGTTGCCACGGAGAGTTAATTTTTCCCAGTGCATTGTGGGAGATTTCCAACGATCCGTTAATTCGGGTGATTCACAATGCAGTGCGCCACCAAGAGTTTGCCACGGAGAGTTCATTTTTCCCAGTGCATTGTGGGAGATGGTCGACCAATTCACAGCTCGGGACGTTTCAAATTGTTAGTTTTTCCGGTCAGTAATTTCGTAAGCGTATAATTTGAGTACCTGTGTGCCCATTTCTTTTTATCAATACGGTGTTTATTGTAAGGCGGCAGAACGCTATAATCTATAACTAATTAGCTCAAGTTGTCTACTGACACTCATTCAAATGGGCCATGTTTTGTCGACCTTAAACTTGAAAATTGGACTCTCCATGGCAAACTCTTGGTGGCGCACTGCACTGTGAATTGCCCGAATTGACAGATGTTCGAAAATAAAGAGTACCACACATGTAGAAAGGTTGTGCATGTTATTATTTCATTTTACTGTATTCTCAAAAAGTGTATTATCCACTGAGCTGAAACTTCAACAGGTTAGGTTTTGAACATTGTTCGTTGGATTTTGGACTTTCAACTCCGTATGAAAAATTATTTACTATTTCAGAATTTGTAATTTGCTTCTTATCAACTGGGTTGAGACAAGTAATTGTAGTAAAGACTCTTGCTCAGGGACACCAGTCCCACAATGCCCTGGCTGGGTTTGAACCCACCGTCGGACTGCGTTCCACACGTACCTTCTCTTGGCAGACAGTGAACCAGAGTCGCCATTCTGTGTGTTGACGACCACACCGAGATCTGGGCTGTCCCCTCGTAATATCTCGATCTTTTTATCACTCTGTTGAAAAACAAAAAAACAACATCTTTTAGATAAAACTCTAATTTAATGAAACCAACTTCCTTAATGTTAAGGCAAGCCGTGTGTGCCCAAATTATGTGGCTGTGGCTCGGAGAAAACACATGTGTTTATATGAAGCGGCTACAGCGGCTTCCATAGGCATATGCATTATTGCTAGCCGTAGCCATGACATTAAATAACAGACTTCAAATGTATAACTTATCTCAAATTTTCATATGGCCAAAATAAAAAAAAAATAATAGTTTCTCGTCCGAACTTTTTGAAAAAAGAACGGTGCAGATTTTATTTTTGGGATAATGCCCGATGCAAGATGGCGGATGGTCTTTTTCAAAACATCCACAAAGACGGCGGATGTTGTTTTTTTCCAAAATTGACATCTCTTTTTTTAGCTTTTAAATCTGAAAATGGCTACTCATTCATATTTGAAAAAGATATAAAGACACAAAATATTTCTGGTGGGGAAAATATCTTTTAAAAAATAATGCGGCAGATTTCGCCGTTGAAAAAGGAAATATTAAATCAAAAAAAAAAAATTTTTTTTTGATGCAGCAGAAAAAAAGGATTCGGGCAGGACAAGAAACTAGTATATTTTTTTATTTGGCCTAAAATTTAACCGCAGCTTTATCGTAAGTGATATTGGCAATGGAGCTACCGGTAGCAAGCCTGAAGAACTGTGTGAGAGGCTGATGAAAAATTAATGTAAACTACCTGAGGTAGGGATGAGGGTAGTCTCGTTTCAAAACTGGATTTTTAAAATTTTATTCCCCAAAGGTTCTGTGGCTATAGAGGGCGCCACCAACAAGATGAATCAAATCCAGTGTTGGGAAGTTCGGCAGCCCTACCTAGGAAATTCTGAGCCACTCACGCGCGTGCATGAGCTTGAATACAGCGCACATGAGGTATACTCCTAATTACCCGGGTAGCGCTGCCAACTTTCCCAAGACTAGTTTTGCTTCATCTTCTTGATAGCCACCTCTACCTCGCGCTTGCCACAGACCGGCTGCATTAGAGAAATAAGTTATTCCAGTTTTGAGGCAAGACTAGATGGGGTGTGGACCATACACCATAATTCCCAAGAAACCCTTCAACCCAGATGAGATTTGAACCATGACCACAGGTGCTGGGGAGCAATGAAATGAATGACTGTACACTAACAAGAACCAGGTCCCAGTTGACCTATGTTTAGTTATTGAATTAATTTATAATTTCGAATTATTAGCTGCCAAACAATAATTCAGCTTTCACCGGGTAGGCTGGTTCTCGCCCCACAATTAGCATCAATAATGCACAGACCGGGAACCAGTCTGCTCGCAAAGCAGATCTGTTTGAGCCCAAAACGAAAACCCTTTTTTTCCAAAGCATTCCAGACATCCCCAAAAAATTAAGAAAGGAGTTTTTGGTTGGAATAAAACAAACTAGTCAAAAATGTATCCATAGAATAAAACTTGAATACGTTGAAGGGCACAGGGAATGTGAAAGAAAAGACAACAAAAAACTTCTAAATCTCTTTAAAAATGACACAAACGTTTAAACTGATCCAAATATTTAAAAGTGTACTTTGTATTTACGTTGTATGTGATACGTGATACGCCCACTAGTGTTTATATACAAATACAACAAATATTTAATTTACAAAGCATAAGAGGCACTGGTACTTGGTCACAACTCAGGAAGTTTAATTGGTTGCATTTTTCGACAACCCAAACATTTTTGCTTTGTTATTAACAACATATTTTTCATAAACTCAGTTTGCTGTGTCTAATAATTTCAATACGCTATCCAGCAGATATTTTCCAACCACTTTATTAACTCTGCCAAGGAGGTTTTGTTTTCATTGGATTTGTTAGTTGGTTGGTTGGTTGGTTGGTTGTCTGTTCACAAGATAACTCAAAAAGTTATGGACACATTGGCATGAAATTGTTTTTAGGGGTGGTCCTTGCTGCAAGTACAAATCGATTAGATTTTGGAAGTGATCCGGATCTGGATCTAGATCCAGGATTTCTCAAAAGGATTCGTCACCATTTCTGCGAGTTTTTCTTTGGGTGTACTGACAATATGGCGGGCAATTGTTTAGCCTCGGCAGAGGTTTGCGCTCTCTGAGTGCTTTCTAGTCTCTCAAATGCGACATAAGTGTTTGCAAAATATTTAAATGTTTAAACGTTGTGCGAAAGTTTTGCTCAACGTTTACCAAATTAAAACTAAATTCCAATCTTTCATTTAGCATGTGCTGCCCTCATCAAATTCATCCACATAAGCCAATAAAACAGCCGTTGTGTCTCAGGCAAAAAAGGAAGGGGAGCAGTGAATAAGTAGGGCACCGGTGATGAAAGGTCGCTGTGTTCACAAACTGGGATTACACAACTGTTGTTTCTGGCAAAACACCTCCGGTGAAAGACCTTCCATTTCTTCTGCGTGTAGTATCGAATTGTTGAAAGGGGGGGGGTGTTGGAAGGGGGAGGGGAGGGGGCTTACCGCAGGGAAGGACATCTAAATATATCACAGCCCACGTAAATCCAAGATTATAACAGTTTCCTGCTGGTTAATTATAGCTTCCTTTAATCGGCCTCATTTCAAACAGTTGTTTTGAAAGCATGAACGATTGGAATGTTTAGACCGTGTCACATCTGTTCACAGGGGTAATGTCATAGCAAACCTTCAGCAAACAGTTCTATTCTCCACTGCATGTATATCTCTTAAAATATGGGTGAAACATAACAATATTTTCCACCTACAATTGTAAACCCTTTCTTTCCCAAGTACAGGGGTGTGAGTGACCACTGATAAAAATAGCTGAAAACAGCTGAAAAAAGGTGTAAAAAAGCTGAACTTTGGAAATGTCCTATACTTTTGTACACAGCAAGTGAGCGAAAACAGCTGAAATCCAACACAAAAAAGCTAAAATCAGCTTTAAAGCCGAGATTTCACACCCCTGCTAGTGGCTGTTTATTGTAATGTCCGTGGAAAGCGAATAGTGGTAGTTATTGTTGATTAACATTAACCAGGATACAGGTTTTGAACAGCGCCCCCATGGGAAGATGGTGTCCACCCCCCCCCCCCTCCACTATTTGATTTTACGGAAATCGGGTGTCCGTGCAAAAAACCTGTCTACCTTTCAGGCACCCCCCCCCCCACACACACCCCCTTAGGATGAGAACCCTGGCTACGCCGCTGGAAACAAGGTATCCTGGTACATGTACATAGGCACCAGACTTTAGGCTGCACGACTCCTATGCAAACCCCTCAACAACAAAAAATTCAACTTAGTTTGCAAAGATTGATAAACATGTGCAGCAAAGCGCTCCGCATTTAAAAAGGAAACCGTACCACATCCTGCACAGAGTTTCTCTTTTGATTACAAAATGGTTCTGTTTATTTATCTTACTGTTTCTAAACCTGTACACGAGGCAAAAATGAACCATAAACTGTGCTGACGGAAACGAAACCTGATAGAGCTCAAAACCCCACGGGCGTAAATTTACAATCCTAGATTAAATCCAAGTAACAATCACTCCAAGTAGAAAATATACTTTCCTTCTTTAAAAAGCAAAACGGCTAAAATAACTTAAAAAAAAAAAAATCTTTACAAATGCTTTACCTCCGCCAAGGAGATTACAATTTCATCGGCGTTTGTTTGTTGGTTTGTTGGTTTGTCCGTTAACAAGATAACTTAAAAAGTTATGGACAGATTTGCATGAGAATTTCTTTAGGGGTGGTCCTTGGTACAAGTACAAATCGATTAGATTTTGGAAGTGATCCGGATCTGGGTCTAGATCCAGGATTTTGTTTAAAGGATTCTTCACCATTTTTGCGAGTATTTCTTTTGGGTGTACTGACAATATGGCGGGGAATTGTTTGGGCTTGGCGGAGGTTTGCGCTCTCTGAGTGCTTTCTCGTAAGATTTCTTGTTTTCAATTAAATTCTATAAAAATTTAAATCATTTTCTGAAAACTACTTCACCATTTTAAACTTCTGATTACCTGAAGACTATAAGTAGATCATACACAATGTATAAATTGTCCTGAATCTGAGTTTTTACATCGAGGTATAAATTCATTCTAGTCAGCACACATGGCCATTGAAAATATCATCTTTTTTTTCAATCAATATTTGATGCTTGCAGTCAACTTCCCTCTCAAATTTTATGCATACTTCCTCATTCTATTTTGAATATTAAGATGTGTCAACTTTTTTATTTAATTATTTCTTGACAGCATTCAGGGCATTGTTATCCCAGAACACAGTGTGTGCGATGATCAAGTTTACCACTTTGTCTGGTACAAAAAAAAATGTTGTTTTTGAAAAAAAATGAGGTCATCTAAAAAAATCAAACACTGAACAACCAAATACCGATTGGATTGAACGATCAAAAAACAACAATAACGACACATCTGCGAAAAATTAATGAACACAAACCTAGCAGTAACAAAACCCCCATTTTTCCTCCTTAATATTTCTGTAATTTGCCAATAATCCAGCATGCAATTTACCGGATTTTCAGGAAAAGTTTGCAGTTAGTTTTTGGGGTTTTTAACACATTCAAATATTATGGTATTCAGTCAATCTTTGTTAAACACAACATTGAAAAAAAATATCCATTTCAGTTTCTAGTGTTTTAGAAGCAGTTACGTAGATTAAACTTTCATTGAAAAGTTTATATTAGGTTGATATTAATAAAAAGTGATAACATCAAAGATTACAGAAAATAAACAAAAACAACAACAAAGCAACATACACTAGCATTACATGCAAAAATAAAATCCAACTTCAAAAGTAAAAGTATAAAGATTTTAGGATAAGTAATAAAACAAACAAAACTTAAGCTATAAAAATAAAGTGTGGCGAAAGTTAAAAAAGAAATTTGTTACACCGTTTAGTCATGCAGTGAAGCTACAGTGAATTATCTCGGTGCACACCCGTACTGGAAAGGGAACAGCAAATTTGGTGCACACCCGCGGGAAAGCGAACAGCAAGCTTTGGCGCTATTCCTGGCCCAACTCCTACATGCATGGAACACACAGAAACAGAAGAAAGGGATAGCCCAGGATGAGACTAGTGCACTACTGGGGAAAAACCCGGTGGAAATGGAACAGCGAAAGTGCTATGTGTACATGCACTGATGAATTCAACTATGGCCAAGTTCGGGCAAGGACCATTAGTCGACTAGTGGTTGATTTGTGACGTACCTTACGCCTGCGCACTAATAGCAAAGTGCGAACGTCTCTAGTCGAACGCTGGTCAAAATGTCATTGCAAAACGTCTGGATCCTGGCTCCCTGCTGTACGTTATGAACGCGCGCGGCTATGGTTACCAGCGAAGCAACCAACCCCAGTAGGTTGGTTCCAAATAGTCGACTAGCGTAGTTAACCATCGTCGACTAGACAGAGTTCGGGCAAGCGTTAGTCGACCAATGGTTAACTATAGTCCTTGCGCGAACTTACCCTTAGATGTATTTTTGGGCCAATAGAGTGAAGCGCCCTCAATTGTTTTCATTAAGATAGTCACAGGCAAATGCGCAACTTAACACTTAACCATTTCGCGTCGAATGACTTGTACACACGCCAAGGTTTCGCAGTATTCGGAACGGTCTTATGATGACGTCATACCTTTGAAGCATGTTGTTGGCTACATTTTGATACCCCGTTTGCTACCAAAGACTGTACATCGTCCAAGATTGACAATGGTTTATGAAAAATGATGCAGTTTGAAAAGTTGCAAATTTAAAGATTACGTGAGGAGAAATTGGTAAGCGCAAACAAACGCGCCCGTAATTGGCCCTTTTGACTGCACAGTGCCCGAACAAAGCGCAGGTATTTCAATTTTTTGCTCCCATGCATACATGCACTGTGCGATCGGTATTCCCTGCCATTCATTTCGGGCAGTGTAACATTGTCAGGCAGTAATTTCTCCTCGCGTAATCATTAAATTTGCAACGTTTCAAACTACATGATTTTTGATAAACCGTTGTCAATGTTGGACGAGTTACAGTCTTTGGTAGCATCAAAATGTAGCTAACAACATTCCCCAAAAGTCTATATAAATGACATTTTCATAATTTCTTTCTTATTTTGGGGTGTTGGTGTTTACATAAGGGTGAAGATAAAACTTTCTGCAAGTTGTATGTGAATCTAGTTTTTTTTTTTTTTTTTATTAAAGGGAATGTACAACATTTGCTTTTGCTTCAATTTTCAGAAATAAATGGATTTGGAGGATTAGTATGTTATAACAAATATTGTTAAAATGACTTGTTTTACATTTTGGGCTTGTAGATGCTGGAAAACCTGAGAAAACCTGCAAGGTACAAGCCAATATTTGTTATAACATACTAATCCTCCAATCCATTTCTTTCTGAAAATTGAAACAAAAGCAAATGTTGTACATTCCCTTTAAAAAAAAAAAAATCAAGATTCACATAAAACCATTCATGTTCTTGTAGTCTGGTTCCCTGACCCCACTTAAGACGAAACAGAGAACTTATATACATTGGCGAATAGTAAGGTCAGAGAATCAGTCGAGCAGGCTTGTACCCCTTCACAGGTGTGTAAGAGTTTTTGCAGTTTTGCAGCAAAGCGTTTGCAAGCAGTTTTTGAAAAAAGGCAGTTTTCTCCAACGCTGGTCGGCTGACCAGCATTGGAAAAATACAATTTTTCTTGAAAATGCAAGCACACCAGAAGCCACGATTTTACAGGATGCTTTAAGACTGTCATTCCCTAACAATCCAGTATTGATCATTTTGTTTTGTGATGTTTGCAAATATTATATCTTCCCTTTAAGTGAAGAGAGAAATGAATAGACCCCGATACACCAGACTACAGAGATATTACCGTGTATTTTGTACCTGAAAGGGCATCGGCACATACAGTTGATGTGACGGGAACGGTATTGGGGCCTTGAAGACAATGTTAGTAAACAACAACAACAGTAAACAATGGTTAATAATAGTAAACAACAAAAAGGGTGAGGCAAATTATATAACAAAATAAAAAACACATTGATGGAAAGTAAAACGAACATGGAGAAATTAGTAGAATGTGGTCAAAGCTGTGGGCGAGAAGTTAAACATGTGCCAAGTGGTACAAACCACAGCGGCCGGATAACGTGTGAAGGCGGCTTACGGCACCGTGCACGGACGCACCCGGGCTGTACCGGTACCTCGCGAGTACAGAAAACGAGAACGAATGGGGTGTCATCTAATATGCACAAATATGCCTTATGCTAGCAATCCCCAGCTCCGGCATGGTCTGGTGTCTTTGTGCCATTCTCACCCATTGTGAACAATGTATTGGTGCTGAGCGTCTCTTACGTAACTATGCAAGAGCTTGCCCCGAATCATGTGATTAGCAACAGTGTCGTTGGTCTGGAGAATTCAAAGTTAAAATGTGCCAAGCATTCTGAGCAAGTCAGTGTACCAGACGTTTTTCAAATTTAAATCCAAAAGGGTATACCAGAAGGTCACTCGCAAATGGCTTAATGTGAGGTAAGAATCTTTTTTTTTTTTCATGACACTTGGTATACTAGCGTATGATATCACAGCAACAGCGCCCTCAGTTGTCCGGAAAAGCATGGACAATTTTAATCGTTTAAAAAAGTGCACGTTTGAATACAATTAACCAAAAAGGGATGTCAAATAGTTTTCAGACATTTAGGAGTAGAAAGTTGCACAAAATGTGTGCCTCAGAAAAATTTGTTTCACGAACACTTTAAAGCTATAGTCCATCATTTGCAGCCATCCGAAAAAGTAACTGGCGTATTATTGTTGAAAAACATACTTGGTTGAAAGATAGTAAGTGGACTAAACTCCCTGTGAAATTAAGCTTTCTGGCAAGCTATCATTTTGAAAGAAAGAAGGCCTTTCCAACGGTGCATCTTAAGACGCACCGTAGGAAAATTTAAATTAGTAGTTCGTTTTGTCATTCGGCGCAGCGCGCGCAAGCATTGGCACGACGCACAGGCGCGCACGGTTGCTATAATTCGTCAGATCAGTGCGCGACATCGCGTATACAGGTATAGCTGCAATTCAAAACAATTCAAAACATGATTCAGCAACTTTTGATTTGAAATTGAGATCCTAGAATGCTGTTTTTCTCGGAATATACAGCTGAAGCTGAGCTGAAACTTCATCAGGTTAGTTGTTCAGTACCCTTCTTTAGATTTTGAACACTTTTGTTGCTTCAAACGAACAAAATGCACAAATTACAAATGATGGACTATATCTTTAAGTTCTTAGTTTCTGGTGTCTACTCAATGAACAAACAGGACACAGTACAAATCATCAGTGAATACACAGATCAAATTCTACTATAAACGGAAATCTGTGTGTTAGTATTACATTCAATGTGAATGAATGGATAAGTGTAGAACAAGGAAACAAACGTACATTTGTGCACACAGATACGGACCGCCTGTTGTCGACGTGTCCCTGTTAATATCATCCTTGGTCAATTATACATATCAAAATACAATCATTCTTAATCAACAGGATGACAAAATTCCCAACTTTCTTATTCATTTGAGTACATCCACAAAGGGAGATATTTTCTATCAAAGTTTCTAGCAATAAATAACAAAAATTTGTTCAATGTTGATTGAGGCATTAAATGAAGAAAACAAAATATTGGCCCACGTTTTTTAGTTATATGAAAAAAAAATTACCACACAAATTTCACATTATTTGTTGTCCTGACATGAATTCAGTTCTTGCAGGGTAGACTGGTTTCCGACCCCTATCAGACTCAATGTATGGACTATAGGAACCAGACAAATGGAAAAAAAATAATATTCGCCCACTTTTTTAGCGAAATGAAAAAAAAAATGAATGTACAAATTTCACATTATTTGTGATCCTGAGAAGAATTCAGTTCTTGCAGGGTAGACTGGTTTCCGACCCCTATCAGACTCAATAATGTATGGACTAGGTAGGAACCAGACTTCTCGCTGGGCCAATCTGTTTATGCACAAAGGTAACCCAAAATAAAAATCATTTTTGTAGAGGGTTGCAGATTCCAAAATTGAAAAAAAAATTAGGTTGTTTCCCCAAAAATATACAGTTTTATTTCTTCTGACAATTTGGGAACCATTGCGCCATCATAGGGCTGGATAGCTCAGTCAGTAGAGGGCCGGGGCGGCAATCCGGAGGTCGCAGGTTCAAACCCCGCTCCCGTCAATTTCTTTGTTTAACTTTATGATTATTGACTTGAAAATATGTCAGAATACAAACATGAATTCGTTGAACAGCACAGACGGTATATCTTAAAATTCACATATCCTACTTAAACTAATGAGTTGTTAATTAATTCAACACTATTGCACCCGTTAGACTCACTTGATCCTCAAAGTCGGTCAAATTTGGTCTCAACTCGGCGGGAACACTTCGTCTCCATGACAATTTACGAATCATGACCAGACTCGTGTCCACAACCATGACGGAGCTCCGCACCAAAATAGAAAAAAATCCCACCACACTAAACTCTGTGTCCTGCTACACTATAAATCCGTCGCCTGGACGTCCATCAACTGTTAGTGAAGACTCTAGATTTGCCGGTACATCCTCATTCTACTTTTCTCTGACCTCACTTTAACCTTTCTTTATCCTGCTGCTCATCATCCGGGCCTCTGATTGGCCCACTCTGACCTTCCAGGGTGTTTGTAATCAATGGCTTCCTTTCCTCCAATTAGCCAGGCCCGATTCGGACAATCTGATTGGCTAACGCCTGACCTCTTTTATGCATAATTAATCACTTCTAATCCTGTATCCGGCACATTTTTTTTATGTGCCTTGTTTTTCCAGCAGCTTGTTTTTCCAAAAAATGAAAGGGTAACTTTGGCCAGCTGGTTGCATTTACTGAAACTTTCACAATCACATTCCAACATCGGAATCTTGCCACAAACAAAAACGAAAGTTATAATTCATTTGTTTTTAAAGGGAATGTACATCATTGGCTTTTGCTGTAATTTTCAGAAATGAACTATTTGACGGGCTAGTAGCCTATAATAGATCAAATATTTTTACACTGACATGTTTGAAGTTATGTGTTCAAAAATACTTGAAAACAAAGAAAAACTAAAATGTTCAAGTTGTCTTGTATCCTGACTCCACTAAAGATAAAATGGATCAATTTGTAGATACGGAAATTTGTTAGCTAAGGGAACCAGTCTAGCTGGCCTGCACCCGTTCATGAATGTGTAACCAATAGCAAACACAATTTGGACTGAAAAAATATGGTAAATTTGGAGCAGTAGTTGAAAAATAGTTAGGTTTTCCAACGTATACAAAAATACAATTTTCTTGAAAATGACTTGACACCAGGTGCCAGAATTTTACAGGATGCTTTAGATTGTCATTTACCAACATCCTATAGTAAGCTTTTACGTAAAAACTTGGTAGTTTTGTTTTTCGATGTTTGCAAATGTTGTATATTCCCTTTAAAAATAGATTAGGCCTAATAGGTGGCTGCAGATCTGTGTTTTTCAAAACAAAAATTAAATAAAAGTTCTCGAAATCTCTCGCAGCCATATGTGAAAGGAGAGCGGCTAAGGATAACCACACACACAAATCTATAGTAGATAGCCAAGCCATAGTCAGAAATACCCCATATGGCTTAATTACACTCAATATTTTTCAGGTATCGCCTTAAGGCCCACACATCGGCTGTACATCAGAGCTGTGCATTTTGAATAATTTAGTATTCGGTTATTCCAACTTGGACTCGATCAAATACTCAAATATTCAATTTTGAAATGCACTGATCAAGTTAAGTATGCGCCAATCTAAATTTGCTACCAATTGGGATTTTGCGCGCACCTGTGTTTGTCAAAAATTGACAAAGAGCTTATTAAAATAATACAAAGACCAGGTGGCAGAATGGCCGATATTTGACAAATTTTTAAGAAGAAATTTGAGCTAATGTTCCTCACAGAAGCTCTTGAGTCATGCGCAAAAGTGTCTTTCAACAAGAGTGTGGAATTTGACAAGCAATAAAACCACGCAACTTATACACTCAACCAATAAAGAAAGTCCCCCCTTCCAATACTTTTTTGTCTAACTCAAAAACTACTGAGCATCTCTCGCTCAAATAACGACTAATCAGTACAGAAATTCCTTAGCAATCCAGCCATACTCTTTATTTGGCCCAAAACAGTGATAATGTGTACGAATTTATGCAGTTTATGACAAATGATACCGAAAACAGTTGCACTTTTGTATATAGTTGTGGTTCACACTCACCTTGCATGTATACAAAAGTGCAACTTTTTTTTGGTAGCATGTGTCATAAATTGCATAATTGTGAACACGTTATCACTGTTTTAGGCCAAACAAAGAGTATGGCTGGATTGCTAAGGAATTTCCGTACTGATCAGTCGTAATTTGAGCAAGATGTGCCCAGTAGTTTTTGAGTTAGACCAAAAAGGATTAAGGGGGCTTTCTTTTTTGGTTGAGTGTACGATTAAAATAACGTCGTCGACGTTTTTGATCATCTGCTCCAGATCGCTCATATTTTTTGAATATTTGAATCGAATAAACTATTTGGATATATTGCGTTGATTATCGAATATTCAATTTTTCGGCACAAACCTACTGCGAATGTGACGTGTTTTGCCATTTTTTCCCTACATGTCAAGAAATGTTGGCGCACCATACTATGCCCTATGCCAGCATCTTTACGTTGACACTTTAACACATGTCACTGCAGTGCTGCACTCCACAAAGGAGCGACAATGTCTACTTTAACGATGAGATCAACACAATTTCCCAAAAGAGTAATAAGGAAATAAAGTGTATATAAATCAAACCTGTGCAACGTAACTGTTGATATTGAAGGTTTGATATTGATGCGTTCCTACCAATTGTAAACAAAAAGCTGCATTAAAGGGAATATACAACATTTGCAAACATTGGAAAACAAAACTACCAAATTTTTATGAAATACCTTACTACCGGTAAGATGTTGGTAAATGACAGTCTAAAGCATCCTGTAAAATTATGGCACCTGGTGTGAAGTCATTTTCAAGAAAATTGGTATTTTGTATAAATTTCCTACGGTGGTCGGCCGACCACCGTTGGAAAAACCTAACTATTTTTTCAGTTACTGCTCCGAATTTACCTTTTTTTCAGTCCAAATTTTGTTTGCTATTGGTTACATGTTCATGAACGGGTGCAGGCCAGCTAGACTGGTTTCCTTATCTTACAATTTTCGGGCAGCAATAAATTGATTCGTTTCATCTTCAGTGGAGTCAGGGAACCAGACTACTTGAACATATTTGTTTTTCTTGGTTTTTCCAGCATTTTCGAACACAAAACTTCAAACTTGTCAGTGTAACAGTATTTGATCTATTATACTAACCCCTCAAATAGTTCATTTCTGAAAATTACAGCAAAAGCCAATGATGTACATTCCCTTTAAAGAGATAATCACTTTTTCCAGTTTTTCTTCAAACTAAATTATAATCATAACCACCTTAAATGCCTCATCTTAAAGGGAAAGTCCTCGGACAGCACAGCTTATACAGTTCAATAAGAATCACAACAGTGAAATTACGTTGGTTTAAAGGGAAAACCCAATACTGCATATATTCCTGATGCAAAACAAATCATACATCTACATACTATATTTTTTCTAAGAAAAAAACATGAAGAACACGTACATGCACAATGAACTACAATCACTCATTAGTACCCTGCTCATTTCACCAATAAAACATTCAAACGCCAATCTTGGCTCTCTGAGGTGCGTACAGCTCAATGCTCACAGTTTGGCACAAATCTACCAATATCAATCACAAAAACCATTTCTGCCCTCACAGGTACCCATTTACTCCTGGGTTAGAAGAGGTGTCTCGCCTACGATGTACGTATAGGGGAGTGTGGCCTAGCGGTAAGGGTTCGTGACTCATGATCAGAGGGTCAAGGGTTCGAATCCAGCTGCTAGCCATATGTTGTGTCTTTGGGCAAGCCACTTTATCCCCACTTGCCTCTCTCCACCCAGGAGCACAAATGGGTACTGGCATTAGCTGGGGAGTAACCTGCGATGGACTAGCATCCCATCCAGGGAGAGTAGAAATATTTGCAGTCGGCAATGCCACGTGAACTGGAGATAAACGCCAGCCTGATGGGCCATATTGGCTTGTGACAGACTTTACTTTACTTTTGTCTTTCCTACATGTAGCGACACGTGCACCGCAACCCCTTAGACTGGACTCGAACCCACAACCTGCAGAATTACCCACAGATTATGAGTTCCACGCTCCAGACCACAACGCCACAGCACTCATATAATAGTCTTTGACTCACCTTAGCACTGTAACCTTTGACCTTCTTGTTCTTTGGTTTCCGCGTCTCGTTGGGCGATCCGTTGGCAGACGTTAGGGACAGACCAGGGGACCGCGACCTTGACCCAGCGGGTACCGGGGTAGCCGGCACGATCTGAACGGGTCTCTCGCACTTGGCGATCACCTTCTGCAGCGACTCCTGTCGCTTCTCAAACATCATCTTGACGTCCTCCATCTTGGTGACGGCTTCGTGGACAATAGCCTGTGTGACAAGCCAATCGGAATCGGCGTTACTTTACTGACCGACCAATTGGAATCGGCGTTAGTTTGAGAACTGACCAATGGGAATTGGTTTTAGTTAAAACTGAGCATGCCAACCGAGCAATCAAAAGACATGTCAGTTTTCAACAGACCTTTCTGAAAGAAATATGTTGAAATATTAATGACATGTTACCATGAGTAAAGATATAACAGTTGCTGTACCCATGCTCTTCAACATACATTCAATTTTTAGCTCCTAAAAAATTTCCAATTTGTACATGTTAATCAAATGGAAAAAAAAACCTTTTTGTATTTTTTCGGACGTGTTGAACCTTCTACAGATATTGTTTTATTCTGGGATGCCTACACGCCCCTAATTCACAAAAAGATACACCGAAATTATTGTCTACCTGCAAATTTGTTAAGTAAATATTCTATATGAACTAATACTAAGCCAGTTCAGTATTCAACTGCGCATGCGCACAATGATATGGGTCAGGGGTCATGCGGGATAATCGAATGCTCATCGAAGGCACATGAACGTGCAGGGAGATGCGCGCACGACGCTTGCGGGTTAATTACGAGCAGAATTGGCATTCACTTAACTCGCGTAGCATCGCGTCAGCGATTTTATCCCGAATGACCTTTGGCCTGAACTACTTCACCCAAATATCGAACTGGCTAATTGTGGATGGATTGTTTGTTTGATGTCTCGTTAAAAACTGAATGACTTTTGTACACTGCTAGAAAAATGAGCAATTAAAGCTTCCTTCGCAAGATTTTCTGAAATTGATAAGCCCCACCAGGGGACAAACAGACTTCTTTCCTTGATATTTCAGTAATTTTTAATTTTTTTATTTTCCAAGGAATTCAGAAACCTACCGGTAGCATCAGTGTTAGTAAATAATATGCCCAAATGCATCTAGTAAAACAATAAAATTCAATTCAAATTAAAACTACAAACTATTTAGTCCGTTTGAGTCAAATCTATCAAATTGGTTAATTAACAAAAATGTTGGGGGGAAAAAAATCAAGCACTGAACGAAATTCCCAAGCTAAAAGATTGCAAAAACTGGTTTTTGAATTCATCTGGCCACTGATAACGAATTTCCCACAAGGGGCGGAAACAGGGTCCATCTTGGTCTAGTCAGGGGAGCTTTTTTAGGGAAGGGGTTTGAAAGAGTAAGGGTCAGAGTATAGTTTGGGGATCATTAACCGAAGAAGCTCATGTAGCAGCACTTCAACCAGGCAATAAAAAGGGGGGTGGGGGCGAAATGACAGCATACCATGCGCAATGATTTCACAGGATGTTCGTTTCTATGATTGAACTTACCGATACATTCATAAATACCTAAGACAGTTTACTCATTCCCATTGGTCGACAGCCCATTTTGTGGCCGGTCTTTAAACAGATGATAAAGACATGGCTGGCTTGTCTTACATAGTAAATAACCACTTTTCAAGTGTCGTATGGAATTTGGACTCCTATGAAATCCAGTGCCTTTTACCGTTTTAATGGTTGAGCGTTCATAATCCTCACATAGGCATGCGTTACACTACTGGTGAGTCAAATTTCAAAGTCCTAAATTCACACTGCATCGGCACAGCTGCGTTCTGCGTGGCATCGTGCATTATGCGCGGCATCGTGCATTACGCGCGCCAATCTCCATATAAGGAGTTGTTTACAACGTGGACACTTTACACCGGTAGTTTATGACTTATTTTGACCGAAAAGTTTTGAGTTTTTGATCAAAAATGTGTTCTTGACCAAAAAAATATGACCCTCGCCTTCAGCTCAGGTAATTATCAACAGACTCCAACCGTCTTAAACAGAGTGCTAAAAACCGGCCAAGCACACATTTATTCCCTTAAGTTAATTAAGGAGAAGATTTCCTACTATTTTGGCTGTTTGCGTTTTTGAAAGTTTGCAAATGGTGTCCGTGGCCTTGAAACACCAACTGCCTTATTATTTCCTCACAAAAATTGCAACACTTTAACCTCCTAAAAAATTGCTTCGAATTATCTAAGCCAGAAACTCACCTTTAATTCTACGCGTTCTGATTCTTCCCATTTTGCGCTCAATGCAGAACTTTCAACTTATCAAACTAGTCATGGCTAATCGTCAAATGCGAAGACAAGACCATGTGCAGTACTTGCACATACTTCTTTCAACCACAATTTCATTCTAATGTTCTTGTGGTTTTCAATTTTTTCCATTGTGAATCATTTCACAATAAGTCCGTGTGAATATAGGCTTGGGGACTTTACAAGTTCCTTCAATACAGGAAGCACGTGTGCATGGCTCGTTTGCAAAGATTTAGCGGTTTTCAAAAGCAGAAGTGGTCATATACATTACTATGAATGGTGAAATCATATATGGTATCTCAATCTTTGAAAGAGAAGTGAATCTGGAAATTCTATCCATCAATGCTACAATACACACACAAGTGTGTGTAAAACATCTGCAAGTTTCTCTATATCAATATGCCTGTGCAAAGCCAGGAATATGTATATATTTACGCTATTTTCATAGAATTAAAAAAATTTTGTAAACGTTTGTAAAGACGGCATCAAGATCAAACTTCGCAGTTTCATATGAAGTTACAATTTTTTTTCACTTTCACATTTCCCATCAACCAAACAGCAAAAGGGGAGGGGTTTTAAACTACATGAATATTCATATGGGATGTCCCACTGGCAAGTTAAGGGGTTGTTAATGTTAAATTGGGTTTCGCCCTTCGCCGATGTATTTTTATAAACACTGTATACTCAATGTTGTCTGAGGGCTCACAAGAAAAAATTCACAACTTTACTCGGGTGGGAGTCGAACCCTCGACCTCCTGCTTACTAGTGCAGACATCTTACCACTCGACCATTGAGGTCGGCTAGCTGGTTAGAGTCCACATAGCAGCGGGTACCGCAACCAAAAATTCCAACTTACAAAAAATGTTTGTTTGTGGTAACCGCTGCTTTGAATGGACTCGAACCAGCCAGACGACCTCGGTGGTCGCGTGGTAAGACGTCTGCACTATTAAGCAGGAGGTCGTGGGTTCGAATCCCACCCAAGCGAGCTCGTGATTTTGTCTCGCAAACCTCAGACAATACTGAGTATACAGTATTAATGAACATTAGGGGTGTGCATTTACAGGATCTGGTACACAGTACCCTGTGGAGACATGTGCACAATAGGGAACAAAAGATTGTATACGTCTCCAGAGAGTAATTTCTATAGGTGAATACGTCTCCACAAGGTTATCACGAAACAGATATATGGATTTTACTCAAAAACTAGGAATTTCCAAGGTGTGTTGATACGTCGCAAATTGAAGTATTTTATGTAGGGGATAATAAGTCCGAATTTCAGCCCAGGAAATCCATTCTGGTTAAAATAGGAGCATTTTGGAACTATACTTTCAAACTCGAAAACTTTAGTACAGGAGAACAAAGAAAGGACTCCACAAGGATACAAATTTCAGTTTGTATGTATTTACGGGCATCGGATACCCAATTGAAAAAAAAACAAACAAGGGTATCCAGGTATCGAGTGCAGTAACCCAAAATTTGAGTCTCTTGAAAAGCTGCACTGTACAGTTTGTTCATAAAGGTCCGCACGATAATAGAAGCACATCGGTGCGTCAATATAGCAAGATACAAGCGTGAACAGTGGGCTCAATACGCAGCTTCACGGTGTAAATTGCATTTTCGCAAACGTCATCAACATGAAGCTGTTTTGTTTTTCCATGTAGCCTGGTTTTCATTTTGAAAATTCTCCGCAACTGACATTCAAAACCTTTCTTTTTAATTATCTGAGAAGTTACTAAGTAATTTGTAAAGTTGGTTACGGATGCTCGATCCCATAATCTGGAACCGGTTCCTGACATCAGCGGTCGGGTACCGGGTACCCGGTTTTGATGCACAGCCCTAATGAAAATACGTCGGTGAATTGCAAAACCCCAAATAAAATTTACATCACCCCGACGCAAAAAGAAGGTTGTTAGTATCATAAACAAACACAAGCTTGGGGTGGAGGGGTCTATCTAAAAAATATACTCTGCTTTTAATGGGAAGAAATGCCGAATGAAAAAAGGGGAAATCTAGAACGAAGAAAGGTTATTAACCAAAAATGTACTAAATCAAGATTCTATCCTCATGCAAGAACAATGAACACTTCTTCAAGTTTGTCATCACATGGCAGTAGAGGGCGCTAGACAGAAATTGTTGATCAAAATGATGTCAAAATTGTAACCAATCACTCTATAAATGAATAAACGATTTCATTTCAAAAAATGTTTTACAATTAAACTGTGCACTATATGGTACTGCATGGCAAAAATCACACTTTTGTTACATGTATGCAAGTAATCTGTGAAATTTTATATTACAAAAAAATTAAAATTGCCTTGTATATTTGGCGATTGAACTTAAAGGAAATCGTTCACTGCCATGCCTGCACTTGTTCTTTCCCAATCAACAGCGCCCTCAACAGTCAGCGGACAATACTTCCAAATATGTTCATTATTCATTCAAAATGCACTTTTTTTTAAAGGAATTACTGAGACGATAAATGTTTATGCCTACCAACCTCGTAATCAGGCTCCTGGTAGGGACACAACAAACAAGGCAAGATATGTCAACAACAACATCAACAACAACAACCATGCAGAAATTACGATCACGACAACGACAACCAAATCAAAAAAGGGACAGAAAATTGAAAGTGACTCCAGCAAACACTACAACTATATATAAAATTCTGCCTTCTGAAATGATAGATGCAATTTTGAGGTCACATTTAGAATCTTTCACACACAAAAGTAATAACATGTACAAATAAGAAAACAAGATAGATAAACTTAAACTTTCCTGATAACATTGAAATAAGTTAATGCGCTCCCTAAGAAATATAGTTATGCAGTTAGCAAGGTGACAAATCTAGATCAATTTTTTATGTACCTGTAGGTTGCCACAGAAATCATTTTAAAACTTGAAACTTAGTGAAGACAGAAAACCTGCACAATATATGTTCATTTGATATCATTAGCAAGTCTCGATTGGCATTCTGAACTGTTACCATTATTGACAGTGAAAAAGTTGACAAACTTGAAGAACGTAATCCTCGAATGGGATTCGAACCATCGATAAGGAAGATATGCAAATCGGTTTCAAATAAGGTTGTATACTCTTAGAAATGTATGTCATGTGTTGTAGTCGAGTTTATCCAAAGTCCTCATAAGTCAATTAAAAGTCCTGCAGTCCCAATTCAACTCACAAGCTATTCAAATGAGCTTTGACAAAGGCATTCCTTTGTTATTGTTCATCCACTGTTTCTTGTGACTGGACTTGTGATTTAGTTGTGAGTGGACTTGTGAGTGGACTTGTGAGTGGACTTGTGAGTGGACTTGTGAGTGGACTTGTGAGTGGACTTGTGAGTGGACTTGTGAGTGGACTTGTGAGTGGACTTGTGAGTGGACTTGTGAGTGGACTTGTGACTGGACTTGTGACTGGACTTGTGACTGGACTTGTGACTGGACTTGTGACTGGACTTGTGATTGGACTTGTGACTGGACTTGTGACTGGACTCGTGACTGGACTCGTGACTGGACTCGTGACTGGACTCGTGACTGGACTCGTGACTGGACTCGTGACTGGACTCGTGACTGGACTCGTGACTGGACTCGTGACTGGACTCGTGACTGGACTCGTGACTGGACTCGTGACTGGACTCGTGACTGGACTTGTGACTGGACTTGCGACAGGACTTGTGACTGGACTTGAGACTGGACTTGTGACTGGACTTGTGACTGGACATGTGACTGGACTTGTGACTGGACATGTGACTGGACTTGTGACTGGACTTGTGACTGGACTTGTGACTGGACTTGTGACTGGACTTGTGACTGGACTTGTGACTGGACTTGTGACTTGACTTGTGACTGGACTTGTGACTGGACTTGTGACTTGAACCACGACTGGACTTGTGACTGGACTTGTGATGGACTTGCGACTGGACTTGAGACTGGACTTGTGACTGGACTTGTGACTGGACTTGTGACTGGATTGTGATTTACTTATTTACTTGTGACTGGACTTGTGACTGGACTTGCGACTGGACTTGTGACTGGACTTGTGACTGGACTTGCAACTGGACTTGCGACTGGACTTGTGACTGGACTTGTGACTGGACTTGCGACTGGACTTGTGACTGGACTTGTGACTGGACTTGCAACTGGACTTGCGACTGGACTTGTGACTGGACTTGTGACTGGACTTGTGACTGGACTTGCAACTGGACTTGCGACTGGACTTGTGACTGGACTTGAGACTGGACTTGTGACTGGACTTGCAACTGGACTTGCGACTGGACTTGTGACTGGACTTGTGACTGGACTTGTGACTGGACTTGTGACTGGACTTGCAACTGGACTTGCGACTGGACTTGCGACTGGACTTGAGACTGGACTTGCGACTGGACTTGCGACTGGACTTGCGACTGGACTTGCGACTGGACTTGCGACTGGACTTGCGACTGGACTTGCGACTGGACTTGCGACTGGACTTGCGACTGGACTTGCGACTGGACTTGCGACTGGACTTGTGACTGGACTTGCGACTGGACTTGCGACTGGACTTGCGACTGGACTTGCGACTGGACTTGAGACTGGACTTGTGACTGGACTTGTGACTGGACTTGTGACTGGACTTGTGACTGGACTTGTGACTGGACTTGTGACTGGACTAGTGACTGGACTTGTGACTGGACTTGTGACTGGACTTGTGACTGGACTTGTGACTGGACTTGCGACTGGACTTGCGACTGGACTTGGGACTGGACTTGGGACTGGACTTGGGACTGGACTTGTGACTGGACTTGGGACTGGACTTGCGACTGGACTTGCGACTGGACTTGCGACTGGACTTGGGACTGGACTTGGGACTGGACTTGGGACTGGACTTGGGACTGGACTTGTGACTGGACTTGTGACTGGACTTGTGACTGGACTTGTGACTGGACTTGTGACTGTATATGTGACCAGTCTTAATAACTGGCATTCAGATGGACTTGGCTACAACATAGTTAATAAAGTTAACAAATACACTTTTGCGGTGGATTTGTGAGTAAAATATGGCTACTTTTGCTTACCTTGCTTTCAGACGTGAGTATGTCGGAAAACATGCCACGGAATTCTTTGGGGTCGCTAAGTTTCAGCTCCTTAGCGCCCTTCAGACAATTCTGTATGGCTTGTAAGTACTGCTCCGCGCCCTCTTTTGACTGACACTTGTCCATTTCTTGCGAGGCCAGAAGCTTCATGCCGTCGGCGCACCACATCTGAGCCTGAGCGTAAAATGACAAAAACAAAAAACAATTAACTGATGTCTATTTATCTATTTTAAAATAAAATTTGTGACGACAAAATTCACTTAGAAACATGAGTTGCTTTTTCCTTTTTTAAAATCTTGCTGAAGGGTTTCGGTGCACACAAAAACAAAAGTATTCAATGCAAGATATTGTTTTTGTCTTGTTACAGGGCGAGTAAAAAAAAGTGGAACCCAACCCCAATTTCATAAGCTACTTTAAGATGAAAAAATTACTGAAATTGCTCAATCCGTTCAAAGGATATACGCAATGACCCTAAAACCTGTTTCATCCAAAAAAAAGCAGTTTATTGTGTATTCTGATAGTTTGGACCAAAGAAAATGACACAGAATACTTGTTTCAACAACTTTCAACAACTATAGTGCACAATATCTTTATTAACAATCCTGGTTAGGCAAACAATATGATTTATAACATCTACTTTTTTTAAAAGTCGGGCCTTCAAAAGGACTTTGATGAATATTTTTAACATTTAAACTGAGGTTTTATCGCTGGTGATGTTTAAAGACAATGGTGACGACGATTCTTGAAATTGCATTTTTTGGACAAGACAGGTTTAAGGGTCATTGTGTTTAAATGGTGATATTCTTTGAACGGATTGAGCAATTTCAGTAAATTTTTCATCTAAACGTAGCTTATGAAATTGGCTTTCCAGTCATTATTATTTTTGGTGCTTCATATTTTTTTAAAAATATAAAATATAATGTTTGGGGTTTGGGTTCCGCTTTTTTTGGATTCACCCTGTATAAAAAATCAAAATACTCTTTTAACTGCCGACTTACTTTGTCTATTCTCTTGTGAAGCTCTAGCGACCGATTTAACTCGACTTTCCGACTCTCGAGTCTCTGTGCCAGTTCTTCCCTCTGTCGTTTCAGCTCGGCACACTTGGGCTTGATACTGTCCACCCCGTCGTGGTCCTCCTCTATCAACTCCGTCCCTATGTCGTGGATTTTCTTGGCGTTCTCCAGCGAATCCTGTCAAGAAATGAAAACAGATGCATTCAGTTTTGGAACAATTTAGTTTGGGAAGCCAAAAGTTCAGTTAAAGTGGTTCCTATTGCAAAACATGCATTTTGATTATGAAATGAAATGAAATGACTGAAAGCTTTTTGGGCGTGGCCCCCCGAAAAATAGATTTTCAAATTGAATTGATAATTTTCTAGCATTACACTTAAGTTATGAGCTTTCCAATGAGAAATGGAACGAAAAAAAATCGGCCCACGATAATTTAAAGTAACCATGGTAACCAATGAATTAATTTTTGAATGAGGCGCGTCCCGCTCCTAATTTAGTTCTGGAGCCAGCGGGACCTAGGATTTGGAGGATTGAGGTGTGTAAGCTTTGGCTTTTTTTGGGGGGGGGGGGGTAAAAATTCACCAAGATATGGTTACTTTTGCCAATTTAAGTCGAGTGCATAAAAAAGAAGCCAAAAACAGGTTGAAAAATGGTCCTCTTGGTTACTCTACTTTTCCCCCGAGTCCAGTGGTTACTTTTACCCACCTAAATCCTCCAAATCCTCCTTGCGGTTTTGGAGGATTTGGAGCATTTTGAAGGATTGTGGATGAATGGTGTTTGAGAAACATAAGGATTTGAAGGATTGAGGATGAATGATGTTGAAGCACATGAGGATTTTGGAGGATTGAGGATGAATGGTGTTTGAAGAGGAGGAGGATTTGGGAGGATTGAGGATGAATGTATTTTGAGAGGCAGGACTGTCTGACGATTTTGAAGGATTGAGGTGCTGGGTATCCATCATTTGAACATACATGTAGGTGCAAAATTTTGAAGGATTTTGGAGGATTGAGGATCCTAGCAAAAAGGGCCTAGGGGTTAAGGATTAATTAATCTTTTAACTAAAACAGTCATCCACTTCAGATGTGGCACTCAATGAACCTTTACTGGACATACCTGACTGTTTTCGGTGAATTCGTCATGGAATTTGATGAGACTTTCCACTTGGTGCATCGAGCTGCCTCGATCTGTTGACGCGCTCAGCTTCTCTGAAAGGTTCTCCAGTAACATCACGGCCTGCGGGCAAGCAAAACGTGTCAAAATCAAACTGATTTTGAAGTTTTCAACAATGCTACATAAAAAGCAAATTTCTTTATTTGAGGAAGCGACGTAGATTCAATGTTCGGTTTTGCCATTAAAAATGTGATTTCGTAAGCACTGTATACTCAGCGTTGTCCAAGAGATTGCGAGAAAAATTCACAAGCTTGCTCAGGTGGGACTCGAACCCACGACCTCCTGCGTACTAGTGCAAACGTACAACTGGGCCATCGTTTTTTGGGGATCGATTTCCGTGTGTACCCATTAATTAACCTTTCCGTTGCAAGTAACAGCCAAACTGTTGAACAGAACATAATTGTTAGAAATATACTATATTTCAATAAAATACAGATAATAAGCTTCAAAAAGATATACTAAGGCCAAAAAAAAAGTCTCCGGTTTCTGGTATGGAGCTTGCCCCAAAAGTGGTGCGGCGACGCAGCTTTTTTTTTTTTTTTTACCTGTTTTTTTTTTTTTTTTGGCTTCAAATGTCGGCTGATGACTGCAAATGGTGCCCGACTAAACTTAGTGCAAATATATGGGAGTCCAGAGAGGCCACATAAAGCTTATTCTCGATCATAACCCCATCTAAAAACACGTTAAAATTGTGCAGCAGCAGGATTCCAGTCAAACCAGTGAGTTTGGCGTTTTGAGACATCATCTTGTATTGAAAAAAAAACTTTTTCATTTTGCCGACGCGCATGGCTACGGCGACGCGTGCGCGCGCGCATACCAGAAACCGGAGACTTATTTTTTTTGGCCTTATGTACCGGTAAATGTTTCATTTGTGGCCTTCAGACCATTTTGAAATTTAGGCATTGACGTTAATAATTCAGAGGAATTGCTCTCATACAAAAATAGTGAGGAAGTGATGTGTCGCCATGACAACATAAAAAAAATTCAAAATGTGTCTTACTTCTTTGAAGTCTTCCTCAAATTTCCTGAGTTTCAGGCATTGTATTAATTTGTGCTCGTGCCCCGTCCACATCTCCTCAAATTTCTCCTCCGTCTCTTCCATCTGTACGAGGAGTCTGTGATCAAGATACAGAGAGAGACGGGCATTGAACCAAACTTTGATGGATCCTACAATATTTATAGATACATGTCAACATTTGTATTTGCTGGATCCTACACGTGTACATCCTATATTTAATAATTCAATGCTGTCTGATGTCTGTCTGTCTGTCTTATGTCTGTTGTCTGAATTCTGTTTGATGTCTATGTGTCACGTTTTTGTAAAAGTCCTAAAGAATGTGCGCAAGCACAAAATACAACAGTTATTGTATTCAGGTCCCTAGGTGGTATGCCCGATTTCACTGTCCTCTGAAGTCACGTTTGCCACAGAAAAAAATGATTTGTTTGTTTAGTTTTGCCTTTTAGGTAAATTTGTCTTTCAGACTTTCATTGTTACAACATTATCTCTAACACTCCAAAACACTCCAAAACGTATCACTATTACACAAAACACAAAGTTGATAATGAAAAATGTGGCAAAATTGCTTCACCAAGGTTTACCGAGCCCATTGGGGTCAACATGAACATTGAGGTCAAACGTGAATACTGAGCCTCCAATAAACGTTCTCCTTGATGATGAACGCCCTAACCAACTGACCAACTGGTCCCTACAACTAGACGTACATGTAACGACTGATCACACCACCACAATTAGTCACGGTATCACAACTAGTCATGGCACCATGATTAGTGGACTATTAAGTCATAGAGGTCACTAGTCCAACTACAGGGGGTAGGAGACAGCGCTTGTTCTGGTGGATGTAGACGACACGTTTTTTTGCTATATTCAGTTGGGCTTGTTATACATCACTTTGTTTTTTTGGATTTGTAGACTTTATTATTTTTTGTTGGATTCTTTGGAGTATGTGTTGTTCACGATTTGAATTTCTAGGTTTTTGTTGGATATGGGGGGGGGGTGTTAATCCTCCTTACACGCAGCTGAGAAGCTGAAATGCGAAGGACGCGGCTACAACGTGGTTGAGCCGAAGGCATGTAAAGGTGCCTTGGTCTTGTGAATTGTTTTGTCGTCTTCTGAAGTTGTTTTTCATGTTATTTGTAATACATGTATGTGGCAATGATTACGTGTAGTGCTATCCTATTGTCCTTTAGAAAGTTCTTATCTTTATACTATCATATATTTATTACTCTTTGAGTTTATGTCATTTTATAATCAATAATTTCTGTTTTAAGCTAGTGTGCTAATTTTGTGGGTTTACCGTATTGCTGTTTTTATTGGGGTTTTTTTACACCGAGAAATGAATTTCGTCTTAGTAGCCTCCTCAGGAAGGTTTGCAGCTTGAAATAAAATATATTTTTGTCAATTCAGTTTTTTATCTGTAAATTCAGGCAATTTTCAAGTCACTCTACTACATGAACTAGGGTTACTAGATTGAAGCAGAACTCTTTCCGAAGAGTTGACAGAATTTTACCTTTCAATGCCACAGAGCGTTGCCACTTTGTGCGGGTTCTGGTCGGGGCTTTCGTCCAGCGGCCTGCGCATGCACCGCAGCAGCGTCTGGCCGTACTTCATGGCGCTCTGCAAGTCGTCTTTCAGCTCCATGCGCTTCTTGCGGTGGTCCATCAGCAGCGTGTTGGCCCCCTCCACGTCGTTGGGCAACTCCGTGCGGGCGAACTCGTCCGTCAGGATCTGGACTGCCGTCGAACGCTCCCGACAGTTGTTCGCAAACCGTTCAATCGCCTGTAAATTGCGGAGTAAGAAACAAGGAAAATAAACCAACGGGTCAAAGAAACGTCACAGATGCGACAGGAAGTGCGCAATGTTCAACCTTGATTTTCACATTAATGTGCCAGGTTTTCTGCTGGCAACATCCGAAATATTAATACGTGTCACAAAAGGAGTTCATTAGGAAAGAAAGTAAGTTGCCACCAAAAACCAAGAACGATTCTGCATGCTACCATTTCTGGTTCACAGTCTAAAACCTGGGTGGAGCAATTCCAGCGTTACGTAATGTCTGTGACAGAGCTTTTACGACCTCAATAAACTTGTAAAGTCTTGTACTTATACATCCATCATCTAGTAATGGTCAAGGGGAATACAGACTAGGAGTTTTGGATCATTTCTTCAAATTACATGTAGATATTGTGGTTAATTAGCTCTGTCACAGACATTACAATAATAATAATAATAATACCAGAGTCTTATATAGCGCACGTATCTACCAACAATTAGGTACTCAAGGCACTGGAAATTATGTCTATTATTAAAGACAGGTAAATGAAGTGTATGAGAAATATGAGCCCCATTATGTAGCACCTTATAAGGGTATACAAGGTGCTGCGGCGCATATTGCAGCCACTGCCAGAAACACTGGGGCAAACCCTTCTCTTAGCAATAAGTGTTACTGGGTTCTTTAACGTGCATTACACAACACACGGGACCTACGGCTTTACGTCCCATCCGAAGGATGAAGCAATAAATGTAAAGTGCCTTGCTCAAGAGCACAAGCACCATTTTCTCACGGTCAGGATTCGAACCCGTGTACCACGGTACGCAAGTCCAACACCGTAACCAATGGACCACAGCACCCCACATATCGGTACACTTCCTATCAACATGCTTGATTTGCCCAGTAGTTGGCTGGTTGCATAATTATATGATAATTAAAAAGTTGAACAGAGAAATTGACTTGGACGCGATTTGAACCTGCGACCTCCGGATTAAGGTAACAGGGCTCTACCAACTGAGCTATCCAGCTCAATGTTTGCAGTTTAAAATTTGTCAAGTTTTTGTTCAAGGGGCGCTAATCAGATGCCAGAAACCCTTACATGTATATGCCATATAGCTGGGGAACACGCCCAAAGTCACAACGCCAGCAACATTAGCAATGCTGCAAACCTGGGAAATATTTGCAAACGGGGATCACTCAGAAAGGATACAACTTTTTATTATGAATGATCAAATAAACCACAAAGAGGAACTGACTAGGCGCAGTATAATATTTTCCGGATTGCCGTTCCGGTGCTCAACCAACTGAGCTATCCAGCTGTACGTTGGCGGTTCCCCATGTTTCTTTGTTCAAGGGGCGCTCAAGTCAAAAGCCGCAAAACTCGTATTAATGTCATGTAGCCAGGGATCACGCCAAAAGTCACGATGCTAGCAACATTAGCAATGCTGCTAACCGGGGAATACAGAAAACGGGGACCACTAGCTCAGAAAGGATACAGCATTTTATCACTAATTATCACCACACCACAATGGGAATTACTGACGTAGCGCATACATACATGTTCATGTACATGTATAACGTTGAACGAGAAACGAGTTAACAATGTTTGAAAACGGCTGTTTTTCAAAAACATCATCAAATGATCAAATAGATAATTTCTGTAGTCAAATTCGAAAACTGAAGCAAACTTTTGCGACACGGGGCAAAAAGTAATCTACTTCAGTGCGACAAATTAAGATATATTTTATGTACATGTATAACGTATTTAAATGTACATGTAAAACATTTGCTTTTGCTGTAATTTTCAGAAGTGGATGAATTTGGGGGTTAGTATTTTACAGCAAATATTGTTACACTGAACTGATTAAAGCTTTGTATTCATAAATGCTTGGAAAAAAAATGACCAGTAGTCTGGTTCCCTGACCCAACTTCAGACAAAACAGAGCAATTGTCAGGTCAGGGAACCAGACTAGCTGGCTTCCACCCATTCACGGATATGTGTAACCAATTGCAAACAAAATGTGGACTAACTAAACTTGGTAAACTGAGGACAGCATTAAAAAAACAGTCTTTTTCCCAACAATGATTGGCCGACCATCGTTGGAAATTGATACAAAAATTCCACTTTTCTTGAAACTGACAGCACACCTGGTGCCATGATTTCACAGGATGCTTGAGACTATTATTCACTTACAGTCAAGTAAGGTATTTCATAATAATTTGGCAGTTTTGTTTTTTGATGTCTGCAAATGTTGTATATATAAACTTTAAACTTTTCATATAATTGACAGACAAATGTAAATTGGAACTGACGTTGAGGACTGTATCAAAGATCTGCAACTTCATAAGCCTACTTAGGCTCCAACAAGAACAAGGAATAAACAAGGCCTCATTTTGTTGACAGCAAACGCAAATCAATTCTGACATTTTTCAGTTTGGACAAAATCCTTTGGGCTCCGCCCATGCTGACTGTTTGTTCTTAAAAAATATAATAAAGAAAATGGAGGGCGCTAAACGCATGAGTGCTCATGCTTGGCCGGTTGCCAGAGCGGATCTTAAGTGTTTCATCCTGATGTCTAGACATTTAGGTCCCCCTGCAGGATACCAGGCAATTGTCTCCATTTTTTTTTTTTAAGACAACAATTCACTAAAGCTCTTTTATTCTCTTCTGCTCCTAGCTTTGAGTAATCTACAATATCCAGTGCTTAACAAGGTGACAGCATCTTGTAAATCTTCATTTTTAAATGGAAAAAAAAACCAACAATTCCCCTATCAGTCTTGACTTTTTAAAAACTTATTACAAGTACTATTCATCAGTTTCACCTATTAATTATTCACAAGTTGCACATACAGTTTAGTTATTATTCACAAGTTTTCCCTAAATGTTATTCATCGGCTGAACCTTTTTATTATTCATAAGTTGTGCCTACATGTATTTATTATTCGTAAGTTGCGCTAAATATTATTCATCAGCTGAACCTACATGTACATATGTACATGCATTTACTATTCATCAGTTGCACATACAGTTTAATTATTATTCATAAGTTTCCTTAAATATTATTCATCCGCTGAACCTATTTACTATTCATAGTTGCACCTACTGATTATTCATAAGTTGCCCCAGATACCTATTCATCAGCCGACTTTAATTAGTATTCATAGTTGCACCTACTTATTATTCACAAGTTGCCCCTAAACATTTTTCCAAAACTGAACCTAATTAGTATTCATAAGTTGCACCTAGTTATTATTCATAAGTTGACCTAGTTCTTGCTATTCATAAGTTGGCCCTTAATAGTTTTCATTAGCTGAACCTAATTAGCATTCAGGTTGGACTTTTGTGCGTGGATATTGAACAGTGTCTTCCTGAAATGACATCACGACAACAGCGCCCTCAGTTGTCCGGAAAAGCGTGGACATTTTTTAAACGTTTAAAAAGAAGTGCAGTTCTCAATAATATTGAACAAAAAGGGAAGTCAAACACTTTAAATATAAGAGGAGTAGAAATTTTGTTGCACAAAATACAATTTGCGTTCCTAAGAAAAATTAAATTCAAGGACCCTGTACTGTAATTTTTTTCCCCATCTAAATGATCATGACTCTCATTCTCTGTTTCCTCTCATACATTAATTTCCGATGCCAAACCCTCTTCATCACATTCTATATGTGGTTCTCATACCTAAATATAGATTTGTGCTGGTCCCAGAGGGCCAGCCTACTCGGTACTCTTCTCTTTGTACCTATCTGACTGACTGTCACTTGAGAATTAGCCTGCATCCAATTTCACGAAACGGTGCATAACTTAGGCCGTGCATAGGACTTACGCAACAAATTTGTCGCACGGCTGCTCAATGAACTTACGATCGATTTCACAAAACTTGGCGAAGCTGCGCAACGTTTTAAACGATCTAAACATGGACGAGGATAATACATGTCACAGCATTTTCAATGGCTGTTTGTGTTTGATTTTCTTCGGTCACGAAACAGTCGTTGAATCACCTCCGCCCACCATTTTGAAAACACTTTTGCCCGACTTTCTTCGGAGTCATGCCCAACCCTCAAAATTCTGTCACGAGCAAAATAGCAATTCATTTACTTCAAACACAAAGCTGTGAGTGTCTTGTATCAACTTTGATAAGTTGTGCAATGACAGACTCCACGATGATCACAATTTGCTTAGTTCAATTTCAGTTGCTACGCCACAACTTAACGCTTCCTAAAATGGTTGCGCAAGTTACGCCATAATTTGTTGCACAAATCGTGGACTTATGTGTACTATGAAACTTTCAGGAAATTTGTCGTAAATGAAATGTTGCGAAGCGTGAAATGTTGTACAACTTACCTAATAAATTGTGGCGCAATTGCAAAAGTTGAACATATTTCAACTCCAACAAATTTGGTTGCCCTTTTAGATCTGGGCCCAATTTCATAGCCCTGCTTAACAGCCGACTTTGTGCTTACCGAGCCTCCATCTATGTCATAGGAACCGTTAAGCAGTAAGCACAGCAAAAGCACGCTTAACCCCAGAAGAAAACTTTGCTTAAATCAGTGACGTAACAATAGAAATCTCCATGCGCACGCAACCGTTAGCATGAAATAGTGCTTAAGCAGCAGCATGATTTTCTGCTATAGTAAGCACAACTTTTCTGCTTACTGTTAAGCACTGCTATGAAATTGGGCCCTGCATGTACGATGTACATGAAGCTCAGATTGTATTTGAACATAGCAGCCATTTTATTCCTAGTGCTGCAAGTACATCGGCAGTCTCCAGTGTACGGCTGAATCCTGTTTCCTTTCCTCTATGACTCAGCGTAGGCTATTTTGTACCATGTAGGAAACCTCCTGGCATCTTAAGGAGCGTTTCAACTTACAATCCCTATCACGCCACTTTGTATCTTGACCAAATTGGACTGTTAAAATGCCAGCTTAGGCCATAAAAAAATTGAGTGTTAAGGCCAAAAAAAAAAATCTCCGGTTTCTGGTATGGAGCTTGCCCAAAAAGTGGTGCGGCGACACAGCTTTTTTTTTTTTTTACCTGATTTTTTTGCTTCAAATGTCGGCTGATGACTGCAAATGGTGCCCCACTAAACTTAATTCAAATATATGGGAGTCCAGAGAGGCCACATAAAGCTTATTCTCGATCATAACCCCCTTTAAAAATACGTTAAAATTGTGCAGCAGCAGGATTCCAGTCAAACCAGTGAGTTTGACGGTTTTGAGACATCATCTTTCATTGAAAAAAAACGTTTTCATTTTGCTGACGCGCATGGCTACGGCGACGCGCGCGCATACCAGAAACCGGAGACTTTTTTTTTTGGCCTTACGGGGTTGCCTTAAATATTATCCAGGTAGGTACGTAGGAAAATAAGTTTAATTTCTAACTTTTTCTAATGTTTGTCTGTCGGTCGTATACTTACTATATTTACAATGTACTTGTTCCTTGTGGTTAATTTTATTGTTAAATTAACCAATAACACACAAATGTTGCAAAGGGAAGTCTTTTTACTTTAAAAATTTTATTTTAAAAGATTTTACCCATATGTGGCAATAACAAGTTTGAAGTCGGCAATTTTGCCCCTCAAAAAATCCAGTTAGCTCGGGTTTCTGTCAACACACAATTTTTTTCAGCCTTACAAAAGAAGAAATGTGAAAAAAGGGAATACAAAACTGGAAATAAAAAAAACCCAAAATATACAGAAAGGCTGAGACAACTCACACTAAGCAGGCACGCATTACCACGGCATTACAAAATATTCTTGGACAAAAAAGGTAATTTTCATAATATAAAACCACTCTGCAAATATTAAGTATCACTCAAGAGATTTGGTTACATGGCATATTGAAAATTGATAACCATTAAAGATAATACATCGCTACAATAAGGCACAATGTCATATTTTATCTGGTAACCTACAATTTGGCTTGCCTAGAAATTGTCCGTGGTTGAAGGTAACATACAATATTTGAAAACATCAAACAAAAACAAACCACCAAATTTTTATGAAATAATGTACCTTACTTGACTGTATAAAGTGAATAACAGTCTCAAGCATCCTGTAAAATCATGGCACCTGGTGTGCTGTCGTTTGCAAGAATTTGAAATGTTCATATCAATTTCCAACGATGGTCGGAAAATACATGTACTGCCCCCAATTTACCAAATTTACTTAGCCCAAATTTTGCTTGCATCGATTACACGTCTATGCAAGCTTGCTAGTCTGGTTCCCTGACCTGACCATTCCCCGACGTCTATAACTTCCTCTATTTCATCTGAAGGAGGGTCAGGGAACTAGACTATAAGAACAGCATTGTTTTTCATGGTTTTTCAAACATCTATGAACACAAAACTTTAAACAGGTCAGTGTAAGAATATATTTGCTATAAAATACTAACCCCCAAATTCATCCATTTCTGAAATTACAGCAAGAGCAAATATTACCTTTAAGTAAGCAAAAATGCTGCTCAAGGATTTTAAGATTATGGCTCAGCTGTGTTGCACTTATCCTCTTATTCCTGCTTAGCCCCATAAATGTGGCCTATTTAATGGACTGCCTCCGTAAACATAGGCCACACGTCCACATGTACAAAAATCGTGTCGACTTTGCCAAATTTTGATTTTCACATTTAGGCTTAGTTTGTAGGATTTTTTTGCTTTAGAAGCATACTCACCCTCTTTATAGGCTAGTCAAAAAGTGCTGCCTTTTTCAGATGTCTAATTTTTGTGAAATTTCATGTTGAAATTTTGATACGCAAACGTGTAAAAATGAATCTGGAAATTTCACGAAAAATATACATCTGACAAAGGCAGCACTTTCTGATTAGCCTATAAAGAGGGTGAGTATGCTTCTAAAGCCAAAAAACCTACAAACCAAGCCTAAATGTGAAAATCAAAATTTGGCAAAGTCGACACGATTTTTGTACATGTGGATGTGTGGCCTATGTTTACGGAGGCAGTCCAGTAAATAGGCCACATTTATGGGGCTAATTCCTGCTTAGTAATATTGTTTTTGCTTACCATTCTGTCTTCAATCCAAGACGTCAAGTCGAAACATATACTCCCCTCGAACTCCTTGGTAAGCTGGGTGGGATGAACCAGCGCATGGAGATCTTTGACAGAGTCCAGCAACAGAACCTGACGATATTCCAATTCAGAAAACTCAAGCAGAGTCCAAAAAAATCCCTTGAAAACTTCCTATCAAGGCCATAGTGTACACACACATGGGCAGATCACAGTCTTCCTAATGTTACGTACAGGTTAAACAAGGAAAAAAACAAAACCAAAACACAAAACGGGCGCTTGCGTGGGATGTACCATTTCGGGACCTTCTCCATAATCAGGCAGGAAGTCCAGCTAATAAAGTGACTCGGTAAGCCTGCTGCCGTTTCATGAGCGGTTGGGGGGGGGGGGGGAACATTCTTCAGGCTTGCGATGGATCACGAATATAGGGGGCCCTTGCCAGTGTGAGTCACCGCAGACAGGGTTATTGTGAACAATTTAAGCAAAGGGAAGAGTGGCTTTTGCTTCATTTCAAAGGTTAAAGTCGGTGACGGAAGGCAAGCTCTGCGTCTACATAACATCACTCCTTCGTTAAATAACACAAAGAAGAAATTTACATCTTTTTACAACCACAAAATCTCCTGAAGTATAGATTCATTGGTTTACACTTTTGTACAGATTTGTACCCCCCCAAATTTAAAAAAAAAATATCTTGGCTAAGGATGAAACCTTTACACGTTTAAACGAAAACCATTCTAAATCCGTTTACAAATTTTTCAAAACGTTTAAATGGAACCTACATGTAAATTATAAACGCAAAGTCACATCCGTAATCTGGACTTCATTTTATAACATGAATGTTTAGCAGATTCGTTCAGAGTAAAAGAATTTATTCTTAATGAACTACGAAGGGTTATTTTGAACATATTAACAACTTTTACTGAAAATGTCCAGCTCAGCTATTGAAGAGCAAAAAGTAACACTATTCAAAAACTTGTCGGTTAAATAACCAACACGGTGATACAATGTAAATACAAGCAAATCTCAAGGAATTTTGAGTAAATTGGATTTATTTTTTGGAGAGTGCCAGACCTGTGTAGATGCTGTGTTGGCTGTAGAAGCTGTGTTTGTGAAAGAGGTTTCTGAAATCTCCAAGTTGGACCTGGGTCCAATGCAGAGATTTTGAATAGTACAGGGTGAGTCAAAAAAAGCGGAACCCAAACCCCAACAAATATATTTTATATTTCAAAAAATATGTAGTACTATACATAATAATGACTGGAAAGCCAATTTCATAAGCTACTTTTAGATGAAAAAAATTACTGAAATTGCTCAATCCGTTTAAAGAATATCACCATTTAAACGCAATGACCCTAAAACTCGTCCAAAAACGCAAGCTATAGTGTAATTCTGACTGTTTAAAAGAGCATTTGAAGAAAATGACACAGAATACTTGTTTCAACGACTGCCAACAACTGTAGTACACAATATCTTTATTAACAAACCTGGTCAGGCAAACAATGTGATTTATAAAATCCATTTTGTTTGAAAAGACAGGCCTTTAATTAAAAGAGCTTTGTTGAATATTTTTAACTTTAAACTGAGGTTTTATCGCTGGTTAAGTTTGAAGACAATTGTTACGACGATTCTTGAAATGCCATTTTTGGACGAAAGAGGTTTTAGGGTGATTGTGTTTAAATGGTGATATTCTTTGAACGGATTGAGCAATTTCAGTACTTTTTTCATCTAAAATAGGTTATGAAATTGGCTTTCAGGTCATTATTATGTTTGGTGCTACATTTTTTTTTAAAATATGAAATATAACTTTTTGGGTTTGGGTTCCGCTTTTTTTGACTCACCCTGTATAAAAGGCCCTTGATTGTGAATACTAACCTGAAATTTGAACTCCTCTTTGGAGAAGCGAAAGCGGAAGTCCGAGAGTTTCTTCTGGAAGAAGCTCTTGGGCTTGAGGACGTACACGCCCTGGATGATGCCGGGGAAATATCCCTGCTACAGGAAGGCCAAGGTAAAGATGACGGGCCCGTGAGAAACATGAGAGGCGAAAAATGAGGAGCAAGGAGGATGCCACAAGTTGCCATGGGCATGCAAAGATGAAGGATACAGGCGAGGTGTTAGGATGGGCGAGGGGAAGAAATGAGTTCGGAAATCAGCGAGGTACATGTAATCCAGGGTGAAAATGTCGGAGTGAAGATGGTAACAGACAGAGGTTGAGATTTAAGATGTCAAGAGATTTGCCAAGTTGTGTCAAAGATGCAAGAGGAAAAGTTGGGATGAAGATGAGAAAAGGAGGAAGGAAATGAAGAAAAGAGAACCCAAAATGCAAGAATGAAGATGCAAGTAGGTATTTGAGATGTGTACGAAAGAAAGAAATGGGGTTGGTCATTTGAGAGGTTCAAGTTGTCGTGGTTACAGAGGATGTTACGATGAAGATGCGGGAGGGTGATGAAGATGAGTTGTGCCAAAGAAGCAGGAGGAAAAATTGGGGTGGGGATGAGAGAAAGGCGGCAGGAAGTGAAAATGAGAAAACGGAACCCAAAATTGCAAGAATGAAGAGGCAAGGAAAGATTTTGAGATGTGTGTGAAAGAAATGGGGTTTGGTGATTGGAGAGGTTCAAGTTGCCGTGGTTACAGAGTAGGATGAAGATGCAGGAGGGTGACGAAGATGCAGGAGGAGGATGAAGATGTGTGGGGAAAAGAAGTAAGAAAAAAAGAAAAGGAAAAAGTTGAAAAAAGAGGAAGTGGAAGAGGAAGTGGAAAATGAAGGCATCGCATGAGATGGGCGAGAGGAAAACGAAACGAAATGGAAAAAGAAGATTTTTGAAAGAGTTGGGTTCAAGACAAAGACACAGTACACAGAACCAATAAACATGCAACGAGGGAGCACAAAAACACACAATGCAGGACAACACAGGAAAAATAAGAAAAGGAATAAGAGGGCCGAGGATGGGAGATAAAACAAAAACAAAGCCAAACAAATTAAGAATGGACATTTATACATGCTAAATGTATACATGTGCTCACATCAACATGTGTAAAATGAACCATCACGCATAACAAAATGTATACAACCATGCAGATCACATGTACACTACAGTACATGTACATTCTTGCATTAAAAGCGATGGAACACACAATAATGTAGTGCGTCTGTAACCACATAAGAGTCCTGCTTAGGGATGCCTTCAATAAAGACTTTGCGAACTGTCCGCGAAAGTTTGCGAATATCTGGCTGTTGCTACATGTAAGAGCAAACCAGTCCGCGGACTTCGTGGAGCTACTCATCCATGCGTGGTCAAGTTAATGAGGTATTCATGACTCCTACATGTACATGTAGGCAGTGTGGACCATTAGACGCTATCCAAAAAGTAATCGACCAAAATACTGTAATAAAAAGATTACTTGGTTTTAAAGGTAGCAATGACGCTTTACTCTTTGCGAAACTATTCCTTCTGATGACATGCAGTCATTTCGAAGAAAAAAATTGAAGGTCAATTCCAAAGATGTGTCAACTGACACACTTTTGGAAATTTCCTTTGGAAGTTGGTTTGTAATTTGGCAGATCCATGAATGGGTTCAAGCGTTGACACGACACACATGAGCAGGTGGTTACTATTATTTGTCAGTTCAGTGTGTGACATCACGTTCTGAAGACTTTTGTTGCTTCAAATGGGAAAAAAATGCACAAATGACAAATGGTCAATCTACATTTGCACAAATGTACCGGTACCTTCAAAGGCCGGATCGCAGGCAAATGGGAACTAGAATTCGTGACATCAGGGCAAGAATTTTGCGCTGTGAATCCGCGAAGTTGAACAGACTTCAACTCTGGCGAATTTCACAGCAAACTTTACTTCACATATAAAGTTTGCATTCGCATGGGCCTAAAATTCTCTCTATGCAAACATTGAGGGGGTAGTGCACGGAGTCCAAAGGGTTATCAGAATAACTACTAAAAAAAAATACCATCAAACAATTTAGCAAAAAAGAAACCACAAAAAAGCACTAAATATTTGTGTAGACTACACTGTGTGGGGAAACAGTAGGGGTAATTTACAACAACGGGTGGGATAGCAGAAAGAACTCGTTTAAAGGATTGAAATATTGACGGTCAACTCACCGCTATTCTGACCAGGGCTGATTTGACGGCGTTCCATGATTCATTCCGTCGGTCCACGAGAATCACGAACCCTTTGTCCATGTCGAGCATGCTGCATACAAGACAAAGCATTCCGCATTTAAGACAAGTTTTTACTCGCGGCAAGCGAATGCAAATGCGTATTTGTGACGTCACATTAAGATTTTGCGTTGCAAATTCGCTAAAAAAATGAACACATTTTGACTCTCGGCGATTTCGCTGTGAATATTTTGTGACGTCAAATTCTCTTTGCATTCACATTCGCATGAAGTATGAACCGGTGTCATATGAAAATCGGACTCATATGAAAATGGGACTCTTTTTCCCTTTTATTGGTTATACCCTCTCACGTGACAGGTCCCTCTCCAAATTTCTGTGCATGAGCATGCGCAATACCACCAATATTTCCGTATTTCATAAAACCTAAATTCATGCTACAACCGGCTTTAATTTTGAATTGAAACAGGCTGTTCCATTCAGCTTGAAAAAGCGCTGAAAGCCGTGCATCGGGTACAAATTACAAAGGCTTAAAACAATATTTTGTTTGTGATGGTGCATTTTACCCAAGTGCACCACTCAACAGCTCATCAGATATCATGTTGGGGTAGAAAAGAATGTTATTCTTTGAGCAAAAACAGTTACTGAAATGAAGACAGGTTTATTTTGTTAGGACTAGTGACGGGGAGGGGGCGGGGCATTCATCAGGGAATGTGGGGGGTTCGAGTTAAGGGGAAATACAAGTTCAAATTTGTGAGAATGCTCCTGACTAGGGGTGTGCATCAGAGTATCGACCGCTAATGTTAGGAACCTGTTCCAGATTATGGGATCGGGTACCCGTAACCAACTTTACAAATTACTAGGTAACTTCTCAGACATTGAAAAAGAAAGGTTTTGAATGCCATTTTTAGGGAATTTTCAACATGAAAACCAGCTGGGCCCAATTTCATAGAGCTGCTTAAGCACAAAATTTGCTTCAGCACGAAAAAACATTGCTTAGTAAAATTAGGTCACCAGCCAAAACTCCATGTGATGTACATTGCTTGTGACTGGTATTTAGCGGTTTCCTTAGCATAACAATCGCATGGAGTTTTGGCCGGAAACCTGATTTTATGAAAGCAAGACGTTTTTGTGCTTAAGCAAATTTTGTGCTTAAGCAGCTCTATGAAATTGGCCCCAGGCTACATGGAAAATCAAAAATAGATTTCACATTTATGTGCATTTTACAGTTCACCCACACTGTACACACTTGTATATATTGCTGCGCTGACGCACCGATGTGGTAGTGTGTTATCGTGCGCACCTCTATGAATAATCTGATCAGCAACTCCCGGGATTTGAATTTTTGGTTGGGTTTCTTTTACGGGTATCCGGGTACCCGTGCTTTACTTCAATAGGGTACCCGGTTCCCGTACTAACCTATATGCACACCCCTATCCCTGACGAAAGACAATTCAAGGTTATGTCCAGTGATTTGGTTGTATCAATAGGCTACATGGTTACTAAGATATGTTTGTTTATTTCAATTAGAATATAAGGCTGTGTCAAATATATATTGAATATCCGAATATTCAATCAATCTCCGAATATCCGAATATTCGATCAATCTCCGAATATCTGAATATTCGATCAATCTCCAAATATCCAAATATTCGATCAATCTCCGAATATCCGAATATTCGATCAATCTCCGAATATCCGAATATTCGATCAATCTCCGAATATCCGAATATTCGATCAATCTCCGAATATCCGAATATTCGATCAATCTCCGAATATCCGAATATTCGATCAATCTCCGAATATCCGAATATTCGATCAATCTCCGAATATCCGAATATTCGATCAATCTCCGAATATCCAAATATTCGATCGGTCACCAAATATCCAAATAGCATTTGTGAGCTGTCTTGGGAAGTTGATGAAACACATGCGTGATGTAATTTTGTCGAAGGTTTAGTTGTTTGTTGAAATGCCACATTAACAGTGGACAGCCACTTTAAACGCATGATCAGAGAGCTTCTGTAGGGGAATATTAGCCGTAATTTGCATATTTTAAAATCTGTCAAAAATCAGATAGTCAGCTATCTCCTAAATAAAAATGATACACAGGCCCACATGATGATATTCATAAAAGCTGTTGACCTTAATGTCAATGGTCGAATATACAGATATTCGATCAAACCAAGGTTCCAATAATTGAATACTAAATTATTCAAAAATGCACAGCATTACCAATATATTAACAAATTACTCTTGCATTTTATTAGCAAGTTATTACCCACACCAGTTTTTAGGCCAAGTAAGAAAATAAACTTGTTTCTCATCCCTCTCTGCTTGCTTTTTCCCACCCGCCTTTTTTTCTCCATTTTTTTTTATCAATACATTTTGTGTCTTTTTGTTTGTTTCCAACAAAATTGTAGCTGTAGGTTTGCAAGTTCATAATCTGGTAGAAGGAGTGACGGCTTCTTTGGACACAAAAGTATCAGCAAAAGAGTCGAGAAAATGGAATAATCCATCCGCCATCTTGCGGGGGAAAAGAGGGGCCTCCCCCTTCCTTTTTTCAAAAAGACCCGACGAGAAACTTTTTTTTTTTACTTGGCCTTAATGATGCCACCATTATGACCCACATACATGTACAATACAATAAGTATTTTCGAGAAAAAATTGCAAAACAAAATCAAAAGAAAAGCTTGTGCAGTGCAATTTAAACAAGCAAAATCAAAAACATGCTGCGATGCAAGACTGACAAATCTATATTTAAAACAGGATCCGAACCTATTGAGGAAAATGAAGTTTCCTCAGCAATTGTTCTTGTCCAAACACTGTCAACAGAGGGGGCTATGCCTACTTTGCAGAACCACAGATAGTGCTTGCAATAGACTCATGCATGAACAGTAGATGACCCAGTGGGAAGTTTACACCGTGGGAGTATTCAAAACCCTTTCTTAAGTGACCTGCGAATAGTGTTCTCGTCTTGCCAATTACGAATGCCGAAGTGCGTGTGGAGTGCAGCTGGGCGCAAATTTAAGATGGCAACTGCCATATTAACCACTTCACGCTCAGTTTATATTTGCTGAAAATTTCGAAATTTTCAAAAGGCAAAATTTCCCATCCAACTTGTGATATACAGCCAAACGCCACAAATACTGATTCACAAGAGTGAATTCAACAGTACCGGTATTTCTACGATATTTCTTGCTGAAACCTCACGTTCCAATACTCCAGGGTGTGCACTGGAGCATAAATTGTACAACAATAGGGTGTATAATGGACCACACAATGGTCAGCCTCCACAGACAACTTTGTGTGTGTACAAAGGCACGAGGGATTTAGCGTGTTTAGATGCCAACCGAAGGCGAGTCGAGGCAATCTTGATGTCATAACCCGTCAGCTGTGCCGGGGTACAAAAACAGCCAATACGTGTTATCACGGTCTCCGACGCAAACCTTAAAACGCAGAGAGAAGAATGGAAACTAATGATGTTGCGAAAATAATTTAAATCCCAGACCAGCTATAAATTTTTTTTGGCAAAGACAAGCCCACTCTATGGTGACGTACGATTCTATTTTTTATCACTACTGCTCCTGCACTGAATGCGTGCGTTCAATTTTATGCACAGAAAACAAATGCCGGTTGCCCTAGTCCGCCATTTTTCTACATCTACTCTAGGCTTTAATAATGACAGAATGTTTGCACAAGGACCAAACAAATGAAGTGAGATTTTGCAAAAACATTAGCACAAACTTTAGGATTTAATTCAAGAAATTTATAAATGCAAATTTCAATCTGTAAGTTGGCAAACATGGGCATTGGTTGCAGTGGTTAAAGGCATAAAGAAACATTTGCATTTATCCCCAAAGCAACCTACCAAATTATTATAATAAAGCTGAATTGGATTAAAGATTGTAATAGTACTAAACACCCCGTGAAATCATTCCGTCTGGCTTGCTGTCATTGAGAAGAAATCAAGACATGTAGGTGATTTCCAATGATATGATCAGTCGACTGACTGATTTTTGGAAGCTAAGAGTGCTATGGACAAAATCGTGTTTCGTGATCAAAAGGTTGTGCATGGTTTTTCATTGCTTTCTCAAAAAGTGTAATATCCACTGAGCTGAAACTTCAACAGGTTAGGTTTTGAACATTCTCCTTTGAGATTTTGAGTGGTGTTATTATTGGAAAGAAACAAAATACATGAAAAGCAAATGTGACCTGTTCGTTCAAAAGCAGACGCTTCTGGGCAGAGGATGAAATTAAGATAGGGCCAAAAAACAGAGTAGGTGTTATTTTTTTCGATTTTCCAATTTTTGCATATTTGTAATCTTGAGCATGTCTAAAATATACTATAAAAGTTTGAACTCTAAATATAGTATTTTTGATGATTAGTTAAGGTATATCAGTTAAGAAAACATCACTTGAAACAGGTCTTAAAATAGACCCCAAAGTTCAACTGCCATTTTCTCCGTTTTTTACTTTTCGACACGATGAAATTCAAAAGAGCATAACTCTGCCCAGGAATGACCGGTTTCAAAAATTAAACCACCTATTTAAAGGAAAATGTAAATATTTGAACAATATGCAAAAATCTCCTTTTTGATCTTATGCCTAGAAAAGTCTGATTTTGACAGTTCAGGTCTCAAATGATCCGATATGCCCTTAACCACATGAATGGTGTCAATGCATGGAGATTATCATTGGGTGAGGCACACAATGCATCGGGCACATGTGGATAGTTAATTACCTTGAATGATTCAAGCCTGCAAAATAGCTGCATGTTTACAAAAATGACAAACAAGGAAAAGAGAACAAAATATTAGTCCATGCAAAGCATTGTGGGTTAATACTCGGCCAAAGCTCAGACAAACACACAAATGACAACAATACATGTAGTGTACCCTCCTTCTCATCAATTGAAACTCCGCCTACCCCTTCCCTAGTCTCTCATAGTGAATTGCATTACACTTGATGCGCCCCCTTCAAACAAGATTAACCCCGCCCACCTCTTTCCCCCCACTCTACTCACCCAAAGTCGCAATTTGGGCGATTCACAATGCAGTGCGCCACCAAGAGTTTGCCATGGAGAGTCCAGTTTTCAAGTTTACGGTCGACAAAACATGGCCCATTTGAATGAGTGTCAGCAGACAACTTTAGCTAATTTGTTATAGATTGTGACATAGCGTTCTGCCGCCTTACAAAAAACACCATAAGTGATGAAAAGAAAAGAAAAGGGCCAACATATACTCAAATCATACGCTTACAAAACTACTGACCGGAGAAAGCAACAATTTCAAATGTCCTGCGCTGCGAATTTGTCGACCATCTCCCACAATGCAATGGGAAAAATTAACTCTCCATGGCAAACTCTTGGTGGCGCACTGCATTGTGAATCGCCCGAATTGTAAGGAGTCAGTCACAAAAAATCACAAGTCGTCATAGGTCAATCACAAGTCATCAAGTCCAAAGTCAAATCACAAAGTATTTAAATTGGCCGTAGTTACAAAGACATTCTTTTGTCACTGTTCAGCAACAGCTACTTGTGAACTGACTTGTGATTGACTTGTGACTGACTTGTGACTGACTTGTGACTGACTTGTGACTGACTTGTGACTGACTCGTGATTGACTTGTGATGGACTTGTGACTGAATTGTGATTACCTTGTGATTGACTTGTGAGTGACTTGTGATTGACTTGTGACTGACTCGTGATTGACTTGTGACTGACCTGAGAATGACTTGTGATTGACTTGTGATTGACTCATTACATTTCCACCCAATATCAATCAAAAAACCAATTTCGTACATGTTTTGCTCCGTATCCAAAGAAATACAATGTTTTACAAATTTTTAACAACCTCACATTTCTTGCAAAGTGTGCATTTCCCATGGTTAACTTTGCATATTTACATGTAGTTTTATTCAAGCCACATTAAGAACATGCAGGTAGGATTAAATGGATACATAAACACCCACGAATGGCCACTAGTAGCATTTAAAAAATTACAGAACCTTTATTTATTAATTTAAAATGTTGAAGAGATACCTACCTAGGGATTCTGATTAAATATGTTAACAGACGTATAAATTCATCGTCTGTTGTGATGTCAAACTTCAGGCATTCCGGCATCGTGATGATTGGAAAGCCTTCGTTGGACTTGCCTCCTGGAAAAGAAAAATTGCCAAAAAAGAATGTCAAACTTTAACAAGAAAACGAAAAACCTAGAAAAACTGGTCATGGAGTGCACACAATTATATCCAACTTTATTCAAAAAGGCTAAAAGTTTACTGTAGCGGTAATGTGTTGGAAGTAATAATAATAATATTAATAATAATAACGGGTTCTTATATAGCGCTTTTAACTAAGATCAAAGCGCTTTGTATTATTATTACCCCTGATCATTGGGCCAATTAAACATTCCAAATACCATCTCAGCTCCCTGGGGAGTATGCTCGGTGCTGCCTGTTAGGCACAAGGCAGCTTATTCAATCACAATAACCATCTCTGCCCTCACAGGTACCCATTTACTCCTGGGTGGAGAGAAGCAATGAGTGACAAAGTGCCTTGCCCAAGGGCACACGCACCATGACCCCGGCTGGACTCGAACCCACAACCCGCAGCTTTACCCACAGACCACGTACATGTATCCAATGCCTTTAACCACGAGGCCACAGCACTCCACAAAGGTGAAAGGTCTATTTGTACCATTCACATGGTGACTTGACACACATAGCACGTCCTAAAATACCTGCAACTTTTTTTTTTTGCGAGGCTCTGGCGTCGCCCCGGAAACACATACCGCCATTATTATTTATATCATTTTAACACTTGGAATCTTAACCTTATCCCTGGTAAGTATTGGTTTGATTTTGGTTTGTTTGGTTTGATGATTCATGTTCAAATAAAGGCATGTCAAAAGCAAACTCAACCGCTTTCAAGGAAATTCAATCATGCACATTTTTTTCTAATGTGGAAATGGTTCATGTTCATGACGTGACGATCTCATTACCTTTTACTTTCTGCGTTTCCTTTTCTTTTCCATCCACATAGACTACACCTTAAATGAATTCACAATATTGTTCTTACATGTAGTTTCAAGTTCATTTTGAAATTCATGTGCAAGTATGTACCTAATTCAAAAAGCGTGCTCAAAGTGTGACTCGAGTTTGCATAGATCTAGTACCACGTCATCGAGTTTCCTTGAAATTGGTTGAGTTTGTTTTCAACATGCCTTTATTCGGAAACCAATAAATTTCAAACCCTACCATATTGTCTATTATTGTACATGTACAATTTACGCTCCAGTGCACACCCCAGAGTATTGAAACATACAAGGTCTCGGCAAGAAATATCGTACAAATACCGTTGAAATGACTCTTGCGAATCAGTACCGGGCTGTACATCAGAAGGTGGCTAGAAAATGTTGCCTTTTGCTAAAATCGAAATATTTGGCAAAAATATCATGGGATATCAAGGGGCCAAAAAAAAAAAAAAAATGTATGCATTTTGTCGGGCATAAAAATCAGACTTCTGATGCTAAACTATGAACATATATAAATATAAGGTTTAAGATGTAAACAAAAATGATCCTCAAAAATTCCAATGGTTTTGTTAGTTTTACAAATAAACTTTGAACAGATTTTAAAATATGATTCTCACACAAGAGAAGAAAAAAACTTATATAAATATAAGGTTTAAGATGTAAACAAAAATGATCCTCAAAAATTCCATGATTTTGTTATTTTTACAAATTGTATTTTGAACAGATTTTAAAATATGATTCTCACAAAGGGGAAAAAAAAAACTATGTCAACATTTTTTAATCCAATTAAATGCACATCTGTGACTCTAAGAAAAATCAATGGTTCAGTTTTGATCCATTGTCGGTATCTCACTGATTGCATATAACTGCACATGTGCAGGACATGTAGTCCAATCGGTGTTGAAATTAAACCGTGCATTATTTACATATGAATGGAAAGCTGTACATTATCACAGTGACTCACTAGACAAACATCTCACTTAACATTTTTAACATTAAAAACGGTTTCTCATCCTTATTCGAAAGGAGGTCCGCCCTTTAAAGGGAATGTACACAATTTGCTTTTGCTGCAATTTTCAGAAATAAATGGATTTGGAAGATTAGTATGTTATAGCAAATATTGTGACACTGACTTGTTTCACGTTTTGGGTTCATAGATGATGGAAAAACCAAGAAAACCAATCATATTATTGTAGTCTGGTTCCCTGACCCCACTTAAGATAAAGCGGAGCAATTTATAGACTTTGGGGAATTGTAAGATCAGAGAATTAGTGTAGCAGTGTTTTAGTCTTCACAGGTGTGTAATCAACTGCAAAGAAAATGCAGACGAATGAAATATAAACAAGTAGGAACACTTTTTGAAAAAAGCCAGTTTTCTCCAACGCTGGTCGGCCCAGTGTTGGAAAAATACAGTTTTTCTTGAAAACATCAGCACACCAGGAGCCACAGGATGCTTTAGAATGTCATTCCCTAACAATCCAGTAAGATATTTGGTGATAATTTGATCATTTCGTTTTTTGATGTTTGCAAATGTTGTACCTTCCCTTTAAAAAAAAAAATTGAGATTTGTAAAAAAAAAAAAAATAAATAAAATGGAAATTTTTACATACCGGAGAGGAAGGCCACACCTAGTTGCAGCTCTTTAGCCACATCGTGGATGAGAATTTCATCTTCATCAGTTGCCATGGCGACTGCATCATCTTCAGAACGAAAAAAAAAAGGAAACAACTTTCTCACTAATCATTCAGTTCAGATATGAAAGATTAGTTTTGGGGAGGTTTTGAGTAGGTTTTCAGCAGGTTTTGACACAGAGGGTTTAACTGAGTAATTTCTGAAAGTTTTTGGAGAAAGGGTTATGAATTTGAAATTACGTTTCCCATGACATTTTCGAGTTCCATCAAAAAAATAGTTTCCTTTTCTAAATAGCGATTTTTTTCGAGCAATACACACTTGATTCACTTTTGAATGGGATATTGACTGAAAAATAAGCCCATGTTTAGTTATTAAATTATTACTTTATATTTTTGAAATTTTTGGCTACCAGTCAATAATTTTGTTCTTGTGGGGTAGGCTGGTTCCCGCCCCTTCAATTCAATCAGTATCGATAATGTATGGTCCGGGAACCAGTCTGCTTACTATAGCAGATCTGTTTGTGCTTTAAAAAAAAAAAAACCCTGAGAGGGTTGCAGATATTCAAAAAGGGAAAAAAAGGAGCTTTTTTGGTTGGCGAAAAAACATACAAGTTGAAATTTATTAATAGAAAATAAAAATTCAATTTTGTTGAAGAGCACAGGGAGTGTATTTTTTTCTGCAGCATACATCGTATTTTAACCAATCACATCATGTACCCTAACGTGAATATTTATCACGCTGTGTGGATGGAAGACACTTGGGTTTTCATAGTGTTTCCCTTCAATTAAACTTCCCAACCAACACAGATATTTCATGAAAATGGACACGGGTTCAAACCACAGATCTTGCGATCCATAGTTCATTCCACTATCCACTAGGCCACTGTGGCAGTTCGACGAAAGCCGTTCTTTGAAATGCTTTTAATAATGTACAGTATGCATGACTGAGCGATAGCAATGGTGTGACATCATTGTTATTTTACATCGAACTAGCTGAATAATCATGATCCATTAACAATGTGTGCTGCAGATAAAAAAAACGCTCACAGGGAACGCAACAAAAATGTTACTGAAATGGAAGAATTAAAGATTAATTCACACAATCTTGCTTCTTTGGGAACAAAGAAGTAATACGGTACAAGAAATTCGACGGCGAATACTTACGGTCACAGTACCACGCGGCACGCATCTCAATGTTAATCACAAAATTATGTTATAAACACACTCAAGCGAAAAAAAAAAAGTTGACGAATCAGAAAGATAAACGGTATCAGACGATAACAGAAGAATATGTGTTAAGAATATTCCGTGGAGATGGCACAACCACATGGAATCCAGAGACTATTTCACTTTTGCAGATGTCCAGAAATCAGTCAAACAGGCGCAAACAATTCCATGTATTCCTGAGGTTTTCTCTGGTGGTGACGTAAGCTCATTCATCCCACGGGAGTTACAAACAAGGTGACAGTCAAGAATTCCTGGGTCTGGCGAATCAATGATTTATAATCTCCGAGCCGTCAGCACAAGCAAGCTGTTTAAAGCTTATAATCGCCCCGAACATGACGACTTCCTTATAAATAAATGTTGCCTGTTTTCTTTATTACGCACCCGCGGTAGGGTTATTTTCAGTGGTGTGGTAGACATGGGTTTGGAAAGCGAAAACACTCCTCAATAATGAGACGACAGATTTTTTAAAGACCAAACATAGTTTCGGATTTGAGTGGGTTAGGCCTTGCCTGACGTAAACAATACAGGCTACCGTTATCGACAGACAGTAGGATTCAGTGGTGGCTCCTTTCCTGTGGTCATATATGTTAAGGTAAGGCCGCAGTGAAACAAAAAGGGAAACTCCGGAAGGAAGTTGCTACAAACCTGAAAACAACTGCACGATACAATGTAGGTTGAACTTCCCTTGTGACAGTTAGAGTTAGTACGTGCGGTTTAATTGTTGATCAGGTATTACGTGTACATGTAGTATGCATCAGCACATATGGTATGTGTACATGTACCTGAACTATATAGTCCATCATTTGTAATTTGTGCATTTTGTTCGTTTGAAGCAACAAAAGTGTTCAAAATCTAATGAAGGATACTGAACAACTAACCTGATGAAGTTTCAGCTCAGCTTCAGCTGCATATTCCGAGAAAAACAGCATTCTAGAATCTCAATTTCAAATCAAAAGTTGCTGAATCATGTTTTGAATTGTTTTGATTGCAGCTATACGTGATGTCGCGCACTGATCCGACGAATTATAGCAACCGCGCGCGCCTGTGCGTCGTGCCAATGCTTGTGCGCGCTGCGCTGAATAACAAAACGAACTACTAATTTAAATTTTTCTACGGTGCGTCTTTAAGACGCACCGTTGGAAAGGCCTTCTTTCGTTGATTACTTCAAAATGACAGCTTGCCAGAAAGAATAATTTCACAGGGAGTTTAGTTCCCTTACTATCTTTCAACCAGTATGTTTTTCAACAATAATTATGCCAGTTACTTTTTCGGATGGCTGCAAATGATGGACTCTAGCTTTAACAAGATAAGGCAAGCCTTAGTAAAGCCGGTCCCACAGAGCGCAAAATTCTATTCAACTGATTCAGAAAGGCTATTCACTAGAATTTTTTTCATGCAAACTTCTCTTTCACTAGAGTTGTGCATTTACGGGTAGTACGGAACCGGGTACCCGATTACAAAAAAAACACGGTTACCCGTTAAAGAAACCCAACCCAAAATTCAAATCTCTGATGTTGCTGTACAGATTGTTCATAAAGGTTCACACGATAATATAGTCGGTGCGTCAATACAGCAAGATACAAGTGTGTACAGTGAGCTACATGTAGTGTGTGAGCCAGTGTGAGCCTTACTTTCACGACCGTCATAAACATGAAATATGTGTTGTTTTCCTATATTTGGGGAGTCAGGTTGGCGTAGCGGTACTTTCCTCGCCTTCCACCGCTGTGACCCGGGTTCGAATCCCGCCTGGGCCAACATGTGGATTGGGTTTTCAGTCCCTACCTGATTCCGTGGGTTTCCCCCAGAATATTCTTCTGGGGTTTTCCTCCCACCTCTAAAACTGTCATTTCTTCTCATTGTCTTCTCTCTACAGGTTTCTTCAGGCTTGCGAGCTCCAGTGCGCTTTTGATGAATTCTTGGTTTCATTACCAGAAATATAATAATATAGCCTGGTCTTCATTCTGAAACTTTCCCACAAACGACATTCAACACCGTTCTTCTTCACTGTCTGAGAAGTTACTTAGTTATAATTTGTAAAGTTGGTTACAGGTACCCGATCCCATAATCTGGAACCGGTTCCTGACATCAACAGCCGGTACTCGGGTATCCTGTTCCGATGCATGGCCCTATCTATTACACAATAGCCCGGCTTTAGCCCATTCATTGGTGTTACAGGGTAATCCTATACAATAGCACTGCCCAGCTCACAAGTAACAGTCAGTCAGCCAGTTAGTATGTGCCAAGAGGACACTTAGGCTGGCCCTCTGGGACCAGCACGTGAATACTCGTCCGCAACAGACCTTTATCATGCTGCCACCATTTCAGTCATGTTCCCTGTAACCAATAACAGTACTGAATGATAATGGTTTTTGTGCACAAAGGAACCAGACTATTTTTCCTTCCAGCCTCGCTTTGGTTACGTTGATTTGAATGGGAAAAAATCAAGATGGCCGCAACATGATAATGGTCTATACAATTGACAGGGACTGCAATTTGACCTGTGCAATGCAAATGACAGAACTGTCATTGAACAGCTACCGGTACACGTACTCCACTATTAAATTTGAAACTGACCTTGAAATTTATGGCCTACAGTATTGATATACCCAATGCAAATGTCTATTCCGGTGATAGGAAGTTCAATTACATGTGAACTATACATGTAGTTACTATACACATGTACACAGTACATTTATTGTAAATTTATAAAACTGGGGATTATTCCTTGTGTGAAAAAAATCCTAAAAACCCTGATCCTTTGACCTCAAGTTCTGTGGGTTGCATGCAGCTTAGCTCGCCCTCCATTCAATGTTATGAGTTCTATGAACTGTAAAATTTTACGCTGTCGAATGCAATAGGAATTCTTTTCAATGTGATTGCCACATTGTACATTACACAACGCCCGTGGGTGGTTTAATGTACATTGTGTTTTGCAAATTTCTGAGTTTCACATACATGTACATGTGTACACTGGCATTTATATGTAATTTTATGCTATAAAAGGCACATAGGCCATATAAATTACCAACTTTTTAAAATGAGAAAACCCTTGCTCAACGTGACATACCGGTAGGGCGGTAACCAATACTCTGTGAAATTATTCTGCCCAAAAAGGTTTTCGTTCAAAAGAGAACAATCACCGAAGGTGGTTTTAAAAAGTGTGCCACTTGTGATCTGGGCAGTGCTATCTTATAGGGTTACCCTGTAGTGACAACAAATGGGCTCAATCCAGCCAATCGAGTACCGAAGATGCATGAACAGATTTCCAGTGAATAGCCGTTATGAATCACTTGAATGGAATTTTTGTGGGCTCTGAGTCCAGCTCTAATCCAAACCACCGGGGGGTAGGGGATGTGGAGGGGGGGGGGGGGGGGGGAGCGGGTGTGTTGGCAAAAGTTCAACATTAAAAAGGAATACATACCGGTACCTCCATTCATTTTGTGAGAGAATTGTATAAACCCATCTGTAACGACACCATCGTAATTATGAACCAGCTGGCGCTACTGGTTTTACAATCAAAGCGAGCCCCATTTTTTGTGTAAAATCTCACAGCCTCTGTATCTATACCGAGCTGTAGGCATATCACTGCAATTCTTTAATTGTGAATTACATGTTCAGTCCTGTTTACGCTTGCTGCTGTTCATGGGAACAGATGGTGTGGCCGAACGATGACACAACGGCGTAGGTGTGTCTGTCTGTAGTATTGAACCATCTGACCTAAAAACTGTGAATGTGTGCTGTGTATACATTATGTATACATTGTATACATTTTGTATACATTGTTTATACATTGTATTCACTGTGTGTATTATAAACTCCCCTTTTTGACATTTATACACAGGGCCGGAATTTAGGGTCAAAACAGTGAAGTGGCATTTTTCCTGTACATGTACCTGTTACCTTGGTACTTTGTAATTTACCATTCAAGTACATGTATCATTAACTTACCGCCCTGAATCCTCCAAAATCCTTTTTGCAAATTGGAGGAATTTGCAGGATTGAGGTTACATGGCCAAAGTGCATTGCTGATTTCGGAGTAAGCACTGTGTCAAGGTCTTGGGCCGGACCTTGTGTTGTTTATGCTCAGCCGTGCATAAATTTAGTCCTTGATTATACATTTATCCTCCGCACTGCTCCAGGATGTCACTGCCTCTGCCTCAGCCTATTGACAGTCATAGCCGGAGGATTTTGCAGGATTTAGGCAGTGGGCACCCCTCCATGGACCATATTCAAGAAACAACGGAGGAATTTGCAGGATTGAGGCTATACGTGTATGCTATTTTTCCATGAGGCCAATTGGAGGATTTTGCAGGATTGAAGCTACATCCTAGCAAAAAGGCCTAGGGAGTTAGGGTTAAAAATTACTTCAAAGAATTGTTTATGTTTGTTGGGTAGGTAGTTTGCTATTCATAATCACTCTTGGAGGATGACTTCATTAAGGAGCTAGTGCATCAGAATTATAAAATCATAGATGTCAGATGTACATGTAACAGGGACAGGGTAAAATTGGACCCCAATTTGAAAGAATGATCCATATCAGTCATGTCAAAATTATACAATAATTATCTGACAACTGATGTATTTGAGAGAGAAGAATAGAAAAAAATAATTTGTCGCCATTTTGCAAATGAGTTTATATTATGATGCATAGTGGAGTAACAATTGATTAAACACTCTTTGTATGACATCAATATGGTTCCGGATGCTGAGTTCGGGAACAATTCAAAGTATGACTCGGCAACTTTTGAATTGAAATCGAGATCCTAGAATATTGTTTTCTCGGAGAATGCTATGTACCGTACAGCATTCACAGAGCTAAAACTTCATCAGGTTAGTTGTTAAAGGGAATGTACATTGTACATCATTGGCTTTTGCTGTAATTTTCAGAAATGAACTACATGTATTTGAGGGGTTAGTATAATAGATCAAATATTGTTTAACTGACATGTTTGAAGTTTTGTGTTCGAAAATGCTTAAAAATCCAAGAAAAACAAAATTGTTTAAGTAGTCTGGTTCCCTGACCTCACTAAAGATAAAATAGATCAATTTATAGGTGTCGGAAAATTGTAAGGTAAGGGAACCAGTCTAGCTGGCCTGCACCTGTTCATGAACATGTAACCAATAGCAAACAAAATTTGGACTGAAAAAAAATTTGTCAATTTGGAGCAGTAGTTGAAAAATAGTTAGGTTTTTCCAACGGTGGTCGGCCGACCACCGTTGGAAATGTGTACAAAAATACCATTTTCTTGAAAATGACTTGACACCAGGTGCCATAATTTTACAGGATGCTTTAGACTGTCATTTACCAACATCCTAGTAAGGTATTTTGTAAAAACTTGGTAGTTTTATTTTTCGATGTTTGCAAATGTTGTATATTCCCTTTAAGCACACGTGACACGTCTTTAGATTTTGAGCACTTTTGTTGGATCAAACGAAAAAAATGCACAAATGACAATGATCTACCGGTATCCTATCTTTTAAGAGAAGACAAGACAATAGGATTAAATTACCAAGGAATCATAACATATGTACATGTATAGTTACTTGCAATTATATGTTAGGATACATGTATACAGATATCGTATCAATACACTTTTTTGGATGTATGAATTTATATAGTTGTTATGCATGAGTTAACCTTGTATATATATATTTAGTATCTGACACTTGGTATAGGCATGCATGAGTTAATCTGACTTGTGCATTGTGCTTTGTCATGCATTTTAATGAGTCTGTGTATATATAGAGGTCAACATGTCTGCAAATTGCAAAAAAAAATATTGCGTTAACTAGACCTTCAGTTAAAATGAAGAGTAAAAATTTACTAGTTTTTCCCCAAGTATCACAATGCAGTAAATAACTGTGTCAATAAGCCAGTTCGGTATTCCAAAATAGTCTGGTAAACAGCAAGATTCGACAATTATTTTTCGGGATAACCGTAGCAGATAAATGCACACAATGCTATGGGGGACGTGGTAACCAAATCTGTGTTCTGTGCGATTTTTCGTGCAATCGAAAGGAGACGGAACTTTTGTTCGCACAAAAGTTTCGACACACAAGACACCTAAAAAGACTTCGCTGTCCAAAGGTGTTTTGCAAAATGTTATACTTCCGATCATGGTGATCCATTCAGTTTTGCTGGCATCCCGCTGTGCTTTTGCACGCATACGATGACGTTTTCATCCCAAAGGAAAAATCCACAAATCTTGATGTGCATGCATGCATGCAGTTGGAATATACTGAACTCCCTTATTACATTCAACTGGTTATGTTATCATGATCATGCTTATAAAACAACTTCTTCTGCAGCCTCCCCCCCCCCCCCCCTCTTCACGGCAGAACTCCAAACAGTTTCTTTGCAATTTTGCACCTCCGGTGAAGAAACATTAGTATACTAGTATATCTTGATTAATTCAATAGCTAATCAGTGCTTGATGTTAGTGCATGACTTTTCTATTAAAGGCCTTACACACTATCCAAAGATCTCCAAGTAGGCCCCGGGTCAGACAAGGCTCTGCAGGAATCCCGTTCACACTGGCAAGAATCCAACACGGCGTCCACACGGGTCTGGCGGTAAATCAAACCCTGGTCCCGACCAGGGTCTGGTCCCGACCAGGGTTGAGATCACTGATCTCTATAAAGACTGGAAAGCGTACAGAAAGCCGCAGAAGAACGCTATTTGAAGCCATATTGGAGAGACCGGCTGGTGATCTATTAAGGACACCCTGCCATCTTTACAGGCTGCATGATTCACTCTTGTAACATTGTGGTTCACGGCCTGAGTTTGACCACCACCACTGACCACGGTTCAAAATTTGTCAAACGGCGTTGTTTACTTCTGAATGCCGTAGTTCACTTTTGCAACGTTTGGAAATCTAATCACGACAGAAATGTTGTCCTTTTTAGGTCATATCACAATACGTGTACGTGATCAAAATGCGCGTCAACTCATGATACAGCGTGCAATGTATGCATGCGTATAACGTTTGAAAGACCGGGGGCCGAACTGGTCAAAAAGTAAATTCAAGCCTGTGACTCGTTTATGGATATCTGTTTTCCAGTCTATAGAGATCAGTGGTTGAGAGGCTCTACCTAGATAGAAAATTTAAAAAAATCTACAGCCGACCCGTGGACACATCGGTGTAAGTGTGAACATTACTCCTTGGCCTACAAGTACCCATGTTCGATGGAACTCAGTTAGTGTGTACCAAGGACCCATGTTAATTTCAACCCGGGGACCTGGGTAAGCAAGACAACAGTGTGAAAAGACCTTTGATCACTCCACGCAAAACTCAGTTAGTAGTCAAAAGCGTTAGTTAACAGCATGCTGTCACAAGGCTGAGAAAAGCACAAGAGAGATACCTACATGGTAAACGGGACTGGCGGGACGCTAAAAAGTTCTGAAGGGCGTTGTCGTTGCCCACAGAGAATCGGACAAGTTCTTGACCAGTGTGCAAACTCCAAGCGATTAGTGCCGCCATCTCGGTAGGGCTAGGGACCCATGGGTAAGCCCGAGATAATCTGGGGGAATTACAAAACAAGCGGGGGTACTGCAGAGAGCTGGGCACATAAGAAGCAAAAGCAATCAATCTTCAACACGGACAAAAAATGTGAATACTTGAAGCATGCGATTTTGCAAAAATCAAGAGCAATATATCTGGGACATGTTGTGGACAAGTTAACTCACTACAGGCGCCCTGCCTGTCACTGCCTATTAATCGCCCCAAACTGCCCCAGCAATAGGTTTTATGCATTTATCAATGATGTAATACAATGATGTAGTGTGATGAAGTGCAAGAGCTTACCGGTTAACAACTGAACCCAGCATTGGGTGTAAGGGGCAATGACCTCGCACCCAGCTCCCTCAATAATAACCATGATAACCACGCAAGCAAAGCATTTCCCATGTTAGTTAACCGCAACTTAGCCAGGATGTGTACATGTGGCTACAATTTCTGTGTAATTGTACAGTGCAAAACGCCACTAAAACTCCTGGCCATTCAACCGTACACCAGACTGGCAATATTTCTACATTGTACTGCACGTATATCACACAAACCCACAATTTTTAATTGAAATATTCCAAGAACTACCGTCATCACAAGGTCAAAAGCTGTCTGTGCCAGATGCTGCATCTATCTACATATAAGTTGAAGTTGCGTTTCCTGTACTTTCATTTTTTTAGTATTTGGTTAAACTCTAGCTAAGGCCTTAAAGGAAATTTTTATGACATGATTAATGTACGATACATGGAGTGTCAGCTGAATTAATAATGAGATAAGCCTGTGAATATGACTGTTACAGACGTTAATCCCAGTTCATACTTCATGCGAAAGCGAATGCAAAGCGAAGTTGACGTCATGAAACATTCCCTGAGAAATTCGTCCCAGTTGAAATGTATTCAACTTTTGCGAATTCGCAGCTCAAATACTTGCCATGTCATCACAAATTCGCGTTCGCTTTTGCTTTCGCACTGAGTATGAACCGGGCTTATGGATTCTGACCTAGGTTTTTACTTTCAGTACACATTGATAAAAGTCTGTGAAGCTTCAAGATTGCAAAAAATGCCTAAAATAACTACATGTGGTAGATCCACCGGCAGCTTCACTCTGAATCTGATGGAAACACCAATGGCATTCTACAAAAAAACTACTTTGATATTATGGAAACATATCATGTTTATGTTGTGGCCCAATTGTGAAAAGATGTTCTTTGAAGAAAATAAAAGGAATCCCAAAATAAAAGTACCGGTACATCATTCCCCTTCATGTTTTATATTTTGTTCTTCTTCAGCATGTTCAGACTAAAGATATAACCATTTTTCATCTTAGATTTGAACAGTCCAACGTAGTCCTTGCTTGATGCAGACAGAATAATGATGATCGAATCTCAAAGAGCAGGCCTAACTGCCACTGACATTAATATTTTTCTAATCGGGCCAGAGGCAAATCTAGAAGAATCTGATCTCTCCAGTGACCATGATAGCACCTTGAGCTAGAGATCAATGGATTTACAGATCTTACAATAATACTGAAAAGTAGTCTGGCGTCAGGAATCTGAGGCAGCGTTATTAAATGAATTGAATGATCAATGGTGTATGAAGGCTATAGAGCGTCAGGCTACATGCGAATTGCTTATGGCTACGGCTGTTGGTAGCACACGTGTCTATGGGAAGTGGCTTCATAGACGCATGTGTAACTGTACGCCACAGCCAAGTAATTTGGACAACGGCTCAGACTATTACACACTTTGTACAGTCAAAGATGATATTATTTTTTTAAAGGTACAGCAGGGTAGATCAATTGTCATTTGTGCATTTTTTTTTCGTTTGAAGCAATAAAAGTGCTCAAAATCTAAATAAATAAACGCTTTACGTGTTTCAGGTTACAATGCCAAAACTTAAGTAAGAATTGGTCGGTAGCCTAAATAAGGGAATAAATTTGTGTTTGGTTGGTTTTAAACAAGTAAGTTTAAACACTCTGTACAGTCAAAGATGATATTATTTTTTTAAAGGTACAGTAGGGTAGATCAATTGTCATTTGTGCATTTTTTTCGTTTGAAGCAACAAAACTGCTTAAAATCTAAATAAATAAATGCTGTGTTTCAGGTAATAATGTCAAAACAAACGTAAGAATTGGTCGGTAGCCTAAATAAGGGAATTAATATGTGCTTGGTTGGTTTTAAACAAGTACGTTTAAACCGTCTAGGAGTCTGGTCGTGGATAATTGAAAGCATCGTTTCGGTTTGCGGTAACACCATGTGGTAATAACTACTGCTTAGAAGATATTAGTTCTGAAAAGAACTTGTCCTGCTTATTATCAACTTTGCTAAGTACGGTAGTTTTTTGTTCTGATAAGAACAGTCCTGCTGTAAGTTCTAAACGAACTTGTCTCTGGTCTCAACGTTTCGACTAGCCTGCTCTAGTCATCTTCAGGAGACTGCTAATTGAAAGCTTTGGACATTATCTACGATTAATGGCCAAGCACATATTTACACGTATTCCCATTCATACCGGTAGTACTGCAACCATAACATTTTTTTCCTAATTTGACATTTCTGTCTTAATGCCAAGGTCCAAATGACCCTTGGATGACCATTATGCAGATTATTATTACCATGACGAACGGTCAATTATCAATGACCAGTCGAAACAGGAAATTAAATGGTTAAACTTATCTCGGTCAACCACTGGACAGCTGGAATGTGTCAAACGGTTGTCCTTGCAAAAGTACAGGTACACAATGCGCAGTACAACAGATTATGGTCAAACTGGGCAAGTGTACATGTACATAATGTGTACCGTTACATGTACTGTACATGCCTTGACTTAAAGCCGGAGTCCATCATTTGCAGCTATCCAAAAAAGTAACTGGCGTAATTATTGTTGAAAAACATACTGGTTGAAAGATAGTAAGGGGACTAAACTCCCTGTGAAATTATTCTTTCTGGCAAGCTCTCATTTTGAAGAAATCAACGAAAGAAGGCATTTCCAACGGTGCATGCGTCTTAAGTGCTTAAGAAGCACCGTAGGAAAATTTAAGTTAGTAGTTCGTTTTGTTATTCGGCGCAGCGCGTGCAAGCATTGGCACGACGCAAAGGCGCGCGCGGTTGCTATAATTCGTCGGATCAGTGTGCGACATCGCGTAAAGCTGCAATTCAAAACAATTCAAAACATGATTTAGCAACTTTTGATTTGAAACTGAGATCCTAGAATGCTGTTTTTCTCGGAATTCACAGCTGAAGCTGAGCTGAAACTTCATCAGGTTATAGTTGTTCAGTATCCTTCATTAGATTTTGAACACTTTTGTTGCTTCAAACGAACAAAATGCACAAATTACAAATGATGGACTATGTCTTTAATTAGGGCTAAACTGATTAACTTTGGCAAAATTGGGGGGAAAAATAGTATTTAGTTTTTATAAGATGGCATTTGCTTCAGGGAGATGAAACTTTCATATTGCATTTTTTCCCTCTGTTGATGTATAAAACATACGTCGTCGAAGGATTAAAAAAATAAAAATAGATATACATGTAATAGTAATACGTGTAAGTATCTGTGAAAGTGTACACATGTATGAACTTAATGCCTTTATAAAGGCACGTAAATATAAATATATTACCTGGCTATAAACCTATCAACTTACATGTAGTTTGTATGTACATGTAATGAGAAAATCCTTGCTCAAAATGAAGATAGGACTGGTACCAAATAACCTGTGAATTATTCCATCTGAAATGGTATCATTCGGAAGAAAACAATCATTGAAGGTGGTTTTTAAAAAAGTGTGTCCGCTGGCACACTTTTTGGCATGCATTAGCAAAGGAATCCAGATATAAATGAGACCCAATAATGTTTCCTCTGTTTTCTTAAAATGTAGGCCTATACATGTAGTAGCCCGACCGAGCTGAATCTTCAAACTGGTTTAGTTTTTATGGACTCTAATTATTAACATTTTGAACAATGTTGTTGCTTCAAATGAAAAAGGGCACAAAAAGTAATTGATCTTACAATGTACCTACCTTTAAGGTAACTGTTGGAAAACATATTGCAATCTGAGCTTCCTTAAAAATTGGCACTGATCCAAGATTGGAAACGGGTTCACCGACAATTTTAATACATGAAGTAAAATATGGCTTCCCTTTCTTACTCATAATGAAACAAAACATGCATGGTGACTACATCAGACAGTGCCCCTCTCAAGGGCGGATCCAGAACACAATTTTTTTGGGGGGCCAAAAAAAATTTGGTCCTCCAAAAAAGTGGGTCCAAAAATTTTTTGGATTCTAGATGCTCTGTGGTGCAATCTGAGGCAATTTCTGACCACTTTAACCAATTTTTTTTGAGGAAAAGATGGTGGTGTACTCATTGCCTGCCTTTTTTGCGATGTCACATAAAAAAAAAAAAAAATGGTTTCGTTTTGGGGGGGGGCCATGGCCCCCTTTGGCCCCCCCCTGGATCCGCCCTTGGCCCCTCTTCATCAATGTACCGTAATTTTTTTTTTAAAGGTTATAAACATACATGCGTACAAGATTGCTTTTAAAAATTGCTCGCAATTGTTCGCCCCTATTTAGCCACATGTTGATGTAGTTTGCAATGTACAATGCATACTGATGAACATTTTCGATGACTCATGTTTGTCATAGGATATGCCACATGAATGAACATGATTGAATGACGAAAAGCAGAAACTTAACATCAGAAAATTACACGTCATTCTAAATTTGTTCCACTAAATTTCCCAAGAAAAATTTGTTTTGGATAAAAATGCTTAGACTGAAGTAAATTTGTTTTTCATTCAAAACATATTGAATAACAGAGACTTTCATTTTTTTAAAAAACTAAATGACCCGTTTGCAAAAACAAATAAGATGAATCTGCATGCATCATACTGCACAAGTAAGAATTACCCAAAAATGTCCACCAATATGTAATTTAGAAATAAAGAATCCATTTTTATCAGTGGATTTCCAAGTGAAGAAATTGAAGTAATTTGGGCCAAAACTGCTTAAAATTAAATTTATTTGTAAGTCAAGACAGAGCATATTGAGCATCAAACATACGTCTTAGATTATGCGCAGAATTTCAATTTTTGCAAAAGACTAAAACACAAGTTCACAAAACTAAGAAATAAGATGAATCTTATAAATAGGAATTGTCAAAATATACACACCTAAACTGTAAAAGAAACCGTTCTCATCAGCGCTGTACATGTACATAGCCGCTTAGTTAATGAATCCAGACGTGTACACATGTGCGTACGGCGCAGCGATCTGTCAAATGGTACAAACATGTACTACATACTGTTCTTAATCTCATGTGTAGCTTGCCGTGCCAGCCGTAGGGAGACAAAAATTATCATCAGACGTTCTGACGACTACACGTTAGGCCCACGTGCAGGTAGATGTACGTCACCGATATATGCTTAACTCAAGGAATAACTTATGATTTAAAGGGCAACGATGTGTCATAAACTTTATGTAGATTGATTAACCCTACCGTAACTACCCCAACTCCATCGAAAACCATCCCCCCATTTTGCTGGATTTGGGGGACTTGGTCCAGAAGGCCTAGCGTGACTATTTGATGGAGTATGATGGACTTGGGCCTAATGGCCTGAAACAGTGATATGGGAATCCGATTGATTTTGCCTAGCTTCCTGTACTGCTATTGTGACAAAAGCCATGTGTAGCAAGTCCATGAATGTCAACCAGTGCGTCAGTGGTGGATTCCATTACGCCATGTACAGTTTTGTATTGGATGCACGGTGATTGGTGGATTTTGATGGAAGTGGTCCAGTTCCGAGTAAAAGACGCTAGGGAGTTAAGGTTTCAACAAATTACAATGTAGTAACTGTACTACGTTGTTTTACATGACTCACTGAGGAATAGGTAAAACCTAGGAGTGCGCGGGCGGTTTTGGGCGGGCACTGCGAGGAGAAACAGGCAGGTTTAGGGTACTATATAGTACAGTGACACAATGTACATGTACATTGGGGCAATTCCACGGTTACTCATGTTACATTTTCGTAACGCAAGTAACCGATTTTGTGCGTCTTGTTTATCATACATAACACATTTTTCTGGATGTCATCTTTGGTGCTTACAATGTAGGTAGGTCTACATGTAGGTCTACTCTATCTACCATGGGGATTAACAGTTATTAAACCTTTTCAATAAGGTAATTACAGCCCAAGGAAACTCAAAAGTACATCAAAAATGTAACGTGAGTAACCATGGAATTGCCCATTGGTTTCAGTATAGTTCCCAACTGAATTGAAACTGGGTACGTACATGTACATTGAACAGTTCGCCTGGATTTTCAGCATATTCACGGCGGATGGTAATAAAGATATGGACTCCAATATGACACAGTAACGTAAAAAAAAAAAAAAATCCAGCCAAAACAGCTGTGTTTTGTCCACATTATGAGATATAAAATTCCAAGGAGAAATTTCTCTTGTGAATTTTATATCTCATACTTTCCATGGAAATTTGATACCGGCATTTTGTCACAATTTTATTTTTTGGTTGCAATATCCTTGGGGGTGTGGAATTTGCGTAACACTACATTTAAATTATTGTTCCCCTTTTTTATATTGTAAAAACTACGTGTGGTTGCTATGGTGATGGTAATGGTGATACGAAAGACATTGTCGCCCAGTCAGAATTATGTAAGATTAACTGTGTAAATTTATTCGTGTAATCTGATCACCAAACAAACTCACTGACATAAGGGTTACATGAATTTCTTTCTTTTTTTAATCAGACTGCAGTTTTTAAATAGGTTTTTTTATTCTAAAGAGAAGGGTTGCCCAAAATGACATAAATATTTGTCTTCTTCCAAATCTAACAAAATTATACCAATAAATGAAGACACACAAATGTACATGTATGCACTGTTGAATGCTGACACTTTTCTCAATTTATTCTTCAAATTGAACTCTGCAAGACTTTTAAGTATCAGATACAAAAACAAACAAGCAATTAGAAGTATTTATGAAGCAATAAATAGATGTTTCGGTTTCAACTTTCAGTTTTGACATGTATGAGATCCCCGTCAATATATCATAGTTAATAGAATGACAGCTTTCATATTTGCTGACACTAAGTTGGGTTTTTTTTTCAGTCAATATCTGTTTAAAGGTAGAGTAAAGTGTAGATCATTTGCAGTTATCTAAAAAGTAACTGGCTAAATTATTGTTTAAAAAGCATGAACAAATTATTGTTTAAAAAGCCTGACAAAATTATTGTTTAAAAAGTCTACCTGGTTTAAAGATACAGTGGCACTAAACTCCCTGTGAAATTATTTCTTCTGGCATGCTGTCATTTTGAAGAAAAACACTAAAAGAAGGTCATTTCCAAAGATGAGTCAAGTGACACATTTTTGAAAATTTCCGTTAGCTGTTGGTTTGTAATTGCGTGAATCCGTGAATGGATGCGTGCAAGCGTTCACACGACACACGTGCAGTTGCTATTATTCGTCGATTCAGTGTGTGACACCACGTACATTTGTGTACATGTACTTAGTACGGGTAACTGCAATTGGCTGAATAAAACGTGTTTCGGATGCCGGCTGATTTCAGACCCAATTCAAAAAATGACACCGCAACTTTTGAATTGAAATCGAGATCCTAGAATAGTGTTTTCTCGTAACGTACAGCATTCACAGAGCCAAAACTTCATCAGGTTGGTTGTTGAGCACCCATCTTCAGATTTTGAGAACTTTTGTTGCTTTTGCTCATGATGAAACAAGATTTTGCCAATAGAACTCTTCATTTCCAAAAATCAGTCAACTGACCCATCGTTGGAAATCACCTACATTTCTTGATTTCTTCGAAATGACATCAAGCCAGGTGGAATAATTTCACGGGGTGTTTAGTACTATAACTTGTTAGGTTGTACCTTTGGGATAAATGCAAATGATCCTACATTGTACATGTCTCTATTAAAGCTGCGTTTAATCAAGCATTCCGAAATGTCATCACTGGTTTTCGGCGTCCAAATCAGACCAGCTGTTCTGTCTATAAATAAACTCACTTCTAATAGCAAAATGTTCAGGAGAAGCAATTAGAGGAATTTCTGGGTAATGGAGGAATCTGACTCTCGCAATGGAGATGTTCAGAGTGTTTATCATTGATGGAATTGTTCAGATTATTCACATTAGCGTCGCGAACTTGGTGAAGAGTTCAGCTGGGTTTTTTCCAGGTTGAATTTTTAAGGATTTTTAAATCCTCCAGCAATCACTGTCAATATGTTGAGGCAGAGCCAGTGACATCCTGGAGCAGTGCGGAGGATTTTAAGTATAATATAGGCCTAAATTTATGCACGGCTGAGCATAAACAACACAAGGTCCGGCCTAAGACCTTGACACAGTGCATCCTCTAAAATCACCCTCACTTTTTTTGCCATTTGGCCTCAGTCCTGCAAAATCCTAAATTTTGCCAAGAGGATTTTGGAGGATTTGGAAAGGTTAGGGTTAAATTGCACATGATTTGTTCCCTTCCGCGAGGAATAAAAGCTCAATTTTTGTTCTTTAAAATTAGTCAAACAGCAGCCATTCAGCTACCTCTTCTTTCCATGTGTTTTTATACTTTCAATTTATAATTCACTTTGAATGAAACTTTGACCAGAAAAATTGGCTGACGTTTGGTTATTGAATTAAAACTTTACAAATTTTGAAATGCTTGTAGCCCGACAATTTTCTGTTCTCCCGGGGTCGGCTGGTTCCCGCCCACAATCAGTATCGACAGTGTACGGACCGGGAACCAGTCTGCTCATAAGACAGATCTTTTTGTGCCCCAAATAAAAATAAAAAAATCTTTAGAGAGATTTGCAGCTGCCCAAAAAATAAAACATGCGAGTTGAAAATGTATTAGAGAAAAAAAAAATTGCACTTGTTGACGAACACGGGTGAGTGCTTTTGAAAGTAATTTTACAGCCCCCTCCCCCTTACAAACATCCATAACCTGTTGCAACGTTTCCTGACCACTATAAGTATCTATAGCAAACTGGACTTTGTGCGAACAAACAAGGACGATGACACGGCGTACTGTTAAAATTAAAGTTTCAAAGTTCATTTCTGGAATGGGAATGTCAACACGGAGTCTATCCATTGCAACGCTGAGGAATCTTAATAAGTCAACAGGCCAAGGTGTCGACATTAGGGAATGTTAAGCAATATTCAGTAAAATAAACCAACTGTTAACGCTCTGTGTCTGTTTTTTTTTTCCTGATTGAGAAGATGACCCAAACATACATTATACATCTTGACACTCAAATATTTTGCAACTCGAAGGGAAATAATCTTTCTTTTTTTTAATTGGGTGGTGGTGGCCTTTCATCTGAGTAGAATGTCGATCAGCATAAACTTTGTGTTTCAAGATTTACATGTAGGACCAGATTTCTGAGTACAATTTTACATAATTTTTTTTTTTTTTTAGTAAACACTGTGTTTAAAAAAGAAAGAAAGAAGGTGGCTTCTTTTGGGGGGTCTAATCTCCTTGACCATTACTGGATGATGCATGCATAAGATTTGAAAAATATATTTTGCAGGTTTATTCACGGAACTCTAAAAAGCTCTGTCATGGAGATTACATAACGCTAGAATTGCCCCATTATAAAGCTGCTCAGAAGTCGTTTGAAAAGTGAAAACAGAGATTACGAAATTTTTACACGCAAGCACACAAAATACTTCTAAAATTTTAACAGAATACAGTGAAAAAGTACACCAAGAATACGTAAAACTTCACAAATTCTGATAAATCAAAGTCACACACTGATGACAAGAAAGGGGGACCACTGTAGAAACGTAAGCACCTCTGCACACAAGTCTTGGACCTTCGTTGAAATAGTTGCACTCTCTAAAAATATATCACACCTTCATCTGAAAAAGAAATAAAGAAATGGAACAAAGTCACTGAAAGTGGCAAATACACATTTGGTTAAAAGTTGACCTTGCCCCATTTATGTACTTGTAGCTAGTTTGGGATTCAATAGTGTTTTTTATATTTGGTGACAGGTATTCTTCGGACCTCTTCTTTGGAGGCACATGCTCAATTAAGCTTAAAAGTTCAAAATGTAGGCCTACAACCTGAATTTTGTGGTCTAAAAGTTCTCAAATTGTGGACCGTTTTTTTTTTTGGGGGGGGTGTGCTCCTCTAATTGATCAGATTTTGGTGCCCTTATTTCAAATCTTCATTGTTAAACCATGTACCGCCATGAACTGCCCTGCCTGTTACTCCCTGTACTGCCCCAAACTGGCCCACCACTGTATGGTTGTATGGATTCATTAGGGAATAAAATGTTATACATTGAAAAACAATGTACATTTTTGTACACAGTACAGGATATAAATGTGTTACAGCACAGTTTTAAGATCTTTTATCAACCTTAACCCGGACCTTCCTCAATCCTCCAAAGTCCTCTAGACGGTTTTGGAGGATTTTGGAGGATTGAGGCTGCATGAAAGATACAATTTTGGAGAATTGTGGAGGATTGTGGGCCCATGAACAATGATTGGCATTCAGTTTTGACAGGCATGCAACTGGGAATTTAGACTTATAAAGGAAATTTAAACCACACAAAACTTTGTACAGTATTTTTCAATTTGTAATGGAATTCATGAGCAATGAAGGAAATCAGCGAATCCGAGGGAAAAATTGCAGGATTGAGGCTGAATGGTGTTTTTAGAGGAGGATTTTGGAGGATTGTGGAGGGTTTCTAGGAAAAAGGGCCTAAAGATGGGGTTAGAGTTAAGATTGACAAAACCCTTTTTTTTAAAATAAAATAGATTTGCTGATGTCAAAAAAATTACACCGAAAACGTAAAGAATAGCAATCTTTTGGAGGGTGTATTGGGGTTGAGGGCGGTGTGGAGAGTGGAGCGGCAGGACAGCTTTGTTTTGTTTTGGGGGCATAGTCCCTGGAGACAAATGGAACTACATTTTACAGAACAGGGCAACAAAATTGTGACATTTTTTCTCAAATAAACTTTTTAATTTTCAATGAAGCTTACCTCAGATTTACCCGCTGTGTATCTCACAGACCTCTCAAGCTCTCCTTCTGTCTGCGTGCTGCTGGTAATCTCCATGAGGACCTGTGGCTGGTATCGGTCGTGATCGTCGCTGCGTAACAGCGGTGGTGTCGTCTCGTCAGAAGAGGGCGCTGCGCTGCTCTGAGACGAGATGTTCTCTGCCTCGCGAAGTAGATGCTTCAACAGATCTGAGACTCGTGTTGCGTGCTCAAGAGGCTTTTCGGTTCGCATGTGGCTAGCATCCGATTCGGACGTATTGCTTGTCACAGCCGTCAGCCGGTTAATACTAGTGTTCGTGTCGTATCTCTCGCCCGCGTTGGCGGAGAAATCTCTCGGCCGCTTTTTCTTTTTCCGTCGCCGCCGTTTCTTGTGTTTCTGTTCGGCGTTGCTCTGCAGCTGTCCGTCTTCCACTTGAAACCAACTGGTATCGGTAGGTCTGGTGTCTTGCCTCCTGCATGGCAGGAATGAGCACAGACAGCAACAACCCGAAGGGGGGCAGACTACATTCCGCAGCCACGATCCGGAGGCCGCCGTGTTATTGTTGCTCCTCTCTGTTGCCATGGCAATGGCAACTTAAAGCTACGGCGTGGTATCCAAGTCAGTTATTATGAGCTTGCTCTGTGTAGAGCAAGTCCCATATTCCGCAATATGCCGAGTTGCCTTTAGTGTAACACTAACTAAGTACACAATGATTTTTTATATTTTACACAAAAATATCCTCAGACAACATTTGATGGTTACTACTGACTAGACTTCAACAGAACCTAATTTCAGAATGGTTGTTTCATGTGTAGACGTGTCCTGCATCCTTTGTATGCAAACATGACAAACCCTGGACGAAACTCAACTCTATGTTGGGAACTACGCAAAACATGCACAAATAAACATGCAACCTCTCAAATATATCAAACTTGTTTTCACTCCAAACACGACAAAGAGAGGACAAAAAAATGCAGACGGTCAGCTTGATGCTTGTAGCGTCTGACACCTGCCACATCACCTGCTCAGCGGAACTCCAGCACACAACTTAAACAATGCAAGCACCCGACGACAGTCCGCAAGCAAAACAACCGTCACATTTTTCTTTTCAGGGAGAACCAACAGGCCCTGACGGAGCGAATGCAAGCCACTCACACCTTCAACCTTGTTGCTTGCGACGACGTTTCAACCACGAGAATTTATAAACATTCAACACCGCTTGGACGTGATACAATGCATTTTGCCTTCGGTCTGCAGAAAATACGGAAATAGCTTTGACAATAGGCACTGTACAATGTCCACGCCTGATTGCTCGATTAATCCTTGTCAAACAAAACAGAATCACATGACTCGTCGAACCCTGTACCTGGCTCAGGGATCACAACCTTTTTTTTGTTCACCCCAAAGACGGAGGCGTAACAATGCTCAACGCCTTCACAGGGCAAAGGACAAGATATTTCAAAATCAAATGATTTTAAATCCGTCTTTCAGACTGTTTTTTTCCCCTTTCTTCAACTTTTACACGTTTTTTTTCCTTTCTTCAGCTTTTACACCTCATGAACGCTTCAAAAACTCGCAGACGCAACATCATGTGATCACAGAAAGTACACAAAAACACAACGTTACCTAAACAATTATACAGACGGTAGAAAAATCTGTCCAACTAGTCCATTTGAAGTGAAGTCCCACGTCGAAATGTACAGCAATTGTCTGTATGAAATCTGCACAGTAGGCCAACATCGTCTTTGGGAAACTGGTATTTTCAACGAGTCTTTACAAGTGAATTTCGAGAAAAAAATATTCCTGAAGGGTAACATTAACCACTTCGCGCCGGGATTATTTTGACATTGACCGGACCCAGGCGTGGGATTGTTTTTCACGAATCTCGATGCCAGACGGGTTCAGGCCGTCATCTGCGGGCAGCACACCCTGATATTTCCGGCCTCGCTCGCTGCGAGCGGGTCGCAGACAGATATTTCCGGCCTCGCCTGTGCGTGTTTATCGGTCATCCGTTCCGAATACCGCAAAACCTTTGCGTATACACGTAAACAACATCATCCAACGTGAACTGGTTAAAATGGATGCTACAAAGTACAAGTTCCAAGCAGATGCTCCATATGTTGTACATGTAATGAAAGTCTTAGAATCATGCAATCGGAAATTCCTACTGGCTTCAAATCGGTAATTTCCGTCCAACATTGACTGAGTGGAGAACAATTTGAAAACATCTGCTAAATTTTTTGAAGAAAAAAAAAACACCCAGAAAAAAAAGACGACAATGTTGATTTCGCTTCAAAATCTTTCAAAGTGTGTAGACTCACATGACAGCTGACTAGCAACTGACACGTTCTTCCTTAGAGCACTTTTTTGCTGAATCATCACCAGACATGCCAGACACGAGCACAGTGTGTTATGTAACCATCCAAACAAACTCATCACAAATACAATGTACCAACAGTCACCCATCATGTGACAGGCCACTTGTTGACATCTTCACTTTCAAGGTCATCCTTCAGATCTAGTGTTTTCAATAGACCGACCCATTGCAACAGAAGATGCATGCATGTTAACGTGTACACATGTGTACATACCGGTACTCGTGTACAATCTGAATGAAGTACTGAGATGTACCGGTGTATTCACATGTAAGTTAAGGCCCAGTTCATACTCGGCGCGAAAGCGTACACGAACAAGAATTTGTGACTTCATGGCAAGTTTTCGCGCTGCAAATTCGCAACAGTTGAATACATTTCAAGTCTGGCATAAGCAGCTCTGCGAAGTTGTTATTGTAAATTTTATCCAAAAAGGACAGAAGAACTACAAAGTTGCAAAACATCAAATGGGCATTCCACGGTTACTCACGTTACATTTTTGATGTACATGTACTTTTGAGTTTCTTTGGGCTGTAATTATCTTACTAAAAAGGTTTAATAACTGTTATCCCCATGGTAGATAGAGTAGACCTAGACCTACCTAAGCACCAAAGATGACATCCAGAAAAATGTGTTGTGTATAATAAACAAGACACACAAAAGCGGTTACTCACGTTACGAAAATGTAACGTGAGTAACCGTGGAATTGCCCAAATTCAAAATCCATGCCATAAGTTCTCTTCGCCATGTCAAAAATGATCCCCCCAAAAATTCAAACAGTACATGTACATGTATTTGAACAATTCCACTCTGACTCTAATTTCTACCACCGCTAGAACTTTGTACCACTCTATAAACTGAACAAACTTTATGACACACGAATGGAAAAGCTAGCACTGTCTAAAGTCGAGAGAATGAATATGCAGGAAATACGTTTATCAACTTCACTGAGTTCAAAGTCTGACTGGAATTCTAAGAAGTTTACAAATTGTAGCTGTCAACAGAAATTTTCATCCCAGAATTTACCATCAAACTAAAGTTTCAACTACTCACAGTCACATGATATGGTGTGAGATTTAATAGAATCACGTGTGCATACCACAAAACTGCTCACCCCTAAAAATACAAGTCATCAATAGCCTAGGGCATTGGCACTATCCAACAACCCAACCCGGGTCGGACACCGTACACGGAGATTTCGAGAACCCCATTTCACACCAGAGCAAGAATCCAAATAATAGGCTCCGTTCACAAGTACCCCTCACCGGCAAGAAAGGGAGAGTTTAGGGAGAGGTATTCAAACGCATCGACGACGATGCCCGATGCTCAAACGAAGGCGCTATGGCTTTGGGCACATTCAGTAATACAAACAGTCGTGCATGCTTCACGATATACGCGCGCGAACCATCATCGGGGCTCTCAAAAGTCACAGTGTACACGTACAGGGTTCCTTATGGGGTAGAAAACACAATAGAACAATAGACCCCATAAGGAAGTCTTTAGAAATCAATCTACCCCATACTTAGGGAAACATTATGGGATTTCAACAGGAACAAAGGAGAACAAAAGAAGGGAAACAAAGGTCTACCCCATTTTATACAACGAATGTGTTGAGTGGATGTGTTAATTATTCTGACAGTTTCTTACTAGTCTGTAATTGCATGGAAAACACGGTATAGGTACAGGCCCATCGCCAGCTCTGGGCACTTGGGGGGGGGGGCACAGTACAAACTAGGGGGACACCCTCCAAGAAATAACATACACATACATGTACATATAATTTTTACATAAGTTTTAAGGTTTCTGCCGATGGGGGGGGGGGGGGGGGGGGGGCAGTTGCTCATCCCTTGCCGACAGGCCTGTAGAGGTACTAGTGGAAGAAAAGTTTCGACTGTCTCCAGTGACTGGACTGATCAAACAATTGGAAGATTCAAATTTTTACAAAAACACTTGCACTGAACAGGCTTACCAAACTCTGCTTCTAAAGTTTCAATAGATCTTTGGTACATGTGTAAACATGGTAAAAATACCTGTACTGTAACTGGCTATAAAGACTGTGCATGAGTTTTAGCGAGGTATTATGTTGTTTGTGCTTGTGCAGCGAAGCCTGTCAATCCACTGCTTACCATCAAGGCTGCTTTGTCAATGCATGTACCAGTACAGGTACATGTAAATGAGGCTACAGCCAAATGGTGGTCTATCCATGGAGGAATACCATAGATCACACTCCAAGGTCATTATTAATAGGCTTTGTCCTTGATGAGGTGAAATGGCCCAGCTTTGATGGAGAATAATTGGGGATGCTTTACTAATCCACCCTGGCCTAGGTGAAGACAATGTCCCAAGTGGCCCTTACAGGTACATGTAAACTGGGATAATTGTTGAGCATCCCTACATGAATTGTAACCCCTATACTGTAGAGTGATTTTAACTTGGAACCTTCCTCTTCCTTGCAAATTCCAACACCATATGGTATAAAACTGTACACATAAACAGTTGGACTGAATTACCGGTACTTGTAAATCTCGCAAGCATTTCGAAATTTAAAAAGTAATATTTCAATGACTAAATTTTTTTCGGTCGATGTCTCATTCAGAAGTGGATAACTTTTGTATTGCTAGAAAAAAATAGCAATTTGGAAACTAGAAAGCATTTTTCTGATTGAAACTCGGAAATAACGATGGGAACAGTAACTGTACCTCTACATCCACAACAAACTTATTTTTTAAATGACAAGCTAAATATTTAGTAAATATATATGAACACTTGAAAAAGATACACAAGAACGTATTTGTTGGCCACTCACCGTGCTCACAGGCATTGCACTGTACAGTGACAATGTACCATATTTTCATGTCGAACCTCTTTTCAACACGGTTGACCTGTTTTGTAACAATTCGTGGGTTGTTTGGACATGTAATATGGAAGCTCTCTGCTTCTATTTCATCTGCTCCTAGGTACCGTGTGTACGTGTCATGTTTCAAAACAAACTGCCAAGTGGTACATGTATAGGTGTACATGTTGTCACTTCAGTAAAAACTTCATACATTGTTCTTGTACATGGTATACATTTAAAAAAAAAAATCCCAAATTTAAGGACAACAATCACAACAGCCATATTTTTATGGGGGAGGGGGTTGACTTCCTAACCCCCTACATGTAAGTGTTCATTTGGGGTAAAGTATCGGTACCACATGCTACATGTTGTATAAAGTAACTACCAGTACTACAAAAATTATGCATGTACATGTAGTACCTAAGGCCAAAAAAAAAAGTCTCCGGTTTCTGGTATGCGCGCGCGTCGCCGTAGCCATGCGCGTCGGCAAAATGAAATTTTTTTTTTTCAATTAAAGATGATGTCTCAAAACCGCCAACCTCACTGGTTTGACTGGAATCCTGCTGAGCTGCACAATTTTAACGTGTTTTTAGATGGGGTTGTGATCGAAAATAAGCTTTATGTGGCCTCTCTGGACTCCCATATATTTGCAGTAAGTTTAGTCGGGCACCATTTGCAGTCATCAGCTGGAATTTGAAGCAAAAAAGTCAGGTAAAAAAAAAAAAAAGCCGTGTCGCCGCACCACTTTTTGGGCAAGCTCCATACCAGAAACTTTTTTTTTTGGCCTAATCACAAAAACGTGGGGGGAGGGGAGGGGGGGATGATTCAATAGCCTATCCCACACCCTAAAAGTGGGGGGGGGGGGGGTATCCCCCGGGATTTACGCCCCTGAATTTATGAATTTACGGGTTCCAGGTCTTGTACAAGCATATATGCTTTTTGCCTGGATCCCTCGTATCATTTTTTGTCATTCTTTATATAGTTTCCTGTTTATTATGTTGTTTGTGCTATGACATGAAAAAAAAACCACCATAACCACAACCATAACCAATAGACTTTATGAATTCACGAGTCGGCCATATTAAATTGAAAGCGAGATCAAGTATTCATTTTTGGAGTTTGCGAGTAGAAATTAAAGCAATAAACAAAAATTAATTACAAATTAACCAGTGTGCTCTGATGAATACTTTAAAATGTGTGATTAAAAACATAGAATGTTTAAAAAATTTCAGCCACATTCAGGACATTTGAAAAAAAATATCCAGACGCCACTCCTTTGGCATGTTTGGCAGTGTACAAAGTCTAGATGGAGAGTCAAGTGCATTTTTAAAGTATTTTCAAACAAAATTAGAAATGTTTCTGGAAAAAATGTTGCAACCTGACGCCACTTCAGCGGTTGTGTACAAAGTCTATGGAGAGTCAAGAAAATTTTCGAAGTAAGCCTATTTCCTAACATTAATTGGAAATATTTCTCAGTCCCAGATTCATGTCTTTAATAATAATATCGTCATTTTTGCAATAACTAACCTTCAATGATGAAGAAAAAAGTGTCAGGTTGCAACATTCCTTCCAAATCATGCAAATGGTTTCCCTGTGACGTGATGCCAATAAGGTTTATTTCCAATTTCGTTAAAACTTGAAATTTTTCACGATTCCCCGTAAAAAACTACAGGAATAAATCCGCACATTCAGCACATAAGTACCTTTAACTCTTCATTATCCGCTACTGAAGCCAAGGCGTTACCCCGATCGGATTATGCAATGATACATGATATAAATATTGTAATCATGTTAGTTGTTACACATTCAGTCGTGTCAGTTATCATCATGTCAGGAAATGCAGTCATTTACTTCAGTTCACCATTTCTGTTTTTCTCCAGTAAATTTTTAGACTACAATTTTAACAAAAATCGAACACTGTCACAGGTTAAATCATATATATAATAAACAACAAATAAAATACTGGCTTACTTACCAGACATTTGCGCTTCTCCTTTTAGATTTCATCCAGAATTTCAAGGTTTTTTTACTCATGAAATTGTAGAACCAGAAATGACCAATCCTCCTTTCCCTCAATTTTGTGTATAATTATTCGAGCGCCCTCTACTGATCTGATTCTTTCATTTACGACGACTATTTTATGTCGAGGTTTAATCAAAGTCACCAAATTAAAACGTGAAATAGTCTTCTGTGAAATAGGAATTAAATAATAATTTTATTTTAATTAGGACTTGTTTATGTAAAATAAATGTATGTTTAGAAAAAAGTTATTGCAATCTGATTTTTGAAATGGCAAAGATGAACTTCTCACAGTTTTCATTGCAAATTTACAGCGAAAATCTGGGAAAATCTGTGTTGTCAAGTGCGGCCGCCATGTTGTTTACGGATGTTGCAATGCAGACGACAGAAAGTTTCTGATGTCAATTTTATTCGAGTAATGATTGATTTTTGATTAGTTTGAGCATCAACCAGGCGAAATGGCCGACGTTGCTGAAAAGGGTACAAGTGAAGAAAAGCCTGAGGAGCCTGTACCAGAAAATACCTACACAATAAGGCCGAATTTTATGCACAAGTAAGTAGGCCTACCAGTACCAACAAAAAAGTGTCTCATCATCATCATGCTGATCGATCACTCCTCATAATATTTCTCCATCTCAAAGTCATCGACAACTGAACGGCTTTGGCTGCCCCAGGTTTCCACGTTTGTTTTGATGTGGTTATTTCTTCAAAGTTTTACTTAGTAAGCCTAAATATGCCTAATTCATTAACACATGATTAACATTGTTTTTAGTGTGTCAGTTGGCATGGTTGGAGAGCCCCTCAACAAAAACAATTGTGTACGTTTTGTCTCAAATGTTCATGTGTATTTCTGAGTATTTAATGTTATTGTTTGTTGTAACAAATGTATCCCGAAAAATGAAATAAATGAAATGAAATGAACTGACAGTCATGAGAAACATTTTTAATTCAATTCCTTTTAATTTCGATTTTGTCACATTCTGCCAAAGGAAAAGCGAAGATAGTTTACTTTAGGGCCTAGCTAGTACTACTAGTACTAGTACTAGTAGTATCATCATGTTTTTTTCCAAAATATCCTCCAGAGCCACAAATTGGGAAAAAAGATGAAATAGGGCCTAGTCTATTATTAGCCTATGCAATTAAATGTAGAATTCCATTGAAAACAATAAAGGCAGAAAACTTGTATTTTGGGAGAATGACTTTTTTCTTTCTTTCTTTTTAAATGAGTGGCATGGCTGTATTGTGAGCTGGCGTCACCGTGCCCATGGGTCCAACACCTTATATCCATTGAGCCAAACGTTGGCTCGAGTTGGGAGGCTGCATGTACCTCTTCTCATTCATACTACATGTAGTTTTGATGTACGATGTGCTATTATTATTTTTCACATAGTGTAATTGCTTTGTTCTTATTTGATTTTCTTTGGGGTCATTTATTGATAATGAAATCCTGTGTTTATTCCACCAGATTCCGGCCAGTGAGTGCCAAGGAGGTGATTCACATTGTCCTGAATGAGATGCTAGTTGACAAGCAGTATGATGCTGAGGAAACCACGGCGTGGTGTAAAGAAATCAGTAGCGAAATAAAGGATAAACTGAAAGGTATTCACCATCATATTTTGCCTGTCAATAGGATTCATGTTAACTGACTATGCATGCAAATCTGCTTTGTTTAGAAATTCAAGAAGGCCAAGTTAAAAACTAAACCACTTTCCCGTCCCCGCCCGTTTCATTTTTTTTCCCGCCTGCCCTCGCTTTTTCTTTTTTTTAGTCATAATTTGCAAGAGGGGTTATTTTTTACCCAGCACGATTTGTGACATGGGGTCCCCCTCCCCCATGTCCCTGTACGCACCCTAGACTTTTGCTACCTAGCACCCCCCCCCCCCCCAGATATCTCAAAAGAAACTACAATTTTGTTGAAAACAAATTAAAAAAAACAATATATTGATAACATATTTGGAAAATATATTGCACATGTAGTGCCTATGAATTTTGTTTAATAAAAGGAGGCGGTTCAGAAAAATGAAGCAGTTGGGGACAAGAAACTGCTAAAAATAATTTAATTGGCAAAATTGTAGTTAGGTATGCAAGTTCAAATCTGGTAGAAAGGGTGACGGCTCCTTTGGACACAAAAGTTTCAGCAAAAGAGTCGAGAAAATGGAAGAATCTGTCCACCATCTTGAAAATCCTCCATCTTGAAAAAAAAAAAAGCCGTCCCCTCCCTTTTAAAAAAAGCCTGGACGAGAAACTATTTTTTAGACTTTGCCTGAAATGTAGAACTTTTGAAATGTTGTAATTAACTGAATCATCAGTTTAATATCCATCGGTAATTGTTTATTTTCCATTGCACCTATAGCTCTTGGCTTGAACAGATATAAGTACATAGTGCAAGTGGTGATCGGTGAACAGAGGGGCGAAGGGGTCAAGTAAGTCCATGTTTCTTTTACCCGATTCTCCAGTAAAGTACTAACCCTGTGTCTTGGTTGAGTAGATCATTTGCAGCTATCCAAAAAGTAACTGACAACATTATCGTTGAAAAGCATACTTGGTTTAAAGATATAAAGTAATGGGACTAAACTCCGTGTGAAATTATTCTTTCTGGCATGCTGTCATTTTGCAGAAAACAATAAAAGAAGGCCATTTTAATTCCAAAGATGCGTCAAGTGACGCATTTTTGGAAATTTTCCGTTAGTAGTTGTTTTGTAATTCAGCCAATCCGTGAACAGGTGCGTGCAAGCGTTGACAGGACACACATGCAGGCACGATTGCTATTTTTCGGCAGTTAAGTGCGTTGACATCACGTAGCTGCAATTGGCTGAATGAGAACGTGTCACGGATGCTGATTTCGGGCGCAATTCAAAACGTGACTCAGCAACTTTTGAATTGAAACCGAGATCCTAGAATATTGTTTTCTCGGAATAAACAGCATTCACTGAGCTAACAATGTCATCAGGTTAGTTGTTAAAGCAACTGTCTTTAGATGAGCACTTTTGTTGCTTCAACGAAAAAATTCACAAATGACAAATGATCTTCCCTACCTTTAAGTTGTGTGGTAACATGTTGACTGCATGCGAGAACAGTTATCGTGCATATGGCGTAAAGTACGTCTTCGCGTGAGCGTCAGGCACTGTTGGCAATGAATCAAGATTCCCTACCACTGGTTATCAGCTGCGAGTATAAGGATGCTTAGCCTCCCAAATTATTATTATTATTATATTGTTCCTTAGTATTTTGGATTTTTGTGAGGAGAATGTATTTGTTTTACAGTTTAGTTTAGACATTTGATGAAGAATTTTTCTTTGATTTGCAGGATGGGCTGTCGATGTTTCTGGGATTCAGATACGGACAACTACGCACAGGATATCTTCATGAATGTAAGTCGTTTCTTGACGGTGCTCCGTTATGAAGGGACACTGCGTATAGTTGGGACAGTCCCAACTATAGAGGGCGTTCACTGACCACGTGACCCGGCCAACATCCGGGACTGGAAAGTCAGCGTCACCATTGTAGTAGGCAAAGATCGTATAGCGCCGCGTGCAGTAGGTAGTAGGCAACCCTTCAAAGCTGTGATGGATGGCAAAAACTGTGAGAAAAACACGGAGCCAACACCCAGCCAGGATGGCTTCAAAGTTTCTCCGCGCGGGGAAACAGTACTGGGTTGGCACAATTATGACAACCATGGCACAGGTAGTGACCATTATGCCAGTTGATGAAGAGAAGTTGCGATTGTTTACATGAAAAAAAAAACCCTGTCTGATTCACAATGCACGACGTGGTTGCTAACCGAAAGCTTGTCTACTGCATGGTAGCTGTACGTTGTACATTTTTCAAAATTCATTCCATCAAATTTCATAATATTCTACAAACACTCACAAAATTAAAATGCCTGTGCCCAGGATGGCTTCAAAGTATCTCAGTGCGGGAAACGAGGAGTTAGTGCTCTTAGTAATTTAATATAGCTCTATGGACATAACATAACTGAGAGAGAAGGTACTTATTTGTACACAGGAGTCCATACAGGAAGGTGTTATTTGACTACAAGATTTCAGGTTGAAAAATGCACAATTCAAAGGAGAGTTGGCAGATTTTCTTTGTATTTTTTAAAAATTGTTTTTTAATCTCGTCTCTACTCATTTGCAGGATACGCTATTCTGTGTAGCTGCTGCCTTTGGGGTATTTCACTACTAGACGAAGACGATAGGAAGTCATCAATTTCATTTATGAGGAGGAACGCTACGCGTTTGAAAATATCCCCTACTCTCAGCCTGAGATGGCGTGGCGACCAACGCGCAACCTCCAGTGTGATAACTCGAAGAGAAGATGGACTAAGATGTAGATTTTTTAAAACTATTTTATGTCCTTTATACATTAGACTGTTCTTAATCTTGTAAAATGACGCTGACGTGTTCATAACTTTGTGTCACAAACAAGGGGCAACCTCCATCTTTATTGAGATGGAGGCATCTTCTTTACTTAAAACTGTAGTGGGATTGGAACAAAATGCTGTCCGTTTTGCATAATTTTTTTAATTACTCTGACATTGTTGGTCAACATTTTTGTAATTCACAAGTTCCTCATACAAACATAGCCAAATAAAGTGGTGAGAGCCCCTTTAACCAAGAGTCAAGCTACTATAAACTGACCCTGGAAATCCTAGCCAAACCCCAGCCCCTCTGACAAGAACCACTTATTTGTGTATTATAAAATCCTTTTAGTGAGACTAGCCGGCCTCCTCACAGGGCATGGATAATCAATCATCCTGTCAGCAAGACTAGTCAGCAAGGTCAAATGACCGCCGTTTGCAGTCTTAACACTGTAGACCATAAATTTGACAGAAGGCAAATAGTGAATTTGGTCCCTGTAATACAGTGTACTGCAAACTACAGTACAGTCATGGAACCTTGCATGGTAAATGCCATGCTAACGTCCAGAGTTTGAACATGACAATTTCTGCTTCAATCTTCATGGTGTTTTCAATTGCTATCGAAACTGCTCCAGTCTTTACCTTCAGTCCCAATACTTCTGTATTTATGATTATGACCCTAACATTTTTTTTTTGAATAGAGTATCTTTAATTTGTGGGATTGACGAATATTTCCTTTGTACATGAGTGTAAATATGTTTCTTTAGTCAATCATACTTCAGTATTGCTTCGTTTGTTTATGGTGTAAATCGAGGACACACACGTGCAACATCATCGATGAATTGAGGACAGGAACCAAATCAAGGACAACCTCGATTAGAAAACGTGTACAAAACCAATGAGAGCTGTTGCGAAAAAGGAAAACAAAGGAAAAGGGAAGAGGAACAAAAGAAAATCCTCAATTTTACACAATAAACAAATGTGTATGTACTGGTCTTGGTTAATCATAGTTCAGTACTGGTCTTAAGAAATGTAATGTATCAACAACAAAAAATGACTAGGCGCAGATATGATTATTATAAGGTTGAAGAAATATGTCTTTAAATCTGTGACCTCCGGATTTCCAAATTTGTCAGTGCTTGATCCAATCAATTTTTTTGTTGATGCTTACAATTGTGAACTGTAAATTTGACAAGTGTTTGATTATTGGGTACTTCGTTTTACATTTACTGAAAACTTGAAAACATTCATTTATTGTATGGGTTAAATTTGTGCATGATTGCACCTTTGACTAGTTTTGGTCCAAGACTAGTCTGGAGAACTTGGCAATAAAGAGCATACCTCAAGCGGGTGCGTTCGGTTGAATACAGGGCGTGTAAGATATACTTGGAATTTCTCTGGTTTGCTTCGCCAAAGTTCCCAAGTTATGGATTTGTTGGTAGCGCCTTTTAACCTCATACCAGCCTGACCCTGCTTACCAGGCATTAAGACTGGCTGAATCAGGGGACAACAATTAAATCCAGGCTTGTAACAAGACTAACCTTGGACAGAAAATATGTACAAAACCAGACAGATTTTAGAATTTGTATTTGAAAATATGCATTTGGAATAACCATAATTTTATTGCGTAGGCATCACTTTCCTCCAGAAATAGAAAAAGGTAATTGAAAATTACGATTGAAAAAGGTAAACCGTGGTACATACATGTAAATGGTTTATACGAAACTGCTAGATACCCTGGTTAAAATACATGCAAAATAAAGAACAATTAATTTACATGTAAAAAGAAATTCACGAGAAGTTGAAAAGTTAGTGACAGTGTTAGGCTCTTTTTAACACCAAAATGTGTGAATACCGCAAGACCTTTGCGTGTACACACGTCATCCGACGCGAACTGGTTAATAAATGAGAATACATAGAATACAGTGACAATATTAAAAACAAACTGACCACCAAATTATTAGTTAAAAACCAATGATACGTAATAGACTTTAAAAATAAATACCCGATTAAACACACCATTGTGGCCTAGTGGTTAGGGTTTGTGACTCATGATCAGAGGGTCCGGGGTTCGAATCCAGCGGCTGGCCATATACTGTTCCCTTGGGCAAGCCACTTCACCCCCACTTGCCCCTCTCCACCCAGGATTATAAATGGGTACCAACATTAGCTGGGGAGTAACCTGCGTTGGACTAGCATCCCATCCAGGGGGAATAGACATATTCTCAGTCGTTTCATGCTACTGAAACCGGAGATAAACGCTGGCCCGATGGGCCACATTGGCTCACGACAGACTTTACTTTTTAAACACACCATCAACCTCCCCCCCCCCCCCGATCCTCTGCCAAACACCTGTCAAAGAAGTCCTGAGATCATTTCCAAAGCATAAAAATCTTCTTCCAACTTTGAATTTACAGATTTAAACAATAATAACCTTTCTACAAGTAATTAAAAACAAATTTAAGGCAGTACATAATATAAATGCTTGTAGAAAAGATTCGGCCTCAGTTGTAGAATGGTAAGTTCAGAATATTACCCCCTCCCCCAAAAAAATACGATGAAAAAAAAATAGACGTTTACAGTAGTGTCTATAGATGACTGTGAATAATTCACAGTCATCTATGGACATTAAATATATTAAATACAGTTCATTGTTGAGTTGGCACCAAAAAAACAGACAAGTTAGAATAAAATATACATGTTGGGTGTGTTCGGTCGATGTGCGCCATCGGTCGATCGCGTTGCACTATCGGTCGATCATGACACTATCGGTCGATCATGACGCTATCGGTCAATCATGACGCTATCGGTCAATCATGACGCTATCGGTCGATATCGCTGCCATCAGTCAAACCCCCTTTTCTTTCTAATTCACAACTCTGGAGGTTTTTTTTTTTAAAGGCAAGTAAAGTCCGAGATATCCTACAGAATCAGCGCAACGCGATCGACCGATCGCACAGATCAACTGATTGCACCCAACATGCATATCGCTATCACAAAAGAGTAGTACTTGTGTGCGTCAAAAATTGGACAAAAATTTAGAAGCATTTTATGGGACCAAATATACAAATTATGAGAGTTCAGCATTAAGCATACATTAACTGATATCATAATGCTAATATACAAATAATGAATGTTTGTGAGTGCAATGGTAAGAATAATTTCATGAGGTGACAGATGGGATGTTCCATTCCACGAGGTGAAGCCGAGTGGAATGGAACATTCCATCTGTCAACGAATGAAAAGATTCTTTCCACTGCACGAATGTGATAAATCCTCATCATCTGATTGGTCAGAGCCACCAATCATGTGACCGTGCAATGGAATGAATAATTTAATGACGTGATCAACGACCCGCCAATCAGATGACAGGGATTTATTCAGGCATTGTATAACATGTGCTAACTAAACAGGGTTTCCAAAAACGCTACAGTTAATAATGGAATAAGTATCAAAAAATAAAATAACGCATTTCTAAAAAATATCTATTTCGAGATGGCAAACGTGAATTAGACAAATATGTATTTGAAACAAAACTTCAGACTAGGGGAATATTTCAACATTCTTACAAAATTCAGCCCATGGGACAACATTCTAACAAAAATAGTCCGTCAATTTATTAAATTTTATTATTTTATCAGTTCAAATTCATCCTGGATGAATATTTGTTTTAGCCGTGTCACCAATATGGAGATGTTTTGAAAGATACAGTCCATCATTTGCAGCTATCCAAAAAGTAACTGACGTAATTATTGTTGAAAAACATACTTGGTTGCAAGATAGTAATGGGACTAAACTTCCTGTGAAACTATTCTTTCTGGCAAGCTGTCATTTTGAAGAAATCAAAGAAAAAAAGGCCATTTTCAATGATGCGTTTAAAGACGCATTCTTGGAAATATCCGTTAGTAGTTCGTTTTTAATTTGGCGAAGCGCGCGCAAGAGTTGACACGACGCACACGCATGCACGGTTGCTATAATTCGTCGGTTTAGTGCGCGACATCGCGTAGCTGCAATCGGCTCAGTGAGAACGTGTCTCGGACGCTGAATTCAGGCCCAATTCAAAACATGACTCAGCAACTTTTGATTTGAAATCGAGATCCTAGAATTTTGTTTTTCTCGGAGTATACAGCATTCACTGAGCTGAAACTTCATCAGGTTAGTTGTTCAGCACCCTTCTTTAGATTTTGAGCACTTTTGTTGCTTCAAACGAACATAATGCACAAATTACAAATGGTGGACGCTATCTTTAAACTGTATAAAATTAATGCCAGTATTGCTACCAGCAGTCTGCTTTCGTTTGTTACTTTCTTGAAGAAAACAAAACAAAAACCGACCACATGCAAAATATTATCATTAAATGAAATTTTTTTTTAATGGGACCCTTATTTTTTCAAGGAGTTGTTGACTACAAAACAAAATTATAATTTTGTTACGGCTAAAGGGGTATGAATTTAAACTTATTAAATTTAAATTATTTCTGGCATAAAATAGTGAAAAAGTTAGTACTTTCGACATTTCATAGAATCCATGTACGCGAACCAATTTAAAGCTATAGTCCATCATTTGCAGCCATCCAAAAAGTAACTGGCGTAATTGAAAATCATACTTGGTTGAAAGATAGTAAGTGGACTAAACTCCCTGTGAAATTATTCTTTCTGGCAAGCTGTCATTTTGAAGTAATTAACGAAAGAAGGCCTTTCCAACGGTGCGTCTTAAGACGCACTGTAGGAAATTTAAATTAGTAGTTCGTTTTGTTATTCGGTGAAGCGCGCGCAAGCATTGGCACGACGCACACGCGCGCGCGGTTGCTTTAATTCGTCGGATCAGTGCGTGACATCGCGTATAGCTGCAATTCAAAGCAATTCAAAACATGATTCAGCAACTTTTGATTTGAAATTGAGATCCTAGAATGCTGTTTTTCTCGGAATATACAGCTGAAGCTGAGCTGAAACTTCATCAGGTTAGTTGTTCAGTATCCTTCATTAGATTTTGAACACTTTTGTTGCTTCAAACTAACAAAATGCACAAATTACAAATGATGGACTATATCTTTAAAATAGGGCTGTGCATCGGAACCGGGTACCCGAGTACCCGACCGCTGATGTCAGGAACCGGTTCCAAATTATGGAATCGAGCACCCGTAACCAACTTTACAAATTACTTAGTAACTTCTCAGACAATGAAAAACGAAAGATCTTGAATGTCATTTGTGGGGGATTTTAAAAATGAATACCAGGTCACATGGAAAAACCATCTATCGATGGGGGCGCTGTTTAAAACCAACAATTATGCACACAAAGGGCCAATATATGGTGCTTTTCAGGGCGATACATGTGCAAAATTCAGTAAAAGGCACCAAAATGTCAGATGCCACAAAAAAGGGCACCACTTCTTTTCAAAAAAGGGCCCTTGTTCCGAAAACAAAGGGCACTTTTTACAAAAAGGGCACTCTTTACAAATTCGAAAAATAAAGAAAAACGTAAGCTTTCGATCGGATCCAAATGATTTGCATATATAGTGGCCGCATGAGGTAACTGTTCGCACTGTATTTTTACATGGCACTGCATAGCGAGCATATGCCGCCGAATACGGACGGATAACGACGAATGCCTTGATCAAGGCTACTGTTTAATGAGATGATCTTCTTAAGCTTACTGACCTTTATTATCAATCTTCAACGTTTTGCTTGAGTGAGAAATGAAGTGGTTTTTCCTCCCTTTTCCTAGATTACGAGGACTGCCACAATTTGTCGTCTGGCATTGTGTACAGCAAGCCAGCATTTAATCCTGTTTTGCCAGTGCATAGTTTGGTGACGTTCACCCGCGTATCCGTGACACAACTAGGGTCCTAGGCATAAGCGTTCTTGTGACAAAATTGCCGCCTAAACTCTCTATTGTTCTATAGATCAGTCTACTCAACAATTTAAACATTGCATAAAAAAATATATCACTCAACTTCTTTTTAAGATAATTCTCCAGCTCTGCTAGCTCATTCCGATCCGTTTCTCCGAATGAGAAACAGTCGTGGTCATGCCATTCTCGACATCCATGACAGTCTCCGGAAGTTGCTTGTTCAGACTTTCTGGCAGGGTCAGGTTTAACAAGGCACTGAATAACGTCGTCACGCCGAACAGAAAATACGCAACCTTGTCTCCCTGTATTGGTTGAAAGGCAAGACAAAAATCGTCATCGACACTCGGTTACGCGTGAGTGCGCTGCACGCACACGTATTTACAGAACCGGGTTATTTTGGGTTTCACGAACTGACATTCTCCACAGTGCAGCACTATTAGAGCGCACCCCGTACATTTTCGGTTTCACGAACTGACACTGACCTTATTTACACCAATTAAAACACTTTTTAATTAAATTTTCGTGTAAGCACACAAGTGTACGGATGGATTAAATTTGTGTAAAACCTTTCAAACCATTTTTCTCTGTTCTGTATTCCCGCATCATGCTTGGGTGTCAGTTCGTGAAAACGAAAATCTTGCTATTTTCGTCAGTGTCCGATGTGTGCGCGCGCATTACCGGGTGTCAGTTCGTGAAATCGAAATTGTTGATTACGTGGTTTTCACGAACTGACACCCACTTTCGCGTAACTGTCAGTTCGTGGTGCCGATGACAAAATGTCGTCATGGCAGTTTTGGCTGCAGCCGATTTCACGAAAGTTTATGCAATGGCGTAAATCCACTTGCGCACAATTTATCAAGTAGTAAAGTTGCGCAACATTTCACACTACGCAACATTTCAGTCATGACAATTTCACGAAAGTTTCATAGTGCATGAGTCCGCGACTTGCGCAAAAACTTATTGCGTAACTTGCGCAATCATTTTACGTTGAGTTAGTTGCGGCCTAGCAACCGAAAATGACCTATTTTACAGCTCATCGTGATCGTCGTGGAGCCTGTCATTGCACAACTTATCAAGGTTGATACAAGACACACACAGCTTTGTGTTTGAAGTAAATGAAATGCAATTTTACTTGTGACAGAGTTTTTAGATAACTGAACGATTCTGGAAAAAATCGGACGAAACTATTTTCAAAATGTGATGACTTGTGACCCATGGCAAGTACATTGCGACACGCTAATACGTACACTAACCAGATATCTGTTGAGCATCATCAGAACCCATTTTATAAAAAAAAATCTAAAAAATGCTGAAAGTACAAAGTAACAGGTATGGGAGTTTGTACTTACAAATGGCGGAAGAGTTGGTGCAAGGATTCCTCCAATACGGGCAGACATGGAACACACACCAATGGCGGTATTTCTGTGACAAAAACAAAAAACACAAATCAAACAAAACTGAAAATTACCCAGATATTGTTTTGAAAAAAAAATGTTGTTTTTCCTCTTAAAGGTAAAGTTCATCATTTGTAATTTGTGCATTTTGTTCGTTTGAAGCAACAAAAGTGCTCAAAATCTAAAGAAGGGTGCTGAACAACCAATCTGATGAATTTTCAGCTTAGCTTCAGCTGCATTTTTCGAGAAAAACAACATTCTAGGATCTCAATTTCAAATCAAAAGTTGCTGAATAGTGTTTTGAATTGGGCCTGAATTCAGCGTCCGAGACACGTTCTCACTGAGCCGATTGCAGCTAAACGATGTCGCGCGCTGATCTGACGAATTATAGCAACTGCGCGCCCGTGTGCGTCGTGCCAATGCTTGCGCGCGCTTCGCCGAATAACAAAACGAACTACTAATTTGAATTTCCTACAGTGTTTCTTAAGAAGCACCGTTGGAAAGGCCTTCTTTTGTTGATTTCTTCAAAATGACAGCTTGCCAGAAAGAATAATTTCACAGGGAGTTTAGTCCACTTACTATCTTTCAACCAAGTATGTTTTTTAACAATAATTACGCCAGTTACTTTTGGGATAGCTGCAAATGATGGACTCTGGCTTTCAGTTTGTTTTCTACAGAGTTCCTACCTTAGGACTGTTGGTAGTATTTCTGATGAGTAGAGATAGGCTGAGTTGAAGGCAACAGATACTCCCATTTTACCGATGAGTGCGAGGCAAGTTTGATATGTTGACATCGCGCCATCTGTCAACAAAAACATCCCATATATGAAGATCAAAGATGTACTCAAATCTATAAGGGGAGTCAGTCAGTCAGTCAGTCAGGAGGGGAGTGACTCAGTCGGGGAGTAGCTTGGTCAGTAACTCGGTCAGTAACTCAGTCAGTCGATGACCGTTGGGTCCTGCAAAAGAAAAGTTTTTCTTGCTAAAGAAATCCAACCCACCTTCCGACCTGGGTAGTGCCATGACCCCAAGACAAGCAAAACCAACCACAAAGAGTGACCCTGCTATGGTTGGACGTCGACCTATGCTGAAACGCGATAACAATGATAAGAATAAGAACTGAATAAAAATAATAATTATAACTAAGAATAATTGGTAATAATAATAAATTACCAGGAATGGGTCATTAGGGAGACTTTCTTATAGACTTGTGCACAAAATTTTTCAAACTTAAATGTGCCCTAACCCAATATTCCCTTTTTCCACGAATTTCGGTATGTTAACTAATTAGACCACGAGCAACAAATATAACCTAATTGCGACAATACAATTTTGCCTCTAAAGGGGGGCTGTGCCTTTAGGGAGACAGTTATGTGTCTCCCTAATGACCAGTGTCATCCTGTTATTTCAAATTGTACAATAGCGCCCTCTAGAGATCATGTACATATCTGATGACGGTGAAATTGAAACCTGGCGAATCCCTCTTACCAATTTAAAACGAAAATACTGAGGAGGCCAGCCGGTACCTCGACGATCCCGGACAGCGCAAAGTTGAGGTAGATGTTTCCTCCCAAGCTGCTTGCACCGAAGGTAAGACCGTAGTATGCAAGGCAACAGCTAAACCTAAAGGACGAAACAAAAACGAAATTGGGCACACAAGGATAAATCTTTGGTCAAAATCAAGACAGAGACGAAACTGGCCTATGGGGAAACAATCGGAAAACAAGCTGAACAAAAATCCATGTCCCAAATCTGGGCCACAACCATAGAGTTATATTAAATCACTAGAGCCCTAACTCATGTACAAAGCTGGGTTGCATCCATGTTTGTACACAAACCTATGGAAAAGTCAAAATTTTGTACGGCTTTTGTATGGCTATTTGCATATCTGCGTTTGTATTCCATACCAGTGCATCATCGAAGCCCATACGCCCAAAACCGAAATGCACGATCAGCAACTGAGCGTGTCATTTTGCTCTACGCCAACAGCGCAACGTGTGCACGTCCCTCAGCTGCAGATGCTTTTCGGCGTGACATTTTTTTAACCGTCATGACGCGCTTAAGTTGTTTGCATATCTTCTACTTGCGCGTTGCATTTAGAGTACAGTTTTAAAATTCAATCCATCTATTTTGATTGTGTTCTACAAACACACGCATGAATTAAAAATGTCTGCGCCCAGAGCGGCTTCAAAGTGTCTCCGCGCAAGAATGAAGAGTTAGCGCTCTAGTAATTTAATATAGCTCTATAGCCTCAAAGCTCTATAGGTATCTGTCAAAGACAGCAAACTCTGTAAGAGAACTGCAACTGCGTATTTTACGCAATCAAGAACGTATTGTGCAGTTTAAGAAATTGTTTCAAACACGCGATTGTTGCTTGAAATGTGTTTGAAATACGACGCAGCCGATGCGCGTTATGCAAGTTGACGCTCAAAATGACGATGCACGTGGCTGGTCTGTAGGAAATGACGTCAATTGAAAGAGACTTACGCATAGCTTCAATGTCATATGTTTGTGCTTAAACTTACTTCCAGCCGTGACCTACTCTGATCCAGGCTTACTTATGGGCGTCTACCACACCATCTGTTCACTGACAACTGGTATAACAGACTAAAATTGGTCTCGCGGATCTGCGGATCATCAAATTCCATTCAAAAGATCAGATTTTGTGGGGAAAAGAGCATCATAAAAAAACAGAATATTGGAAATATCGGATTTCCGATTAAAATTGGAAAAGTTACAAGATGAACGAAAAAAAAAATATTTTATGACATTTATAACAAAAATGTAATATTAGGCCAAAAAAAAATATTCGGTCTCTGGTCAGACCAAAGTTCCGGAATTGATGTGGCCACGCGGCTTTTTTTTTTTTCTTCAAGCTTGGATTGTACAGACAAGGTGGGTACTATTTTGCTTTTTTGGTGTCCTCATGTACATTGGTGTCCTCCATAATTTGCCTTGGTGCTTTCGATCATTTGCCTTGGTGCAATTTCCCATTCCTTGGTGCTCTTTGGTAAAAAAAATTGAGGAGGTGCGGAAATAGAGGGCGCTGTTGGAGCTTACCGCGGAACATTTTGGAAAAAAAAAAGATTGACGCGCATGATTAAAATCGACGCGCGCGCTGACCAGAGACCGACTTATATTTTATTTTGTCCTTACATTGGAAGTCACCGCACCGTTGAAAACCGTTCCTTACCAAATTATCATCAGCGTGATCATTCTTCGTCGGAGCACAGGTGTCCGGAACAAGGCCATGGCGCCCTCGGATGAACTCTTGCCCTTCGCCTCGACGGTTTTGTCCGTCAAGGCGATCATGGATCGATTCATTCTCAGTCCGTTCTTTTTACCGAAGTACATGAGTTGTTCCTTGGCTTCTTCGATACGGCCGTTGGATGCGAGCCACCGGGCCGACTCGGGAATCACCCTGAAAATTAAACCAAATCGAGGAGAATATTCACGACTTTAAAGGGAATATACATCATTTGCTTTTGCTGTAATTTTCAGAAATGGATGGAATTGGGGGGTTGGAAATATATAGCAAATATAGTTACACTGACTTTTTTGAGGTTTTGGGTTCGAAAATGCTATAAAAACCAAGAAAAACAATCATTTTCCTGTAGTCTGGTTCCCTGACTCCATATAAGAAGAAACAGAGCAGTTTACATACATTGGGGAATTGTAAGGTCAGGGAACCAGTCTAGCTGGCTTGTACCCGTTCATAGGTGTGTAATCGATTGCAAACAAGTGCGATGGTCAATTGGGGCCAGTATTTGAAAAAAAAGCCAGTTTTTTTCCAACGCTGATCGGCCGATCAGCGTTGGAAATTGATACAAAAATACCACTTTTCTTGAAAATGACAGTATGCCAGGTGCCATGATTTTACAGGATGCTTTACACTGTCATTCACTAACAGTCCAGCAAGGTATTTCAAAATGATTTGGTAGTTTTATTTTTTGATGTTTGCAAATGTTGTATTTTCCCTTTAAGGCATTTCACCTAGGCTGATTATGCCCATTATGTCTGCAGATTGGCGTGATTGACATGATAAATCGATGCAATAAATAGCAGGCAGTTTTTGAAAAAAAAAGTAATAACTTAACTACGCGTACACGCCCTTTATTCAAGCTAATGCGTGCATGTGAGGTACGCTCGGAAGTGACCAGGTTTCAAAATTCGCAAGACTATATCTGATTGACCATGCTTGCCAAGAAAAAAAAATCTAAATGCAGTCTTTGACTAAGACTAAAGAGGAATCCGAAAAGGAATATTTGCCAACGATCATCATTTTGATTTTGAAGAGTTTTGAGCTGAGGCTCCTTCTTGTGATGGCCCTGTGACCTGACCCGACCCGACCCGACCTGAGGCGACCTACTTACAATGGAATGGCAATGATGGTCACCATGGGCAAACAGGTTACAAAAGTCAACTGTCTCCAGTCTCGGACGTAGTACGCCATTGCTGCTAACACCTGAAAAAGGAAAGTCAACACAAAAAGCAATATCTTTGAGTGACACGATTTTCTGGATACAGACACTAGAAAACTCCCATTCATCAGAAATTAGGTAACTCTACTGATATTTCAACAGGTACCCATAAAAGAAACACAACCCCAAAATCCAAGAGGTTGTCTGAAGAGCGAGATCCTAGAATATTGTTTTCTCAGAATATACAGCATTCACAGAGCTAAAACTTCATCAGGTTAGCTGTTTAGAACCCGTCTTTAGATTTTGAGCACTTGTGTTGCTTCAAGCGAAAAAATGTACAAATGACAAATAATCTACCCTACCTTTAATAATAGGTATGCAGCCTCGATCCTCTAAAATCCTCCAAGTGGGGGTGTTGATTTTGGAGGATTGAGGAGGGTTAAGAGTTTTAAAAGAACGTCCGTCGGCTTACCGCTAGACCTACTGCAAAGCCACAGTGGTAGATAGTACTGAGTAAAGCTCGATGTCTGGATACCAGACTTTCTAACATCAGTATGTGACCCGCCAGTGTGCCTCCTCCAGAAAAGAACCCGACTAAAAATCTACAAAAGCAAACAAACACACAAACAGAAATGGAAACAAATTAAATCTTAAAACATAATGACACGTAACAGTTTTCAATCAATGGCACTACAGCCATAGTCGTTCACTCCAAATTTGTAATTTCATAAGAACCGCATGAAAAAAAATCACAAGCTAACTCAGGTGGGACTCGAACCCACGACCTCCTGCTTACCTTGAAAAAAAATACTGATATATATTCTGGGAGAATCCCGAAGCTAACTGAACGGCTACGAGGCATATCACGCCCCCGACGTACGTCTTCAAGCGACCGTACATGTCCGACGTCCGTCCAAGGACAATAACTCCGGCCAGAAATCCCAGCATGACCAGCGACTGCGCATAGCTGGCTTCTCTTTTGCGATCGCAGACCAGGTCCCACTGAAAGATAGATAAATTATGAAAAGAAAAACCAACTTATTACGAAATACCTGACTTGACTATCAGAGAATAAAGAGTCTTAAGCATCCTGTGAAATCATGGCACGTGCTGTCATTTTCAAGGAAAGTGGAGTCTTGTATCATTTTCCAATGATGGTTCAGCAGAACCATTGTTGGAACCATTGTTTTCCATCAATTATTGAATTCTTTCCACTTTTTCGTATTAGCTATCTCACTTAATTAAATCGCATTGGCCTTGTTTTTGCCACAATCTGAAAATGACACATATGGAAAAAATATTGTTAATATCTTATGAAATTATATTGCAAATGAATTTTGTTTTGGCAAGAATAGTTTAGGCCGGCCAAAAGAAAACATTCAGGCTTTTTGAAAAATATTAAGGAAGCCCCCCCCCCCTTTTTTTCAACAAAGATGGCATATTTTCTTTTGCTGAATCAAAATTGTTTCCAAGTACAACTGCAGAGGCTCAACTACAGTAATTCACCCAACTGTAGTTGGGATGGTCCCAAGTATTGTTGGGATAATCCCGACTTATAGTTTGGACCGTCCCAACTATAGTTGGGACTGTCCCAACTACGGTTGGGTCAATTAATGTAGTTGGGGCCATGCTTTACGGACATCGATAGCCTGGCCATGCTTTCATCTACGAAGATCAACACTTTACCTCAGAAACAATTGACGTGAAATCCGTGCTGTAGACAAACTCTGTACATGGTGGGTCCAGTTTGCAAGGGTCCCCGGCGGCCCGTCCTTTGCATGTAAATTCCGGTTCCTTCCCCACGAACGCCACGGAAATGAATGACGGCGCGTGGGCAATTTGTGCGAGCATGAGCACCGAGAAATGATAGCGTTGGATGAAGCCGAAACCTCCGACTTTCTCGAGGGCCTCGTCGAAATCCAGTCTCATATTGATAAGAGGAATTCCACGTTTTACTATTTTAGAGGCTGGTGATTACATTACTCTGTTAAAAAAAAGAGGAAAACAAAAAGAAAATGGACAGTCAACTCATTTGCTGAATAAATTTTGATCAATTTACAAAAACTCTTATTTAACCCTAGCCCCATAAATGTGGCCAATTTACTGGACTACCTCCGTAAATAAAGGCCACACTTCCACCATGTACAAAAACATGTCGAACTTTGTCAAATTTTGATTTTCACGTTTAGGCTTAGTTTGTAGTTTATTTTTGCTTTAGAAGCATACTCACCCTCTGTATAGGCTAATCAGAAAGTGCTGCCTTTTTCTGCGTCTAATTTTTGTGAAATTTTATGTTGAAATTTTGATACGTAAACGTGTGCAAAAAAATCTGGAAATTTCATGAAAAATAGACATCTGAAAAGGCAACACTTTCTGATTAGCCTATCAACAGGGTGAGTATGCTTCTAAAGCAAAAATAAACTACAAACTAAGCCTAAATGTGAAAATCTAAATTTGACAAAGTTCGACATGTTTTGTACATGGTGGAAGTGTGGCCTTTATTTACGGAGGTAGTCTAGTAAATTGGCCACATTATGGGGCTAATTTAACCGCAACTCCCTAGGCCTTTTTGCTAGGATGTAGCCTCAATCCTGCAAAATCCTGCAAGTTCAAATGGGTTTGGATAGAGAAAAAATCATTTTAGTGGGGCCAAGTAACCCCTGAAATTTCCAGGCCTCCACCATGTATGTGAGTGTGCACGTGTGAGTTTGTAGGCAAAGTGGTACATGGGCAAAGTGCCAATCTGGGAAGTGGCCATTCGGCAAAGTGGTAATTTCGGCGAAGTTGCAAATAGGCGAAGTGGTTGTCGGCCAAGTGGAAATTCGGCAATGTGGAAATTCGGCAAAGTGACCGACACCCGACACACAATATCATAACGCATGAACACGGTATTACTATTTAGTATTAGTACATTAGGCGGAGTTATTGCAGAATACCCCGCCACTCGGAAATACACCCCTAAATTCTCTGGCTACGAGGTTGGAATCACTGGAAAAGAAACAATTCAAGTCCATGCCAGCTACGCGGATACTGAGTGGGGGTCCATTATTTGAGAACGAAGCAACACAAAAGGAATGGGAGTTGCTGCAAAAAATTCTAAGTCCAAACCAACCACCCTGTTGGCGGCTACGCGGATACGAAGTGGGAGTCCCCTTGAATATGCTTGAGAGTGAAGCAACACAAAAGGAATGGGAGTTGCTGAAAAAATTCAAAGTCCAAACCAACTAGCCTACCCTGTTGGCGGCTACGCGGTTACGAAGTGGGAGTGCAATGGTTTATCAATCAACCGTGACCTAGCCGGCTACGAGGTGGATAGATTGAGTGGTGGGGTGCCCTCAGACTAATGCTATCAAATATCAGAGTAATTGACATGATTGATCATGTTGAATGATACGTCGGCTAATCTAGCATGTTGTTTAGCTTGAGCATGGATGGTTTACCCCCCACTGCACTATGGTGGTTTTACTTTTAGGCTAGACATGCTAGACTACAACCATGACAACAATATTGGCTGATCAGATTTATTGATAAGTCCCGGTTTATCATGCACTATTACCAGCTAGGCTACAACTTATCATGTGCTATAAGAGTCCAGTTATCAATCTAGAAATGTACTTTTGGTATTGCAAACAAATGTGAAGGAAATGGCTTACATTACAAAACACAAGCATGAATTTCGGCACCAAGCACATCCACTCGAACAACCGACCAGTCGCTTAGTCCACGTACGTACGTACACCACATGTACAACGTACACGTATTCAAACTAAACTTGCATTCAGTCCTTCGTGTTATTTCCAAGCACACGCAAAGTTGTCTTTACGAGAAAAAAAAGGAATACACATTTAAAACACTGCCAATTCTTTCAAGTTTATATTTTTCATTATCCAGAAACTGCACTTTTGTTGCCTCAAATTAAGACACTTAGAAATGACGAATTGACCTCTTTTGTCTTTTAATATGCAGTAATATTCCCTGAGATATTTGTGCAAGTTTACCACAATTAGTCACCAAAACCACCCAGACGTCTTCAACATGAAAACCAGGTACAAGAAAATAGGGAGTCTGACTTAGTGAAACTGTGTGAAACCGATTACGTAATCGCATAATTTTTATGTCAACATGTTTGCTCGGCTGCTGGCCTTATCTGCTGGCGCGCCGGCCGGCGCTGTCTCGTAGTCACCCCGTAGTTGTTGTTTTTTAACTAGACAGGTGCTTGTACTTAACCTGTGTACCTTGTACTTTTAGATCAAACTCCCCAACGGTCCAACACGGAGAGTGGATTGATGCCTAAGTTGGGTGTCTTGGAATTTGGATGGAGCTTTTGAAGGCTGCACAGCGCAGAGGTGTTACAGTTTGCTGTGGTAGGGCATTCCGAAGAAAAGTGGCTTTAGAAAAAAATGACTGGATAAATTAAGGGGGTAGATGTATGATGCATGGTGGCCTTCAAACTGCTTGTCGTGGGTTCTCCTGGATCTGGTAGTTTTCTGTCAATGTCGATGTCCTACATGTAGTTAAGCTGGAGTGTGGCTAGTCGTTGCGTCTGTCACCTGGTCTCAATGCATGGGATTCCGAATGGATTTGGCTCTGAAGGAGTGGCCACACACATGACACACAAACCTGGCTACTCTTCGTTGAACTTTTTGAAGGACATTCCCAGATTTTCTTGGTTCCTGGGTTCCAAGCGGCAGAGGCATACTCCTCTGTGGTTGGACATTGGTTTGGTCGTATTTTGCTCAATGCAGCAAGGCAAGTACTGGTGCATGTGTTGATGAATATGAATGTATTTACTGAAGCTTTCGTGAAGGTTTCAATTGAATGTGTGTGCTGTGTACTACCGCTAACGTGTACAGAAATGGAATCGTAATATAAGTGTATACATGAACTGGAGTTGCCCTGCTTTTTACATGTACATCTATGTTTTGGATAAGAGAAGCAAAACCTGTATGTGAACCAGTCAACTTCCATCTGAGCTGTTGCGGAACATTTTTTAGTTCTTCAATGACCAATACTTAACGCGATAAGATGGCTGCATATCGCCTCAAGTTGCGACTCCTTACAGTCGTGCTCTTCGCCATTGCAGCTCTAGTTTCCTACAGTGCTCTACAACAGTCATCCCGTCTTTTCCGGCAATTGGAAGTGGACAGTTTGGAGGAGTTTCCTGGACAACCACATCCACGAGATGTCAAACCTACTGACCACAAAAAACGTGGAATCCCTGTCGTCGATAAGGGGAAATCAAATGAGAAACCGGGCGACGGCCCGCAATTCGAACGGAATCATCCGGGAAACGTTTCAGGAGCTGTTCAACCAAAGTGCAGCGCCACCGTTACGATTTTGGTACCGTCGATGCGGCCGTTCAAAGCGTGGAGGGAGTATGAGCACCTCATGAGCGAGTTCTCACACCACTCCACCCAGCTGGGCGACGCCAACCTGAGGAGTCTTCACTTGCAGTGTCCAAGTCAGCGCTGTGACGTCGATATCCGAGTCACGACGGATGAAGAGTATCTGAACACTTCCGATGCAGTTATCGTGAACATGTTTCCGAATGCTTTGAAGGATAATCTTCTTGACTTTCTGTCCCATCTCAGGTGTGTTTATGGACTACGGACTCCACATTTTCAGTTGAAGATTGTTCAAGCCTTTTGCCTTTCATGCACTCAAGATTGAGAAAGATCGGTCGGGAGGGGAATTTATATTTCATAAATTCCACTTCTTCACATTCAAAATGATTCAAAGTCAATTGAGGGGACAACGTCAGATAAACTTAAAAGAAGACACAACAAACATGAAAATTAATATTTAAGTACCAGTCAGCTGTTTATTGATCTAGGGTTTGTGTTTAGAATCTAGAAAGGGTAATGAACCTCACAGTGTGACCATGCCTGTGGATTTGGTGACAAACTTGTCTGGAAAATACACTTTTTTGAGGGGAAAAAAGCACTTTCATAAAAAAAAATTAAAAACGGGACGGGAGTGAAAATCGAGGAGGGAGGTGATGAAAACCTAACAATTTATGTTGATTGGCCTTAAACAAATTGCAAATTTGAATTCTGGCATAGAATATTTGTTAGATAGATTATCGTCAAAAATTGTTATTTGATGCCGTCATCTTGATATTCAGAGAAAGGTCCAAATGTAAACTATAATCAACACACTGTATACATTGTACTTAATTTTTGAGAAAAATATTGGAGACTGAATGCATTTTTTTTAAAAGAAGTTTTATTATTAACAAAATCATTGAACTGTTTGCATTTTTGGTAGTTAAAAGATCATTAACATCGGTGCTTGCTTTTTGCCCCTTTTGTTCTAGACAAATCTTGCATCCCAAGACTCACTGGTTTTTCTACGGAGTGGAGAGCCCGCAGATGATGACGTACTGGGATCCTAATATCGCAGAGATCCAGTACCACCACTCGATTACGTACCACTCGGAAGCAGACATCAGGCTCCCGTACGGCAGATACTTGCCCAACCGTCGTTCTGACCAGAGGTCATCGACGACGACGCGAGACTGGTCGGCCAATAAGACGGCCCTGATCGCCTGGATGGCCAGCAACTGCGACAACACCTTCTGGCCTCGCTACGAGTTCGTGATCGAGTTGAAAAAGCACGTCCCGGTCGACATGTACGGCGGCTGCGGGACTCTGACGTGCCTTCCTGCCATGTCCGAGAAGTGCACGAATCTCGTGGCTGGCTACAAGTTCTATCTCTCGCTGGAGAATGCCGAGTGCGACGAGTACATCACCGAGAAAGTTTGGAGTAATGCTCTGCTCCAGGGAGCGGTGCCTGTCGTTTACGGGGGCAGAAAGGAGGCGTACCAACAGATCTTGCCTCCCAAATCCTTCATCCACATCGGTGACTTCGACTCCGTTCAGCACCTGGCGTCGTATCTGCAAATACTCGACCAGAACGATAACATGTACAATATGTACCATGCTTGGCGCGAACGCGGCAGTGTTCAGGCCGTGTACCCGCCATTGGACCCGCAGCTGTTTTGCGAAGTGGTGCCTTTTGTGTTAACCCCACCCCCTGCGTTTAGAACAGTGAAGAATAGTGGCTACTTCAAGGCTTGCAAAAGTAGGACTGGAACTTTTGTAGACAAGGATTCATTGAAATCATTTGTTGCATGGGAGTAGGCAACGTTTGGGAAAGAACGTAGTATCCAGACGCCACTTCCGCGGTTGTGTACAAACTGCATAGAGAGTCAAGAACATTTTCAAAAGTATTTCCGAACAAAATTGGAATGTTTCTCAGTCCCAGATTCATGTCTTTTCAACATTCATTGCAATGATTGACCTTCATTGAGATGATATATGATGAACAAAAGAGGTGTCAGGATGCAAGGTTCTTTCCAAAGTTTGTGTATAGTCTGGCCTAGGGCCTGATTACACTAGAACTTCCAGTAGAAGCATGATTAAAGGGAATATACAACATTTGCAAACATCGAAAAATAAAACTACCAAGTTTTTGCGAAATATCTTAATAGGATGTTGGTAAATGACAGTCTAAAGCATCCTGTAAAATTATGGCACCTGGTATACTGTCATTTTCAAGAAAAGTGTTATTTTTGTATCAATTTCCAACGCTGATCGGCCGATCAGCGTTGGAAACAACTGGCTTTTTTTCAAATACTGGCCCCAATTGACCATCGCACTTGTTTACAATCGATTACAAACCTATGAACGGGTACGAGCCAGCTAGACTGGTTCCCTAACCTTACAATTCCCCAATGTATGTAAACTGCTCTGTTTCTTCTTATATGGAGTCAGGGAACCAGACTACAGGAAAATGATCGTTTTTCTTGGTTTTTATAGCATTTTCGAACCCAAAACCTCCGAAAAGTCAGTGTAACTATATTTGCTTTATATTTCCAACCCCCCAATTCCAACCATTTCTGAAAATTACAGCAAAAGCAAATGATGTATATTCCCTTTAAAGGGAAAATACAACATTTGCAAACATCAAAATATAAAACTACCAAATCATTTTAAAAATACCTTGCTGGACTGTTGGTCAATGACAGTGTAAAGCATCCTGTAAAATCATGGCACCTGGTATATTGTTGATGTACTCTAACGTGGCGCGGCCCCTAACGTGGCGCACTTTGATTTTTCGCCTGTAGCGCCTAGCTAGAGCAAAAGTTTTAACTGAAATTTCACAGAAAGTGAAATTTCATCAAGTTATAAACACTCCCGTTCATAAATCGCGAATTTATTTACCCGCTACAAAGTTAAAAGAAAAACTTATTTTGGCGTGATTTTTCGATTTTATTTTCAAGTGCAAAGTGAACCCTTTGAAAATGCCCCGAAAAATAAGAAAATAATTTTGTGACAAACATCTGGCTGGGTATGTAAGTAGAGATAATAATGATTTATCAGAATTTATCAAGTTTTCAGAAATTCTTAAATGTTAATTTGGAATTTCCTGAGATTTATTTAAGTGCGCCACGTTAGGGAACACTCCGCCAAATTGTGCCCAATTTCCGGACGCCACCGTTTTTTAATTTCGGGTTAAATTTTATGAAACCGAAATTGTTCACGGAGGTTAAACAGCAAGCATTAATAAGGTAAAAGTACCAGTATTTCACTGCATGAATTTGAGGTTTGTCAACAAAGAGGTTTGGCAACACTACACGAGGAAATTTGGGTATGCTTCGAAGTGCGCCACGTTAGGGTACACCACCATACTGTCATTTTCAAGAAAAGTGGTATTTTTGTATCAATTTCCAATTTTCAAATACTGGCCCCAATTGACCATCGCACTTGTTTGCAATCGATTACACACCTATGAACGGGTACAAGCAAGCTAGACTGGTTCCCTGACCTTACAATTCCCCAATGTATGTAAACTGCTCTGTTTCTTCTTATATGGAGTCAGGGAACCAGACTACAGGAAAATGATTGTTTTTCTTGGTTTTTATAGCATTTTCGAACCCAAAACCTCAAAAAAGTCAGTGTAACTATATTTGCTATATATTTCCAACCCCCCAATTCAATCCATTTCTGAAAATTACAGCAAAAGCAAATGATGTATATTCCCTTTAAAAGTGATGCTGATATTTTTTTACTCAAAAGGGTCCTGAATAAGCAAAGTTTCTGACATTCGGAACAGACTTCCGCCAATCAAAAGTATAAGCAGTGCCTTCTCACATTTTTTTACAATAATTCCACAAGATTTGCATTTCATTTCCGTCTAAAGTTTTGAAAAGTGCCATTTTAGATTTGTGCATTTAGCTCTCCCTATTACATGTAGATGTGTTTTCCTTGATCTTCTGTCAATCAACACTAAAAAAAAAAGTGATTATGAATTTGGCAAGGTACACTTCTGCAGGTTTTTTTTTCTTAAAAGTTTAATTATTCGGAGTGGTTACAGAAGTTATGAATTTGGTAAGGTACACTTCGCTATTCTGCAGGGTTTTTCGTCTTAAAAGTTCAATTATTCAGAGTGGTTACAGAAGTTTAGAAGTCACTTAATTCACAAAAAATATTTTTCCTAAAAAAAAAACTGCAAAAAAATCTTTAAAGTGCCTGTACATCTGTCGCAATGAGAAAACTTATATTTAATGCCCTACCGACGAAAAAAATCTTAAAGGTACTAAAAAGCACCTTGAAAATGTGTTATTTATAATTGGCAAAATTTAAAATGCGTGCCTACTGATCCGTACACTGTAAATTGTGAATGCTGTCTCACATTAAAAGGCAACTGCTTTCATTGTCATTGTGTACTTTGGTTTAGGTAAATTACACGTACAGTTTACTGAGTACATACAGAAGAGTACACAGTTTGAGCTGTTTGCCCAATCTCCACGCTAAGCGAAATAGTTGCGAAAGGGCTTTGACTTATTTGACTATGCAAAGAAATTTCTCAGACTTAAAAGTAAGGTGAGTTAGTAATGTTTGTTCGAGCTTTGTGTTGCAACGTTCCCCCCCCCCCCCCCCTAGAATAAGGGGTGTGGTTTTTGCATAAAAAAGTAAACATACATGTAGTTTACAGTGGAAACTAGAAAGCACTCAGAGAGCGCAAACCTCTGCCAAGGCTAAACAATTCCCCGCCATATTGTCAGTACACCCAAAAGAAATACTCGCATAAATGGTGAAGAATCCTTAAAAAAAATCCTGTATCCAGACCCAGATCCGGATCACTTCCAAAATCTAATCGATTTGTACGTGTACCAAGGACCACCCCTGAAAACATTTTCATGCAAATCCTTCCATAACTTTTTGGGTTATCTTGTTAACAGACAAACCAACCAACCAACAGACACCGATGAAAACATAAGGCCTATACATCCTTGGCGAAGGTACATTTTTTTGGTAATTATCTTGGCTAGTTCTGTAAGACTTTAGTTTCACATTATTTTTGTTGGTGCCAATGATATGATTGGATTACTTAAAAAATATTGTGTAGTGTGTATCGAACCTCAACGAAAATTTGCTGTGGCATTGTTTGATATTTGTGGCAATCAAAACATTTGCAACTAGAGGTTCGCGTTTGTTGTTACAAACGCAGAGTGGTCGGGTAGACAACCATTTCATTAGACATTCTCCAATTAAATTATGAATATGTTTATGTCAGAAAAAAAGGACCAAGAACTTCAACATTTCCAGTACCAATTATTTTGTACAAAAAGAATGCGTCTTTTAAGGTGTGATAAATTTCAGTAAACAGTTGGGTACACGTACAAGTTATTTCCGGTTTGATGGCGTCATCAGTCAAACAGGGAAGGGAAAACACTTGTTTTATCATTAAGTAAAAATAACGCATTAAAATGTGGAAATTAAGTGTATGTAATAATAACAGTTAACTTCCAGTTTGATGATGTCACAGTATTTGGAAGCAAAAGGTCAACATTAAGTGTAACAGATGTCATTTTTGGAGGGGGCAAAAAAACAAGGTCATGAGACAGGGATCAAATGATTGATTTAAATTTAAAATAAAATGGTTATTGTTGAATTCTCCCTACAGTAATTTCCGGTCTGATGACGTCATGATTATGAAACCTTGCAAATTCATTTGCGGTTGCTCACGGGATATATAGGGTCAATATATCATAAAAATTTGATTGAGGGTTTTAACATTTTAAAAGATTAAACTGTTTTCTATGTGCCGCTGGAGGGCGCCCTTTTGTGGATGACGTCAAAATAATGTTTTTGTGATTGGCATTCCTCACTTAACACTTCCATAACGTATTTGTCTGTAGTAAAATGCTTCCGTTTTAGAGTTAGATTCAGTTTCTATTTCACTTCCGGTAACACCGGAAGTAAAGGTCAAGCAGTTTTGTGCCCGGGAATAAGAAATGTTGCTCAAGGCACCGTCTACAACCTCACGAAAAAACGAACACGATACCCTATTTAGTTCAAGAGATATAGGTCAAAGTATTTTGTCAAATTGTGCAATCAAAGCGCTTGTAATTTGATACCTGATGATGTCATGATGACGTAACAACAGTTATAACATCTTCGTAACATGGTACAAGTTCACACAAGGTTTTATGATCATACCGTAAACCGTTTGGAAGAAATTGTGCTTTGTTTCGATTTCAGGCTAATGTCTTCATTTTGAATTCACCTAACTTTGACCTTCCGGTAGACCCGGAAGTAAAGGTCAAGTGAGTTCACGTACATGACAAAAAATGTTTATCAATTTATGGTCTATCTGTTTACAAGATTGGAGCATAATTGATTATTTTGTTGAAGAGTTATAGATGAAAGAAGATCGTCATTTTTTCAACGAAAATCGCTTGTAATTTGACACCCGATGACGTCATTATGACGTCAGTGTAATATGCACCACTCTGAGTGAGGGTCAATATATGTTTAAAGTTACAAGTTCATATCATATACTGTTTAGGAGAAAACCCGCGGAAACGTGCTATGCAGAAAAAAAAGAAAGAAAGAAAGAAAGAAAGAAAGAAAGATTAATCGCAACAAATCCAAAGAGTGGTCGGGTTGTGCCCGACCACTCAATAATAGATTTTGTGTGCTTTTTTACGTCATCTAAAGGTATTTTCGTAGATATATTTGTTGTGTAAAATGAGAGTTATTTGTTGTGTGTGCTATATAAATGCCCATTTAATTTGTGTGTGCAAATTCTTCAATTCCTAGAAATAGTTTTTATACAACATTAGTATACAAAGTAATGTTTATGAGTGCAATGGTAAGAATAATTTCATGAGTTGACGGATGGAATGTTCGATTCCACGAGGCGAAGCCCCAATTCCATGAAATATTTTTATACTGCATTAGTTTACAAATGAATGTTTGTGAGTGCAATGGTAAGAATAATTTCATGAGGTGGCAGATGAAATGTTCCATTCCACGAGGCGAAGCCCCAATTCCATGAAATAGTTTTTATACTGCATTAGTATACAAATGAATGTTTGTGAGTGCAATGGTAAGAATAATTTCATGAGTTGACGGATGGAATGTTCCATTCCACGAGGCGAAGCCCCAATTCCATGAAATATTGTTATACTGCATTAGTATACAAATGAATGTTTGTGAGTGCAATGGTAAGAATAATTTCATGAGGTGACGGATGGAATGTTCCATTCCACGAGGTAAGGCCGAGTGGAAAGGAACAATCCATCTGTCACCGAATGAAATTATTCTTTCCATTGCACGAATGTGACACATTCATTATTTGCTTTATACAACACCCGAATAAATTGTTGTCAAACGGATTGGTTGTTGTTTGACCGTAGAATAGAGATTTGCGGTACGTGGGTTGGGACGAATAATTCAATGACATGTGATCAACAACCCACCAATCAGCTACACAGGCGTTGTATAAAGTAAAATATTTGGCAAATAAAAGACACTATGTAGTTGGCATTCCACGAGAAAGACATCTTTTCATTTTCAGAATGTAACGTCCTGCTGACAACTTACGAACCAAAGAGTTAAAAAATGTAGACATTTTAGGGTAAATTTCATATACTTTATAGAATTTATGTATTCATATAACTGAGAACTATATTCAGGGTTTTTTACTGTTTGTAATTTAGACAATAATGAATAAAATTGAATCCAGAAATTCAGAAACTTGAGACTTACATGTATGTACTCCAGTTTTTGTTATTTGCATGACTGTATTAACCCCAACTCCATCAAAATCTATCCCCCATTTTGGTGGATTTTGGGGGACTTGGTACTGCAGGCTTGGTCTGACTAAATATTGATGGAGTATGATGGACTTGGCCTAAAGCAAAGCATGCAATGGAAGCAGTAGGCCTATGATTGATGGATTTTGGCAGACTTGGTTCGGTACTTATTAAAAGACAGTTGAGAGTTAAGTTAGTGTTAAAGAAAATGGAAAGATTTCCATATACGAAGTTCACTCAACACCCTGTGTACAAACCCTATGAGATTGGACTGAAAAATTCTAAGTGTTTTCTAAGAAAATGCTTGTATTTTCTCACTGCTCAAATTGACTTTGATGACATGAAATTGCTATCTTGGGGCTTGTTAGTCAATACAGAGGAAAATTAGTGAACTTCGTATATGGAAATCTTTCCAAAAAAAAATCGTTATTTATTCTCACCCCCCCCCCCGGTTGCTTGAAAGTATTATTTTCCTTACAAAAAAAATCAAAGGTTGTTTTATGGACACAAAAAAAAGATGAGTAACAAGGCTTTTAATTCGGATGACCATATGTAAACATCTACAAGTTTTCACGCATGCGTAGTACATCACGGCGGTCATTTCCGAATATCCAAAATGGCCGACGGTAATCGGGAGTTGTCGTACGAAATTTACTGGACTCGCGATGGTATCCTTTATAATCGTTAAATCACAATATCACCTGTTTTTTTGTTGAGCAGACTTGTGAACGGTAACTTGTTTATGAGTGACATTTGTTTTGGTAATCGTCAGAGATACAATAAACAGCGTTAAGTTGCTGTTTACGTACATGTACGTGTTAGCCCAGGTTGGACGAAGTCTTCATTGCAATACGACTAACGTCCAGCATGTCCAGGACAAGTCTTTTCTACATGAAACCATACAACATTTTTACCAGAGTTTTGTTATGTTTTACCTCGTTATAGAAGCTAATATTTCACGCCTACATACTGTATGTGTCCTTATCTGTTAGCACGCTGGGTTCAGGAATTCCATATGCGATGCTGACTGACGTTAATCAGGAAAATAAACTCCAAAGCAACGTTAAACTTGTACGTGTTTGTAGTCGCTTTTCATCAGTTTATTCCCAGAGTCGTACGTCATGTACAATGTACATGATATGTACAAATGTACGTGCGTACAATCCGAAAGCGCGCACGCACGCTAAGCGCCCTCATTTGCTTAGTTTTGGTTGGAACCGTGACGTCACTCCAGCCAACCGATGTCAGGAAAACGCTCAACCAATGACCAAAGCCGAAACGTGTTTCTGGTAACTGGCGCGAAAACACGCTCGGTCATTGGATTAGTGACCGCACCTTCAAGTAAGTGCGCGTGCGTATGAGGGTGGTTACTAAGCAAATCGCGCGTGCGCACTGCATATTCATGCGGCATAGTCTGTCCCCCGGACCAGATGTGATAATGAGCGTCGAGAATAATTGTCCGGTCTAGGGAACCAGACTACACGCTGCACCGTACAGACGTACATGATGTACGACTAGAATAGACTCGGCGGTGAGAAACTGATGAAAAGGGACTAAACACGTACAAGTTTAACGATGCTTTCGAGTTTATTTTCCTGATTGACGTCAGTCAGCATCGCATATGGAATTCCTGAACCCAGCGTGCTAACAGATAAGGACACATAGAATACTACGACGTAAAATTAGCTTCTCCAACAAGGTAAAAATATTGAAATTATTGGTAAGAAATGTTTTCGTTCGGTTGTGAGCACATGTGTACTCAGGACTCCCTCCGTAACGTAGGGAGGAAAGGGAGTCCACCAGGGCTAATGTACGTGTATGCTCGCCGACCGCGACCAGCGCAGTGCCGACGTTCGTGCTAACGCTATGCCTATACTATAGCATGTATAGGCTACTCAGTCATTGGTGAACCATAAAAAAGGCTGAGCAGTTTGATTCACAGAGAAAGGAAGCACATAGGCCATGTAGGCTGTGCAACCATGCATGTATTTTTACAGAGCTTACCATCTTTATCACGTTGATCAATGGAAGTGGAAGTCAGTTTGAAAAGGAAATTCATTTCATGAAATGAAAACAGTTTTGATCAGCAGAGGGCGAAAAGACTGCTGTGATTTGCATGTCTCTATAGGCTAAACTGCTAGTGCTACACACAGTTGTAAAGAACTCGCCAAAATTATAAAAACCTAGACTGAATCTAAATAAAACGTCATTGCTTGAGGCTGCAAAAGTCATGAAAGTCATTGTTTTGTAGCATCAGAATTGACAGCCAACAATTGCAAAAAGTCATTTTTGAATGGATTGGACTAGTAAAAAAAATAGGTTAGTTGACTAAGATACCATGTTGAATATCAACTAGCGTATTATTAAAGAGGGCAGGGTTTTGATTAATGAACAGAACTTGTAAAACATAAAGAGGTGTCCTAAAAGTACCACACGATTACCAAAAAAATAGAGGTGTCCAATTAAACTACACTCACAAGGGTATTATTTTAAAGTTTGTGGCCCCGTATTAAACCAGTAACATAAAATCAAAATAATTGAATCAATTATATTTTTAAAGATAATTGTGCTGTATAAATTCCTTAACATATTTGTTTCAGAAAGTCTTTACAACAGCGACTCTGAAGGTGTTTTGCATTCATACGCCCCAGGTAATACTGTGAATATAATTATCAATCTGAAACTGTGTAGTTTGGGTCATTCCGTTGGAAAGAATGTAATATTATAAAAAATGTTGCGGATATTTTGGGATGCGCTGTATGCCTTTAACTGGTTTCCTTAACCCTAATTCCCTAGGCCTTTTTGCTAGGATGTAGCCTCAATCCTGCAAAATCCTCCAATGGGCCTCATGGAAAAATAGCATAATAGCCTCAATCCTGCAAATTCCTCCATTATTTCTTGGATATTGTCTATGGGGGAAATACATGTACCACTGCCTGAATCCTGCAAAATCCTGCGGCAGTAACTGTCAATATGTTGAGGCTTGGCCAGTGACATCCTGGAGCAGTACGGAGGATTTCAAGCATAATCCAGGCCTATATTTATGCACGGCTGAGCAAAAACAACACAAGGTCCGGCCCAAGACCTTGACAAAGTGCATCCTACGAAATCAGTAACGCACTTTTGCCATGTAACCTCAATCCTCCAAATTCCTCCACTTTGGCAAAGAGGATTTTGAAGGCGGTCAGAGCATACTGACCGGAACGTCGAGTTTATACCTCTGGTTCTTTTCAGAACCATTCTCTTAGTTGAGAAATTATTCGCACATGGTGTTTCCGCAAACCTTTCATTATTTAACAATTGTGTTCACAATGAATTCTTGGTTATCAGGAGTTGACCAGCCAGGCAATAGGAAACCAACGCAGAAAACGAAACACCAGCAACGCAGAGACGTACCCAGCAGAGCTTCACGAGATGAGAAAATGATGGAAGGACGAGACGGGAAACTGGGAAGACACGAAAGACGGAAAGAAAAAGAGACCAAGACGGTGAAAACAGCATCAATGGTATCGTCCAAAAAAATACATCCTTTTTTTTTTGACAATTTTTTTTTTTTCGACGGGGCGTGCAGGATGGAGTTAAGTTTGTTATTAATATAAAATATGTATTGTTTCTTGTTGATCAGGGTTACTTATATTTTTTTTATTTGGCCTAATGTATATTCTCTAAAGTTACAATGAAGAATTAACTAAAAAATTGCTGAAAAGAATATTTGTTCAAACTGAAACGTCCAGCGGATGTTGACGTTGTTCTTACACTGTACAATTCTGTCTACGATTTAATCTATGATTTATGGTGTCTATTTTTGAATTTTCATTTTTCAATTTGTAGGAGGTGACAAAGAGAAACGACAAGCCGTCTTTGAAAGACCTTCGGCCTGAGGACAAAAAGAGGATCGCCAATTTAATAAGAGAACTCGCAAAGTAAGGAAACACACATTCATCACATCTTATATTTCTTACTCAAGCGAATGTAATTTCTGAAACATGAATCCAGTACTTTCCAAGTAGGATAGGAACAGATTGTTCATCCATGCTTTGAAAACCCATTCTGTATATTTGCCCCCCCCCCTTACTTTTCCCTCAAACTCCTCCCCCAGGGTGGGCGAAGAGAAGGAGGTCATTGTCCAGCAACTCAACGTGGAGCGACGTTCGTACGAAGACAAAGTCAGCAAGTTGCAGCAGCAGATGGAGGCAATCGTACAAGAGAGAGAATATATCCTTTTCAAAAAAAAAAAAATTCTGGTCAAGGCCAGTCCAAGATTATCAATATTCATGTCCTATGAAAATATTTTTATTATTATTTCTTTGTGGTAATGAAACCAAGGATTCCTCAAAAGCGCCCTAGGCACTGTAGCTCGCAAGCCTGACGAAACCTGTAGAGAGAAGACAATGAGAAGAAGTTACAGTTTTAGATGTGGGAGGAAAACCCCAGAAAAATATTCTGGGGGAAACCCACGGTATCAGGTAGGGACTGAAAACCCAATCTACATATTGGCTCAGGCAGGATTCGAACCCGGGTCACAGCGGTGGAAGGCGAGGAAAGTACCGCTACGCCAACCTGACTCCCCATACACTACATTACGAGTGTAGACGTTTTACAGCTCGACCGCCAAACCTGGCAGGGTCGGATGACTGGTTCGAATCTGATTTACCATTCGGAAGTCCTGTTTTTTGTGTGATTGGGTTTGTCAAGCAAACATTCTTTAACGTTTGTCACACTGACCCAGACGCAATATTTGGAATGCCAGAAGCTCTTGGCGGAGTACCAGTCACAGCTGGCGTCCGAACAAGAGAAGCTTGCCGTATCATTGCACCATCCAGTATCCCCTCCGAAGGTACGTTTTCATTCATTTAGAAAACAATATTCTAGGATCTCGATTTCAATTCAAAAGTTGCCGAAGCATGTTTTGAGTGGCCCCTGAAATCAGCGTCTGGGACGCGTTCTCATTCAGCCGATTGCAGCTACGCGATGTCATGCACTAAACCATTGAATTATTGTAACTGCGTGTGCGTGTGCGTCATGTCAATGCTTGCGCGCACCCATTCACAGTTTCGCCGAATTAAAAACGAACTACTAACGAACATTTTTAAAATGCATCTTTAGACGCATGTTTGGAAATGACCTTTTTTTTTATTGTTTTTTTTTTTTTCAATATGACAGCATGCCAGAAAGAATAATTTCACAGGGAGTTTAGTGCCATTACTATCTTTAAACCAAGTATGCTTTTTAACAATAATTTCGTCAGTTACTTTTTGGATAGCTGCAAATGATATACTCTACCCTTTTAAGATTACTTAAGATTTGTTAGTGTAAAGCTGACTTTTTGTTTGGTTTGATTTTTTTATGGGCAGTTCAACATGGTCCCACAGTCGCTTGCAAAAGCAACGTCTGGTAATCAACCAAATGGGTTTCAGCCGAGCACACCCAGACCGACTATGCAACGGCCCAGCACCCAGCATGTCACCCAAGGTCACCCTAATGGGTACCCTAGTGCACCCCATCAAAATGGGTACAGGCACCCCGGTACCCATCCTGCTGCACCAAGCCTGAAGCAAGGCAACCACCCATCAAGAGTTGACAGGAACCGACCCCCGGGCACCCAGCAGTACCTGGTACCCGGCACCCAGTCGCACCACAACCCGGTACCCAGCACCCAGTCGCACCACCACCCATCCAGCCTGGATCCCGAATTTAACCCAACGCTAGCCAGCACCCACAGATCCCAACCATCCAACGGCGAGAGCGACAGAAGCTGGGCTGAACCGCAGGCAGCCGGCAGCGGGACGCCTGCTATGTACGTGTCCTACGGAAACACCGGCGGGTACGTGCTTCGACCGGGGCTCGACACCGAACAGGAGATACACTTCCCCCAGACGGGTCCGCCAAGCGGCTATCTCAAGGATTCGCAAGAGACGCTCGCTTCCAGATCCCAGTCCGGAGAATTCAGGCCTCTTCAGCCGGAACTGGAAACGGACTTTTCGAGTCAAGGAAGCCACAACTCTCCGGAGTATGTGGCTGAGTTTTGGAAACATCAGAACAGCACCAAACACACAAGAAACACATTGCAAGCAAACGACCACGGAGATGGGATCGGCGTGAACAGAAACCACCAAGGAGATTTTCATCCTTTCCAAGATGCGGTTGCCAGGCAACCAACCTACCAAACCGTCGCCGAGCAACGCCACAGTCTCCTAGAGAAGCAGAGACATCAGCTGCATCGGGAGCAAGCTTGGCTGCGACAGAAACTCAAAGATCAAGAAGAGATGCTACGCCGAAAACAGAGCCAACTCGAGCTGCACAGAGTACACCAGCTGGCACGGGAACAGCAGCAGGACTACCGCTTGGAAAGAGAATGGCAGGACTATGGGAATGGCATTGGCCAAACATCTGACCCGCAGGCGAACAGAACAGATCCTGAATGGGAAGAACCGAACCTTTTTAACGGGATACGTCAAGAAGCGCCCTCTGGGAGCGAGAGTGATAACGATGACGTCATCTCAACGAATTACCCACCAAGTTTCGCGAATCACTCGCCAACAAAACACACCTTGGAGAACTCCATGAGACGATTAGATCTTAGTCAGGGTAGACGCCAACGCAGCGCTGACGTGTCAAGCACCAAAGCTGCCATGGCCACAGGAAAGAGGAATTTGACTCCGAAGAGCCAAGGAGAGGCGATTGACGGATACGCATCACTGTATCCCACCAGTCAGCCAAGGCACAAGATTCAAGGTACAACATCCATTTCAAACTTGAGTCCAAGAGTTGCGCCAACCAACTTACTTTAGGAGCATCTCATGTGGACCCAAAGATAATTTAGTTTCTCACAGGCAAATTTTATGTATTTATTTTCCATCGACCACACTCTGAAATTAATTCCAAATTAAATAAGTTTAAAGAAATCCTTGATTCCATGTGAAAATGCAAGTGCAACTTCGAGGGCAGATCCAGTAAACATAATGTCACTTTTTGACAATGCCGTTTTTTTGTTAAAACTTTTGGAAAATTTGTAAACAGATTAAAAAAAAAAAAATTGTACACGTTTTTTTTTTTACACGCGACATCCTTATTCATCGTGGGATTGTTTGAATTACTGCAGGGTCCACGTCATCACATTCCCCGTCTACGTCGAGCTCGCCGACGCTCGTTGACCAGTCGACGTCCCCCCTGTACCGGGACCGAAGCACAGTAACCGCGAGATCCCCCGGGCAAGGAAATCTCAGTCTGTCCCCCGGTAGAGTCCACGTCACCCTGGCCCCTGCACTTCAACAGAAAACAAGCAGGGAGCAGGCTAAGACGCGGCATCAACAAAGGTAGACGATAATTTGCATCCTAAACCTTGTACGAACTGCAAGGGATTTCGTGAAATTTTAGGCAATTGCATAATGCCACTTGCGCCACAATTTAATGCGTAAGTGGCCCAACACTTTACGTTGCGCAACATTTCAGTTATGACGCATTTTTTTACAGACCGCAACTTGTTGGGTGGCGTAAAGCTCGGTTCATACTTCTTGCGAAGAGAAATTGACGTCATGAAACATTCGCTGGGAAATTCGCCTGAGTTGAAATATGTTCAAATTTTATGAATTTGCAGTGCAAACACTTGCCATGACATCACAAATTCGCGTTCGCTTTCGCGCAGAGTATGAACTTAAGTTGTGGCGTAGCTACTGAAAATGACTTATTTTACAAGCAAATCGTGACAGGTTCTTGACCAATAGAAATGGATAAATTGTCTCAGGTATTCATGAATGGCTGATTCATTTTTTTTAGACTTACCGACAGACGAGCCGTGTCCCTTCCTCAGAGTCCACGATATCACAGCGAAGCCTCGGAGAAGAAACGGTGAGCTGTTCATGCTAAATGATATTTTCCACATGTTTAAATTGTAGAGTACATTGATGTTTAAAACGTTATAGTCCCATTTTTTTTTTATATAAGTAAATATGGAAATGTAAAATATATAAATGTATAATTTCCTTGGGAATTTTAATGTCTGGCAACCTACAAAAATGAGACAAACATTTCAAACAATTTTATCTTTTTTTGCCATGATTGTCTTCTTTCTGTCAAAAAAACATTAAAAACAAGTTCCTTTGTAGCTTTGGATTTTTAACCATTAAAGGGATACATCATTGTAGTTATATATGACGTTCAAATCTTCTACTCCACAGTAACGTAACTCACCTCTCTGATCTGATAGCCGAGATGGAGTCCCCACCCCCACCCAGCGCACCCCGTGCCAGACCGGCGGACGCAACCCACAACACGAGTGTGATCCGACCGGGTTCCGTCCCCACGCCCGATTTGTTTCAGGACGACGTAGCGTACACCGACACCGACGCGGAGCTACAGGAATCCCGAATTCTTGAAGACGTCTTCTTTTTGTGAGGGTCACTTGCGAAAGAAGCATTCTTAATCTTATTCGTCTTTGTTGTTTTCAGCTTGCAAGGTTTTTTTCCAGAACAAATCCAGAAAATTGCTGAACGGTTCTTTGTACAGAATATGCAACTTATGGCCTTCGCCAAAAAAACCCCTAACTTACCTTTTCAAAGGACTTCTTGCAATCTTTTGGTAAGTTATCGATATTTTTTATAAATTCAATGAACTATGCATGTTTTTGTCTGTAGTTTTTAACTGTGCATACTACTTTCAAGTTTCTACCATTATTTACATTTTTGCATATGCAAGGAATAAATAGCTAATAAATTATTTGACATCTTGTACTTCTGAAATTTATCAGAAAGTTATTATTTTTAACACCACCAACGAAACACAGACACACTTTATTTTCTTCAATATTTCGCGTTTTATTTCATCCAGATATAACAATACAGAGACTTTTTTTATAGCTAAAAAAAATGTTGCTGAAACTTGTGATGTTTCCCAGCAATTGGGATTCAAATGTGACCCCAGCGAAATAACAAAAATTGGGATTGCCAAAAAAGAAACCCCTAAAACTAAACAAGTTTATTCCATTACAAGTTATTACTTGTATTTATTTAAAAGTCAAAGCCTATATTTTCCCTTTTTTCTGGTCAAATAAAGAGTTCATTTATTATGTCTACATGACTTCAAGCGAAAACAATACATAGGTACTGGACAAATTTTGCAAGAAATTCTCAATTTCGCTTCAATATTTCATCAAATATTTCAAAATGTAGCATTTAACCAAATCATGATTATCGATGTAACCCATTTTATCTGACTATGATTATATACAGTTCTTCATTGTACAGCATGTCCCAATAACAATTGTGCATGAAGAAATCGCTGATTTTCTCAAAAGTTGGTCAGACTAGCTCATCAAATTTTATAGCATTTTCAAGCCTATAGTCTTGTTTATAATTGGTGAAAAAAATCAAGAAAATCCAACGATGGAAACCAGAGATATCCTTGATTTGGTAAGGCTATGTATTTTTCGACCTGCACAATGTAATTTCCAGACTTCGTATTTGCTTGTATTTACGTGGTAACTGCTCTAATTGCAAATTACTCGAGCGTCAATGTTGTATATTTTGACGTTCTTCTTTAACATGCTTAACTACAGGATTCTAATTGTGCAAGAGGAAAATAATATAGCCTTACAAAATCAACGATATCTCCGGTTTGCACTGATGGATTGTCTTGATATTTTCACCAATTATAAACAAGACCATAGGCTTTAAAATACTATCAAATTTGATTAGCTCATATGACCACCTTTTGAGCAAATCATGGACTTCTTTATTCACAATGTTTTTTGGGACACGCTGTATACACATGAACGTCGCAAACTAAAATCTACTCGTTTAGAAAATTGCCGATTATAAATCAAAGTACCACGTGACCATCCAGTTTCCCGTCTTCGGCCACCATTGCAGTAGGCAAGCTTTTGTTCAGCAACCACATCGTGTATTGTAAACTATCAAATGGCATAATGTATGGGCAAGTTCGATCTAGGACCATAGTTAACCATAGTTCGACTAACTCTGATTGAATGCATGCTAGTCGACGATGGTTAGACTAGTCTAATCGACTATTCAGGACCAGCCTAGCGTGGCTGGTCGCGTCACGATTTATAGCTGGTTATCATTAGCAATTTTTCATAGCATAGTGCAGAGGGGACCAACTATCAACAAAAAAGATGGAAAAACAAAAACTGTGAGTGCTAAATTTCATTTTCATTGCCAAGTTTTTCCACATTAGTTTATGATTCTGTCACTTTCACACCATTTTACAATAATAATGGCAATTATGTAAGGCGTCCCAAACTACACAATCGCTGTTATTTGTGTAAATATACAGAAACGTCAAGCGTTGAAAAAATTGTGCGACCGCCATTTTCTGACGGTCGTTGACATGACAATAGTTCGACTAGAGTCGTTCGCACTTCAACTTCAGTGCGCATGCGCTAGGTACATCACAAACTAACCACTAGTTAACCATTGGTCCTTGATCCAACTTGCCCCATGGTTGTCATAATCATGCCGACCCAGCACTGGATGTTGGCTCCGTGTTTTTCTCACAATTTTTGCCGCCCATCGCAGCTTGAAAGACCTGCCTACTTAAAGGCCAAAAAAAAAAAGTCTCCGGTTTCTGGTATGGAGCTTGCCCAAAAAGTGGTGCGGCGACGCCGTTTTTTTTTTTTTTTTTTTACCTGATTTTTTGCTTCAAATGTCGGCTGATGACTGCAAATGGTGCCTGACTAAACTTAGTGCAAATATATGGGAGTCCAGAGAGGCCACATAAAGCTTATTCTCGACCATAACCCAATCGAAAAACACGTTAAAATTGTGCAGCAGCAGGATTCCAGTCAAACCAGTGAGTTTGGCGGTTTTGAGACGTCATCTTTCATTGAAAAAAAAACTTTTTCATTTTGCTGACGCGCATTGCTACGGCGACGCGCGCGCATACCAGAAACCGGAGACTTTTTTTTTGGCCTAACTGTTCACGGCGCTATATAATCTTTGTCTACTTCAATGGCGATGCTGACTTTCCCGTATTTGGCCAGAGGCCAGGTCACGTGGCTCAGTGAGAGATCCCTGATCACAGAGGAATGACCAGGTTGGCCATTAGGTCCCGCACGACAGGAAAAATGGTGCACTCCACTGTAAAAAACAAAACAAAATCAAGCAAGAAAAATTTATTAAAAATGCTGCTGCACCCTGTAAATTAAAAATAGCCTGCAAATGAAAGAATGAAAAAGACAACGCAAGCCTAGTGACACTAAGCCTTGGTCATGGCTTTTGACGATAGTGTCCGATGATCGATAGTCAGCTGCTAAAATAGACAATAGCCGCGTGCTATACACTCACTATACTGTATGAAGCGCAATCAGCGACCTCACGCGGCTAGGCTACACTAAGCAAATCAGTTGGTGTTGGCTGAACGCTTGGAACAACCATCGCGATGGCTACTTTTTCAGGCTACTTTCGTCATTTTTGTCGCTGGATTTATATCCAGTTGTATGTCATCTACGGACTCCAAACTTGTGCTACGGGCTCCGTGCACAAGTACCCCCTCAACAGTAAGAAGGGGAGAGTTGGGGGAGACCACTGGGAGAGACATTCAAACGCTTGCCAACGACGCTCACGCGAAGACGCTGTGGCTTCGTGAAAAATCAGAATAAAACACGTCGTGCGTACTTCGCACTTTATGAGCGCGACACCATTATGTACACACGGTGTGTCCAATCCACCGGGCTTCGGAAGTGGTTTAAAAACAGCGCCCTCTCTTGTTTGCGCACGGAGCCCACACCTGTGAAAAGACGCATGCGAATGACGTACCTTTATTCTGGTACAGGCTGTTGGACCTCTCCAGCATGTTTCGGACAGTGGCTATGCTGGCCGGGACGTTGGGCGGCTTGGCCCGGTCGATGTAGGACGTCGTGTTGGCCTGCATGTCGTGGACGATCGGTATGACGATGGACTGCAGGTCTTGGCCCACGGGCGGGTTTATCCCGATGCGTGTCAGTTGAATCTGAAAACATTAACAAACAAAAAAGTTGGTACCGGAGACAAAAAAATTGTGGAGTGCCATGGCCTAGTGGTCTGGAGCATTGAATTCGTGGTCTGCGGGTAATTCTGCAGGTTGTGGGTTCGAGTCCAGCCTGGGGTTATGGTGTGTGTGCCCTTGAGCAAGGCACTTTGTCACTCATTGCTTCTCTCCACCCAGGAGTTAATGGGTACCTGTGAGGGCAGAGATGGTTATTGTGGTTGATTCTAGCTGCTTTGCGCCGAAATGGCAGCATAGAGCTGCATACTCCCCAGGGAGCTGAGATTGTCTTAGGAACGTGTCATTGGCCCAGTGAGCAGGGTGATAATGATGTAGTGCCTTCAGCACCAAGACTGGTGGATGCGAACGCTTTATAAATACAAATTTATTATTATTATTTAATATTATTAATTCTCCACTGATTCAAAATGGTTATTCACTGCAGGGATGTAGTCGAGTCGTTCATAAGTCCAGTCACAAGAAACAATGGTTGAACAATAACAAAGGAATGCCTTTGTCAAAGCTCATTTGAATGACTTGTGATTTGAATTGGGACTGGATGACTTGTGATGGACTTGCAAGGACTTGTGATGGACTCGTCAACATCCCTGATTCAGTGGAAGTCATGTACGAGACCACTTGACCACTTCACCGGCATTATTTTCGCCGAAAATTTCGATTTTCGCATTTTCAAGCCAACTTCTAATATACAGCCAAATGCCACAAATACTGATTCGCAAGAGAAATTTCAACAGTATTTGTACGATATTTCTTGCCGAAACCTCATATGTTTCGGCATTCCGGGGTGTGCATTATATTGTACAATAGGCCGTGCACAACGGCCACTTCAAGATCAACACACTGTCCGCCTCCACAGACCTTGTGTGTGCATACAAAAGGCACGAGGGATTAGCGTGTTTAGACGTCACCCGGAGGCGAGTCCAGGCAATCTTGACATCTTAACCCGTCAGCCGTGCCTGTGTATAAAAACAGCCAGTGCATGTTATCACGTCCTCCAACGCAATCTGGTTAATAGCAATGTCTTACTGTTATAAACAAAAATCCCCTTGTGAGCGAAAAACTCCAAGAACAAATGTGCACTCACGAAAAACAGCATCTTGCTTTTGATGGCCAGGGCCGCTGTGCCCGGCGCGGCGAATCCAAACACGTCGGGCGGCGGAACAGTCAGGCACCACTGAATGGTCCACTTGAGAGTCCGGTCCGGCAACAACTCCAGCCGCATCAACTGCACCAGGTCCTTCAGGATGCGCGTAGGGGCGCTCAGAGCGCGCAGAAACGCGAGAATGGCGTGCAGCTTGTAGGGCGGGCAAACAACCTGATCCAAAGAAAAATTTACAAAAGTTTTATGATCTTTTACAACCGGTGTTGCAGTGAATCACAAAGTCCATTCATAAGTAACAGAGGATGAACTATCACAACTGAATGCCTATTTAACAGCTCAGTTTTACAGTTTGGGATTTGATTTGGGACTGAGTTGACTTGCGATGGACTTATGACTTGACTGCAAGTCATCAAATGCAGGAATATCCACATGTGGATCACTGCGTTAAATCAAGCAAAATGACATGTAAAAGGGACAGACACACGAGGTAGAAATCTCTTGGATGATGCTTGGTGTCCATGAGCAACCCATTTTACCACAATAGCTGTTATTGACCAAGCAAGCACTGACAACGAGACTCACCTTGCTTTCAAAATATCGCTCAAATACTTGTATTTCGTCCAGGTTCCAACGATCAGTCATATCTGAGTAATCAATGATATTAAAATGAGCATTCAAATGAGGTCGCATTCATTCAAAGGAAGAGATGTCTTTTTCTTTTGGTCTGTTCTGAGAAAGGACTCCCTGAAGGGTCCATGAAATGAATTTTTCTGAGGAACACATTTTGTGCAACTTCCTGCTCCTCTTAAATGTATGAAAACTATTTGACATCCCTTTTTGGTTAATTATATTCAAAAGTGCACTTCTTTAAAAACATTTTAAAAAATGATCCATACTTTTCTGGACAACTTCTTCCATGATGTCATTTCAAAACAAAAAAAGACTGTTCAGTTTAGGGGTTTTCTGTTCAAATTGTGAACCCAAACATTTGCTCATTGAAAACATTTGTGAGAAAAAGTTTACTCATTGGCTTACTGCCATGTACTGATACAACGAAATCACCGAAGAAAAGAAAATTTATGACAGCAAAATATCCAAAATCCTGGCAACTTTTGGTACTGAAATAGCTGTAACATAGAGGTTTCTGCCTGAAATGACATCACACTTTTGCTCATGAATGTGTAAAATTCGAAGCCCTAAAATACTTTCAGCCAAATGTCTGTCTTCAAGACAGGTTTGCAGCAGTGTACTAGACTGAGGCGAGATGACTGTTAAGTTTTCAGATCATTGACTGACCTTGATTCGGTTTAACCACCAGATGTAGAGTCTGCATGGTGCTGGGGTTGAGCGACACCCAATATTGCAACGACTCTGCCCGGAAGTGTAGCGTGCCCGGCTCATTCGATGGAACCTCTTGAATCTGCGAGGACAAATAAAAATATCAGTTTGTAAGAAAAAAAAAAACAATGATTGGAAGAGATCCAACAAGGATGAGATGAACTAGTTTGTCTAAAGCTAGGACAGTTAGAATTGTTTTCCTTACACTTACAATTTATATTTTTTATATTTCTTTGTATTAGTGTAATGAAAAACAAAACTGGAATCAATAAAAGCGAGGAATGGAGAGAAACAATGAACAAAGAACGCCAGAGGTACGAGAATAGAGAGGGGGCTGTGGTCTAACAATTAGAGATTCCAATGTGTAATGGTGCGTGGGTTCGAACCCTGACAAGAACATGCATGGTGTTTGTGTTCTTGGGCAAGACACTTTACTACAATTGCCTCTCTCAGCCAATGAGTGTAAACAACTAAGAATTACTAACCCTGTCTGTAATTTGCAAGTTTTTTTACAGATATCTCTTGCAGTAAATTGATCCCAGGAAGTGTTCATGCATGGTGTTTGTGTTCTTGGGCAAGACACTTTACTACAATTGCCCCTCTCCACCAATGAGCATAAATAGTAACTTGTAAATATAAATAAGTACAAACTAACCCCTGTCCACAATTTGCAGAACCCTGTGCGCGTCTCTTACAGTAAGTGGATCCCAGGAAGTGTTCCATGCATGTTGTTTGTGTTCTTGGGCAAGACACTTTACTACAATTGCCTCTCTCCACCAATGAGCATAAATATTAACTTATAAAAAAGTACAAACTCACCCCGTCTACAATTTGCAGTACCCTGTGCAGGTATCTCTTGCAGTAAATGGATCCCAGGAAGCGTTCCATGGGACAGCAGAGGCTGGCGGAGGGACCACCGGGCACCCCGGGCGTGGGAGCCGGAGTGAAGAGCTTGGTGATTGCTTCACAGGACAGGGCGGTGGGGATGGAAGCCACGGGGGAACGGGACGGCAGGTGTCGGGCCGGCCGCATTGGCATCGGAGCTGTAAATGAAATAATTCAGTCCTTGTTCAATCATATACTCTATGCACTCAGTGGTCATGTTTGAGGCCATACACTGCTATTTCCAGGCGACTTACTGGCTGCTTTTCCTGGCGAGTGAGCGACGCCGTAACAGTTGATGGCTGAAGGCCACAAGAACCCCTTACCATGTGTAGGCACTACTTCTAGGTAAGTGACTAGCTGCCATTCACCACGAGTGAGCGACACCGTAACGATTGATGGCTGAAGGCCGCAAGAACCCTTAACCTTGTGAAGGCACTACTTCTAGGTAAGTTACTAGCTGCCATTCATCACGAGTAAGCGACACCATAACGATTGATGGCTGAAGGCCGCAAGAACCCTTAACCTTGTGTAGGCACTACTTCTAGGTAAGTGACTAGCTGCTACTCCTGGCGAGTTAGTGACGCCGTAACGATTGATGGCTGAAGGTCACTAGAACCCCGTACCTTGTGTAGGCACTCCTTCTTAGTAAGTGATTAGTTGCCATTCCTGACGAGTAAGCGACAATGGGTGAAGGTTCTTAAGCAAGAATCCCTTACCTTGTGTAGGAGCTGAACCTGTTGTCTGTCCTAGACCGCTACTTCCAGGTGAGTGACTAGCTGCCATGCCTGGCGAGTGAGCGACACCGTAACGATTGATGGGTGAGGGTCCGGGAACTGATGGTGACGCAGGCCAGTTCCGTTGGCCTGGGGACGGCATGGCCAGCCCCATGCTTGGATAAGGTGAGTTGGCATTCTCCGACAAACCTGTTGAATGCAGATAAATGATAGCATCACTTGAGTACGTTTGTGATACCTCGGACGAGGTCAAGTTGTTTAGGTTCAGTGTTAGGTGGCAGTTAAGGATGTTATTCACTCTCAGAGACTCAGTCAATCAATCAGTCGGTCGGTCAATCAGTCTGTGACTCAGTCAGTCAGTGACTCAGTCACTTAATAACTCAGCCAATTAGTCAGTGACTCAGTCAGCCAGCACGTTACTCACTTAGTGACTCAGTCAGTCAGTGACTCAGTCAGTTAATAACTCAGCCAATTGGGGAGTGACTCAGTCAGCAAGTTACTCGGGGAGTGACTCAGTCAGTTAACGATTCCGTCGGTCAGTAACTTAGTCAGTCAGCTTGATGATACAAGCATGGCATTTGGCACACAATCAGAGTACGTCATGAGAAAGACATCTGGCTATGGGCTCCGTGCGCCAACAAAAGAGGGCGCATTTTTACCTCTTTTGAGAGCTCCGTGGACAGGACACACAGCGTGTGCGTACTGTACTGTACTGGTTCGCGCGCAAAGTACGCACGACTTTCTGACTGTGCAAAATGTAAAGCAACCGCATCTTCGGGTGAGCGTCAGGCGTCATCGGCGCACGAATGCGTTTGAATTCAACTTGCCATGGTCCCCGCCCCCAATAACTTTGGATACATTTGAAATACGCAGTGGATGGATTAGGAACCAGTCTAGGTCTCCCCCAACCCTCCCTTTTCTGGCCGTTGATAGGGTACTTGTGTACGGAGCCCATAGGGCCTTCGCAGATTTATCCTTTGAATAAATACAGGTAGAATAATAAGCAATGGCAGCCATTTCAAAAAAAATTGAAAATTGCTTGCTATTCTACCTATATTTTTTCAATGGCAAATCCGCGATGGTGCTATAGCCAAATATCTTTCTTAAAGGGAATGTACATCATTGGCTTATACTTTAATTTTCAGAAATGAACTATTTGAGGGGTTAGTATAACAGATCAAATATTGTTACACTGACATGTTTGAAGTTTTGTGTTCAAAAATACTTTAAAAAACCAAGAGAAACAAAAATGTTCAAGTAGTCTGGTTCCCTGACTTTACTAAAGATGAAATGGATCAATTTACAGATGCCGGAAAATTGTAAGGTAATGGAATCAGTCTAACTGGCCTGCACCCGTTCAAGAACATGTAACCAATAGCAAACAAAATTTGGACTGAAAAAAATGGTAAATTTGGAGCAGTAGTTGAAAACAGTTAGGTTTTTCCAACGGTGGTCGGCCGACCACTGTTGGAAATTGATACAAAATACCACTTTTCTTGAAAAGGACTTCACACCAGGTGCCATAACTTTACAGGATGCTTTAGACTGTCATTTACCAACATCCTGTAAGGTATTTCGTAAAAAGTTGGTCATTTAATTTGTTGATGTTTGTAAATGTTGTATTTTCCCTTTAAGACATACTCTGACTGTGTGCCAAATGCCATGCTTGTATCATCAAAGGCACAATTCCCCCAAATATTTCCCCTTTCTGTCCCACTTAGTCAGTCGGTCAGTCAATCAATCAGTGATTCAGTCAGTCTGACGCTAGTTAACTGGCCCTTTAGGTGTCTCAGAAAAATCAAACTGACTTTGAGGGCTGATGAACGGTCCTGGAGCTGGGGAATGCATCTGGATGTTTGGGGATGGCGTCGGCACAAAGGATCCAGGCGATGGTACGTGGTGATGGACATTGCTCGGAGAGCCAACGGCAAGGGCTGTGGAGAAAACGAAAGGGGGGTTGGTAGTTATGAAGATTTATCATCCAGAATTATGAACTGCTCCAGAATGTTGTTCAAGAGTCGAGCTAAACCAAACGCATTACAAGCAACTCAGGTCGATCAAAATTAATTTGGATCACACAGGAAATTTTCCATTGACTGGGATTTGGAGTTATTTCGTAAAGACTACATTAGTTGATCCTTCGTGTGTATTTGCTCCTATCTGTTTCAAAAATTGAACTTAAATCAAATTGTAAATAAATAAATAACAAAATAAAAATTTGGGGGCTTATCATCCTTACTCGCAGCAGAAGCTGAATTGTGAAGGACGCGGCTACAACGTGGTCAAGCCGAAGGCATGTAAAGGTGCCCTAGGCAGCCACTATATGGCCCTTGATGTCTGACCACGGAGCACAGATGAAAAGAGTTGATTATTGCGAAGGGAAGAAAACCAGAGAACCCAGAGAAAAACCCTCGTGGCACAGGAGAGAATCAATGGACAACTCTACTGACATATGACCTGAGCTGGGAATCGAACCCGGGCCACAGCGGTGAGAGAGGAGCGCTTTACGCACTGCACCACCCATGCCACTCATTTATCTGAATAATTTGGCTCGACACAAAGCCAGAATGCCAGTTTGGAAAGGGAGCACGCTTTTCACCACTATAACAATGATCTGAGATCTCTATCAAGATTACTGTGATGCAGAAATTTAGCCCCAAGCTTTAGGGGTTTCCTACTAACCTGGAGACGCAGTATTGAGCATGGTTGATGATGGTGATGGGACGATGTTTGAGGGAATAGATGGAGGGGAGGCCAAGGGATATCCGCTAGCACCGGGCGACATGCTGTATTGCTGTAACATAAAAAAATCAACCAAACTTTATGACAAATCTTTATAATATGATGCTCTATGCCTTCAACACATCACACTGCTTTAACATTGTCGTTACACAAATTTAAAGGAAAAAGAAATATGTGAAATATTAAACTCTAAACCTGACATCGGACTCTTTTTCCAATAGGAAACCAGACTATGAGTATTAATAATAATAAAGAGCATTTATAATGCGCCAAATCCATCTTGATTAGATGCTCAAGGCGCAGAGAAAAAAACAAATGAACATGAACAGCAAAAACAGCAGGGAACAAAAGTACGCACAAATGAAAATACATGAATACGAAACAGTACACATGAGAGTGAAATCAAACTGGATGATTTATGAAATGCTGCTTGGAATAGGTGGGTCTTCAGAGCACATTTAAACTCATGGGAAGTAGCAATATCACGAATATTTTGAGGAAGTTTGTTCCATAACATAGGTCCAGCATGAGAAAATGAACGGTCCCCCCAAGATTTAATAGTTTTAGGCACAACAAGCAGGGACGAATTTGCAGACCTGAGGTACCTAGCAGGGTTGTAAGAAATGAGCAAATCAGAATTTGGACAAGTGGTCCGTGGACCACATGTGTCGCCTTTTTCTGCGGTTGATCCCTATATATATTGTGTTCTTAAAAAAAGTCAAATTGTGTGCATTTTGAAATGGCCTCATATGACCCCTAGATGACCTTTGACCTCCAATATTGGAAGATTTGTGATGAACCCCCACCCAAGGATCACACCATCCAAGTTACATTAAAATAGATATCAAATTATGTAGATAAAGAAACATTTGAAAAATATTTGAATGACCTCTAATGACCCTTACATGACCTCTGACCTAAGTAACCGATGAAGAATTGTGTCTTCCAACCCAAGGGTCACTGCATTCAAGTTTCATCAAAATCCATAAAAGCATACATTGTAGAAATTATAAATTTTTTCAAAACTTTAACATACAGGTCCACAGGTCTACAGTAATACAGAATTTAGGACTGGTTAGTGTCTCCAAGAACTTCGTTAAGACGACACAAAAAGTACAACTTAGACATTAGATGCTCATAAAATTTAAGAACCCAAAGCCACCTGATGTAGCCCCGCCCAGTCTAAATCATATTTGAGTATATTCTATATTTCACCGGTGACAGCATTATACATGTGAAGCGGGAGTGGCTGGATTACTGGTGCTGATTGCAGTGGGCGGGGTCACTGATTGACAAAGCAGCTAGATGTAGCCCCGCCCATTCTAAATCATATTTGAATGTATTCTAAGTTTCACCTGTGACAGCATAGATGTATGTGGCGAAGCGGGCGTGGCCGGATTACTGGTGCTGATTGCAGTGGGCGGGGTCATGGGATGGACAAAGCCACTGGACGTAGCCCCGCCCAGTCTCGCCATGGGGGAGGGCACCGAGTGATGCTGGGTCATCAGGAAGGAGTCACCGGTATCCATGCTGATTGGCGAGGGTGGGTTATCATCTTCATTGACGGAGCGCCGGCGCATGTTGGTCACCGACTCGTCGACAAACATCTCCAGAAAAGCCTGTGGAAAAATGGAAAGTAGAGCAATCGGTTAAGCCCCTCCCCAAAATGTATCAACCAATTACAAACACCTCCCACAAATGTGTTGTTACTCATTATGCAGAGTAGGCGGGGCTTATTCGGCAATTCCCAAACAGTCCATTACCAATAATCATATCAGGTACTTGTATAGCGCTTTTAACTAAGATCAAAGCACTTTACATTATTATTACCCCTGATCATTGTGCAATGAAACATTTTGAATACCATCTCAGCTCCCTGGGGAGTATACAGCTTGATGTTGCCATTTCGGCGCAAAGCAGCTTAAATCAACTACAATAACCATCTCTGCCCTCACAGGTACCCATTTACTCCTGGGTGGAGAGAAGCAATGAGTGACAAAGTGCCTTGCCCAAGGGCACACGCACCATAACCCCAGGCTGGATTCGAACCCACAACCTGCAGAATTACCCGCAGACCACGAATTCAATGCTCCAGACCACGAGGCCAGGGCACTACACAAAACATTGGAATTAAATGATGTCACATGCAAGTAATAGTGGGCAGACACAGTATTCAAGTACTATTGCATAAGTCATTCACTTTTTGTGAACAGCCATTCAATAATTTGTAGTAATATCCTCAGAAGCCAATAATTTTTTTTTTTGCTCTGGCAGATTCTCTGTTTTACTAAAATGACAGATGACTACAAATGTTTTTACCTTCAAGTTCCATGCAGGAATCAATCCTTCAACGCCTTTGCTGTCCTTAGATGGGAGGTAAACTCCATCTGAGGAGAATATTAACATCCAATAACACCTTAGTACATTGTATTACATTGTATTACATTGTATTTATTCCCTAAAGAATCCATTAACCCTATCCCCCTAGGCCCTTTTGGCTAGGAACCATCCTCAATCTTGCAAAATCCTCCATTTGCCACCATGCAAACATTGGATTCAGCCTCAACCCTCCAAAATCATCCGTTATATTTCTTGAATTATGGGCTCAATTATGCATAACTGAACATAAACAATGCAGGGTTCAGCCTTCGAACTCGACTCTATGCATCCTCCAAAATCAACTGACATGCCTCAAAAGTCACTTGCGATAAAAATTACATATGAGCTTAAAAAAAAAAAGGTTTTAAGAACGATAAAAAAAACGGTAATCAAGATAAACGAGAGTATTATGAACATATAAAGATGAGAAACAAAAACAAAAAAATAAGCCACAAATTGCATATTGATTGAAATAACCTGAAATATACATATCGTATAACTTTAAGCCACTTATGCAAACATACATTCTGTGCAAAGTAGTTCTTTCAATCAAAATCAATGAAGTTACTGTTTTCAACAGTTAAGAGCTCCCAGCCTACATAAAGCAGGATTGACTGGATGGGACTGCTTAAGTAACTTGATACAGCTATGCTTTGACTCCCGGTGAGTGATAAAACAGCTGTGACCACAAATTGCCTGCTTTGTCTGTTGACCCAGTTTGACTAGTCACAGTGCTTGCTTGACAAGCGATCTGACTGCTGGTGACTAGCCTGTGTTAAAAGTATAGCAGGGGAAGTGGAAGCGAGTTTTGACAGTTTGTGACTGTTTAAATAGCAGGAGGGTTAATGGTCACAAATTTTGATCATGGCAGAACCATTTTTTAAAGGACGCCAATGCTTCGAGATGGAAATGTCAGATTTTTAACTTACGATAAAATCTGAACATCTCACATCCATTTTTGTTTCTTTTGTCTTACCTCGAATGGTGACGGTGTTTTTGCCTTTGCACAGGATGTCCAGGCAGAAGTTCTTACGGAAGAAGACCCGTATGTGAATGCTGGACTGCGGGATGACCAGAAACGTGTGGGACGGGACCTGCGCCTATCAACATGCCAAAGATGAATTCTGGTTAGTGATTGGATGAAAACAAATCACATGATGCTCACACCGTGTCAAAGGTCAAACGTGTTGTTCACTCCTACTGATTACCCCAGAAATCTTTCTTTCCAGGCTTAAACAAGGATTTTCACACTACTTTTTAAACATTTTTCAACAAGATGTCTTCGTATCGATTTCTCAAACTTTAAAGGTAACATGGACCATTTGCATGTTATCCAAAAAGTAACCGATAAAGTCAATAGGTTACACCTGCAAGAAGCTAAAATCACAACTATTTTTTGCTTCTAAAGAAGTCCTTGCTAAGGATGAACTATCAGACAACTCTATTTCTTTATTGTTAAAAAGATTACTTGGATTAAAGATAGTATTGACACTAAACCCCCTGTGATATTATTCCTTCTGGCATGCTGAAAATAAAAGAAATAAAAGAAGGTTATTTCCAAAGATGTGTCATGTGACACATTTTTGGAAATTTCTGTTTGTAGTTTGTAATTGGACAAATCCGTGAATGGGTGCAAGCGTTGACACGACGCACAAGCGGTTGCTATTATTCGTCAGTTCAGTGTGTGACATCACGTAGCTACAATCGGCTGAACAAGAATCATGTCCCAAATGCAGATTTGGGGATTGTGTCACAAGAGGGCGCAATTCAAATTAGGACTCTGCAAATTTTGAATTGAAATCGAGATCCAGAATATCGTGTTTTCTCAAAATATACAGTATTCACAGAGCAAACATTTCATCAGGTTAGTTAATAAGCACCCATCTTTGCATTTTGAGCACTTTTGTGGCTTCCAACGAGAAAAATGCAAGAATGACAAATGGTCCATTCTACCTTTATAAGGCAAAAAAAAAAAATACTCGGTCTCTGGTCAGCGCCAAGTTGTTTTTAATCATGCGCGTCAACTTTTTTTTTTTTCAAATTAACACGGAAGCTACAACAGCGCCCTCTATTGCTGCGCCTCCTCAAATTTTTGTACCAAGGAGCACCAAGGAATGGGGAAATTGCACCAAGGCAAATGATAAAGGGCACCAAGGCAAATGATGGAGGACACCAATGTATAATGAGGACACAAAAAAGCAAAATAGTACCCACCTTGTCTGTACAATACAAGCCTGAAAAAAAAAAAAAACGTGTCGCCGCATCAATTCCATAACTTCGGTCTGACCAGAGACCGACTATTTTTTTTTGGCCTAACATTCACCATCAAAAGGGCTTTCATAGACCATATGTTTTTGTCTAGAGGAAAGGCCTGGCTACTTGACTACGGCTAGCAGTAATACACACGTGTATGGGAAACGGCTTTAGCCGCTACCATTGCTGCATGTGTTACTGAAAGTCGTAGCCATTATTAGGGCGCAGGCATTGGTTATCTGACTATGGCTAGCAGTAATACACATGTGTATGGGAAACGGCTTTAGCCACTACCATAGCTGCATGTGTTACTGAAAGCTGTAGCCATTATTAGGACGTGGGCATTGGTTATCTGACTACGGCTAGCAGTAATACACATGTGTATGGGAAACGGCTTTAGCGGCTACCATAGCCGCATGTGTTACTGAAAGCCGCAGCCATTATTAGGACGCGGGCATTGGTTTCTCGGCTATGTTTGATGCCTTACATGAGATGACAAGCCTCCGAGAGCCGGTGCCATGGGTAGCTTGCTGATGGCCTGTAACGGCTGCTGACTGTCGCACATATTCTGTCAAAAAATAATAATTTGCACAATTTTTTTAACCTAGCAATAACAAGAAAATGAAAATCTAGTAAAGCTAGTCCTAGAGTGCTCAAAATTCAGAACGGCTATTTACCGACCATCATTGGAAAAAAATTTTTTTTACTTTTTTTTTTCAAATACTGTCCCCAATTTACTAGTCTCATTTTATTTGCAATCAGTTTACACATCTGTGAACGGGTGCAAGCCAGCTAGTCTGGTGCCCTGACCTGACAATTCCCCAACGTCTACAAAGTGCTCCGTTTCGTGTAAAGTAGGGTCAGGGAACCAGACTACAAGAAAAAAGCTTTTTTTCTCAGTTTTTCCAGCATCTATGAAAACCAAACTTTAAACAGGTCGGTGTAACAATATTTGCTATAAAATACTCACCCCCCAAATCCATCCATTTCTGAAAATTACCGCAAAGGTAAATGTTGTATAATACTTTCAAGAACCTAACGTCAAGATGACTGGGAAGTAGCAAAAATGAGGGAATTCCAAGCTTTTTTTTCAAGACTTGCAGGAAATTTGCTGAGTAAGGTTTGCTCTCCATCTTTACAGGGAATGTACATCATTGGCTTTTGCTGTAATTTTCAGAAATGAACTATTTGAGGGGTTAGTATAATAGATCAAAAATTGTTACACTGACATGTTTGAAGTTTTGTGTTCGAAAATGCTGGAAAAACCAAGAAAAACAAAAATGTTCAAATAGTCTGGTTCCCTGACTCCACTAAAGATGAAATGGATCAATTTATAGATGCCGGAAAATAGTAAGGTAAGGAAACCAGTCTAGCTGGCCTGCCTGCACCCGTTCATGAACATGTAACCAATAGCAAACAAAATTTGGACTGAAAAAAAGGTACATTTGGAGCAGTAGTTGAAAAATAGTTAGGTTTTTCCAGCGCTGGTCGGCCGACCACCGCTGGAAATTTATACAAAAATACTATTTTCTTGAGAATGACTTCACACCAGGTGCCATAATTTTACAGGATGCTTTAGACTGTCACTTACCAACATCCTAGTAAGGTATTTCTTACAAACTTGGTAGTTTTGTTTTTTAATGTTTGCAAATGTTGTATATTCCCTTTAAGATTGCAGATTTCTTACCTGCATGAGTCTTGTGAGATTGCAGTGAGTGTTGAACTCATGTTCCAGCTGATGGTGGACCAGCAAGTGACTGTTTGAGGAGCATGCCGTCCCCACCACAGCCAGCCTCAGATGGAATCTGGACTCCCGGGAATCCCAGAAAATAGTCACCTGTCGTCAGAAAAACAATATTTTCAAATTAAGCCACAACGGGAAACTGACAAGGGTTGTTAATATAATTTTCAAAGTTGAACAAAGAAATTGATTTACGCGGGGTTTGAACCGCGGGGTAACGAGTTGAGTGTACTGCCGTGTGGTAGCTTTTCATTCAAATCACTCATGTACTTTTCAAGTTACGGAGTTTTAAACACAACCGCCGTTTTAAGGTTCTGTCCACGGATCACAAAAAGTTCAGTGTTCTTTCAGCAAAACGACAACAAATCACATAAGGATGTGTGTGAATTGTTTTCCTTTTGCTGAAAGAACGCACACCTTTTTTGTGATCCGTGGACAGAGCTTTAAAACGGTGGCTGTGTTTAAAACTCCGACCTCGCATCAATCAACCACATCGGCATTGCCACGTTTTCAATATGCAACCACCTTTTTTGCACGGATTGAGTACCAACTTCTCAAAATGTCCTCTGTCGGCTGAAACCTGTCAGACTTTGGACTCCCTAAACCTTCTTCGTCAGCCATGCCAGTCAAGGGCGCTAGTCAGAAGCCATGAACTCGTAAATGCCAAGTAGCCAGGGATCATACCCCAAGTCACGATGTTAGCAACATCAACAACTCTGCAAACCTGGGTTTATGGCTTCTGATTAGGCCACAAAAAAAAGTCTCCGGTTTCTGGTATGCGCGTGCGTCGCCGTAGCCATGCGCGTCGGCAAAATGAAAAAGTTTTTTTTTCAATGAAAGATGATGTCTCAAAACCGCCAAACTCACTGGTTTGACTGGAATCCTGCTGCTGCACAATTTTAACATGTTTTTAGATTGGGTTATGGTCGAGAATAAGCTTTATGTGGCCTCTCTGGACTCCCATATATTTGCACTAAGTTTAGTCGGGCACCATTTACAGTCATCAGCCGACATTTGAAGCAAAAAAATCAGGTAAAAAAAAGCTGCGTCGCCGCACCACTTTTTGGGCAAGCTCCATACCAGAAACCGGAGACTTTTTTTTTTTGGCCTTAGGGCCTCTTGAACAAAGATGCTGGAATCTGATATAGCAGCGGGTACCGCAACCAAACCAAGTATGAACCAAATTCTTGTGAGTAGGTGAGGGGGAACCTATGCACGGAGCCCATGCACAAGACTGAACTACTCACAGTGCTTGTCTTGTCCCTGCCATACGTCAGGACCAGCTTCTGAAAGGTGAAACTACGGACTTCTACAAACGCGCTGAGGGGCAGGTCTGGATCTAAACATAAAATTAATGAAAAAAAAACAGGAAAATGACATTAGGGTTGGCAAAATGTACCAAAGGCAGACTGACCTTTGTTTTTTTCCCCTAACCTACTGAATCCAAGAAAAATCCAACTGATTGCACTTGTTTTCAAATGGATCTTGTCAATTTGAACCGAACATATTTTCGCCAAATAACCCCACAGAAACTCATTATGTATCATAATTATAAGATGAAACAATTATGAGATGAAATGACTGGGAGTATTTCTATTCCCCCTGGATGGGATGCCAGTCCATCGCAGGTTACTCCCAAGCTAATGCTGGTAACCATTTAAACCCCAGGGTGGAGAGAGGCAAGTGGGGTGAAGTGGCTTGCCCAAGGACACAACATGTTGCCAGCGGCAGGATTCAAACCCCTGAACCTCTGATCGTGAGTCACGAACCCTAACCACTAGGCCACACCCCCCTCCCAAAACATCAAGGGGTGGGGCTTAACAGATCGGTCTTTTATTTGGTTAGGCTTGGCACTCTTACCGTTAACCACGGATGCTAGATCTTGGACAGGTCCATACAGCATGCCAATGGCCTTCCAGTCCTGAAGTAGGTGGTTGATGACAGGGCTGGTCGAGCTGTACGTGAGGTACAAACATCTCGTCGAACCTGCGGAAGAAAAATGTTCATATTTCATAATTTATTCAATTACTTGAGACCAGTATTACAGTTGAGGTATGTGTGATGGATCACAAGTCCATCAAAAGTTAACCACAAGTCAAAAAGGTCAATCTTACATACACAGTACCAATATAATGGGTTTTTGCATTCTTGTTTTTGTACAACTTCATACCTTGCTCTAATGTTGTGCAAACCAAACCCGAAACCAAAACCGACCCGACCCGAAAACAAAACTGACTGCGGGTCGGGTCGGGTCGGGTCAGTTTTTCCATCATTTCAGTCGGGTCGGGTTGTTTTTGATTTTGAGTTTGTGATTTTACGTCGGGTCGGGTCAATTAAGCCAGCTTGGTTCGTTTTCGGGTTGGTTCGGGTCGGTTTTCTTGAATTATTGTCATGTCGGGTCGGGTCGGTTTTTCCATCATTTCAGTCGGGTCGATTCGGGTTGGTTTCAGTTTTGAGTTTGCGATTTTATGTCGGGTCGGGTCGATTAAGCCAGCTTGGTTTGTTTTCAAGTCGGTTCGGGTCGGTTTTCTTGAATTTTTGTCAGGTCGGGTCAGGTCGGGTCGGTTTTAGGAAGTTAAGATCAGTTTCGGTTCGGATTCGGTTTATATCTTTAACGTTTTGGGTTGGATTGGCCTGGTTAACCCGACCCGATGCACAACATTACCTTGCTCCCTTGGTGACGTGCTCCTCACCGGACAATTGCCAAAGGTTAGCTGTGAAAAAAAAAACAACAAGTCAGGTGTGTTTACAAACACAAATGCCCCGCAACCGTGACTGTTTCCATGACATAACACCACTCTAACATCAACTTACATGTACCTTGGTCAAATGGAACGTTCATTGACAGCATTAGTGTCTTCTGTAGGTTTTATATGAATTTTCCCTAATCCCTACGATCTCAGAATAAATACAAGATTTCTATTGTTTTAGCCACTGTGACCTTGACCCTTGACCTTTCGACCCCCAATGCGATAGGCTTCTTAGGGTTGCCAAGGACAATCCACAAACCAAATTTGAAGTTCATATGTAAAGTATTTCTCAAGTTATCGCGCTGACAAAATTTCTATTGTTTCAGCCACTGTGACCTTGACCCTTGACCTTTCGGCCCCAAATGCAATAGGCTTCTTAGGATTACCAAGAACAATATACATACCAAATTTGAAGTTCATATGTAAAGTATTACTTGAAAAGTACATAAGTGATTTGAATGATTCTTGTACTAAAAGAAAGCTTATGAATTGGGCTTTCATATCCTAGATTTTGAAAGTGCTACGTGCAGAACTCCACTAAAACAATGGTCCCGACATTTGGGTTTCATTTTTTTTACTCACCCTGTATTTCTTCACTCGACCACACAATGCTATCACTTTGTAACTCTCATTGTTTGTCATTCTTCATGGATAAAACAAACAAAAAAATTCCCCGGACATTTTACCTGAACTTGCCAGGCTAATAAATTGCCCCTTAGTTGCAACCTGAAGGAACATTCAAGGAGGGCGTTGGCCAGCGACATGTTGGTCTCCTCTGAGATGCCCTCGATAGCTGGCAAGCTGTAACACAAACAGAATGGACCAACATTTATTGACATCATTATTTTTTTCAAGCACAGCAGATGATAAGGTATTTTCCACTGAAATTCCTGTGCAAGCTCTTCTAGGAATCATCACACTGGCTATATGACTTACACCTGCTGGGCCCAATTTCATAGAGCTGCTTAAGCAGAAAATTTGCTTAAGCAGAAAATTTGCTTAAGCACGAAAAAACATTGCTTAGTAAAATTAGGTTACCGGCCAAAACTCCATGTGATGTACATTGCTTGTGACTGGTATTTAGCTGTTGTTTACTTAGCATAACAATCGCATGGAGTTTTGGCCGGTAACCTGATTTTAAAGCAAGATGTTTTTGTGCTTAAGCAAATTTTGTGCAAAATATGGACATCAGAATCACTGCTCAAAATATGAATGCCAATTTTAGATACTTAAGGATTACAACAATTTTTCAGCAGGGTTGGGGAGTTGACCTGAATTTGACGCGGGGGGGGGGGGGTCCTTTTTCTCCCATTGTTTTGTTTTTTAACTAGTATTTGATGAATTCAATTTTGATCATCAAATATACAATAATGATGTCTGAGGGATTGAATAATGTGCCTATTGCTGGGCACTAGCTGCTGGATGAAATTGACTTTTAATGTTTATGTTTATTTTCAGCTAATTGTTACGTTCAACTTTGAACGCTATTTAAGGCCATTTTCATGCTCTCCAATTTTAAAATAAAATTTGTTTCATACTGTGCAATGCGAATATACATACATATACTTAGAATGAGATTTTATCAATTTTAATGTTCAAATCGTGTTTTATTGTAGTATTACTCCTACTGGGACCCATGGAAGATCAGTTCTGATAAAAGGACTGAATGGCCACCCAGTATAAAGAAGAAATAAATAAATAAATAAATGAATTCGTGCAAGGATATGGAAAGGGGAGGATTGGACGGCAGCATAAATTCAAAAAGAAATTTGTTGCTTCTCTGGTTAAATTATTTTGTAAAAATTACCTTGGGGGGGGGGGGGAGGCCCTATCCCCCCTCCCGCTCCCCCATCTGCAAGTGTTAATAAATCAAACTAGATATTTGTTTACCTGCATAACTTGACCACCATTCCGATGCCTTCCGCTTCTACTTGGATACCCTGGAATGGAATACCCTGCTCCATAAGCTGACGAAATAAAATTCACGAAAGCTGAGGTTAAGTTAAATATTCAATATTGGGTTTTGTCCTTAAAGGGAAAATACAACATTTGCAAACATCAAAAAATAAAACTACCAAATCATTTTGAAATACCTTGCTGGACTGTTAGTGAATGACAGTGTGAAGCATCCTGTAAAATCATGGCACCTGGTATACTGTCATTTTCAAGAAAAGTGGTATTTTTGTATCAATTTCCAACGCTGGTCAGCCGACCAGCGTTGGAAAAAACTGGCTTTTTTTCAAATACTGGCCCCAATTGACCATCGAACTTGTTTGCAATCGATTACACACCTATGAACGGGTACAAGCCAGCTAGACTGGTTCCCTGACCTTACAATTCCCCAATGTATGTAAACTGCTCTGTTTCTTCTTATATGGAGTCAGGGAGCCAGACTACAGGAAAATGATTGTTTTTCTTGGTTTTTATAGCATTTTCGAACCCAAAACCTCAAAAAAGTCAGTGTAACTATATTTGCTATATATTTCCAACCCCCCAATTCCATCCATTTCTGAAAATTACAGCAAAAGCAAATGATGAATATTCCCTTTAAATATTCAATTTTGGGTTTTGTCCTTTACCAACTTATTTTTAAAAACATCAAAATATTTTTAGAAACACTGTAAACCCAGTGTTGTCCGAGGGTTTGCACCTAAAAAAAATCACAAGCTAACTCAGGTTGGACTTGAACCCACGACCTCCTGCTTACTAGTGCAGACGTATTACCACTCGACCACCGAGCTTGCAGGATCAGCTGGCTGGTTCGAATCTGATATAGCAACGAGTGGCGCACCCAAACATTTATATACATTTCTGATATCATTAACAAGCATTAACATATCTCACTGTTTAATTGAAATGAAATGATTTTCCTGGCTTTGCCAGGGGGCGTAGGAACGCTGGATTGACCCACCCACCTCCTCACACAGTGAGATGAAAGGTATCCTCCGGTCGCACAGTGCAATGATGTGCACCAACTCCCTCTGGAAGTACTCGCAGTGAGTGCCCAGGCGTTGCTTCTTGAAACTGGTCAGGGATGTTCCCAGCTGTTGCGAGGACAAAAATGGAAGTTGTTAACGAACCAACAACTTTTGTGTTTTAAGAGCCAACAACAATTCTATTCAATTGATTCAGGCTGGCTACTTACTGGAAGACTTTTAATGCATCTGTGTACACAATGAGCTAGAATTAGCGCATTCATTGGTGTGTTGAGGTAATCCTATACAACAGCACTGCCCGGTTCACAAGTAACGGTGAGTTAGTGAGTCAGTCAGTCAGTCAGTGATGTAAAAATGAGGTCTATAGTCTGACCATCTCCGAAAACAGCAACAAAGACCTGTTTTAAAAAGAATTGTTAAACTGGGTCTTCCAAACAAGTAGCCTACTCAGACGTACCTTGCGTTTTTTGTTTCGGTTCGACTCCTCAGCTGCAAAATTAAAGAAGGTTTTTAAACATTCGTTAACATTCATGCATTCATGTTGACAATTGATACACTGTTGGCTCAGTACAAGGTCTTGTTTGACTTTGGGGTTCAACCTCCAATTAAACGGTTTTACAAGGTTTATGATGTTTCACAGGATACCTTGGGGTTCAACCTCGAGTTAAACAGGTGGTATGTTGAGGTTTACCTTGAGGTATACAAGGTTTAATGAGGTTTCACAGGATACCTTGTGGTTCAACCTCAAGTTAAATAGGCAGTAATTTGAGGTTTTCTTTGAGGTTTTTTTTAAGTTTTATGAGGTTTAGCGGGGTACCTCAGGGTTCAACCTTGAGTTAAACAGGCAGTAATTTGAGGTTTACCTGGAGGTTTTACGATGTTTATTGAGATTTTACGGAGTACCTCTGGGTTCAACTTCAAGTTGAACAGGTTCAACCTCGAGTTCAACAGGAAATAAACTGAGGTTGAAATTTATGTTTTACGATGTTTTATGAGGTTTTACCAGGTACTTCAGGGTTCAACCTCACGTTTCAACAGGCAGTAACTTGAGGTATACCTTGAGGTTTTAAAACATTTTACGGGGTACCTCAAGGTTCAGCCTCAAGTTTCCACTTGTTCAATTTTGCATTCTTTCCTAATGACTGCCACAAAGTGCAGTTAACACCATAAACTTTGATTTTTTTCAGTGATTAGCCTAAACCCCCAATAATTTATTGATCGGTCTGGTCACCAACCTTCCTCCAGTGTGTCGGGGTAATGGCTGCAGCTCTTTGAATCCAGAGGGACCAGACTAAGCGGCGCAAGGAAAGGTTCTCCGGAGTCCCAGTCTGACTGAGAGGGCGCCGGCACGCCCTCCCCGGCTGACTGATCGAAGAACGCGGCCTGCCGGGTGTGGAACAGGTAATAGCTGGTCTGGAGATTAGTCTGGTTCTTGATGCTGTTGAACTCTACCACCTAGAAATGAGGGGTAAAAAAAATAGAACAGGGTAAGCCCGGACTAGGGCCTTAAGTGCTCAAGACGATGCAAAAAAAGATCAGGCCAACTTAACTCACTCTTTAGCCAGCAAATTTCACCAAAACTGTCATTCAGCAAAGAAAACGTCCTCAGTATTTCACCAACCCAGTTTGAAGACTCAATTCAATTTTTAAAGGAGACTTTTCTTCAATATTTGGCAGTGGCTTGCACAAGAGAGTGAAGTCAGGTGATTTCAAAATATGGCTAAAGACTAGACTTCTACATGTCCATCCATGGTCCAACCGTTTGTAGATGTCGAGTGTTTGTCGTTGTTTGTTTGTTGATCTAGCGATTCGCGAGCACCATGGGTTTCCCTGATGTGCGGTCACCTGACCGGTCCTATTTGATAGAGGGCGCTATCGTGCAAGCTGCAGCTAGCTGGGCTGGCCGCACGAGACTTACCACGTAGTAGTTCTTGTGCTTGACTAGATGTACGTAGAGTCTGTTCTGCGACAGCTTAGCCAGCGGGTGCTCGGCCGATATGGCCACTAGAGGGAGCTTGTCGGTACATTTGCAGGGGAGTTGTTGAATAGACTGTTTACAGTGGTGCATGCTCAACATGTAGCTGTAGTAAGATAAAAACAAACATTTCAATAAAATTGCAGAGTTTCGGGTCTTTGTAACTGGTGGTCCTTGTTGCCAACAAACTTAAAAAGTGTGCTTGGTTATTACTAGTTTACGTCGGATGACGTGTATACACGCAAAGGTTTTGCGGTATTCGGAAAGGATGACGGATAAACAGGCAACGAGCAAGGCCGGAAATATCAGTCTGCGGCCAGCTCACAGCGAGCAAGGCTGGAAATATCAGGGTGTGCTATCTGCAGATAACAGCCTGAACCCATCTGGCATCGAGGTTCATGAAAAACAATCCCGCACCTGGGTCCGTTCAAGTCAAAATAATCCTGGCGCTGGTTAAAGCTGGTTAAAATCGACTCCAATTTTTTTTTTCCGACTGAAATTTCTTTTTGCAAAATAATTTCACAGGGTTTTCGGTATGAGCCATATCTTCAATTTGAGCGAGGTTTATTCTCATGAAATCGGTCGGTCCGTTTCCAGGTAACTACTACTATTCCTACATACCATCAACCCTCCTGCTATTTAAGCAGTCACAGACAGTCAAACTTCACTTCCACTTCCCCCGCTATACTTTTAACAAAGGCTAGTCACCAGGAGTCAGATCATAATGTCAAGCAAGCACTGTGACTAGTCAAACTAGGTCAACAGACAAAGCAGGCAAGTTGTGGTCACAGCTGTTTTGTAACTCTCCCGGATTCAAAGCTTAGCTGTATCAAGTTACTTAAGCAGTCCCAGCCAGTCAATCCTGCTTTATGTGGGCCGGGAACTCTTTAGGGTTGAAAACAGTCACTTGATTGATTTTGACTGAAAGGACTACTTGGCGCAGAATGTATGTTTGCAATGGCGGGTTAACTAGAAATATCTGAAGTAATGAAAATTCAAAGATGACAAACCACAATGAATATTCAGCAGCATTTTCGTGCTAAACACGATATACTCATGATCTTGATAACGTGGACGTGCAAATCTTCTCACCTTAGTTTGGTGATGTACTGGTACAGCTTGATGAGTTCACAGTTCAAACAATGTTCCATCTCCTCCAATAACGTTGCGTCTGCAACGGATGTGGATAAAGTAAAAGTTACATCAAATCGATCAAGAGTCAAAACGGCCCATCAGGATGGCTTTATCTACCATTTCCTTGGCATGAAACAACTGATAATATTTCCATTCCCCCCGATGGGATGCTAGTCCATCGCAGGTTACTCCCCAGCTAATGCCGGTACCCATTTATACTCCTGGGTGGAGAGGGGCAAGTGGGGGTGAAGATTCTGTCATATTTTGTCAATGAATTTCCTAGTGACACGTTAATTTCTTGTGACCTACCAGCTTTGCAATATAAACAAAACAAAAACAAAACAAAAGGTCTGCGTATGGACGAAAATAGTGCCAAAATGCTTATTGACGTAACAATCGAGGGTAATTATGTCAACTTACAAGCATGTGCAATGTAAAGCCACAGTCTCGCATTCATGGTTTGGAGCTACGGAACTCCATGGTTTGAAATTTGTGATAAACTGCGGGAGTACCATTTTCATCCTCAGTACATCTGTGGTTATCCCTCATCTTCCTTGGGTATTCGTGGAGGGGCTACGGAAGTTTTAAACTGTTCACAACTTCCGTGGTGAAACCTCATGAAAATCAATCCGTGGTGCAACCGCAGAACATCCGTAGGACAACTATACTGATTCATAGTATTATTCGTGGCTATTCCTACATATTCTTGGAGATTCATAGCTCATTCGTGGTAGAAATCTCAAAAAATTCGCTATGAATGTCCTATGGATATGCCCAGATGTGGTAGGGTTCTGCTAAGGTTGTACTACGAATATCCACGCTTTATTCGTAGGAGAACCTTGGCCATCCGTGGCCCAATCGCAGACATCCAGGGGCGTTAATGTCATTATTTATAGTAATACCGTCAATATTTTTCAGCAATCCGTCCATATTCTTGGCAAACTGTTGTGTATTCGCAGTGAAACCTTAAGACAGTCATGGCTATCCATCCTGAAATCGTAGCGCATTCTTAGAAAATCAATTTCTCCACAAACCTCCACAGTTCATCGCGATCGATTGATTCTTGGTAAACCGTGGATATTCATAGCTCCAAACTGTAAATGTGTGACTGACTGGGGCTTTAGGTTGATAGGAACCGGTCACCATGTAAGTATGCCAAAACGATTATTGGCTTGACAATCGGGGGTGTCAACTTACTGGCATGTGCAATGCAAGGATGATAGGAAGCGGTCACCATTTGAGTTTGCCAAACGATTATTGGCGTGACAATCGGGGGTAATAATGTCAACTTACCGGCATGTGCAATGTAAGGCTGATAGGCACCGGTCTGCATATCGACTGATATCGTCAGGTATTCAGACTGACTGCACGGCTCTACGATGGGAACACAGAGCAGGGGCGGGGTGCCCTCAATGCGTGCTGAAGAAAAAAGAGACAACGCAATTCCATGACATTAGGAAAACTTGCAGTCTTAAAAGGCAAATATGTGACCTGTTCTGTCAAAATCAGACTTTTCTGGGCAAAAGGTCAAAAATGAGATTTTTGCATATTGTTAAAACATGTCCTTTTTCTTTTTAATAGGTGGTTTAGTTTTTGAAATCGGTCATTCCTGGGCAGAGTTATGCTATTTTGAAGTTCATTGTGTCGAAAAGTAGAAAACGGAGAAAATGGCCTCGAACGTCACAAAACAGTAATTTCTTTTACTGTTATACCTTAAAAAATCATCAAAAATACTATATTTAGAGTTCAAATTAGGGTTTCAAACTTTAATAGTATATTTAGATATGTTCAGGATTACAAATATGCAAAAATTTGAAAATCGAAATAAATCACTCCCTCAGCGTTTTTTGGCCCTATCTTAATTTCAACCTCTGCCCAGAAGCGTCTGCTTTTGACAGATTAGGTCACATATGATCATTTACATTTGATGTAATTTCATGAAATGGTATGATTTAAGGGCTAATAATCTATAGCAGACATCGTTCCACTGAGCTGTTCAATGTTTTCAAAGAGTGTCCGTTGATGCTAGAAAAACATGCCAATTGCTGTTCTATTTCAACCATCAAAGCGCAGTTAGCTGGATCTGTCGTGCATAGAACCCATAGGTCACAGGGAGTGCTTGAGTGCAGGCTCTGTCATGGGAAAGTAATAAATACATTGAGTTTCAAGAAAATAAGTCTGGAAGCTAGACGAGCCAATGGGAGACTTTTGAGACGTTGGTGGCAGCAGACACACCGGTCCCTTTTTCACTGTTTGCGTCATATTGAGCATGCACGCTTCAGCTTAAACACGACGTAAACAATTAAAAAGGACTGGTGTGTTTGCTGCCACCAACGTCTCAAAAGTCTCCCATTAAAAAAAATTCCCATAATTCCACACCTGCCTATAACGTATGTAATTCGCTCTTTTCACACTTCCGCCATGGGCATGCAGAGTTTCGATCTGGCAACTTTGCACAATAAATATAGCCGGTTCAGTGATTCCCGTGTCAGGGTTCAGATCACTGAACCGGCTATTTTATTGTGTAAAGTTGCCAGATCGAGGGTCTGCATGCCCAATGGCGGAGCGTGAAAAGAGCAAATCCCCAAAACTTACTTTTTGTGTTGGTTAGCTCTTTCTCCAAGATTGTCTGAAGCTCCTGCGAATAGAAAAAATGAATAATACTTTTTGTGACCGCTTTTAAGGTACAACTTACTTTTGCTTGGGATCACAGTTGATTAAAAACATGGGCATGTCAGAATCACTTGGCTGCAACTTGCTATTACAGATAGATCGATCCAATAAGCCACGCCCACATGGGGGCAACATCATGTGCCTATCCAATGGCACACAGCATTTATCTAGACACGCGCATCATACATGCATGTATGCATGTTGGATCTTTGTCACAACGCTCATTGGTCAAAACATCTTGGGCCAGGGCGCGTAATTTTTTTTCCTAGGAGGGTTAGGGGCAATGTCATGAATAATTCAGTTTTTCCTTTGAATCATTGCAAGACTTAGGTTCTCATTCTATTTTCCCCTTAATTTAAAATTATCTCAGTGATAAATTTGGAGAAGAAAAATAGCTGATGGAAATGAGCAGCGACGACGTGGATTCGAACCAGGGATCTTTGTATCCATAGCTCATCTCGCTATCCACTAGGCTACTATGTGGTAGCTCGACGACAACCGTTCTTTAAAATGCTTTAATGTATTGTAACTAGTTGAGTAACTAACAACAATGCTGTTGATGTCATTGTCCGTTCTCATGGATAAACATGAATTATTCATGACATTGCCCCTAACCCTCCTAGGAATAAAAATTACGCGGCCAGGGCCTAAATTCCATTTAAACAGAACCTGTTGGCATTTAGCCAACAAAAAAATCTTACTTGAAGCTTGACCTTTGACCTCATGATGATAGTCTCCACCAGCAGCCGCTCAATCGACAGCCTGTCGCACTGCAAATGAAGCATAAAAATCATTTAAGAGACCGGAAAATTTAAAGCTTACTTGGAATATATTTATATTTTTGTCAGATTAGAAGTAATCAGGTAATATCCAAGCCATGGATTTCAACACAAATTGCAAATTCCAAAAATGTGTGTTTCAGTTATACTAGGAGGAAGAATTCCTAACATGGAATATATCTTGCACCCCTATCAATTAAAATCAAGTTTCCCTCATCACACCTACCCGAATGGCCCTGTTGACCTCGTTGGCATCTTCCACTGACAGTGGGGGGTTGTGGTTAATCTGGAGGGGCTTGGCTGTGTCATTGGTATCAATGCCGATTGATAAGCTGTACTCTTCTGGTTTGTCCACATTGAAAGTCTGTGACCTGCAGGATTTACATTCAAAGAGATTTTGACTTATACTGTGACCGAACATGCGATGGACACATGACAGACGTGATGGACATGTGATCTTGTGATGAACTTTTGATGGACTTGTGATGGACTTGTGATGGATTTGTGATTGATTTGTGATGGACTTGTGATGGACATGTGATGGACATGTGATGGACATGAGATGGACATGTGATGGACATGGGATGGACATGAGATGGACATGCGATGGCCATGTGATGGATATGAGATGGCCATGTGATGGATATGAGATGGCCATGTGATGGATATGAGATGGCCATGTAATGGCCATGTGATGGACATGAGATGGCCATGTGATGGACATGTGATGGCCATGTAATGGCCATGTGATGGCCATATGATGGCCATATGATGGCCTTGCGATGGCCATGTGATGGACATGTGATGGACATGCATGTGATGGACTTGTGATGGACTCGACTTCAACACTGCTATGTGCACCCAGTCTTCAGCCCCTGTGCTTCTTAACATTTTCTTGAGAAAGTTTAATTCTCTCAAAGCTCTGATACGACACATTTCTTTATCATTTTTCCTTCTTTTTTCTTTTTAAAGTTCCTTCAGGCTTGCGCACCAGAGACATTTTCAGATATCATGATTTTGTAGTACTTACCTCCAGTAAGCCAGCGTCAGACACTGGCCGGCCATGTATTTCTCTATCATCACATGTTCACCCCATCTCTCTCGGATGAGTCGTTGTGCCTGAAAAAAAAAAAAAAAATAGCAAACACTTATTTCTAAATATGTGCGGATGAGGTAACTTTCCTAAAAACATGTAGGAAGTTGAGAGGAGATTTTCATTAAAAAAAAGTCTTCCAATCTTTGTTGTTTTCGTCTCTGGCCGTGGGAGATTTCAGAAAGTCCCAGTTGGAGAGTTAGGGGCTCCGTGCGCAAACAAAAGAGGGCGCCCTTTTACCTAGCAACGATGTCCCATGGGCGGGACACATACCTTTCGCTGGTTGACGCGCGCGCACCTTTCCTTGTGTGTGACGCACGTACACCAGGGGATTTGTACTAGGTACACGCAGTGGCCGCGCTCCGCAGCAAAATATCGCAGTCGGGCAAGATGGCGTCAATCAGTCACCCCCAACTGTACTCTCTTTGCCGGTGAGGGGGTACTTGTGAACAGAGTGGATACTGGCTGCACGCACTGGTTTTTGCGCAACTTTGCTTTATTCGTGTGAGCGTCAGGCATCATTGCCAATGCGATAGAGTAGTCTCACCCAACTCTCCCTGTTGTAACCATTGAGGGGGTACTTGTAACCATTGAGGGGGTACTTGTCCACGGAGTCCATACCAGCTCTCCATACTCGGGGCACATAGTCACTTTCCAGTAAAACTCACCTGGGAATGAAGTACCTCCAACTGCAGAGACTGACAAAAGCTGTCTGTGGTAGGTGTTAAGGAAACCACACTTGGATTTAAGTTATTCAAGATTCTAAAATGGCTTAAGCCCGTTCTAGACGCCGAGCTACTGCCGTGCCGAACTCAATTAATTTGACCTTTTGAATTCAGCACGGGGATAGCACGGCGTTTAGAACCATTTGGCCAGGCAAATTGAGTTCGGCATGGCACCATCCTTTAGGACGACAGGGCTGCCACACTATCGTCATTCCAAATGGCAGTGGCACGGCACTGTTCTAAACCCTGTGCCGATCTCATTCAATTCGAAATTGGAGCAAACACTTTAAGACTGCGCATGCTAACAATACCCTCTCTCGCGTCCATATCACAGGGAGTGAAATTGATGAAAGTTTGTTGAACTGCTTGAACAGCTTTAACCTGGCCCATTACTCCAGATGCATAAAGGTTCGACTTTTATGTACGGCGTTTAGAGCAACTGCAGTGCTGTAGACGAGCTATTGCTGCACTTATTTCAATTAAGTCGGCGCGAAAGTAGCACAGCGTCCAGGACCTAAATAGAGCGTGCAAGTTGACCTCAAGAAACTGCGAGATCTTACAAGAATACAGCACATCCGAGGAACCATGTATAGGATCTACAATGTATGTGAGGCCCTATTCTTTTGCATTTATTTTATGTCCTGACTGGGCCCATCCAATCAAGGGCAATAAATGGGTACTTCGAAAGAAAAGAAAGCATTGAAATTTACAACATATTGAAAACATATCTTTGGATCCAGAACTGTGCAGAGCATTATCCTATTGAAAATGAGAGGCAAACCTCACATTCTTGTGCAAAAAAATATGATCTGAGCCAAAGGATACGTAAGCAGCTGTACATATCTTGCAGCATGTTCTCATCGCCGAACAGTCGGGACTGGAGCAGCTGGTGAATGTAGTTGATCTGTGGACGGATGAAAGGTCAGATGAATAAACTATGGAATTCAGATTGACAATTACAATCACTGTAAGGGGCCGTTCACAATTATCAACATTTTCACAAGTGTACAAAGAGTACACTTTTTCAAGACTCCCCCCTCCCCCCTAAAAGTGTACGAAAAAAATGTCGATTTTTTTTCACACAAGTCTATATATAGACACTTGCATGTGATTTAAAGGGTTTTTGTAACTTTTGTAGATCAAGTTTTTGGCCATGACATGTGACACCGGCCGTTAAAAACACGCAGTGGATACGGACTATACATGTACATGTACATACAGTACATTTTCATGTACGTGTGTAGGACAATGCCGCGCATGCTGTACACAATACGTTCATGGGATGCAATGCGGGGCCTGGCGCGGGGCGCGACCGGCTCGGCAAGTGCTCGATCGGCATCGGTTGTGGCTGTCAGCTGTGGCGACGGGTGAGAAAACAGATCGACATTTAAAAAAAAAAAAAGGCGTTAGGCGGGCATTAACGGGCGAGAAAACATATCGCCATTAAAAAAAAAAAAAAAAAGCGTACGGCGGCCATTAACCCCCTCCCCCCAGCGTACGGTTTGTACGCTCGTGAAAATGTTGATAATTGTGAACGGCCCCTAATTAAAGTTTGCATCATTTTGGCTTAAACTGCCACATTTCAAGATGAAATTTAAAAAAGCTACTTTGAACAGTGGTCAAACCCAAATACCATATATGGAAAATGGAAAAACGTGGACAATAATAATCCGTTTGACTCCCCCACCCTGAAAGGAAAGCTCCCTACTCTTTTAATTCATCTAAAGCCAATATTTGAAATTCTCCCTGTTGTAAAATGGAAAGTCCTGAAGAGGTTGCTGATTTGGAAATACTTTCTGTCACGGTAAAAGTTTTTCAATTTTACAGCCAGTTTAATGGTGTCAAAATATAAAAGGAGAAAAAAAAAATTTGCAATTCCTAAGTTTCACTTACTTGCATGGGATGCACCAAGGCCTTGCCATCTGAAACACACGGGCAAAATAAAATCAAAAAATTATGACAGTGTTGTTTTCTTTAAATAAAACAAGTAGTAAACAACAACAAGAACTGAGATAAACAAAATGATAACTAAGGACCCTCAAGAACTGATTATAAGCTGACAACGGAATATTGTGAAATGACAGACAAACTTAAATTGGTAAAAAGTGGGTGGTTTTAACCTAAAATATTCAATGATCATCAACATTTCTATACAATTTTCTATAAAAACTTTCCTGCCAGGAAGTTTGTACCAGGCCCGTTAGTCTTACCTCCAGTGTCCGGATCAGTGACAAGGATTTCAATGTTGAGGAGCCTCCATGGAATGCCGGGATCATCACCCATCAACGTCAATGTGGCCTGGAGAAGAGACTAATGCCAGTCAGTTCAATGCACTCTTTCACAGAGGTTTCAAATTCAATTACGAACCCACATTTAGTTGGGAGTTAAATAAACATTTTAACTTCAAACAAAGAAAATCAAAAGCAAAGATTTGATTAGTCTGAATATCACCCATCGTCCAAAGGGGGCCCTCTCTGTAACCAACGTCTGATATATGTGAGCAATGCAAATTGTATGCGACCCCGCGAGCGCCGGAAAATCAGAGTCGACTGAAGAAACTGTGACATCATTTCAATCAGAAATGTGGACTAAGCAGTTGATTGGTCAATTTGGCTGCCATGATTTTGTAATACAACAACGGGTTATGGAAAACCCGACTGAAGGCGCCCTCTGAATGGTCAGAATCTCGAGGTCAAGACGCAGTCTTGTTTTGCATAATTAATCACTGAATCTGCTCACATATCATAGACCCTTGCTGTGCAAGGGGATATTCCACAGACTAGGATTTGATAAAGAAAAGGAATCTGTTCAAAAAGTTAGAAAATAATAATATACCTCAAATTCTTGCGGAACACTGAACTTGACTCTTCCATCAACTGTGATCATAAACGACATCAAACAAAACAGCATTATCTCTGGTTTGCGTTCAGTGCAAGGGTTGTAGTCAAGGAACTTATGATGGATCACAAGCCATCACAAGCCATCACAAGTCCATCACAAGTCAATAACAAGTCCATCACAAGTCCATCACAAGTCCATCACAAGCCATCACAAGTCTATCACAAGCCATCACAAGCCATCACAAGCCATCACAAGTCCATCACAAGCCATCACAAGTCCACCACAAGTCAATTACAAGTCCACCACAAGTCCATCACAAGCCATCACAAGTCTATCACAAGCCATCACAAGGCCATCACAAGGCCATCACAAGCCATCACAGGTCACCCAGTCCCAAGTCACAAGCTATTATGACAAAGGCATTCCCTTGTTATCCCCTGTTACTTGTGACTGGATTTGTGAATGGACTTGTGATTTACTTGTGACCAGACTAGTGACGGACTCAACTTACAACACTGTCATTTAAATATGGTCTTTGTGTATTTTCCCCACACACATTATATTTCGTTGGGTAGTATTCTTCTGGTCACTCACAGGTCCGAGGGGGGCAGAGATGTGCACTAGTGACACTTAGCTTGTCAACTTCCATTACCTCAGGGAGATAAAATCGCGTATCCACCACCAAACCCTGTTATATTTTTGTACCACTCACCAATGGACAAATCTGCGAGCTGGGAAGGTAGTTTACTGGTGACCAGCCGATGCTGTATGATCTGGTTGAGTCTCTGCAGCACGTTGGCCTTCTCACTCTGAGAGATGGGATCCGGGGGAACAATCTTCTCCTGTAAACGGCCAAAAGTAAAAAGTTATACGAGAAAACTGGATTTCAAAAAGACAAAGTTACAATTGTAATGAGGTGCACTTACGTGTCATCATTCTACAAATTTAGGGTTCAAAGTGTGACGGTTTTCCCATCCCTGTTACCTCTGAGCTTTGTTATTTGCCATTTCAAGTATCATTAAGAATGACTTCAAAGGATTTTTTGTATTTTTTGGGTAGGTAGATTGCTATTCATAATCACTCTTGGAGGATGACTGCATTAAGGAGTGCATCAGAATTATAAAACCATAGATGTCAGATGTAACAGGAACAGGACAAAAAAGTGGACCCAATTTTATGCAATGACCCATGTTTCAGGATGAGTTGTGGAAAAGTTTCTTCACAACAGGGCCACTGTACTGAGAATTAGTTGCAGAATCCTAACTTCAGTGCATGAAGACTTCAAACTAAATTTACTCCTGCGCTAGATTGTCCTCTGTACTTCATCAATTCATTCCAGAATTCAGCATGTACAATCAATCTCTATCTATTACCTTGATGCACGTGGGCATTCTCCTGTACTGTCCCGTCGTCAGTACATCCACAGCAACGGGCAGAGAGAAGTTAGGCAAACTAAAGAAAAGACAAAACAAGAAAGGAGAATGTCACTGTTAGTAAATCATGTATTTTCCAGTGATGGAGGGAGACACTTTTGAGAGATCACAGGCCCATCACAAGTCAATTGCAAGTCAATCGCACGTCTATAACAAGTCCATCACAAGTCCGTCACAATTCAATCACAGTTCAATCACAAGTCAATCATAAAAAAAATCACAAGTCAATTGCAATCTATCACGATTCAATCAAAAGTCCATCACGAGTCAATTACAAGTCAATTACAAGTCCATCACAAGTCCATCACAAGTCAATCACAATTCAATCACAAGTCAATCACAAAACAATCACAAGTCAATTGCAATCTATCAGGATTCAATCAAAAGTCCATCACAAGTCTATCGCAAGTCCATCACAAGTCCATCACAAGTCCATCACAAGTCCATCACAAGTCCATCACAAGTCCATCACAAGTCCATCACAAGTCCAGCCCACGTTATGCAATCCCAACTCAACTCACAAGCTATTCAAATGTTTCATCCCTTAGCAGTTTCAGGTGACTGGACTTGTGATTTGACTTGTGATTTCCTTGTGACCAGCCTTATGACGTACTTGTGATCCATCACAAGGCATCAAGAATGCGATTTTTCCAAAACTGTGTATACATAATAGGGAGGTTTCGCAAGCGAACGGATACGCTTACACTTACGTTTAGCTATCCGTATCCGTTTTTTACTTACGTGTAGCGAGCGAGATATGCGTGTCCTCTGCACGTTTAGCGGATAGTGAATGGCGTATGACGTCATACGTGCAGACGATCTCGCTCGCTACACGTAAGGCCAAAAAAAAAAATAGTTCTGCTTCCGATTACATGTCTTTCAAAAATAGGGTCGGTCGGTCGGAAATTTTTTTTTTTTGCCAATTTTTTTTATGCAGATTGAATGGCGTATTCAATTATATGCAAAGTTTTAGCCTGAACTATTTCTATTGCACTACGAAAGCTATACACAAAATGGCCACAAAAAGTGAATAAAACCTACCTTAATTATTGTCAATATATTTAAGTTCGATAATTCGTAAAAAAAATTGTGGGAAATTCAGGTCGTTCGCACCATAGGCACAACGCTAGTCAAGAACGGGAGCTGGCCAAAACTCCGAAGTGTGTGATGTACATGTGTACATGTGTGGCCCGCGGCCAACGGGTCGAACATTTCAGGAAACACGCTGCATTGTATCACTCCAAATACGAGTAGTGCGATCTCAAAATGAACTCTTGAACACGGAAAATACATACACAGACAAGCTAGATCAAATCTGTGAATTAACTTACAAAAATGTTCTTTCTCCATCGGTGTTTTCTTGGCATTTTTACGATGTCTTTCTCAGCATTTTTACGATGTCGATTCCGACCAGTTGACAGAGCACGTGCCTGCGCCTGCATAGCCATGCTAGCGCTAACATCGCATAGCCGTGCACAGACTAGTTACCGCATTTTCATAATTGGCTCCTGCGCGGCGCGGCGGGAACCAGTCGTCGCCGCATTGCGCTTATTACGCACGTGATTATAGACATCGAATTGCGAAGTAGTTGAATCGCGCAGCGAATTTGTAAAAATAACGGAGGTTTCTTTTGAAAAAATAGCGAATGTAAGTAAGAAAACAATAAATACAAGCATTTTTTGATGCAAAAGGGTTGTTGAGAGGTATTTTGTGAAGACAGACAAGACATAAGGTTTTTATTTTTATTTATTCAATCTTTTTTTTAATTTTTTTTTTTGGAATTGCCGATAAAATTTTTAGGGTCGCAGCCTAAAAATAGGGTCGGTCGGGTAACCGGAAGCAGAACTATTCTTTTTTTGGCCTAAGTAAAAAACAGATACGGATAGCTAAACGTATTTGTAAGCGTATCCGTTCACTTGCGAAACCTCCCAAATACCTCAGAAATTGCAAACTTTTATCATTCAGAAGTCATTTAACATTAATTCTTGTATATAAGCAATAATACCGATAAAATGCTTACCGAGCATGAACAAGGTTCTCCCTCGCCATATGGGACAACATGTCGGCCGTGTCAACAAATAACAGTGACTGCTGGTCCAGAAAAGCAGATATCGCCTATTGCACAAAAAAAAGAAGGAAAATACAACTGTATACAAAGCTCTAACAATTAATTTCAAATAGATGGATAAAATGCTAGTTAATCTGTAAAGGTACTAAGATCATTAGCTAAATCTCATTAAGTCGGTAGGCACGTTTCAAATTAATGAGAATGTTCCTAAGTGCCTTTAACATTGCTGCAAAAATGGCAGAAGAATTCCCACAAATCACGCGCAATTACAAAAAAAACACAGCCTACTTTTAGAATAGTTCCCTGTATACTTACCGCGCATTTGTCCACTTTGGCAGCACTGCTGGCCCATTTGACTAGGGCCAGGAGTCTGACGAACGACTGTCTGGTGCTCCGAGCAAATTTGACAATCTCAATTTTCCTAACGGCGAAGTGAACCAAAAAATAAAATGATGAGATGTTGAGATGGCCCTACAGTGTTGATTAAGAAGTATTTTCAATACTCCAGAAATTAACGTTTGACGTTAATGAACGTTATCAACACTACAGAAAAACATTAGGAGTGGTTTTAATTTTAAGTAAATCTAAGACATATAAATAAAACGTTAAGTCCATAGGCGTAGCCAGTGGGGGGGGGGGGGGGGGGGGGGGGGGAAATGGGGGTATTTATTCCCCCCCCCCCAAGTAAAGACTGCCCTTTCCATTCCAGTGCCTTTTTTTCACCAGTGTTTATCAACCTCCCCTTCAAAAAAATTTTAAAGAGTGCCTTTTTTTTTTAACAAGTACCCTTTTTTTTATAACAAGTGCCCCTTTTTAAAAACAAGTTCCTTTTTTTTTACAATAAAGGTCTTTTTTTAACCAGTGGCAGTTACGAGTGCCTGTTTTTTGGAATTTTGCACGTGAGCTGCCCTGAAAAGCGCCATCTATTGCCCGATAGTGTGCATGATCATCCGATTTGAACAGCGCCCCATTGGAAGATGGTAACCCCCCCCCCCCCCATTTGATTTTACAGAGGCCAAGTGTCCGGAGAGAAAATAACCCGTCTACATTTCAGCACGGATGTGCGAGTACCCTTTTTCAAGAATTTTGTATCCCCCCCAATAAAAATGACCTTGCTATGTCTCTGTAATCTGGTGATGTTTGTGCATGGAGAACAACTTGACTTCCAGGTACCAGACCAAGATGGCCGCCATGCAATCTTTTCATCTCACCTTTCCATGTCCGTCTTTCTGGGGAGCAACTCGGAGAGCACCATCAGTTCATGATAGGTTTTCTGGATCAGGAACTCCAAGAGAAGCCCCAACGAGATGCTGTTGGTTCCACTGGGCGACGCTGCCCTCTGTCCCAGCACCGGAGTGAGACTCATCTGGGCTTGAGCCTGGGCCTGAGGGGTTAGGATTGGTGCCATAGTGGCACCCTGGAAAAAGTCTTTCCTATTCTTTCGTCAGCAGATGCGGTTTCTTCACATTCCTCGTTATCTCGGCTTGCACTGAAACAAAAATCCAATGATAGAAATATTTGAAAATGGTTACAGAGTAATGTAACTTTTAGTCTTTACGGCATATTTCATGATGTTTGACAAATGGAAAATGTTTGGGAATGCTTCGAAAATGTTCTTGACTCTCCATAAACTTTGTACACAACCACTGAAGTGGCGTCAGGTTGCAACAATTTTTCCGAAAATTCTTTTCTACCGAATGCGCCCATACAACATGTCCGACCAGCCATGAAGTTTAACTCAGGAGGCCGAGAGGTGTCAGCCACTTCGCCCCATTTTGAGTTCGCCCCTTGTCACTTCGACCTTAACCCCTTTGCCCCCACTGCCACTTTGCCTCCATAGGCATAGCCACTTTCCCTGCGTGGCCACTTCGCCCCATCACCAAATCACCACTTCGCCCCATCGCCTCGCCATAAATAATCGGGCATATCGAGTAAACACTAAAACAGGTAATAAAAATACCAAAATATAACTCGCAATTTCCCATCTTATCAAAACAATTTAATATTATTTCAACGCCTGAATACACTCTTAAAGTACTTTATTACATGTGTTTCTTTTGAATACTACTAATTTACCTTCTTATGCCTGCAAAGTTAGTTTTAACTACTGACCAAAATTCCAACACAATTTCTGTCACTCACGCTCGCCATTTTGCTTTCGACAAAATCGACAGTAGTAGTTCGCCGCAAGAGGGCGTCTGTCCGAACTACTTGTAAAAAATTAGAGCTTCTAACACCTAGCTCCTAACTTTTTATTTAAAAATATTTAAATTTTCAAAAAGGGAAATTTTATAATAAAGTTCACCAAAGAAATTGATTGGAGCGGGGTTTGAACCTACAACCTCCAGATTGCCACACTGGAACGGAGATCCGGAGTTTGCAGGTTCATTACCAGCTTCAGTCATTTTCTCTGTTAATTTTTCTAAAATATTAAAGATAATGGACCCACAGGTGAGTTGAAACATCATGCCCCATTCAAAGTTACTACTTTTTTAGATTTTAGATTTTTTTTCAAAGAAACATAAGTCGAAAAAAAAATTATATTGTCTAAACAGTCACCAATGAATATAACTTACGTATGCGCTTTAAAATGCACTGACTCAATATTCAAGGGGTTTAATTTTTATAATTTCACATTTCAGGGGACAAGCATTTGTGTTGTTTTTGTAACTTTGCTTGATTGAGCAAAAGTTCTGGGTTTTGGTGGGCATATTAAATTATCTGTATACAGTGAACGTCCTTTTTCTTATGTTTCAAAATCAAATAAAATCATATCAAATCAGTGAGCCTCCAATCTTGTTCTTCCATTCATATTCTTTACTGCTGATTGTGATTTAAGGATGAGGAACAAATCAAAGAAAAGTGAATTTTCATTTCTATTTTTTTTTTAGAAACTACTGGCTCGGTATATTAAATTGACGTCTACTGCAAAATGCACTTAATTTCTAGAAGCTTAGAGGGTTTTACCGCGCCCGCGTTGCACACGCAGTAGCTGCATGCATTGTGCACATTGCTCATGCACTACACGTTCTAATGACATTCCAAACAGCTGTGTGTTGCAAAGTAGACGCCTCTTCATGGACTTGGACTGTGTTCCTCTGAAATCTTTACTGAAAACTATGTCATTTCACCGGCAAAACAATCGCGATCATCACCTAAACGGTGACCAGACGTAAGAAGTAAGTCCCCCGAGTGGGATCTGTGTGTTATAGACTTGAATTCGCCTTAATTCGGGGCACAAAACACCGAACGAAATCGGCATGATGAGAGAGTACAAAGTCGTGGTGCTGGGCAGCGGCGGGGTGGGCAAGAGCGCCCTAACCGTGCAGTTCGTCTCGGGGAACTTCGTGGAGAAGTACGACCCGACGATCGAGGACTTCTACCGCAAGGCGATCGAGGTGGAGAACACCATGTCCATCCTGGAGATTCTGGACACGGCCGGCACGGAACAATTCGCTTCCATGCGGGACTTGTACATCAGGAACGGCCAGGGTTTTGTGGTGGTGTACAGCGTCACGAACAAGCAGAGTTTCGGGGATGTCGTCAATCTACGAGATCAGATTTTGAGGGTCAAAGGGTCCAGCCAAGTCCCGCTGGTCTTGGTGGGGAACAAGGCGGACTTGGAGAAGGAGCGGCAAGTTCCCACCGCCGAGGGTGTCAGCTTGGCCAACAAGTGGATTATACCCTTTTACGAGACCTCGGCTAAGAACACGATGAACGTGAACGAGGTTTTTGCCGAGTGTGTCATGGAGATCATGAGGCTTCTTCAACCCGGGAAACGGAATAAGAAAAAACTGTGCAACGGATGTAATGTGCTGTGACCAAGAAAGGTGGGTATTTTGCTAACGAGTCATCAACTAATCTTTTCTTTAAGTTTTAATGGATAAAATTTGCTTGTGACATTAATAATATTGCTGCAAACGTGTGCATAATGATAAATGTGGTAAGACTATGAAAGAATGTAGATTATGTAACATCGTTATGTTAAAACTTATATTCTAATTTCTAGGCAAATGCTAGGTGCTATGCTACAAATACAAGTATCGCTGTTTACTGTTTTTGAAAGTTACACATTTATGACGAACGTGATAAAATTTGCTCAATGAGACAGTGTCAACGTCCATAAATCTCAGTCTGTATTACAGACATTACTTTTGTTTTTGGCCAGAAATATTTCCCCTCACAAACACCCCCCCCCCCCAAAAAAAAGTACCATATTTTTAGGTGCAGTAAGTGAGCCAGTCATTCCCCAGCCTTGAAATAGTATTCCCATGATTATGAAAAGGTATCCTTGAAAATCAGAAATGAAAGGAACTTTTGCAGAGGTAATTACAATAAAGAGACAAAATTGTATTAAAATTCTCCATGCAAGGCTACACAATATGTATCATCAATGAAAGAAATGGAAGGTACTTATTTTGAAACTAGACAGAAAGTCTACTTTCTCCAGACTCCGTAAATAAATGGGTGCATTTGTGGTATCCATCTCGAAAGCCTAAGTTTTGAGTCACTACCCCTGAATCAAATACTACTTACTCATCCCCTAAAGTTGAAGACCAGTGAAGTGAGACTTTTGTCCACTTTCAATTGTACCCATGTGGGACGGGTTGATGACTCAACAGAGTAGGATACACACTTGTACAGTCATTCTAGAAATGTGAGTCCGTCCTTTTGAAGTTTGTCAAGAGGTTACTTCTTGTGGGAAATGAAGTGGACAGGACTGAAGAATTTCAATTTAACTGTAGCACGCAAGCCTGAAGAAACCTGTAGAGAGAATACAATGAGAAGAGATTACTGTTTTAGAGGTGGGAGGAAAACCCAGAAGAATATTCTGGGGGAAACCCATGGAATCAGGTAGGGACTGAAAACCCAATCCACATGTGGACTAGGGCAGGAATCGAACCTGGGCCATGGCGGTGGAAGACATCATCAACCTAAGAAGGACACATTCTTTTTAGTTTAGAATTGGTTAGGATGAATGTTTCTACGTTTTGTCTTGGTGATATGCCATGCACACTTTACAAATAAACACATTTTACTGTGTCACCGCAAGGAAGGAAAAGTTCCAGAAGGAACATTCTTTTTAGTTTAGAAATGGTTAGGATGAAAGTTTCTACGTTTTGTCTCGGTGATATGCCAGGCACTCTTTACAAATAAACATATTTTACTATATGGTGTCACCAAATGTTCAAGGAAGGACACGTCCCGGAAGGACATGAAAATTATTGTGAAGGATATTGGAAGAAACCCAACAGGATTAATTACGTTAACATCAGTCGAGAAAAATATGCTGCTCCAAACATACTGGATAACTTCCTCAAACCATTTTTCCCAAGACAAGTGTAAATTAAAAGTCCAAACTTCAACATATTCCTTTCGAAATATAAAGTTCTCAATTCTCTGGGATCTAGAGTAAAGCAACATCTTTTATTAAATACACTCAATTTAATCCAATTCAATACAACATATCCAAGCATGAACAAAGTACAATTCATATAGTATTTATAAGCATACATTATAGGAAAAATTCAAGGAAAATAAATATGTATAGGAAAACAAATATGGAAAATTATAAATGAAATACTGGTAGCAATTAATTGAGCAAACAATTACAAAAAAGTAAGGAAAATATACCCAGCAAAAAAAACATGGCAAAGCAGTACTTAGAATTTGTTTTATTGCAACTTCTGTGAATGTACGAGTTTTTCAGGCCTGCGGTTGGTCATACTCCACTGGTTGCCCTTGGAAACTGTTTGGAAATTGGAATCGCCCAGATGATTCAGCCACTTTGGCAGGCTGCATACTGTACAAGTCATCTTCAATCGTTTTATGTTTTATGAATAAAGAGAAAGAACTACAACAGATACGCTCTGTCCAACCTGATTCCAACAGATGCTTGTGCACGTCCATTAAAAGAAGTTTTTTGAAGCAACAAAATTGCTAAAAAAGTTAGTTTAGTACTGAGGTGCATTTATAAAACCTAAGCATGTTGAAGTTTCAACTCAGTAGATTTTATTATTTTTCGGGTCTTGTAATTGGATTCCTTTGCTAAAAGTGTGCCCGCAGGCAAACTTTTTTTAACCGCCTTCAAACTTTAAGTTCAAAGCTTGTTTTCTTTTGAATGATGCCATTTTAGGTGGACTTACACAGGGTATTTTGATAATGGCGCTGTATAGTGGAATCCGGTGACCAGAATGAGAATATTTTACTGCGGTGGTTTCACGCTCACGTGTTGTCAATGCATTTTATTTGTGAACATTTACAGTATGTACATGTACTGATGTGACACAGTGTGATCCCTTCCCAACTCACTTTCGGGCTGTCCCAACTACATTGCTCACATGTACATACATGTTGTACAACATATATAACATCATGTAACATGTACCATTACACATCAACCCAACTTTAGTTTGGACTGCCCCAACTTGTAACTTTGAGAGTGGGACTGCCCCAACTAGAGGTGGGCCAAAAGTAGAAACATGCCCAACACTTGCACAACTACGGGCACATGTGCATGTACTGGCAAGTTTATCAGAAATACCATACACTGTACATGTTCACACATGTGCGGGTGTTGCCTGTATAGACATGTACGGGCACATGTACACGTATGTAACTTAAATACTACATTGTACATTTGTACATATGTAGTTAATTACCGGTACTGCATAATTCACATGGAAAGATTGTAATTTTGTAAATTACATTTTTTCTTTGATTCTTTACTGAGGCTTTAAAATTATTACTGGAAGTCCACATACTGCATACATGTATATGTACACAATGCCGATCTAGTGATCGGGCACGGTTTCTCAGTAGTGAGTCAATGATCAATACAATCTGTATGGGCCCGGCCCCTAATAAGTACTGTACGGCAATTGCAAACTATTGCGGTAATCTTCCCATTGTGCGCAGACAATAGTTATTGCCTTAAGGGTTTATTTAGGACAATAGTCTGGTGGCTCTGTGTTTTCAGGAAGTGCCTTAGTACTGGTAGTAAGGTCATTTGATGTTGCGCTGCTGCATGTGTGTGTGGGAATTATATGCCTAGAGTTTTAAGCACTGACTTTTTAACCCTTTCCTTGAACATGGGCCAATTTTGTGAACACATGTGCTGCCTTTATTAGACCAGGAAACCACACACAGAACACCCTCAACACAGATTTTTTCACTGCTTTTCAGAAAGCTGACATGTTGGTGTGTGAGTCGGCCATATTGAATTTTTGGAACTTGCGAAGAGAAATGAAAGCAAGTTAACTCCTAATTAATTCCAGTCTGCTTCAATGAATAATTTAAAATTTGTAATTAAACATTCCCTTATGTTTAAAGCCAGATTTTAAAAAATGATGGTAAAATAAGGCTGCATCATGCATGCAAAGATAGTCTGGCTCCATCCCATTGAACAGCTTTAATGAAATGCAATCAGGGAACTCGACAAAAATGGCAAACTCGTGCATACAACACCCTATAGCAACTGAAAGAGTGTTTTCGGATCGTTCTAGTTTTTCATAGTGTTACCATTACAAAAGTTGAAGATAAGTGCTTCTGAAGTATCAACGCACTATGGAGTGCCAATTGGGCATGTGGTGAAATGGCTTGCAGTTTTCTAACTGGGATCAGATCAACAAACATTGAAAACAAATACCCTAGTATTTGCCCACAATTAAAATCTTTGTCTTTAAAAATTCTCTACAACAATTTTGTTCAATGTTTGTTGCAAATGAACTGAAGAAGAAGTATTTTGTGAACATTTTTTTTTTTTTTACAAATCCAGGGAAAAGATTAAATTACATTCTGAATGAGTGGGAAAAAAAAAGTAAAAAAAGAAAAAGAATTGTCTTCACCCTACAGAATTTATTAAAGATGAAATATTAAAAAAAAAGAATTGTCTTCACCCTATAGAATTTATTAAAGATGAAGTTTAAAATACTACAAAGTACAAATAATATTTTGTCACTTAGGAGAGATACGTTTTTTAATTAAAGAAATGAACATAACTCTGCTGAATGCAAGGCATGGATCATTATTCCTGTTTATTACGCAGTCACGATAACTCCCTTCGAGTACTAAATCAGTGCCCTGCAGGACGTGCAATTCCCAGACAGTTTAGTAATCTGCAATGATCATCAGCTGCCAAACAGTTAATGGTCAAAGAAGCAATCTCTGACCTCATCTTCAAGGCACTCAGAGGTCCTTCAGTTCTAAACTGGGTCAACACCCTTACGTCTTCCTCTTCGTCGTCTTCTTCTTCGCAGACAACCAAACCCTTTTTTTCCCCCAGCCCCGTTCGCCTACGTGTCACAGACACATCAGGTCCATCATGTTTGTGACGGCAATGTAATTGGCTCGGGGTCGAGACCCGATAAAGACTTGATCAAGCCAGACGGTTTCACTCTGCGCTGGTTCGGCCCGACACTGACAGGGGAAGAGAATATTACATTCTCGCTTTTTGTCGTTGCCATCTTCAGTTTACATGTCCGCACATTTTCCTTGAAGGGGAGAGGGCACGGATGGAGTGTTAATAAGGAATGCGCGTTTGTTTAAAGGGGCTCGTGCAATTGGATTTTTGAAAAAGGTGTTGTACAAATAAAGCCTGAATTAAGAAATTGCGGCCATTTACAGAAAAATGGTCAAAAACAGTTTTTCCACATGCGTGTTTAAGGTATGGTCAGTGTTATTGCAGTTCTTTATGCTACCAGTATTGACCTATCGCCGTTTGGGAGTTAGCCATGCCTCTTGCTATGGATTTTTTGTTCGCTAAGTTTTGTTTGTTTCAGATTTTTGCACGTTCCGTGTCTATTTCTATATAATGTACCCTAATTGGACA